GTTCTACGCCTGCGCCATCGTAGACTACTATCACCCAAAAAATGTTTTTTACATCGCGTGTTTTTTCCACTCCTCACCCCGCCCTGCGACCGTTTTGACCACAAATCTCCCTTTTCCCTCTCTACTGCATGTATATATGTACCTTCTATGTGTTTAGAGTGAGAGGAGCGGAGGGGTGATGACTGGTACGACGGGGGAAGGAGAAAGGATGCAAAAAGGGACAAAACGCGATCGCCCAAAAAAGGGACTTTTTGGCGTTCTTTTTTCAACTTTCACAAACACAACACCATACGGACGCATGAGCCCCACCAAACCATTTCAATACTTGGTATAACCACCATGGGCATCCAAAACTGCTTTGATGCGGCGCGGCATGGATGAAATGAGCGAGGTGCAGACCTCGACGGTGAGGACCTTGTGGTAGACCTCTTGGAAGCGCTCCCAGAGCATATCTTGGTTTGTGATCTCTCGCTGCTTGTACACAGCGTTCTTGACCATGTTCCACGCATGCTCGATGGGGTTGAGGTCGGGGGAGTTCGCAGGCCACTCCAAGAGGGTGAGGTTCTGGTTTTTGAACCATTTCATCACGTCCTTCCGCTTGTGACAGGGCGCGTTGTCCTGCATGAAAATCAGGTTTGGGTCGTTTCCCCAAGCGGCCAGACTGTCTTTCAACTCCTCATTCAGAACGGAGAGGTAGACGTCGCCGTTCATGCGGTCGCCGAGCTCGGAGAAGAAGGAGATGCCGTAACGCGAAATCGCTCCCCACACATTGATGTGCCCTCCTCCAAACTTGACAGTGCCCTGGACCGACCTGTCGTCGAGCGGTGCACCCCACACACGCCACACACGGCCAGAGTTGTTGTTCCTGTACAGGTAGAGAGCGGTCTCGTCGGAAAAAACGACGTTCAACCAGTCCTCTACGGTCCAATTGGCGTGAGCGCGGGCGAAAGCAAATCGGGCGTCTTTATGACGCTGCAGCAGCCTCGCTTTTTTTGACCTTCGCCGCACAAAAAAGACCCTCCCGCCGCAGCACGTTCCTGATCGTATCTGTAGTGACATCACAGAGACTTCATTTGCGCATGGTGGCGGCGACTTCGGTAGCTGTGTGCGAATCTCCGGTCTTAATCTGCTGCACGATGTTTACGGCGGCAGTCGAAGAAACCTTGGTCGGACGTCCAGATCGCGGCGAATCCTGCGTCCCGCCCCTCGCCGAGTAGCGTACATGGATTGCACGCACTGTGTGCCAAAGGAGACCGAGTTGGTCGGCGATCTGGCGGTAGGAGAGGCCGGCTTTGTGCAGCTCCAACACGTTCGACCGAATGACCTCCCTACTCGGCTTGATGACAGTGGGCTTCGGCGGCGATGGTGGGGATACTATCCCGATCATTAAATTTCGACCCCCCCTCTTTTTTTCACTTTTTCGCCCTCCCTGGGACCTGTGTTGCTTTCCGTCTCGCCCGCGGAATGTTCATTCATGGTACGGTGTACCGAACGTCTGATGAACACCGGGAGCGGGGGTTGTGAGTCATATCAGAGCAGCAGCGAGCAAAATAAAAAATATAAGGAAACTCAAAAAATTCACTTTTCCCGCCCAAATTTTGGTTTGGGTTCAGTCTTTTTGTGCGCATGACTCGCACACGCAGTCAGTCCACGTCCCGCGTGGCTCCCAGACAGCCCCCGGTATGGCTGCGTCCAACTTCACCAAAAAGACCGCTGCCCGTGCTGGACAAGATGCCCAGGGAGGTCGTCCGCGGTCAAGTGCTCGCGTTGCGAAATGCTGGCCTCTCCTACAACAAGATCGCCACCCAGCTTCACCTCCCACGTTCTACAGTGATCAGCATCACCCAACGTTTCTCGGGAAGGGCGACGACGAGCGACAGCCCCCGCCCCGGTCGCCCCAGCAAGCTCAAGTCATTTCACCGCAACAACATTGTAGCACAGATCCTCCTCGATGAGTCCGACACCGCACCCGAAGTGGCCGCCACTATGCGCACATTGTCCAAAGTTCGTGTCTCTCCATGCACGATAAGAAGGGTGCTGCATGGTGCAGGACTTGTCAACGGAGCGAAGGTCAAAAAAGCCCTCTTGAAAGAGACACACAAAGAGCGACGCTTGGCCTTTGCACTCGCTCATCAGCATTGGACCGTCGATGACTGGCTGAGGGTCGTCTTCTCCGACGAGACTGCTCTCTATCTCTACAGGAACAACAACGGTGGTCGTGTATGGCGTCTGGTTGGCGAAACGTTGACCGATCGATGCGTGCAGGGCACGGTCAAGTTCGGCGGTGGCCATATCAATGTTTGGGGCGCCATCTCTCGTTTCGGAATTTCGCTTTTCTGCGAGGTCGGCGACGTCATGAACGGCGACACCTACCTCTCAGTTTTGGAGAGCGAGTTGCTAGCAAGCATTCGCGTGTGGAACAACAAAAACGAGATGATTTTCATGCATGACAATGCCCCTTGTCACAAAAGAAAAGATGTGGCGAAGTGGTTCGAAACCAATCAGATCACCGTCCTGGACTGGCCTGCGAACTCTCCCGACCTCAACCCCATCGAAAATGCGTGGAACATGGTCAAGAACAAGATCTACCAGGAGAGGGAGATCAAGAGCAAGGCCGCGTTGTGGGAACGCTTCCAAGCGGTCTACGAAGAAGTGCTCACGCCAGAGGTCTGCCGCGATCTCATTTCATCGATGCCGCGCCGCATTCAAGCTGTGATAGATGCCAATGGTGGTTATACCAAGTACTGAAGTGGAGCGAAGGCGCTGCGACACGTTGTTTGTGTGCCATGTAATGCTTTGTGAAAATTGGGCAAAAAATCCGCTCTTTTTCTGTTTTTTTGAGTTTCATTTTTGTCTGTTCTCGCTTCGAATCTTAACTCCCAGCCCGCTGCTTCACTTCTAAAATGTGTCTGGTACACCGTACCATGAATGAACATTCCGCGGGCGAGACGGAAAGCAACACAGGTCCCAGGGAGGGCGAAAAAGTGAAAAAAAGAGGGGGGGTCGAAATTTAATGATCGGGATAGTACATTGCCGCGTGTGACTCGCTTCACGGACGAAGACGGCGGGGACGAGGCACGAGTAGAACGAGCCATGGGGGCGTCGAACTGTGGAAATGAGAGAAAAAGGCGGGAAAAATTCAATCCAAAGCGCGCGCTTTTTTTCGATGTTTTCCCGCATCCACGCGGTCCCCACACGCACACTTCTCTTCCCGTCCCCGCTCCTCATCATTTTCCGATGTAGGGTACACCGACGCACACCCCACATGTGAAATAGGGCGAACTAACCGTCGTCACACGGAGATGGAGACTGAATTAACCAAAACAAATCGCGATGTAAAAAACGTTTTTGGGTGATAGTACAGCACAAAGTAAGCTCGCACTTTCCAACAAACACTCGCCCGCAAACCGCAACGTCGAAGTGCTGAATGGCGGCGGTGTGCAGATGGATGGATCCCAAAGCACTGTTCCAGATAGAGGGAGACACGCGGGTCCATCACACCTCGTTGTAGCGCGCTGCCACTGCACCTGTGTGTCCACTCCAAGCGCTCTCTTCCTGATCACTTCCACTGCTCGCGTTGACAGGTAGCCATCAAGAGAGCGGCGGAAAAGGGACGATATCAATTCGATCTTGTCAGCATTGGAAGATCTTAGTTTTTTCTTTGTGTGTTTTGTTCGTTTCTTCGTTGCTTTTCTATGTTCCCTTGCTTGTTCTATTCCGTCGCAGGACACGGCTGCTCCTCCTGCCCCTTGTTCTGCTCGGTGCTTGTTGCGTGCTGCAGCAAAACACATCATCGGGTCAGCGCGCGAGAGAGACAGCGAGCGAGCGGCCAGGAACGAGTGCAATGCATTGTGTGCTGATCGCTTAGGGCTGAGACTCAGCTGCACACCCGCTCTATCGCTGAGCAGTGCAACTGCAAGATGAACCGAAACTATCAAAGAAGAACAGCGGGTTGCTCTTTGGATTTGATATGCGCCTTGACGTACCTTCGTTCCCAATGGAGCACCGACAAAACCCAAAAAAAAAAAACGAAAAAAGAAAAAAATAAAAGGATGACAATCACCCTGATTTGTTCGACTTCCATTTCTATGAGGCCTATTTCATTGAATTTGTTTGGCACGGGACCATATTGTCACTAGTCTTACCGCATATAGAAATTGAAGTTTGAATCCTTCTTTGAAGACACAATTTCACCTGAACAAACAACCAACTTGGGTTTTGCAGTCAACTTTGCGCAATCAAACTTGTATCATTGCCCATCAAGACGAGGAGCACAAGGCAAACAGTCGCTCGATCGCGGCTGATGGAGAGTGCCAAGAATAGCCTTCTCGCACATTCGTTCGAGTCGCGACTCCTACTTTTGAGCAAGTCATCAAACAAGGAAGTGTAATAAACCAACATCAACTGTCACACCTGAGAAGGAGCCATCGGTAGATACATATGGAGTAAATTAAGTACTGAGCTAACAGAAATGGGTTGGGGTGTAATGAGAATCACAGCGCGACCAAGAAGCACCGTGCACCAAGAAACACATCTGCACTTTCACAGCATTGCACCGATTTCGCGAATCGTCGTCCCATCCTGAAGGGCTGTCAGAGCTTTGACAAGCTGGGCAAAGGTCGGTCGTTTCTCAGGCGACATGTCCCAGCAGCTGAGCATCAGGCTAAACAGCTCCGCTGTACAGTGCTCTGGCATGGGCAGTCGACCCCCAGCCTCCACATGAGCCAGAGTCTCCATGGCTTTCATCGTGCCGTACGGCGTTGCACCATAACTAAAGCATTCCCCTACCAACACGCACCAACGCACGTGAGATGCACGCACAAACTTTCCGATGGGAATCGGTTGTACTCACAGGCTGTTACCCCGAACGACCACACATTCGCCATGGACGAGCACTTTCGGTATGTCATTGTTTCTGGCGCCATCCACTAACGCGTTGCAAGATCAATGTGATGAGTATCGAAACCGCGAGCAGGAAGCAACCTTTCTACACCATCAACCCACCTTTACAGGAAGTTTGCCGAGCGTTTGCATACGATCGCAATCATCATCAGAGACGAGTTTGCGAGACAACCCGAAGTCGGTTATCTTGACCGCCATTCCTTGCCCCACAAGACAGTTGCGTGCTGTGAGGTCACGATGTACAAAGTTGAGCGTGCCAAGATACTCCATGCCCAGCGCAATCTGGCGAATGGTGTGAATTTGCTCGTTTTGTGTCCACCAGAGGGAGTAAAGCTTGGACTTTTGCAGCAGCTTGCGCAAGTCGCCATACTGCACAAACTCGAGCAAAACGAGATAGGGCTCTGACTCTACTAGCGCTGCAAGCAGGTGGACGACGTTCGGATGCGTGAACGACGCCATCAATTTCGCTTCGCTGACAAAGTCTTGGCGGGATTTCTCGTCGGGGTCGGACATGAGACACTTGACTGCAACTTGCACCGTTTCAGAGACTGTTGGCTCAAGCAGGGCTTGGGCTCGTGGGGGCAACACGCTGAACGAGACTTCGCCCAACGCGACATCGCTGAAGCTGCCACTTGCCAGGTGCTTCACAATGGTCAAGCATTCACATAGGCGACGAGAATCGCCAATGGGAACAGACGCGTCTGCGTGATCGTCGGCCATCTCGGAAGAACTCGTCGAGATGACTTGGCACAGCGGTTCTGGCTGTGTTCGAGCGGCCGAGGCGTCGGGTGGGACGTCCTCCTCGTCGTGAGATCGAGCCGAATGCGAGTACGGCAGTTCAACAGCCTTCTGGTAAGTGGGGTCCTTTGGTGGCATGACTGAACGCTGCAAGCGTCGGCGGCGCAACACGATGAATACAAGGGCAATGAACCCAATCATTGCGACAGAAGCAATCGCAGCAGCAATCACAATAACCGAAGACCAATATGGGGAGCCGTCGTTGAGTTCCGCAATGAAGGATGCAGCAGATGCAGCAAATGCAGGCGCGGTTGACGCAACTAAAGTTGCAGCGCTGGAAACAAAACCACGAGATGACAAAGACGTGCTTGCTGCAGCTGTAAGTGACGCTGAAGACGCAGTCGCGGTGCAAGCAAGAGATGTCGAGAGCGGCAGATTCGTGGAGACCGTAGAAGCGACGGATGCGGACGCATGTGAGGCTGAGGACGCGGCAACCGTGGGTGCAACGGTCGCCGACAGAGCAGACGTGGCGAGCCCAAGCGACGCAGCCGATTCAGAGGCAATGGCGGTGACAGGCGCAGCTCTGGTTAATGCTTTTGAGACAGCCGAGGCAGAGGCGGTGGCAGCAGCCGAGGCAGAGGCGGTGGCATAGGCGGCGGCTACTGATGCAATTGACGCAGATCGGGCTAATGCAGATCTGGCTGAGGCACCCGAAGCAGCTGATGCAGATCTGGTCGAAGCGGCCGAAGCGGCCGATGCAGAGGCGATTGACGCACCCGACGCAGTTCGCGTGGACGCGACTGAAGCAGCCGAGGCGATGGATGCCTTGGTCGCTGCTGACGCAACGAACGCAACTGATGCAGATCTGGTCGAAGCGGTCGAAGCAGCCGATGCAGAGGCGATTGACGCACCCGACGCAGATCTGGCTGAGGCAATCGAGGCTGCCGATGCAGAGCGCGTTGAGGCGACTGACGCAGACCGCTTGGACGCAATCGAGGCAGCCGAAGCAGAACGCGTGGCTGCGCCAGAGCCAGGACCGTACGGGGCGCCTCCTGGGAAGGCTTCCTGGCCAAGCGTTCCCACCAGGTCATACGACATTAGCTTGTAAGAGTTGTAGTGATGGGTGGCAAAACCTGCAAACTTGGCAGAGCTGCGGTACGTGGGATAGACGTTCTGGAACAGCTTCTCGATGTGGCCGTAGCCCTCCTGCCAGAACGACGACTTGTCGGGAGCATAAGGGGGCATGATGGTCTCTGCTCCAAAGAGAAGCGGCAGTTTGGAGTTTTTCAAATTCTGAACCAGGCCACCAATGCCGTCCTCGCCATTAATGAAGCTGGCTTGGTCGTCGTAGTAGTTCATGATGGCGACGTAGTCGTGGACCTTCTGGGACATGATGTCGCCCCAGAGATCGGTCGCATGGTAGCTATAGTCGTCACCAAAGTCGCCAGCAAGAGTGACCTTGGGATCTTGTGCGGTAATGCTGGCGCGGCAGGAGGCATAGACCTCCATAATGTTGTCCTCGAGGTTGTCGTTGTACTCGTCCTTGCCGGCGCCTGTGTTCTGGCGCCAAATGGCACCCAGCGTGTGCGGCTCAATGTCGAGGTGGATGCCGTCAAAGTCGTCTTCCTGCGTCGTCGTGCCAGTGTTAAAGCTCAGCACCGTGTTGCACAACGCCTTGGCGACGGCCTTGCCGCCATCCTGGGCCCAAGTGTTCTGGCCATCGAGGTACTCGACAGCAATGCCTCGGAGGTGCGCCTGAGAGATAAAATACCGCAGCGCAGCTTGGTCTGTGACGAGCGCTGCCGCGCCAGGAGACAGGAGAATGCGATTGTAGGCGTATTCGGTGTGGCCGAACGGCCGTTGGAAAAAGTCCAGGAACGGTGCCACGTTTTCCTTGACCTGAAGCGTCGACCAGGATTCCCACACCCACATTGCGCGAGTCGTAGCAGTTGGCATCTTTTTCTGGGAGGCGCTCGAGTACGCCGCCAGAGCACTGGTCGTCGCGGCCAACAAAATCGCAGCCACAAAGCAAGCCGCGGTCGCATTGTGTAGCAAGGTGCGGCGGGACCGCGGCATCACAACAAGTTGTTTTGACCTGTTGTAAAATCAAAAGTCCAATGGTCGATCAATACCATAAAAGTTCGTTACAGTAAGTTCCAGAAGCCACACGACAAAAACCGCAGCGATTGCTTGGCTCTCGCGCGAGCCGCGTCGAGGCAACTCCGCCGGCATCAGAAAGGGCGACATGTCATGCGCACCATGAACGAGCAAGAGCACCTACCGAATAGGTTGAATGGCGAGCAATCGAAGGAGGTGTTCTTCCCAGATTCTTCAGCGCGCGCAAAATGACTGAGTGCAGCGAATTTTGGTCGCTCGAGCGCGCCAGTAAATTGTAAAATCCGTTTGAAAACGAGAACAATCACACACAGGGAGCTGGACTCCGTGATAGTGTCTGTGGATGATCGGGACAGAGTGCACTGACACCTTGATGATTTTGATGATTATCTCGCACGCGGAACGTGTTGACGTCCGTGGAGACACCTGTCGACACCACCAAGCTCAATCCAATCAGCGTGTGGTGTTTTGCTTTGACAGGCGGCTTGGTGTTTTGCCTGCAGTGCATGACGCAGAGCTCGCCTTGGGAGAGCGCGGTCAAAAGTGACCCATCGCCCCCTCCCCCCGGCCTCTTCCGCCCCCTCCCTCCTGCCGTTAATGCTCTGAGAGGACAAGCCCATTAAAGGAGGAGATGGAGGGGGCTGGCTAAATCGAATTGCCCCCTGGCGCGGTTTGGAAGGGTGACACCCGACTTGTCCCAGTAAGCCGTCCAGCTCGCCACCACCCCCGCTTCCGCCCCCTCCTTGTCCATCCTTTCATGAAGAGACTTTTGCTCGCCTTCCAGTGGCTCTCTCCTTCTTGCCAAAACGCTGCCGAGACACGAGCCATCTGCCACGGCCTGAAGTCTCGCTCAAAGACCAGACTCGCGTCTCGCCCGCCCCTTTGGCAAGCATAACAGGACGTGTGATCTGGCAACACATGTGCCGATGGGGCCAGGGTGTTTGGACCAATCGCCTCGCTGCTTGCCCACCTACCTACAAACAGGCTGCCCTCTTGCTCAACAGATCAGCCAAACCGGCAGCGATACACAGCCACCCCGCTGTGACCAACCACGCAACAGCTTCAACTCGAATCCCCAAAAAAATCGCTCCCGGCACAACAATCGTCCCCTCGACTGATTGACTCGAATTCGAATCAACAGAGCAAAGGAGGCGGTTGACAACACACAAAAAAAAAAAACCAACAACACAACAAATTAGTCAATTTGGACACGTCTTGGCCTTGTCCTACCGCGACAACACCTTTTATATTAAGGAGGTGCCGCTTGGCGATCGCGCACAAAGAGGAACAGCACCGCCAGAAGCAAGGATGGCGAAACAAAGAAGCCGCACCTCTCGATTCTGCTTTAAAAGCCGCCCGCAGCCAGCTCCGACAAGATCACTTCTCTTTTTTTTTTCTGCTGTCTGCAAAACTCTCGATTCTTTCTCAAACCTCAGCACCCAACCAGCGATGCGTTCTCGTCAATCCCGTCTTGGGACTGGTCTGCTCGCCGTTGCGCTCGTGCTGGTTGTCATTTCTACTGCTCAACCCGCGAATGGCCTGCCCGTTGTCTCCGACCTCCTGTCTTTGCTTGGCCTTGGCGGCGGCAAACAACCTTCTCAAGGCTCTCAACCTGCTGGCGGACTGCCCATCGTCTCCGACCTCTTGTCTTTGCTTGGACTTGGCGGCAAGCGACCCTCGCAATCCACTGTGATTGGTTGCAAGCCTCAGAACTGCTCGGCCATTCGTGAACCTTTCGAGACGCTCTGTGATGGGTAAGTGTGTTGTGTTTTTGGCTCTGGTCTGCTTGGGTGCGAGCAAGTCTATTGTGTTGTTTTTTGGGAAGCCGTCCAAAACCACCTTCCTTAGTTTTTGTTTGCTCGCTTACTCAGTTGCACCTTTGTTTTTGTTTTTGTCTGCGGTCTTGACTGTTTTTGCCATGTCGCTCCCCTGCAACATCCAGACTTGATAACGACTGCGACGGCAACATTGACCTGCTCCTGCCGGTTCCCGAAAATGTGTGCAACACGGGTCTGAAGGGTGTTTGCGCCACGGGCTATGCTCAGTGCCACCCGGATCGCTCGGGCGTGAAGCTGTGCCTCGGCCCATCCCCGCGCCCAGAGACGTACAACGGACTGGACGACGATTGCGACGGTATTGTGGACAACGTCAAGCCGATCGTTGCTGCTGGCATCAGCGCCCGCATTGCGCTCTTTGCTTTCGATGGCGTCGACCCCAGCAGCCCGTCTGGCTACCGAATGGTGCTCGACCAGCGCGGTCTGCCGTACGACCTGATTTCTGGCACTGCCGCCATCGATCTTGCTCTTGTGTCGTTGCGCGCCAAGTACTCCCTCGTCATTCTGCCTCCTGGATGGACTTCCGCCTGGCTGACCAACACTCGCCGCGCCTATCTCGAGCTGTTTGCGAACGCTGGCGGCATTGTGTTTGCCTTTTTGCCCGACAACGGCGCCACGGCCAATGCGTTCTGCGGTCTTTCCTCTGCAGCCGTCTCGACGTCCGTCACCTACATGCGCACGTCGTCGACGTCTTCCTCTGCTGGTGCGGCAATCCTTGCGCACCTCGACACCTTTGAGGAGACCAACCTTCTTATCAATGCCTTCACTGGAGCTGGCGATTCACAAGTCCTGCACGCGTCTGTCGTCCTCAATCCAATCCTCGGCGTGAATGTGCTCATGAACGTCTTTACGGGCGCTTCTGGCAACTCGCTCCTCGGCGCAGGCCTCACCCGTCGTACCGTCGGAAGCGGCGCCATCTACGCGTTCGGCCACGACATGATCTTCTTCCTCGGGCTACAAGTGCTACATTAACTGCTTTGAACCCTCGCTCGACGTTCTCGGTCTCATGCTCCTTGACGGCCTGCACGAAGGCTGCCAGGGCCACTCGGTCTTCAAGCACACCATTCCTGGTGGCCTGGACTCGGCGCTGCTGTTCACGACCGACACCCACGACATGTCCGACACGGTGACCAAGTTCCTCGCCAACGTAACTGCTCCGTACAACGATGGCGCGCCTGCTCCGCGCATTTCCTTCTTCTCGGTGACCAGCACAGAGGACAACAATCAAACCCCGCTGACCCTGATGTGCAATGCAGGCCAGTGCCCCATCGGCGGCCACACGGTCAACCATGTGCTCAACTTTAACGCCCTTCCTGCCGGCTCCAATCGCGAGTCCCTCGCTGGCGGCTACACTGGACTGACCGGCAACAACAATGCAACGATGGCTGGTGAGCTCCGTGTGAATGCTGAAATTATCAAGCGCGCGACTGGCTCTGACGTGCGTCTGCTGCGCGCGCCCTGGCTCATGCTCAACACTGGCATGGTCCCGCAGATGGTGAACATGAGCATGGTTGCTTCGTCGTCCCTGGCTATTGGCGATCTGAAGTCGAATCTGCCCGTCGACTTGGAGCTCTACCCGTACCTGGCTTGGTGGAGCCAAAACCACCGTCTTCTCGAGTTCCCTCTCTCTTCGGAAGACGGCTGTGTGGTCGACAACGTGCGTTACGACGTCCAGGCTGCAAACACCCTGTGGTTCCGCACACGTTGGTCGTACAACATGCTCCAGAACAAGCGCAACAATGCCTACACTGTGCTGCTCGACCACGATGGCTGGGGCGATGGCCCGCGCAACGAAGACATCCTGGCCAGCAAGCGTGCCATTGGTCGTTTCATCTTTTCCTTTGCGGCGCAGCACAACATTCGCCGCAACATTGGCCTTGAGGCTGTCAGTGACTGGTGGCGTGCTCGCCAAGCCATCGATGTGACGTCCACCTTCATCGCGACTGTTGGCACCCCGCGCTACGAAGGCCGTATTCTCAGTGCGGCGGCGGTGATTACGCTCGACCTGGCGCTCGAGTTTGGCGACACTATTTCGAGCTTTACTTGTGCCAAGTGCGGAGCATTCACCATCCTGGGCAACCGCGTCATCATTGCCAGTCTCGCGGCTTTCATCCAGGCTGACTTTATTGCCACTTGCCATGTCGGCTCGGCCCCTTCCGCCTCCGTCTCCGCCCCTGCCTCTGCCTCTGCCACTGCCTCTGCCTCTGCTACAACCGCACCTTGCACGACCACGACCATTCCCCCGCTGGTGGTCAACAGCTTTACCAACGAGTGTGTCTCGCCGAACGATCTTGGCTTTGTGGCCGGCGACGATGGCACTGCAGAATCCATTTCTGTGGCTGGCGGTGTCCTGACCTTGACCGCGGCTACATCCCGCCCGTCCAACACGTACTTTTACACGCTGCTGACCAACACGAGCGCGGGCGTGGCGGACTGCTTTGATGCATCCCAGTACTCTGCCATCAGCTTCCGTGTGAAGGCGCCCCGCGGCACGAGCATTGCCCTCGGAGTGCAAGTCCGCGACGATGCTTGCGTTGCCCGCCAAGCAGATCTCGATGCCTACATCTCCATTGATCCCTTCGTCAATGCTGACGCGCTGCCCGGCGGCACGATTGTCAACATTCCCCTGTCGGCCTTCTCCTGCGTGATTGACGTGCGCAAGCTCCATGCCATTTCGTTCCTGTTGCCCCCGTCGTGCGTGACTGTGGAGCTGGACAGCATCATGTTCGTGTCCTGGCCTGCACCTTGCTCGCAATCCGCTCTCGTGGCGTCTCCGTCTGCAACTGCCACCGCTGCCCGCGCGACGTCCGCTTCCAGCACTGCCGTTGCCACCCCTGCTCACCCGCCTCGCCCGAAGCCGTACCCGCTCATTCTGTTCCAGCTTGGTCTGTCGGCCTCCTTCTTCAAAAACTCTGCTGGTTATGACTGCTCGGACGACGACACGATGCAAACGGCGGCCGTCTACATCAACCTGTTCCTCTTCCCGAAGAACGCGCACAGCCATTACTACTCTGCAGTGGCCCCGGCTGGCCAGTGTGGCAACCTCAGCAAGTACAAGTTTGTCGAGATTGAGCTCAAGGCCAGTCCGTTCGCCCTGATCTCCATCGAGGCGCACTCTGTCTCCGCCTGCCTCTCGGCCAACGTGAACTTGGCCACCGGCTTCACAAAGAGCGTTGCCGTGTCCCTGAACGCGTATGCCTCCTTCAAGCTGTTTGGAACCACCAAGGTGGTCATTCCGCTGAGCGCCTTTGGCCCTTCGACCAACTGGGACCAAGTTTTCCGCCTTTCTCTCACCGGCATGAGTCAGTTCCTGACGACCATCACGGACTGGCGCCTGGTTGCCTAAGCGGCATGGTGCCTGAGTTTTTTTGGTTGGAGCGGGATCTTTGGTGTTTTGCTGCTGCTGCTGCTGCTGTTGTTTGTTTTTTTGGGTTGTCTGATATTATTTTTTTGCTTTTTGCCTTGCGCTGTCTGTGGCTCGGGCGTTGCACATTTACTCGATGTTGTCTCTTGTTGTTCTGGGTGTTTTTTTTTTTTTTTTTTAACACATGCCAATATGCTTGTGTCGTTTTCGTTGTTGTTGTTTCATTACAAATACAGCCTACCCCCATTCTGATCGTCACCGTTTCTGTATTTCGCTTGGATGGTTTTCTGCGTTTTTGGTTGTTGCCTTGTTGGTGGCGGTCTGTGGAGTGTTTGATTCTTTGCTTTGATTGCTCATCGTGGTGTTGGATTGTTTGTCCGCAATCGATGGTCGCCGATTTTCGCACATCTTAGAAACGCAGCTGCAAAATGCGAATCACTCTTCCTTTTTTCTTGATCGGTTTTTTTGATCTGGTGAGCATTGTGGTGAGTGCAAAAACCCCGTCATCTTCAACGCGCCCGCACGAGCCACCCATTGATTCATTCATGCACATTGAGCACGTTGTCATTTTGGGTTGGCGATGTGCGCTCCAGTGCCCAGTACGAGAGAGAGAGTGAGAGAGCGGCAATGGATGGTTTTGCCGCGCGATTCGCTTCGATTTTTCCTTTTCTTTCTTTTCTCTTTTGATGCGTGTTGGCTTGGCTTGTCGACAGTGTGCGTCACTCTGTTGCGCTTCCGGTTGTGAAAGCGAGTGTCGTTTGCTGCTGCTCTTGCTTGCCGTGGTCGGCGCAGTGGTTGTTGCTTGAGAGGGACGAGGACGGTTGCCGCTCCCCATTCTCATTGCCGCTCGCTCTCACACAGTCCCTTCCTCTTCCCTCCCCCCGCCTTCGTCTGTTCCATCCCTTTGCTCGCTCTTGCGCTGTGGCTGCGTCGCCCCTGTGCTCTCTCTCTTTCTCTCTCTCTCTCTCGCTCTCGCTCTGTCTTGTCGTGTGTCAGTGGCTGCTTCTCAACACAACTGTCACGCTGTCACATCCCTTTTGTTTCTCGCTGCTTTTCACCATTCCCCCTTCCCTTCGCCTCCGCTTCTTGCTCTCACTCTTCTCACTCTCGCTTCTCCACACAAAAGGTCTCGCTGAACAAACTTGACATTGTCTTAAAAGCGACGCACATTCAAAAAAGGCCAGCAAATGAAAAAAGGGCTCAACAGAAAAAAAAACAAACAAATACAAAACAAAACAAAAACAAATAAAACCCCTTAACCGCAAAACAACCCATTTCAAGCCATGAGACGACTTTTGTGCTTTTTGTTGCTGTTGTTGTGATGCGAACGACACACAAAAACAAAGACAAGTTAGAGCGAAAGAGGGAGGGAGGGAGGGAGGGAGTGAGGGTTGGGGGATCAAAGTGCGAACATGGGCCATGGCGCAGTAAAGTCACGCTGCGGAAGAGAGAGAGCGAGACCAAATTCGCCCCGACGAAGAGAAAGCGATCGACGAGGATGCAAAAAAACACGACGACGCTGGTGGGCTCTGTGCGTGTGTGACACAGTGTGCTTGTTACTGCGAGTGAGTGTGTGTGCGTGGCAGGAGCAGAGCGAGCAGGGCGATGGCTGGAAAAAAACGAGCACGCCTTCTCATCGGGGCTGTCATTTTCGATCTGCCTCTGTTCTTGGACTGTGGGGGTCGTTCAAAGTCGAGGTACGACGGTGGAGTGCTCATGCTCATGGATGCCAAGTCCATGAATGAGGGGAGTTGAGCTGGATCAGCGCACCAGTTGTGAGTGTTGACCTCCTCAAAAACAAAACTCAAAACTGTGAGTCACCTGCCTTTGGACTGCTCGCTTGACTTGCAGCCGGTGCGGTGCGTGCACTTCTGCATCCTCGTGAGTTGCGCGCATTTAGGTGCTGTGTGTGTTCAAGGGGAAGAGCGGATGTCCTCTTCCGTTGACGTCTTCATCTTCAGTTGACGATTTCCGCTTTCTTCATCTTGTTCTTTCTCTCCTTGGTTGATTGTTTTATCATCATCATCATCATCATCATCATCATCATCATCATCATCATCATCATCATCATCATCATCATCATCATCATCATCACCACCACATCACCTTCTTCTTCTTCTTGTTCATCTTGTTCTCTGTTTGTTCAGTCTTCTCTTTTGGTCACTTTCACTTTTTCGGTTGTTATGTTTGGCTGAAGACTATTGCTTTTTCGTTGTTTTTGGTTGTATCTCTTTGTTTGATCTCCCGCTTCTTTCCCTCCTCTCACTCGCTCACTCATTCTCACTCACTCTCACCCCGCACTCATGCCTCCTTCACCCATGAACCACGACTCCAAAGCGAGAAAGGGGGCAGGGGGAGGGGGGTCACGTCCGATCGCCTGTCCTGTTTGTTTGTTTGATGTTGTTTTTTTATGCGGTTTTTTTATCGTGTGTGCCACCCTCTCTCGCTCTCTCCCCCTTGTCTGTCTCTATATCTCATCCATATCCCCCTACTCCTCTCCACTTCACTTGCGCTCTTTTGTTGCTATGTCTCTCTCTCTCTCTTTCTCTCTCTCCCTCGTGCGTGATCGTCAAGTCTGTCATCAAATCACACTCTTGAAACCACACTCGCTTTATCACCCACGCACGCCCCACTCTCTGCTCCCTCTCCTCCCTCTCCTCCCCCTCTCCTCCCCCTCTCCTCCCTTTTTGCTTGTTTGTGCCTCTGCTGTTTCCACTCACTCTGGCTGTGCTCCTGTTATTGCTGCTCACTCTTTGTCTCGCTCTTGTCTTTTCTAAAACAGTCACCACCGCAAAAACAACAGCAGACCACAAAAAACCAAACACAAATCAAAAACCCAACAAAACCGCGCCAACCCAACGTCAAACTCAAAAGCTCAAGTCTCCAAGAAAAGCGACTCAACTCAAACAAGCGTCCAAGAAACAAACCGCATCTCATAAACTCAAAACACACACACACACAAAACAAAAAACCATGGTCTACTCGGCAACAACGCGCACGCCGCAGCAACAGGAAAAGCTCAAGGACGCGGCCATGCGCATGCTCGCCGGCCTCGACATCAAGGACCGCAAGTTCCGATTCCGCACCCACAAGCAGTGCTTTGTCGGCCGCGAGGCAGTCGTCTACATGACCTCCAAGGGCCTCGCTGCCAACGAGGACGAGGCCGTCGACATGGGCCAGGCGCTCCTCGAGGACGGCGTCTTCCACCACGTCACGCGCGAGGCTGGCTTCAGAAACGACTTTCTCTACTACCGCTTTGCCGCCCACGAAGAAACAGCGCACGCGTCGCCAGCAGCGTCCCCAGCAGGAAACAATAGCGGCGGCGGCGGCAGCAATCTGTCCAACCCATCATCCACCACGGAGATTGCCTCGCTCGAAGACCGCCAGTTTGGCACCGTCCTCGCCTCGATGAAGTGGTCGCAGTACGCCCTCACCATTGGCGCCCTCTCCCCCATCTGCCTCAAGGTCTTCAAGACGGGCTCCAACGACCACCTCGTGCGGGAAACAAAGCGCGCCCTCGTCACCCTGACCAGCCTGCTCGTCGACGACGTGCACGTCAAAAACCGCCGCCTCGGCACCAAGTTTGCCAAGGCGTGCATCCGCACCGTGCTCGGACGCGAGGTGATTGCATGGCTCATTGCCCGCGCGATTGCCGAGGACGAGCTGCACGCCACACAGATTGCCACGCTCATGCTCCGCGAAAAGCTGCTGGCCCCGATCACGGCTGGCGAAAAGGAAGTGCCCGCGTCCGCCGCTGACGGCAACTTCCGCTCCGACATTAACGCCTACTACCGCTTCTTTGTGCACGAAAAGCCGACCGAGCTGGTCGACAGCATTGCCAGCAGTCTGGGCGGCCTGGGCGAGGCCATCTTGCTGCGTCTGCGCGACCAAGTCACGGCCACCAAGATGCCCAAGGAAGGCATTGTCAACTTGCGCATTGTGGCCGCCAACATGCACCGAGAAATCAACATTCACGACCGCCGGTGGCGACTCCGCACGCACCGCCGCTGCTTCCTCGGCTGCGAGGCTGTCGCCTGGTTGGTGACGGAAGGTGTCGTTGACGACGAAAAGCTCGCCATTCGTGTTGGCCAAGCCATGATGGACGCCGGCATCATTGAGCACGTGTCCAAGAGCGAGCCGTTTGACAACTCGCGCGTGCTCTATCGGTTTTCCGCCGACGTCGACCGAGCGGCCGCCGAACATCACCAACAGCAGCAGCAGCAGCAGCAGCATGACGACGGTGACGCCTTGGAGGACGCTGGTGAGACCCCGCAATGGGTGCGCGACCTCTCGCCTCTCAACCTCGAGCACGTCACGGTCGCCCCCGGCGTGCCTGCCAGCACCATCCCCGGCCTGGTGCGCCAGTCCCTTGGTGTCGGCGCAAAGTATCTCAAGGCCAACCTGCCAACCAAAAACCGCTCGTACCGCTTCAAGACGTACAAGAATGTGTTTTTCGGCAAGGAGCTCGTCGCCAAGCTCATCGACGACGGTGTCGCCGAGAGCGAAGCGCACGCAGTCAAGATTTCCGAGCTGCTCGTCATGGACGGGCACGTGTGCAGCGTTGCGCCTGAAATCAACTCCTTCCGCAACGACAAGATCCCCTTCCGGTTTGCACAGGATGCCTCGGACGAGATCTTGCAAGACGACCTCGACGCCCTGAACGGCTCGAACGTCATTGCGGGCATGGCCGGTATGACCGAGTCCAATTCCTTCAGCGACCTCGACCACGACTTTGACCAGTCTCCCTCCAGCACTGGCACCAGCACTCCCAAAAATCTGGAGCGATCCTCGGGCTCAGTGTCATCTACCAACTCGCCCCAGCTGACTGGCAAGGAGCAGTCCAACATTTTCCGCGAATTGATTTGCAACCCGACCCAGCTGCGTGCCTTCCAACGCTTCCTCAAGAAGGATTTCAGCGACGAGCACATCAAGTTCTGGCTCGCGGTCGAGTGTCTGCGCGTGGTCGAGGCCAACGCCGTGAGCGTCTTTGCACACCTCATCTACGACGAGCATGTCGCGCCCGGTGCTCCCCACGAAGTGAACATTGACTCCAAGGTGCGAAATGCCGTCACCCCTCGCATGACCGCGCCCACTCGCGAAGTCTTTGACGAGGCGCAAAAGGCCGTCTTTTTCCTGATGCGCAAAATGTCCTACCCCCGTTTCTTGGAGTCCGAGCACTATGGCGAGCTCATGCGCACCATGCGAACGGATCGCATCACCTTTGCCTGGATTTGAGCGGTTGATTCGCTCGCTTCTGGTCTGTTTTTTGTTTTTTTCTGGCTTGCGTGTTTTTTCTGTGTTTTGTGTTCTTCTCTGGAGCGTATGAGTGTTGCGCTCCACGTGCATGCTTGTTTCTGTTTCTGTTTGTGTCGTGCTGCCTGGTTGCAGTACCTTTGTTTTTTTGGGGAGCGTGTGCTTGTATGCAAATACATGTTTATCGAACTCGATCACTTCACAGTTGTGCAATATTTGCAAAGAAAAAAAAGTTGAATATCAAAATCAACAGCTTGATCTATTCACAACAAAAACATCAACACAAATCGCCTGCCAGATTATTAATGCGCGACAGAGAAACCTTGAACAGTGTCCCAGAAATCGCACTTTTGCTGCAGCAGCTGCGTGCCCGTGGACGGCGGGACGTCAAGAGCAAGATGGATGTCGTTGGCGCGCGTGAATGCCGGCCAGTCGGGATTGTACGTGGCATTGTTCCACTTGGCGTTGGGCGAGCCAACCTTGGGCATGTTGGTCCAATAGGTGCCAAACGTGGAGGCCATCTGGGAGTCCTTTGCGTTAAACTTGTGAATGTCGGCAGGGACTTGGTTGTCCCAGACAAAGTACAGCTCGGAAGCGTGGTAATCGCCCAGGAGCCATCCGTCAATGAAATTGTCCTTGTACACGTACTGATACAAGTGGACGGACACGTTGTAGTCGCTGAACGTGCGCGCAATGCGCCGGGCGTCGCAGGAGAAGAAGAAATCGGTCAGAATGCGCGTCGCGCGTTGGTCGTTGCTCGTGTAATCGCTCTTGGGGTACATGGCCTCGGCCTGGTCGGCGGTTGTCTCGTTGAAAAAGTGGAGCATGATTTCTTGGAATCCCGCATCGGTGAGCGGGAATGGCACGCCGTGCTCAATGATGGGAGCGAAGGGCACGAAAATGACGCCTTCGTTCGCATTGGTGCCAATGATGAGCGGCACCTTGGCGAAATCACCGCGCGTCATCATGCTCAACGGCAGGTCGGGCAGACCGTTGTCAGAGCCGTCCATGACTGGGCCCCACGGGAAGCTGGTCAAAGGAAAAAAAGTTTGCATCAGTCAGTCAGTGCTTTTGTCTTGTTTTTTTTTTTTTGTTTTTTGTTTTGGAAAAGCAAATCAATCTACAACCAAACAAAGACATGTCGCAAGGGGGTTACATTGGTGCAAGCGTGGGCAGGATTCCGAGGGCGCGAGGAGCTTGGTTGGCCCCCTCGAAGGAGGTTGGCGGGAAGTTGATGTGGTTGGGCCAATCCGGGCCAAACCTGTCATGTCAGCAGCGGGTCACGCCAAGTCAAAGTCAGCTCCAGTCAAAACACAATTTGATTCAACTTGCTGCCCAATCACCAATAATCTCAAAAAACAAAGAATAGCCTGCCACAGCCTCCCTCACCAGGACAAAAGACCAGTCATGATATCGGTGGCTGGGGTAGTGCGCAAGCACTTGAGATATTCGGCAGCAGTTTGCTGCGTCGCGTTGCAACCAAACGTGGCAGTGTAAATCTCGCCAAACGATTCCGCAAAGTCGAGCGTCTGGAAAAAGAATGTGTTGGAGCAAGTGCCCGACTCCATGATTGCAGAGGCAAACAGACCACGCGAGGCAGGCGACGCCAGGTGGAAGCAGACCGAAAAGGCGCCTGCGCTCTCGCCAAAGATGGTGATTTGGTCCTTGTTGCCGTTGAAATTGGCAATGTTTGCGCGCGTCCACTGCAAGGCCAAACGCTGATCCAGCAGACCAAAGTTGCCCGTCGAGTGTTGCGGGTCGGTCGCTTGCAGGATGCTGTTCGCGAGGAAGCCAAACACGTTCACGCGGTAGTTTGCTGCGACAATCTGCGGTTGGGGGGGGGGATGCAGTGAGTAATCCGTCCAACGAAATGCTCTTTTTTGTTTTTTGCAGCTGGGCATCCAGACTTACAATCACATTGTTATTGTAAGACATGTTGATTCCATTGTACAGGCCCAGCTCAAACTTGTCACCGAAGGCGTATCTGGCAACGACCAAAAAAAAACCAGCGTGCTCATCATCAGTCAATCTTAAAAGCGCACGCACAGCAGCTGCCAAAAAGGCTCAGAAACATGTTGATTTTGCATACCCGCCTCCGTAGATCCAAAACATCTGCGCAGCGTCAAGATCAACGACTAGGGGTGAGCGCCCGTTCGATGAATGCAAAACAAACAACAAACAGAGAACAAGGTGCAAAACTGACCACTGGCAGCTGAGTCGCAGAAGCCTGGGCCCCGGGTGGCATGTAAATGTCGAGGTACAGACAGTCTTCTTGGCCCATGATGTCAAAGATGTCGAGGCGGATTTGCGGGCACATGAGCGTGGTTGTATTCTGCACAGAAACCAAAAAACGCGGATTTGTGAGTGCAATTTCAAGACAGGATGATCATGACAAAAGTTTGTTTTTGTTGCTTCTTGTCGTACAGATGTGCAGTCGATCGGATCCGTCCAGTTGCGTTGCAATGCCAGTGGCGATGCAAAGCGAAGCTCGCCGAGCGGCGGCTCTGCGAATGGGATGCCTGTGAGCAAGCGAGTACGCAGAGTGAGCCAATTTTTTTTCTTGGTTTGCAGCACATTTTCAGCATATCAGAATATCTCAAAGTCAAGGTTTGATTGTGATGTGTGATCAACAACATTAAACATTAGGATGCGAAATTATCACCATCATCGAGAAGCCGTGCGTGAGATCAAGTGACAGCTCTTTCATGTTTTTGCCCCCATTCCAGCTGCTCGTCAATCCACCCTCACCAAGCCTCGTCTCAGTCAGTCAGTCAGTCAGTCAGTGACAAAGCACGGCAACATCCGGAATCATCACATTCGGAAGTGAAATTTGAACTCGAGTTCCGTGCGGTTTATCCGAAGAATTGGCTTTCGATGTTGGTCGAATGAATAATGCTGCAGCCAGCCACCAGCCATCTCAGACAAGCACACTCACTCGGCCACTACACACCCAATCTCGCTCTCTACCTCTATATCTCTATCTCTCTCTCTCTCTCTCTCTCGCTATCTCCACGTCTCCGTTGACCGCAACATCGCCAAGACGGGAAAATTGGCAGCATAGTTTTAATTTGGGCTGAAGTTCGCAAGCTTTTTTTAAATAAGCTACTTTGAACTCAAGCTCAGATCACTGCGCAACAACACGAGTGCGTGTGCAACCGAGTGGATGTGTGTGTGCTTAGGCGTGTGATGGTAGTGGTGGTGGAGGATCAGCAGGAGCGGAAAAATGGACCGCCGACGGAGAGAGAGAGAGGTGTGTACCGTGGAAACTGGTGACGCCGTTCGAGTGCACATTGCCTTTGACCGGGCCGCTCTTGGTCTGGATGACCACAGTGCCATCGGCATGCGCAATGGTCGCGATGGCGAGCAACACTGTCGCAGCCGCAAGTGCAGCGGAAGCAACACGGTTGCCCAGTCGCAGCATGGATGGAGATTTTGTAAAGCGAAAGACTGCGAAAGACTGCGCTCTGTCCAATTCCAAACACGGTCGACAAATGCCGACAGTGTGTGAAAATCCCGAAGGGCTATGAGACTGCAACGGTGTGAGGAACTGTCGCCTAGGAGGCCATCCACGAATGTCAACTCACACAAACGATGGACAACGGGAACGGGGAAAAAAAAGCAACAGTTTGGGAAGTGCAAGATTGCAATTTGGAACATCAGACACCAGCCAAAAATAACAGCCGCTGCAGTGCGGCGCATATGAACAATTGGGAAACGGATCAAGACAGATCAAATAGCATGGGGGGGGGGGAAACAAAAACAAATGGCACAGCGAGTTTCAACCAACAACCGAAACATCTGCGAGTCACGCCAAACACACGAAAAAAGCACGAAAAAATAATAATTACAAATCATCGTCGCTTGTCCATCTCGTCGAGCATGGTCAGGAAGCGTGCCTTGAGCTTCTTGTTTTGATTTGGGAGAATGGCGCAGTTGACAAGACTGGCGACTTGGGGAATGGAGTACTCAAAGTGCGTGCGAATCCACTCCTCCATTTCCTTCTCGTTCGCGAGGTAGTACGCGCGAATGTAGTTCTCGACGTAGAGCGTGTTGGGAATGGGGCGCACGGCAGTGATGCGCTCAATCAGCTGCAAGAAAGTCCGGAAATCCAGCTGCATGAGCGCGCGGCCTTCGGTCGAGCAGCGCTTGACGCGAGCAAAGCCTTCGACAAAGGCGTCCATGGTTTTGAGAAGCAACTCTTCCCACAGCAGGCGCTGGCTGGCCGCCGGCACGCGCGATCTGACGACATGATGAGCATGCATCAGAAAGTGAGCTCGACGGCACACAAGACAACCCAAAAGCAACCACTCAGAAAAAACGACCAACATACCGGCCCAGGTCGGACAGACGGCTGCTGAATGCGGAAAACCAAGAGACCAGTTGGTCAATGTAGTTGTTGTGTGCGTGTGGCATGTCCTTAAAGTCTCCCCACTTGACCGCCTCAATGTTGCGCAGGAGCTGTTCAAAAGAAAAAGAAAAACAGACGCGTTAGAGCTTGCGTACTTTCATGCCGCGAAGGCCAGGCATGAATCAGCTCAAAACTCACCTTTCCAAAATCAATCACACGGCCACCAATGTTCTGATAGACCAGAATGTGCAGATCAGGCACAACGTCGACGGTTTGGGCGTAGAACTGGGTCAAGAAGGACGAGTGTGCCTGTGGAATCGTGCTTTGCAGCTTGGGCTGGAGAAAAAGTACATCAACACATCCAAAATATGGTGAGCCAAAATGAAAAACCGCGGTTCAGCTGAATCTTGCTTCTTCACCCTTACCTTGAGCTTTTGCAGCACGGAATGAAGGTACATCAAAGACTCAATGCCAACTGTGCGCTCGGGAAGGCCGAACAGGGTAGCAGCATTGGCAAGCTCTTCAGTGACGTGCGGCTGGATGCTGGGAGGCGTAAATCCGCCCTCACGCAGCATGCCATCAAAGTCGCCAGGCTGCGGCGCAGGCACAGGGGTTCCCTGCGGTGTCTGAGCAGATGTCTGTTGTCCAGCACTCTGTGGGCCATTGGCGGGATGGTGCTGTCCAGGAGCGCCCGGCTGCGATGGTTGTCCCGGACCGCTTGGTTGGCCAGGCAACGCCGGATTTCCAGGGCCGTTCGCGGTGCGGTCTGCCATGCGTTGCAAACGTGTCAGCGTTGCCCTGAGCTTGGGAGACATACGCGTCTGTGCGATTTGGTTGAGCAGCTGACGTCCAAAAACAACAACAACGCAAAATAAAAAAAATAAAAATAAAAAGTCAGCGCAGCCATGCAAACGGCAAAGAACAAAAAAACCAAATCAAACTCACGCTGCCGCTGGTATCCACGCCAAACAAAAGGTAGACCGAGTACATGTAGTAGTCAAAGATTTGCGACATGCCCACCATGACATCAAACACGATCGGCTTGAGAACATCCATCATCTGGATGTAGCGGCCAATGACGCGCAGGTAGTTCAAGGTCGCCAGCGAGACAATCGGACCCGCCTCTTCAATGTCTTTCGCAGAGGATGCGGTGCGTGGGCGCGATTGGCTATTGCTGCTGGCGGCGGCCAAGGTGGACGAGATGGTACTGGCTGCGGTGGCCGACGGCGGAACCTTGCCGGAAGGAGGGGACAGCGGGGAGCCGTCGTTCTCGTCGATAAAGTCGCCCTTGAGGCGCTCATCCTCGTCGTCTTCGTCCTTGCTCTTGGCGGTCTTGAGCTTTGTCGCGGTCGAGCGCCGGCGAGCATCGGTCGGGTCGGGCTGTTGGCCGTCCTCGAGATCGACCATGCCAATGTCCTCTGCCTGGCGCGCAGCGTCACGAAGAACGGCCTCGAACGGGTTGGTCTTGCCGTTGGTGCTGTAGTTTTCGAAAAACTCCAAGCCAGCAAGCCCCGTCGAGTGCGTGGGTGCCGATTGCTTGCGAATGGCGTTGGCGCGCAGAAAGTAAAACTCCTTGAGATTGAGCGCCGAGAAGGAGGGATGCACCGGGCAACGGAACCACGACTCGTGCTCGAGCATGACGCGAAGATCGGCCATCTGCGAGCGGTGGAACTTGCCAAAGTACAGCGCGCTCTTCTGCTTGAGACTGTCCTTGAGGCTGGTCGAGCTGCCTTGACCTCCAAAGCCGTCGCCAATCTCAATGAGGCGATTGACAATGTCCAGCACTTGGATGAAGGACTCAAACTTGAACGAAGACAAGTCCTTTGCAAGCACAAAGAGAGACAGCTTGCGCTGAATGTCCTCCCACATGCTCCTGCGACCGTGCTCGAGCTTTTTCTTGAGATCGATGCCAAACGAGGGGCGATCGGCGCTCGCAGACGCTCCTCCGAGCGGTGGTGGGTTGGCAGCGTTCGAGCCGTCGAGCGTGGCGGTCGCAATGACAGGTGCACCTGTTGCGGCTGCTGCTGCTGCTGCCGAACTAGCCTCGGGAGCGACAGAGCCATTCGCGGGTGCCAGCTGGAACTGGTGGCGGGTGTGCCACTTTGCAATCGAGTGGTAATTGTACATGAGATTGCACATGGCCGTGCACAGATCGACCAGGCATGGCAAGTACGCTTTCTCGACCTCCAACAGCGAGCACAGCTCTTTGAACAACATCTTGTTGATGGGGCGGGAAGTAGCGTTCGAGCCAACGGATTGTTGCGCGTATCGCAGGGCGATGGCTTGCGAGTGGCTGTAAACATGGGGAAATTTCAAAAAAAAAAAAATTAAAAAAAAAATTAAAAAAATGGGCAAGCGTGAGCACAGCGTCACAGATGAGACCCAGATTGTGGCACACTTACTCGGCAACAGCCTCGGCAAAATGAATATGAACTTGATCAATGGCACGTTGCGACTTGCCGAGAAGCGAATACGCCGTGAGAACCTTCTCATAGGCCTGGACATCAAAGTCGTTGGCAACCTTCTTCAAAGCTTCGTCCAAACGATCCTGCAGATACGAGGTCGAAAAAATCGATGAGCAAACGAGGTTTGAGGCGAGGAAGAAAAAAAACCAGATCCACAGAAATCCCCAGAAAAACGCTCAGCAAGCAGACCAAATCCGCACCTCAATCTGCTCGTAGGTGTCCTTCAGTCGGTAGGACATGTCGGCAACACACGTAAACTGCTTGTGTGTCTGGGCAGTGTGCTGCATCTTTTGGCACAGCTCGATGGCGGTGGGGAAGTCGGAAGCCTCCAGGGCAACGTTGAGATCGCCAAAGGCGTTCTGCATGCCTTGGACAGCGGAAAGCGCCTTGAGCAACCCGGTGAGCGCGTGCAGCTTGCGGTGCTTGACGAGCACCTCCAGGCCGCTCTTGTTGACGCCATCGCTGGCGCGGGAGAGGTTGCGGCGGCCCGTGCGGCAAATGTAGGTTGTGAGCGCGAGCTCCTTCTGGAGCTCCGACACGCGGTGCAGCTCTTGCACGAACGACTTGTGGTTGTCCATGACGAGGGTGGAGAGGCGCGACGAGTAGATTTGCAAGCAGCGGAAGAGCTCGTCCTTTTGCGCCTGGATGACCTGCGTGTTGAGGTTTTCCGGCAGGTTTGTGGCAATGTGCTTGACAGCGTCAAAGTTTTTCTGCTCCAAGGTGAAGAAAGGGTGAGAATTGGTTAGCATTGGCATTGGCGCCGTTGCAAAGAGTGGCGTGTCTTCTTCACCACCCGACCCCATTCCGCTCCGCACTCCCCGATTGTTTCTCGATGGGTGTTTATTGCTGGCGAGTTCTCCCTTTGTCAAGTGCAGTCGGATGGAGACCACCGTTGTTGGAAAGGGGCGAACACAACGATTGAACAGTTTTTGGCTTCATCGCACTTTGACCAACGGGACGTCACCCGCTTAACCCCCCATTTCAAGATCATTCAAAGTCAAAATCCGAGCGGACAGCGACAAAGAACGAGCAAAAAAAGGCACTCTCAAAATCAACTCAATTCCAAGGTCAAAGAAAGGGGGGGGAAAAAAAAAAAAAAAAAAAAAAACCTGTTTGCTTTTGAACTGAATGGAGTTCAAAGCCAAAAGCCAAAAGCCAAAGCCAAGAGCCAAAAGCCACAGTGATTCGAGGATCGACCATCGTCGCAATCATCACACAGTTGCATTGCATTCAAAGCAACGAGCAGCTGGGCTTCAGGAGAGAGTGAGTGTGAGTGAGCGAGAGAGGGCGCACCTCGAAAAACACTGGCGGAAGCTTGGCGATGAGCGCTTCGTCGTCCACCGTCGGGGCGCGGGCCTTGCGCTCCATCGAGACCTGTGCTGCGACCATGGCAGACTGTTTGCCCACGATGCGAGGGGGTTGGAGAGCGGGTGGCGATGAGAGGCAGCACAGTGAGCTACAACAGCCATTCTTCCCAACCTCAACGCGCTTTTCAATTCCTGCTTGCCCCCCCCCCCGCTTCCCATCTGCATCCCGCATCGCACCTTGGTCGCCTGGGAGTGCTCAGAGTCTGCAGACTGCGACTGAGACAGCTGCGAGCGGGACTGCGAGTGCTCGCTGCTCATGCGAGGCGGACCACCGCCCGTGCCAAAGCCAACCCCGCCGCCACCAGGCGATCCGGGAATCTTGTCCACCGCGGTCGCCAGCCCGCGCTTCATCTTGTCGACAAACGACATTTATGGCGAGCAATGAGAAAAAGCGATGAATGAAAAGACGAGAGTCAAAAAAAAAAAAACAAGAAAAGGAAGAGTGAAATGATTTGGCAAAATGACGGCTCAGATTTGTTCAGATCGATCAGCGTGGTGCAGGATCAGAATATTCAAGTCAACACAATGGTCAAACCAGCAGCAAAAAAAAAAAACAAAAAAACTCACACACGAAGCGAAACAAATAAGAAAGCAAAGAGAAAGGAAACAAAAAAAAGAAGAGTTACAACAAGCAGTATTCCCGCGTGGTCTCCCACCGCAGTACTAACTACTCTCATGGTGGTTTAACTTCGCAGAGCGGAACGGGATGCGGTGCATTCCACCAGATATGGCCGTAACTGAAATACAGCACTTGGGCAATGGACTTGTGTTGAGATTGTGAGCAAGGGTTGGTGCACAAACAGGACCGACTACTTGGTCTTGTCCGCGGAAGCAGGCGCACGGAAGCGATAACGCGAAACCCCAATCAGAATGAGGACGCACGAGGCAAGGAAGGTGACTGCGCACAACTTGAGCGTCCCTTCGACGACCGACGAAACGGGCTCGCTGCGGCCGAGGTCGGGAAAGGCACCCGCCACCATGTCATGACCAATCCCGGTGAGCGCCATGATGCTGTACGCAATCGGATTCGTCCAGGTGCCGACCTGGAGCAGCACGAACGTCAACCACAGCAATCCGGGCGAGAGCTCCAGATACGGGAAGATGAATGCCACCGCAGCCGTCCACTCTGCCTGATGCGTGTACCTGTGATTGTGCCACATTGGAATAGATGGGTGAGCATGATTTGTCGGGTTTTTGTGCGTTTCCAAAGCGACCAGCATTGCGAATGTGTCTTGTTGTTGATGATTTAAATCTCTCTTAAGCAACAATCTCATGTCGGCTGGGTCCCCCCTGCACGCTCTGACTTGGACATGTGTGAATGAAACGCCGTCGGATGACGGGTGCAGCCATGAGTGAAGGGAGCGTGGCGCAATGACACGACCGGCGGCAATTTGACCTCCAAATTTCAAATTTCAAATTTCAAATTTCAAATTTCAACCTCAACGATGGACGTCCATCCGAATTGCTCTGCTGCTGCTGCTGCTGCTGCTGCTGCTGGTGGTGGTGGTGCGACTCACTGGTGATGGGTTCCACGGAACGCGGCGTAGCTCTTGATAAGCGACGGCTCGCCCTTGACTGGCGCCAGGAAGCACCAGACGCAGCCGACAACCATCTGGACGACGGCCAACGCGAACGTCCATCGCAGCAACTTGCTCTTGAGCTGATCGTTGTTTGCCATGATAGTGTTTTTGACTTTGAATGGGAGTTTTGATAAAAACAATAAACGACTGAGCAGCAAGCGACATTTTCACCCATCTGGACCAAGCTCAGATTACGCTCAGATCAGTTGGTCTTGTTCCACTCAGTTCCTCAACCCCCCTTTGTTTTCTCTATTTTTCATCTCGTCCCTCGTCTTCCCAGTTTTCAGCTCTCCATTGAGCTTTCCATTGATGTTTCCATTGAGTTTTCCATTGAGTTTTCCATTGATGTTTGCCCACTCTTTTTTTTTTTTTTTTCTTTCAAGCACATGCTGCTCAGTTCGCTGCGCGTCGCCCCGTCCGTCGTGTCTGCGGCGGTGGTCTCGCGCCCTGTCGCAGCCGCAGCCGCATCGACATCCGCAACCGCCCTCAGCAAGGCGCCCGCCAAACCAGCAGCAGCAGGAGCAGCAGCAGCAGCAGCAGCAGCAGCAAAGGGAGCCAAAGCCAGCAAGGCGACCGCCGGCAAGAAGTCTGCTGCCCAGGCTGCCGCAGCAGCAGCGACAGCAGCAACTGCGGCAGCTGTCGTGCAGACGCCCTTCAAGCCCAGCAAGCTCGGCTGGTTTGACCCGGCTCGCCAGACGCTGATCGACGCTGTGAAATCCTCACCCGCAGCTCCCTCTTCTACCACCAGTACGGCCGCCACTACTCCCACTGCTCCTAGCAAACAAACGGACAAGAAACTCTCTGCATCGGCCGTCGCCCGCAGGGAGGCCTCCACGACGATCTGGCCGGCTGCGTTGAACGCAATCCCGCGCGGCGCCCCACAGACGAGCCAGCGCGTGCTCTCCGCGCCAAACCGCGCAGACTACCGCAACCCAGTCACATACACGGACAGCGTCAACCACAACCCATACATTTCTGCCAAGCAGGTCAAGGAGCTTCATGCAAGGTAACATGGTCGCACTCTTCTAAGACCATGCTTTTTGTTGCTCTTGCTCTTGCTCACGAATACTCAACCTCTTCCTTGATTTGCCGCTTTCTATCTTTGGTTTCGCAGCTTGGTTGGTAAGTTTAGCGTGGCTCCGACAACGTCTCGCGAGCTGCCAGTGTACGCAAAATTCGCGTCTGCGCGCTCCCGCACGAGCACCTATGTTCGCCGCGTTTCCGGCGACGTGCGAGCATTCGCTCGATTCCTGTCTGCTGCTCTGCAAGTTCCTGCAAACTATGTTCAGTTGCATCCGACGGCCAACGAGACTGTGATTGTGAAAGGTCACTTTGTCGAGCAAGTGAAGCGCGTCCTCAGCGTGATTGCCCAGCCCCAGCCATCTGCTAAGCCCCAACCATCTGTATAATCACCTGTTATTTGGCTCTAGTTTTGTCTTTGGTGTTGTACTCGTCAATACATGGCTGTGTTTTGCGATGGAACGCCGATTCGTCGTTTGTCGTTTGTTGTTTTTGCTCTAGACCAGCCGCGCACTGCAAATCGAGTTCGAATTCATCATGAATAGGACTTTAACGATGCTCTGTTGCATTGTGAGCGGAGTAACATTTGTTTCATTCCCAAGAACTTCCAAAGCAGTCCTTTTGAAACAAGCACTTTTTGGGCTGCTTTTCACTCATTTTCCACCCCGCGTCTCGTTCCAACCCGTGAATCCCATTCTGTCGCCTTCATTGTAAGATTTGCATACCATTCGCCACGCTGAGAGGCCACACAGTGACACGCAGCAACAACAGTGGTCGAGTTGAAGGTTTTGTTTTTGGCGGCAAAATCCAACATTTGAATTTTTTGCTGAAACAACCGCTCTGAAACAAGTCCATTTTTCATCCTGTTTGCGAGCTCGCTGCCCTTCCGCTGCTCACCCAGCCTACGACAAATATCATTTGACAGACCGTTATCGAGCAATGCACGTCTTGTCAGAGGTTGGCGAGTGCAAGGTGACCCTGCAGATTTTCCTGCCGTCAACGGCCAACAGCTCGTGCATCACCACCACTTCCTCTGCCTCCACTCCCGCCGGCGGTCGCGTGTCTGTCTGTCTGGACTACAAGAACAGGGCCGTGTTGTCCGTAACGGCAGGAGGTGGTCGATCCCAGCAGGTAGAGCTGCCTTGGCCAAATGTGTTTCTGTATGACCGATTCCTCCATGAGGGCAAAGCCTCCATCAAAACGCCTCGCGCACTCGTCCTCGTGCAGATCAACACAAAATTACCAGATCTGATTGACGATTTGCAAGACCTGCTTCAGGAATTGCGTCGGCGAGGCGCCAAGTGCGAATCACCCGTTCCAACCATCGCTCCAGTTCTCCCGCGAGATCCGTCTTCAATTTCCGTCATTGGGCTCAGCAAGCATCGAACAAGCTCGTGTCTTGATTCAGACCGAACACTACTCGAGATTAAGCGACAGCGCGAAGCTGCCGCCGAAGGGTCCTTTGCCAAATCGCACGCCGTGGCGGTTTCATCCCAAACGAGCGTATTCTCACAAGCCCGGGCAAGACAGCAGCTAAAATCGACACCAAGAGGGCGCATTCCAGCCGGCATCTTCATGGTCAGCACCTCCCACGTTGGAGCCAACCATTTCGCCAAGCCGCCATCATCACCAGTTGCAGTTGCAAATCTCACCACGGCCCCAGCACTTCGCGCATCTCGCTATTCCAGCTACGCAGACCTTTCACCTGAACAGCAAAAAGTCGTTGATGTGGCGCTCTCTGGGCAGAGCCTGTTCTTCACGGGCGGCGCAGGCAGTGGCAAGACGCGTGTTCTCAACCACATTGTTCAGCGCCTGGTTGATCGCTACGGCAGCAACGATTGCGTTCTTGTCGCGGCTCCCACGGGCATGGCTGCGAGTTTGATTGGCGGTGTCACCATTCACTCGCTCATCGGGTTGTCCGCAGCGAGCAATCCGACGACGGCGAACTCGCAATCCTCCATCGATCGTCCCGCCCTCCAACCTCTTCAACAACAGTCTAGCAACCTTCCTGCAGGTGGAGCAGTACGCACTCCAGCAACCACCAAGGCAGCTCTCCAACCCATCGACCCCATCTTTCACCAGCAGCTCACCTCGTGCGTCGCGGCCACAGCCAACTCATTCCGCCGCGAGCGCTGGCGACACTGCATCACCCTTGTCATTGACGAAATCTCCATGGTGAGCGCCTACTTGTTTGATTTGCTCAATCAAGTCATCCAGCAAGTGCTGGGGTCGAACAAGCCCTTTGGCGGAATTCAGCTGATTCTTTGCGGGGACTTTCTCCAGCTCCCGCCCGTCATTCAGCGCAACGACCCTGCAGCGCAGTATCTCAACCACGTCACAAGCCAGCGTCGCAAGTTTGCCTTCGAGGCAGCCTGTTGGCAAAAGGCCGTCCCAGTCACGCTCGAGTTACGCCAGATTCATCGCCAAAACGACCTCGGGTTTATTGAGCTTTTGCGCAAGCTACGCCGCGGTGACTGCAGCCAGGAGGTTGCGGACACCCTTTTGGCCACTGGCGCCCAGCAAATCGAGCAGCACGGTGTCCTCGCGACACGGCTATGCACGCACACTGACATGGTTGTCTCGATCAATCAACAGCGTTTGGCGCAGCTTTCGGGAGAGCGCATGACCTTTTACGCGCGCGATACGCCGGACGGCGACTCGCGCGTCCCATCGATGCTCGACCTGAGCGTGCAGGCTCCGCGGACGCTCGAGCTGTGCGTTGGGGCGCAAGTCATCCTGCTACGGAACCTGGACGTGGCTCAAGGACTCGTTAACGGTGCGCGTGGCGTGGTCGTGGGCTTTGCCCGGCCAGCGCCAAATGGAGGCATGGCGGCCGCGAATGGCCGGCCCCAAGCTGCCAATGCCCCAGCGTACATGGAGCTTCGACAGCAGGAGCTGACCCACGAGCGCTATCCCCTGGTTCGCTTTGTTCGCACTGGCACGGAACGCGTCGTTTCGCCAGCGGCATTTGCGCTGCCCAGCGATGCTACTGGAGCTAGTCAACGCCTGCAGGTGCCGTTGGCGCTCGGCTGGGCCATCTCGATTCACCGTTCGCAAGGGTTGACGTTGGATTGCGCGGAAGTTTCCCTTTCGCGGGCGTTCGAATCTGGGCAGGCGTATGTCGCTCTCTCGCGTGTCTCCGCCCTGACCTCGTTGCGCGTTCTCGATTTCCAGACCGAGTCGATTCGCGCTGCCCCAGAGGCCATCGCCTTCCACGACAGTGTTTCCATCGTGTGTCTGGTGAAGTGAGAGGGTGAGGGAGTTTGATTGGCGGCCTCCTGTCCGATCTTGCTTTGACAATAACAATTCTGTAACCGTCGTACCATGCTGGTTGTACTATACAGAACTACAGAACCTGATCCGAGAACGCGGTGCCCATCGGTCGTTCATTCGTTCAAACTGCTGTCAAGCCGAAAGAGACGACGCACACCAGTCACTAGCTGCTAGTACGCAGGTGATGGAGTTGGCATTGTAGACACGGGGCGCAGCGCGAGTCTAGGGGCCCTGATGCCCGGTAATGAGGCGAACTCGACTGAAACAACAACTGATCGAACGTTGGCGCGCATGCACGCCACACAACGACAATAAAAATACACCGCGCGTTGGCTCTCATTGACCAGCAGGGAAGTGGGAGGGCGTCGGTGGACTGAAACTGGAGCAAGACCTTATCATGCAGACGTTTCGGCGCAAGAGTCGTGGTAGTACATGCAGCACGACGGATTGCTGCTTTGATGAGCGAAAGACGAGCACTCAGCATTGTGTTCAAGACAAGCGAAGGAAACGGTAACTGAACCTGTTCAACGAAGTATTTTTGGAAATCCTGTCATTGGCGTGTTTGTTTCGTTTGTCCAGCTTCATCATGACGACGAAGACTCGACATGTTGAGACACAGTTGATGTTCGTGGACGTGTTTGGTTTTTCGTTCGGTTGCGATTTTCGTTTTGACTACAAATGCAAGCTCCCATCAACTTCACCCCAATGTTACGTCACTCACTTGACTCGCTCTCGATCATAGTGTCGCTCTGATTCACAGTTTGACTTGTCGCACACAGCGGATCATGCGCCAGCCCCGTCAAGTCGGAAGCGGCCGCTGGCTGGTCTCGCATAGCCGCCATCGACCTCGCATCGCAACCCGCTCGTGCCTGCAGACCAGAACAGCCTCGACCGACGTCTGTCGAGTTTGACTTTGCTTCTGACGCATTCATCTCGATCATCTTTGCCATCAAGCAGCGCAACACGGACACACTCGCCTCCAAGCTCAAGGCGGTCTCGGACCCCGCCAGCGAGGACTATGGTACAATACAGCATTCTAGACCACAAAAGCTTGGTCAAACCTGATCTTTTGTGGACTTGTCTCCTTTTTTCGAGCGCGCGCTCTACTGTGTTTACTGCAAGACTCGACCTCCTGCTGCAGCGTTGCTCAAGTGTTTGTCGTCTCTGTAGAACAACGGGGTTTGAGCAGTTTCAATCTCGTATTAACCTTGTCTTGGTCACGTTGATATACACATTGCTTTATTGAATTTGGAGTTTCAAGTAACGGGGGAAGGGAAGGAGAAAGATCTCTGAGGTGACCAAGAGTACTTCGCAGCGGTGAGTCGCTCTGCAGAGTTCCAAAACCAATTGAGCGTCACCCTGTACATTCACCCAGCACAGTAATTTATGCTAGAGGTTGGACTGTCTACGGCTCAATTGGACTGGGCAAAGTCCGAGCCCGTTTTCGGGGGCTGTTCATCGCTGTTCCAGGTCAACTCCTCGTCAGACAGGCGAGCAGCAAGTTCAGGATCGATCTGTTCCAAGAAAGCACGGACTTCTTTGTGGTTGGAAAAGTATGCCTTGCGTTTGGAGCGCTCTGCAACAAACCGATGAGCCACGTAATCGGCTTCGGCTTGCGTTAGCTTCTCACTCCTAAATTGCACCGTGACAGCAGGCCCGTCCGACAGGTTTGGGTTGTACGAGACGAGTGCTGTGGAAATGCAATGAAAAGAAAGCAGCGTAGTCAGTTGAAACAGCTTCGACGCCTCGAGAACATTAGAACTGTTGCAAATACCATCAACGATAGGCGTCAGACCACAGAAGAAACGGTGCAGCTCGCTGCGCGAGACAAGCCACGATTTCGCCTCGAGACTTGAACCGGAAAGCGCTTGAGTCATGCGCTGCGTGGAGACGAGCCCGGCAATTAGAGACGCACTACCGTTGCGTTGGTCGGAGATGAGGCCTTTGGCCGCATTCACGGACAGCGACTCGAGTCCAGTTCGCAGTTTGAGTTGAGCTTTGCAGAGGACCTATTGGCACTCCAGTGAGAAACAGACGAATCGGACAAAACCTGCCTCCAACGATGGTCCAAAGCGTCACTTCTTACAATCTCAGGCTGAACTGCGGAAGCTGAAGTGAGGGCAAAGTTCGCTACAATGTCTGTCGCATGCGCATTGGGCTTGTCTAGCGAAAAGCCGCTTTTCAGCTTGTCGTTCTTCTGAGAGAACGCTTCCAGGACAACCTCGGACGACGACAAATCATTGCTCAGGATGGCACCCTCCAGCAGCTTAGACAGGGGAAGACGCAAGTCGGCATCATTTGGAGTGCCGTCCTTGCATGCAAAGCACAACGTGACCAGCATGCGCAGATTGAGCAAACAAGGAACGAGCTGCTCCAACTCGTGCCATGGAAGAGTCGCCAAGTCGTTGTTGATGGTTTGGGGCAAGAGCATTTTGCCAACCACTTTTAATTCTTCCAGCAGGCGAATCGCGAGCTGCAGGTAGGGATGTTTATCAGAATCTGGAGCAAGTTGGACTGTCAACCAAACCACAAAAGATGAGAAGTTCGATCCAGTCGACAAATACACATCAGCTTTCTTGGAAGTTCGCTCACCAGATTCTAAAACTTGCGGGTTCAGTGTAAGCTGAGGGGAGTGGGGGTTTGAAGTTTGCACCCAGAAACAAAGCCCCAAATCGACAAAGTCTTCAATCAAACGGTCACGTACATGAGCGTCAGTTGACTGGAAAACCACGGCTTCGACAACACGAGTCAAGGTTGAAAAATCCATCAGAACATGTTGATGGGGTTTAACATGGTTTGAAAACACCTCTCCAATCTGCCGAGGATTCCCGACTGCGCGCTGCAGAAGTTGCGTGATATGTCGGTCTCGATGCCAAGTTGAACCATCGTGGTTGAGGGAGGTTGCCTTCTGCGCTGAGGCAGCACCAGAAAGAAGTGGCATATCGATGAGGCTATAGGGATAGGTGCTCCCATTTGCAGTGTCCGACCGGTCGAAACGGGCTGCATTGGTCAGCAGAAATGGACGCGTGCCGCTGAGGAACATGATGAGTTTGCCCGCCGGAGTTGACAGTTCCCGAAGTGGCGCGATGGCCAGTTTCAGGAATCGACAATCCTGGCGCTCTCGTGGCAGTTTGTCGAACTCATTGTCGAATCTCGCATTGACCGGCATACGTAAAAGCTTGCTTGCTTCATCAAGGGTGATGATTACCGGAACGAGAGTGCCAGTGGGTAGACTGTGACGCGAGACAAAGTCTTTGCGAATGTAGTCTACAACGTCGGTGACGCGAAAGGAACCAGTGAGGGAATCTCGGAAGCTGGGACGCTGGGTTGCCGGAACGTTCAAATACTCTTCGAGTATACGCCAGGACACTGCGTGCTCAGGATGCTTGTTGCATTCGCGCCGAGTGAATGAGCTTCGGCTGCCGAAAGTGACATTTAGACTGATGAACCTTCCGTCAGGATGCACTTGCTTTGCAAGGTCAGAGTGGATGAGGTCGCAAAAGGCAGTTTTGCCGGCACCTGGTAGCGTAGCAATCACCCCAATATTGAATCGATCGGTGGCATTGTGATTTCGTGTGACCGCGCTCAAAAGATTAAGAGCAGTTTTCTTCGCTTGCTCGCGCTCAAGCAGGACCACTCCTGACGCCTAGCAGAAGCACACAACATAAAGTGAGCACAACTTACGCATCAGTGGATGCGAGATTTCAACGCAACGTCGGACCTCAAGAGGAAGCGCATCGCGAACTTGTGTTCGGGCAGCATCAATCTGGTTTTTGACGGTCTCAGCGTCGGCGAAGTCAACTACAAGTTGCAAAACAATGTGAACACACACACACACACACACACACACACACACACACACACACACACACACACACACACACACACACACACACACACACACACACACACACACACACACACACACACACACACACACACACACACCGGTGAGGCTGATTCCAGCAACTTCCCTCAAGAGCTTCCAACGAATTGCCTAATTCCAACTGCCGGAGTGCAGCTGCGGCATCGGTTTCCCTCAAGAGCTTCCAACGAATTGCCTAATTCCAACTGCCGGAGTGCAGCTGCGGCATCGGTTTCCTGCTCGACAGTTGAAGCATATGTGCCCGCTTGTTGACCATCCAAAAGCTGCTTGAGCCTGGCGCGTTGGTTTGGCCTGTCGGCGCTTTCTGAAATTGGCGCCAAATCGACTGAGACACCAAGACATGCGGCCAACGCGCGCAGCTGTTCACTGTCCAAATGCAAAAAAAAGCAAAGTCAGTCAAACCAAGACGAAGACAACTCTAGTGTGACGAGTAGGGCAATCACATTCATTACCTGAGCGTTGCTGGAGCTGGATTCGATGCCTATCCAAAGAAAAAGAAAGAAAAAGTGAAACAACTGGTCAGTACCTCCTTTCCTTGCCGCCATCAAGTCAAAATCGATGCTTTAGTCTTTGTTGACTAAATTACACCAAGGGCGTTTCACGAGGAACTGAGGGACAGCAGGGGGAAGCGGGAGAAGCAGGAAGAAAGGAAAAAAAAAAAAAAAAAAGGCGCCAAGAATCGCCAAGAATTGCCAAGAACAGATCGATGCATGTCGTTCGACCCCAGTTTCGATGGAAAGAGTCGGTGAAAGTATCAAAGATGAATCGCGGTTCTGTGTCTTGCGGGTGGCAGAGTGCACGATAGAGTGGAGCTGGGAGAGACCCACGAGGAGGCCTTCGCAGCACTTACAGCCATGGGTGAGAAAGCAACGAAATAGACTGAAGTGAAACAGGTCAGCTTTTGTTTCTCTTTTGGGAAGTGATTTTCCTCCAATTCCGAACCTTGCTCATCATGATCCAAAATCCAGTGCGAGTATGATCGAGCTTTGAAATTTCTCCCCGGGGGTAGAAGGGGACGGGGGAAAAAGAGGCAGAGATCAGGCTCAACGATGACAAAGAGCAATCGCAGACACACTGAGCTTGTTACGAACTGGGCTCATCCCTAATCGGTCTTCCCCTCATTCTACACTATATTCTTAGTAAACGATACATATACCTCCGCATACATTTCGTACGCTTCAGTAGTGATTCTAGGTCAAGTTCCGGGTAAGGTCGTAACACTGGTCAATGTCATTCAATGTCATTCAATAATGTTCTCTCATCCCCCTTCGCTCATGGTCGCTGTACCTCTGTTATATTTCCCTTTGATCCAATACCACATCTTGATCACCTAGATCTAAATGTCCAAATCTGAGCACTGGCTCAGTTCTCTGAAACTCACAAACCTCTCGTTCATCCATTCAAAGCTCAACTTTTTGCAGCGTTTTGTCTTCTGTCTCGCTCACCCATATTTGAACCCTACACAAATGGAGAGCATGTACGTCCCGCCGCCGTCCGCGTCGTCGCAGCGCATCTCGGCTGCCGCTGAAGCGCAGTCCACGCTGACTGCGGCGACTGCTGGGCTGCCATTCCCGCTCGACCAGCCGCTCCCGCTCATCCTGGGCGCATCGTTCGCACGAGACGACGTCAGCTTCCACGGCCTGCGATGTAAGCGCACCGGGATATCTGGACATCTGGACATTGGGCTCGTGCTTGCATTGACCTTTGACGTGCATTGAGCAGACGACTTTAAGCCGGCGTCCATCGACGAGTCAAAGCCAGGGTCGATCGCAGTGCAGCGCGATAACATTAGAGTCACAGTCCCAACAACAGGCGTAAGTTGCATTGTGGCCAAGTCAGGTCAAAAAACGCACAGTTTGCTTGGCAAAGAAAGACCTTCTAACATTACGAACCAACCCTGACCACTCTGATTCAACTCTACACATTGTCAAATGGTGCGACAGACACATGGCGAAGCTGGTTTTGCTGGACCAAAGAAGCCAGCCATGCGGGAATGCGTGCTGATTTACGATCGCGAAACGCAGCAATTCTACCTTGAACGCCTCACGACAAATATCACGCTCAAGCAAGTGAGAGAAACCAAACGCAAGACGACGACGGCGACGACAACGACGACAAGTGGCATGCCAAGTGGGGCTGCGAGCGCAGGTGCTTTGACAAGTGAGTCGCAGTCGTCGTCTGCCACGAATTCGCCTTCGAAGCCTGCGACATCATCGTCAACCTCATCACCTGCAATCTCGAGTCCGGCTGACACTCTATCGAGTGCACCATCTGCTAGCACTGCAGGGAAAGCCGCCGCATCACGAGCTCCACTCGCCCGAACGGCTGCTGCTGCTTCCCCCGGCTCAACCTCCAGTTCCTTGCCAGCTACCGCCGTCTCTGCTAGTGCGCTCAATCCACCTGCTGTGGTCGATTCTTCCTCTCGGAAGCGCCGGGTTGCAGCCATTGACGACGACAGTGATTCCGAGATGCACGTCCGCGCCACTTCCAAGCCAATCGCAACAGGCACGGCTGACGTCTTACCCGTGATTAAACGTGCTCGCGCGCTTGAAAATCTATGTAAGGCGTTTTGAGTGGAAGCAAGCTCACAAGGATGGGGGGAGGGTGATATGAGTGGAGATTTCTAATTTTTTGAATGCATCGTTTGATTCTGTTGTATTAGCGGTCAAGCTTCAGCTGAGCGAGTCTGGCAGCGACAGCGACTAGCCACAGCCCTTTCTTTGACCTCTTTGATGTTGTTGCGTGCATCATGACAATCCTTGTACTTTTAGTTTGTAATTCAATGTTTGTTCCACTTTTATTTCAATTCGATACCTTTTGCTTTGTTCACTCGTCTCCCAATTCCAATTCTATACAATTTTTTGATCTCAGTCTTTTTTTTTCCCCCACCCCTTCGTTTTCTGAGATGCCGCGCGAAGTCATCACGCTGCAGCTTGGCCAATGCGGCAACCAGAGTAAGCCAATACCACCACCACCACACTCCGCTTCCTCTGCATCCCGCCAATTTTCAATGCCTGTCTTCCATGCTGAACTTTGCACTTCCCGCACCTCGAACACCTGCTGACGCAGTGAGAAGTGACTGAGATTGAACAAACAATGGCTTTTCGGTCTTGTTTTTCCCGCCAAAATCCCAACCTTTTTTTGTTGTTGCCTCGTCGCTTTGCCGCCGTCCGAACTGGCCTTCCAATGCAGCGCTTTGAGACCCTGGCAAATGAACGCGTCTCACTCGTGTGTGCTTTGCTGGATGGCAGTCGGAATGGAGTTCTGGAAGCAGCTCTGCGTCGAGCACGGCATCAACCCGTCGGGTCGCCTCGAGGACTTTGCCGTCGAAGGCACGGATCGCAAGGACGTCTTCTTCTATCAGGTAAGTCGGCCCATTCAGTCTCTTTGTTCGTCGGCAAGAGAGGGCTGGGGAAGTCGGGGGATGAGGTGGCGAGCTCTTGCTCCAATGCTCACTCACTCACTAATCCTCCAACTCGCAACCCTCATCACGGACATCAATATCAATGGGGACAGGCTGACGACGATCACTATATTCCGCGAGCCATTCTCATGGACTTGGAGCCACGCGTTATCAATAGCATCAAAACGAGCGCATATGCAAATCTGTACAACCAGGAGAATGTCTTCATGTCGGCGGACGGTGGCGGTGCAGGTAACAACTGGGCCAGCGGCTACCGTCAAGGCGACGTTGTACACGACGATGTCATTGACATTCTGGATCGCGAGGCCGATAACAGCGACAGCTTGGAAGTACGAAAAAAAAAACTTTTGCATTTGCACCCGAGCTCAGCATCGCCGTGTCTCACTCGACAACTCTTTTGCACAACAGGGCTTTGTGCTGACACACGCTATTGCTGGTGGAACCGGCTCAGGCATGGGATCGTACCTCTTGGAGCGGTTGAACGATCGCTACCCGAAAAAGCTTGTGCAAACGTACTCTGTCTTTCCGAATCAAGAGGAAATGTCAGACGTCGTTGTGCAGCCATACAACAGCATCTTGACGCTGAAGCGACTGACGTTGAATGCTGACTGTGTGGTGAGTAGGATGGTTCCAATTGCGTGATGTGGTTTTGTCTGGTTTTTGGTTGACTTTTTCCTTCTTTTCTTTTGGCAGAACGTGCTGGACAACACGGCGCTCAACCGCATTGCAGCAGATCGTTTGCACGTGGAGAAGCCGAGCTTTACTGAAGTCAATCAACTGGTGAGTAGGCTCAGTTGGGAATTGTGCCGCGTTTGTCTCCCCCACCCTCATTTTCAAACCACTGTGCCCCGGCGATTTCACACATCAGGTATCAACGGTCATGGCAGCAAGCACGACAACCCTGCGCTATCCTGGCTACATGAACAACGACATGGTGGGCTTGGTCGCCAACCTCGTCCCGACCCCTCGATTGCACTTCCTCACGTCTGGCTACACACCTCTTTCGACGGAACATTCGGTTTGTTTTTTGCTTGCGTTTAGTGTTGCTTTCCTTCTGGATGTCAGTGTGTCCTGCATCATTGGAGCGCGCTGACGCCATTTTGGTTTGTTTTGTTCTTCTGTTTTCGGATTTACAGTCAAGCGTGCGCAAAACTACCGTTCTCGACGTCATGCGTCGGTTGCTGCAGCCCAAAAACATCATGGTGTCGACTCCTACTCGCACTGGCGTCTACATTTCAATCTTGAACATTATCCAAGGCGAAGTCGATCCGACGCAAGTGCACAAGTCGTTGCAACGCATCCGAGAGCGCAAGCTGGCGCAGTTCATTCTCTGGGGTCCCGCAAGCATTCAAGTCGCCCTGTCAAACCAGTCTCCCTACATTCAAAGTACCAACCGCGTCAGCGGGTTGATGCTAGCGAATCACACGAGTATCCATACGGTGAGCTTTTCTTTTTGTTTCAAATAGGTATTGCTGCTGCTTGGTGGGCTCTGGATTAACGTTTATTCTTTGAACCGCATCATATTGATGCAGCTTTTTGAACGAACTTGCCGGCAATACGACAAGATGCGAAAGCGCGAGGCTTATATGGACCAGTTCCGCAAAGAACCCATGTTCAGCGACAGCTTGGATGAGTTTGATTCTTCGCGGTGAGTCGCGGCTGCAGTGGGACTGAGGCTTGGGCCTGGGCATATGCAGAAAGTGGAGGCAAGCGGCTGACTGCGGGTTTTGGCCCATGATTTTTTTTCTTCATTCTACAGTGAGATTGTTCAGCAAGTGATTGACGAGTACAAGGCTGCCGAGCGTGCGGATTATGCCACCTATGGAACGCGGCTTCCTGCCAGTACTGCAGGTGCCGGTGGGTCTGGTCAGTAAACCAAGCCAGGTTTTTCCACAGTTTCTCAGGAAGGCGGTGCCGCTGCACCCCTTGTCTGTATTGCAACCATGATCTCGTTTTGTTACTTTATTAAAGTTTGCCATTTGTGAAAGAGCACGGCGCTTGTTGGCAGTTGGGTGCAGCGAGCGTTTTCCTCCATTTGTTTGCATGAGCTTGATTTCCATGCCCTATCGCTGCATCCTCCCTTATTCCCCTTTTCCCCTTCTCATGACTGAACTGTCCATCTCCAAACTCATTCAGTCTCTCTTTTTTTTTCTATTCACTTTTTCTATTCACTTTCTCAGTCAGTCAGCTCTCTCCTTGCCCAATCATGTCGGCGTCTCTGCCCGTGTCGACTGCCGGCGGCGAGCGGATGGTTGCGATGATTGCAGCACGCAACAACAACAACAACTCCTCATCGTCCTCTGCTGGGCTGTCCTCGTTGGTGGGCGGTGTGTCGTGGCCGCAGGTCAAGCGCGGGCTTCTGATTGCCGCGGCCGTCTTCCTCGTGCTGCACCTCCTCCGCCTCTCCTCAGGCAAGCAGGTCCATTTTGAATTGCGTTCACCACTCTTCAGAGCGAGATGGGGCAGTTGAGGGGGGGAGCGGTTGTGGTCCTTCCCCTTCGGTTGAAAGCAGAGTGGGCGGGATGGCTCTTTTTGATTTTTATACTTTTTATTGCTGTTGCTGGGGAGGGGAATGGGAGAGAGTGGGAGTGGGAGTGGGAGTAGGGGGAGCAGTGGCTGGGTACAGGACAAGCAGCAGCACTCTACTCTGTGATGAACGCGCACGAGTGGAATGGAGCGCTTGAGTGGGGAGATCGAGAGAGAGAGATTGAGCACACGGCGAATCCAAATCCTTCACAGTTCACTCCCACCCTGACCACCGACCCCTGACCACCGACCCTCAACAAAACCCAACAGCCTCATTCAAACTCAGTCAAAGACTAGCCACCCCCCAAATCATCAAAGAAAGGAGGGGGGGGAGGAGGAGGAAGTCGCAATACTGACACTCACTGACACTCACCGTTGTCGCTCTTCCATCCAACTCAACCTCGAAACAGGATACGACTCGTGCAACTACCTGCTCAACGCAGAGGGAAGCGTCCAGATCAACCCAAAGTCAGGCGCAAAGTCGTGGCGCCCACAGGGCTGCATGGCGCGCGAGTTTGGCTCGGCCGCAACAGCTGCGCACGCCTGTCTCGCCGGGCGACGCATTGTCTTTGCTGGCGACTCGCGCGCGCGGCAACTCTGGCTTGGCATGATTGCCCTGCTCGACAAGAGCGCCGTCCCGCAAGTCACGCAGCAGGACTACCACACGGACATGTCCGTCACCGTTGCCACCCCGTCCCCGATGCTCGTCCCGGGCAAGAAGGTCAACTCGGACTTGACGTTTGCACACGAGCTCGGCCTCAACAGGCACGGTCACAACGTCACCCTTGACTTTCTGTGGCTTCCGTTTGTCGCAAACCAGTCCCTGGCGACCATCTCCAGCCGCCTGCTGCTTGCCGGCGAGCACAACCCAAACCTGTTGGACGATGCGCAGCAAGCAGACGATGGCACGACGACAGCACCGCAAGGCGCCTTCACGCGCCCGAGCTTGCTTGTGCACGGCGTCGGCCTTTGGGATGTGCGCGATTTGATCACCCCCGACCAGGTCGAGCAGCAGCTGACCGAAGTCTATCGCGATTCCCTGCAATTCCTGAATGATCTCGACGGCCATGCTGCGGGCGACCGCCCACGTCCCGGGGTCAGTGCCAAGTGGCTTGACGCCCATTCCTCGCTCTGGGAACAGAGCAGCGCGGATCTGGACATTTTCTGGGGCGTCACTCTCAATGTCAACGAAGCCAACCTCCGGCCCGATCGCCAGGCCATCACGAACGAGCGCATTGCCCAATTCAACCAGGCCGTTTTGCCCGTGGCCGAGGACTTTGCCCACAGCTTGCACGAGCGCGCGGAAGAGAGCGCTCGCGGTGGCAACCTCGACCAGCAGCCCCTGCCGCACCGCGCGGGTCGCCTCGCGCTCGAGCCTTTGATTGTCCCGGATCTTCCGCACACGGCCGACCTTGCCACGCAGGGCGGCTTCCTGGCGCCCAACATGCTCATTTCTCGCAGCATTGGCAGCATTGGCAAGGCGTTTGCCGAGGACTCTACCGACGGCGTCCACTTTCCCGACGCCGCCGTGCAAGCGCAACTGAACGTCATTCTCAACGCCTTCTGCAACCGTCGTCACGAAGCCTGGGACCGTCCCGACGACGTGACGTGCTGCGCACCCTACCCCGCCCTCACTGGTCTGCAGTACGTCTTCTTTGCCGTCGTGCTGTTTGCGCTCGTGTGCTGGCTCGGAGGCTCGTATGCCGCCCGTCACCACACCGGTGGCGCAGTTGCGTCGGGCGCAGAGTCTGCATTCGGGGCCACGGCTCGTGCGCGCCACATGCTGTCGTCGCCAAACCTGCTGAGCGTTGCCATGCCTGTGGCCCAGCTGGGCCTCGTCCTTGTCTTTGCATTCCTGTGTGACCGCACCCACATCTTCCCCAAGGAACGCAAGATTTACACCCACTTTGACCTGATTGCGTCGATTGGCGTCATGTTCGTTGCTGGGTGGTGCACACTCACCCATGTCAAGACGGCGCCGACCTTTTTGAGTCGCGACCAGACAGACGAGTGGAAGGGCTGGATGCAGATTGTCTTTTTGATCTACCACTTCCTTGGCGGCAGCTCCGTTCTGCCGCTCTACATGCTTGTGCGCGTCTTTGTTGCCAGCTACCTCTTCCTGACTGGCTTTGGCCACTTTACCTTCTTTTACACCAAGAAGCAGTTTGGCATCACGCGCATCATCCAGGTGCTCACGCGTCTGAACGTTCTCACCATCGGCCTGTGCATGGTCATGGACAAGCCCTACCAATTCTACTACTTTGTCCCGCTTTCCAGCTTCTGGTTCCTTGTCGTGTATGCCATCATGGCATTCCCGTCCATTCCTGCCGTGCAAAAGCGCTTCCCGGGTCTCGATGCGCCAGCTCGCATCCTCGCGCTCTTTACCATCTGCTCCATTGTCTGGCTGCCGTTCAGCGGCAACTACAAGAGCACCAGTGCCGACGACTTTCCCATCTTCCAGTTCCTGTTTGACTGGTGGCCGATCAAGGAGCTGTTCAGCGTGAGCGACAGTCTGTACGAGTGGCGCTTCCGCTCTGGTCTCGATTGCTTTGTACGGATCTTTCCGGCTGGTTCTTTTTTTGTTGTTGTTGTTGGTGGTGTTTGCCTGTTCTCTCGTTCTACTGCATCGCATTGTTTGAGTTCGCTCTCATCATTTTTATCTTTGCTTCTACATTGCAGATCGTCGCTCATGGCATGCTCATTGCCTACGCCTACCAAATCGCCAAGTCGCACGGCGTCATCCACGACAACCAACCAGCAGTTCGCCCTGGAACAACCCCGCCTCCTCCCGGCCCTCTGCTTTCGGGTCTGCTTTTCAACACGGCCACTTCGGCCATCCTGTCCATTGTGTCGATTGGCATTTTTTGCTGGTACATCATGTTCACACGCTCGTGCACGGACAAGGCCTACTGCAACTACATTCACACGTTCTCGTCGCCCTTCCTCGTGGCCGCTTTTGCCTTTTTGCGCAACCTGACCGGCAGGTCTCGGGCTGTGTACAGCCGCTTCTTTGCCTACATTGGCCAGCTCTCGCTGGAACTCTTCCTTCTCCAGTTCCACATCTGGCTCGCGGCCGACACGAAGGGCATTCTGGTGCTCATCCCCGGCACCAGTGGCTTCTGGCGCTTGCTCAACGCCGCCTTCACCACCGGCCTGTTTGTTGCCGTCAGTGAGGTTGCCTCCGACAGCTCGGCGCTGATTGTCAGCTTGCTTGCGCCAGGCGACAACACGCGCGCCGTCATTTCGCGCTTTTGCGGCCTTCTCGTGTTCTGCGGCGTCTGGTGGATGCTTCGCCAGGCTCTCGAGGCCAACACTGAGACGTACCAACATTATTAATCGTTATTATTTACTCTTGCCTTGTAGTTTATTTTGGGTTTTTCAGCCAACCTTTTAAGTGTTGCGTTTTATTTCGAGATGATCTTTGCTTTGATGTGTGTATGTCTTTGTTTCACTAAAGTCTTTTCTGCTTTTTCGGCTACGTGCATGGAGATGGGATTTCAGAGCTTGCGAGTTCTTTGGTTCAATTCACGCTACTACGAGTAAGAGATCAGTGGTATGACAATAGTAGATGTGCTAACAACGACACCACAAACACAGCAACACGGCGACAAATAATTCTCACAGAAAACAACAACAACAACAACAACAACAACAACAAGCAATAGGAAACGAGACAAGGAGGAGGAAAGAGGGAGATGGCCAACCGAATTCGCCCAAGCGCAGAGAGAAACACGACAAAGGCCCTTGAAATAGACACTCTGAGGATCTCAGCGCGCCACCAAAACGAGACGGTTTGGTCGAAAACGAACAATCCTCCGTCCTCACTTAACCAAACAAGACCGCCCAAAACAAAACTGCAAACACGAAGAGTGCTGGAGTTTGATCATCATTGAGCAGTGGCCTGGCTTGGGTTTGGCAGGATGATAATGACGCTGTCGCCGCGGAGGAAGAGCTTGCTGATAAACCGATCCTTGTTGACTGGCTTTGACTTGGTCTTGCCCTTGCCGGCGCGCGTGCCCTCGGTCCAGAACTCCCTGACGTCCTCGAGGATCATGTTAAAGTGGCGGTCGAATGCCTTGACGCGAGCAAGCAGCTTCCTGTTGTTGCGGCAGTTGATAAACACCTGCGCGTTCGATCGCACGGCCTTGGTCAGGACGCTCAATGGGCCCTTCTCAAACTCCTCCTTCTCGTGCTGGGCGAGCTCGGCCTCGCTCATCTGCGACTTGTCCACCTCGCTGCAGGTCAAGCATCGGACGAGATAGAACGTGTGTGAGTGTGCGTAAGGTCAAAAAAGTCGATCCATGAACGACGATCAACGATCAACGGGGGTTTCAGGACTCGCTCTCGTACTCTGAGCCCCCGTAGTATAGAGAGAATGGGGCTAGCATTGAATGAGGGACACCACGCAGTCACAGCGATGAGTGAGGGAGAGCGAGCGAGAAGTGAGGGATCTCGGCGTTTTGGCGCTCAATGGCGGCTTGCTCAGCACACTCACACACTCACACACTCACACACTCACACTCCCATCAATATCGTCGCAATGCCGCAATGCTACAGCGCAGTCAAAAGCACATTCGCGCGAGGAGAGTCCAGACGTCCCGTAAGGCTCTCAATGGCGAGATCTCTACCCCCCCCCCCCTGTCCCTCCCCTTTCCTCCACTGCCCTCTACCACACACACATAACTACACTCAACCACACAATCTGGAGGCGGTAGTAATGTCTGGTTGTGCAGAGCAGCAGCGGAAAACAAACCTCATCCTTGCTTTTTTTTGCTGAAAATGAAACCAACGAAGAGACTGATACCACCTCCATTCGCCCAATTCCAGAACAACTGAGATTTGACAACAAAGTTGATAGGGGGATGGGAGTAGATCATTGATCCAACTGCAAATCGCAGACAGAGCGTCCCAGTCGAGCACTCATCTACGTCGAACAACGCTGCGAGCTCTCATCGATCCTCTCTCTCTCTCTCTCTTTCTCCGTTTTCATTTTGTATCTCCAGTTCAATCCACTCTCTGTTTCTGTTCAATCACACACACACACACACCCCGCGTTCACTCCTTCCCCCTCAGAATCCAAACCCTCCTCCTTTTTCCCCTGAAATTCTCGTCGTTCGCACTCGACCACCCCCCTCCACTTCACTTCCCGCCACCCAGCACCCATGTCAGGCACGGACGCTGATCTGTCGTCTGCCTCTGCCGCTGCCGCTGCTGCGGGGTCTGGGTCTGCGCCGCTGAACGACGGCTCGCTGATGACTGGAGTCGAGCTCAAGAAGGCCGACGCGCTCGACGTTGCCTCTGCCTTGAAGCGGTCAGTCTCTCTGCCTCTCTCTCCGCTTCCAACTTCCAAAGACAGCGCTCAATCGTGTCTTCTTCCGTCACTCGTCTCGTCTCGTCTCGTTCGCTATGCTTCTCGTTCGTCCGCTCAAAAACAAGTGTTTTTTGTTTTTTGATGACAACAAAAGTTCGACTTTTTTTTTTTTTTTTTTTTTTTTTTTTTTTCTACTTGCTTTCTTATTATTTTCTTCTCTCTTTGTCTCAAATATTTCTCAATGTCGAATGCGATTTTCAAGTTGAGATGTGACACTTTGGTTTGTTGAATGCTTTTGCTTTGTTCGAGCTAATTCTGAGTTGATTTTTGGATTTTAACAGGTACATTCAGTCAGACTTCAAGCAAGACCCAGCGCCATACGCAACAGACCTTGCTCGGCTGCAGCGTATTCGAGACGACGCAGTGGTCAGCGTCGCTCGCTCTGAGAATGGCAGGTAAAAAAAAAAAACAGAAAACACAGGCAACAGCTCGATTTTTTTAGAAACGCTCAGACTAAACCTCTTTTTTTTCAACAAATCGCAGAATCGCCATCCTGAACTACTATGCTCAGCTCGAACGCCTCGAACTGAGATTCCCGTTGAACGAGCACGGCGTGCGGATGCCATTCACTTGGACAGATCTGCTCACGGGCAAGTCGGTCAAGCAGTTTAGCGTCGCCTACGAGAAGGCTTGCACCCTGTTCAACCTCGTCGCCATCTCGTCCCAAGTCGCTGTTCGCTCCGACCATACCACGTCCGAAGGCCTCAAGCACCAGGCATCCCTCTTCCAGTTTGCTGCAGGCGTTTGCAAGTACATTGGTGAAAACTTTCTTCATGCCCCCACCGTCGACATTTCGCGCGATTTCATTGGCGCCTTCCGCAACTTGATGATGGTAACGATTTGCCCCCTGCGGTTTCTCCTTGAGCTGAGGTGATTTGTTGCTCTAAGCTTCGCTTGTTGTTCATTTTTTTTTCCATGGTCGGTTTTGTTTTGTTTTTGTGATTTTCGCCTCTCGCTTGACCTCGCGCGTTCCCCCCCCCCACAGGCACAAGCCCAGGAATGCTTCCTCATGAAATCTACCATGGACCACCTCAAGCCTTCTGTCGTCTGCAAGGTGGCTGCCCAAACGGCGGCCTTTTACGATGACATTGCGACTGCGTTTGCTGCCGCGCCGCTTGTCGACGTGATTGACAAGGCCTGGGTCAAGATCATCCAGACCAAGGCACGCATGTACCGCGCTGTGACGCAGCACCAGGGCGCGATGGCGGCGGTGACCACAGCTGGCACCACTGCCGAGGAACAGTACGGGGTTGAGCTTGCGCGACTCCGTCTTGCGCACCAGTTCATCCAAGAGGCTTCGCAGATTCTCAATGCAAAGCCAGACAAGTCTGCCGACTCCAAGGCCGACAAGAAGAAGTCTGCAGCAGGTTTGAGCAGCTCCTCCTCGTCGTCGGCGGCGGCGGGTGCTATGGGTGTGGCGGGAGCAGTCACCACGAACTTGCAGCAGGTACAAAACACGCTTGCGGAAGCCGTCGCCTTGCACCTTCACTCCATCACGCGAGCGCTGCAACAAGCCCAGAAGGACAATGACAATGTCTACCACGTCACGGAAACCCCCGTGTCTGCCCTGCCCGAGATCAAGGGGTCCATTTTGGCCAACGTGACCCCGTTTGAGCCACGGGCCTTTGTCATCAAAATGCTGGAAGACCGCCAGGAGCTCTTCCCCAATCTCTTCCCGACGCACGTCGAGGAGGCCAATCTCGCCTACCGCGAGGAAGCGAACGAGATTGTGCGCAAAATGTCGTCGCAGCTGGCCGAGCGTGATGCAGCCATGACCCGCATGTTGGACGCGATGCGATTGCCGCGCGCCATTGATGAGATTGGGCAGCCGTATGCGCTTCCAGAGCTGCTCATCACAAAATCCAAGCAAGCCATCACGGCAGGCGGCCTTTCGAGCATTCAGCACGGCTTTGAGGCTCTGCAGCAGGTTGCCTCCAAGGCCACCGACTCAATCTCCAATCTCAAAGCTGCCATTCAGCGCGACGAAGACGCCGAGCAAGAAGCGCTGCGAGAGCATGGCGCTGATCGTTGGACACGCACGACCGTTGATGCAAACGCCTTGGACGCGTTGCGATCGGATGTGCGCATCTTGGAAGGCAAGCTGACCGAAGCCCAAGCGTCCGATCAGGCGCTTGTGGGCTTGCTTGACTCGACTCGCGACAGCATCCGCATGCTGTGCGCCGGCCCCGATGGGATTTTGGCAGCGCTGCCGGCGGCAAACCTGCTCGACACTGCCGCGACCGAGGACCCCTCGATCGCCAAGCTCCGTTCACTCATGTCCAGAGTGACGACGCTGCAAATGACTCGCAAAAAGCTGCTCGACGACGCCCGGCGTCTCGCGTCGACCGACAACCCGCGCTCTGCATTACTTGCCGCTGGCGTCAACACGAAAGAGCGCAAGAAGATTGTTGCGAGCCAGCTGCAAAAGTACACGACGATGGTGGACCAGCAGTTTGCTTCCAATGAGACGGAGGATGTGCTGATGCGCGAGATTACCGCGGAAAATGCCAATTTCGTCACTTCTCAGCGAGGCAACGCGGAGCAGGAGGTGCGCGCCAAGCGCGACCAGACGGTGGCTTCCATCATGACTGCGTTTGACGTTTTCATGGACATTCAGCGGAAAATTGGCCAAGGCGTGGACTTTTACTGCCAGCTTGGAGAGGCACTCGATCGGCACGCCCTGGCGGGTGCAGACATGTTTGTTCGACGCAGCAAGTCGCGAGATTTGCAGCGAGCTCGCCTCTCCTCTGCCTTGCGCGAGCAGTCCGTCCCGTCCACTCCGACCGTTCCCAGCGTCCCGACAACCCCTTCGTCTGCCCTGACGCTCAATCTGACACCCCTGCCCACCGTGCCAGCCTCTCCATCATCGCTTCACACGCCTCTGGGCAACGCTCCAAGCCTGCCGCTCAGTCCGCTCGCATCAAACAATGACGACATGTTCACTGTGCAGCAACAGCAGTCGCAACTGACCCAGCAACAGCACCTGCAGCAGCAGCAATATGCCTTTAGCCAGGCGCAAGCGTGGCGCACTCGAATGCAGCAAGAGCAAGCAGAATTGGCCGCCCAGCGCGCCATATTCGAGATGGAGCTCCAACGCCAGCAGCAGGAAAAGCAGGCACAGCTCTTGTTGCAGCAGCAAAAGCTTGAACAAGCGCAGCGCGAGGCTCAAGAGCAAGCAGCGGTTGCAGCAGCTGCCGCTGCGGCGCGCGCATTCCAGCAACGCCAGCAACAGTTGTTGCAAGAGCAGCAGCAGCAGCAGCAGCAGCAGCAGCAGCAGCAACAACAGCAGCAACAACAGCAACAGCAACAACAGCAAATGCAAATGCAAATGCAAATGCAGCAACCAACGTTCGCCCCTGGACTCGCGGAGATTCCTGCCGACTTGCCTGCAGTTTCGAGTACCATGGGTGGTGTGGGTGACGAGTTGAGCGCCTTGCGATCCCGGCTGGCTGCTATGGCGGTTCACGCCGACCCCCTTTCGAGCAACACTCTGCATCACCATCAGCCACAGCAATACCAAGCGCAGCAGCAACAGCAGCCGCAGCAACAGCAACAACAGCAGTATCAGCAACAGCAGCAGCAGTTTGGATCGCCGTTGCAGCAACCAGCAGTTGCACTGCCCGCAGGACGGTTCCGCGACAGCTCTCTGTTTGCCGAGTCGGCGTTCTCTGTGAGCTTTGCCGTCCCCCAGTCGGGATTGCAGCCTGCTCCTCACATTGTCGGGTCGTGGACTCCGCTGCCAGACTCGTCTTTGGCTCCGTTCCAGCATCTTGGGGGCGACACGTCCCTGCGTACGTTTGGTCTCAGCGGCGACGCGACAAATGGTGTGGGACTACGGCAGCAAGAACAGGCTCAGGTGCCGCACCAGCACCAGCAGCAGCCGGTTTCCGAGTACGAGTTCTCGTCATCTGCGCTGTCCAACCAACTTTCGTCAGCCAATCATCAACAGGTGCTGACATTGCCGCAGCAACATCAACCGGAACAACACTCCTTCCCCGATCGGTTCAATAGCTTGCAACAGCAACAGCCACATCAGCAGCCACATCAGCACCAACAACAGTATCAACAACAGCAGCAGCCTTCTCCTGCAGCGTACGCAGGCTCCTTCCAGTCGCAGGAACAACAGCCAGCGGGTGGACGGTTTGATCCATTCTCGGCCCCTTCGACAGAAATGATGTCTGCTCCGTCAACGTCTCTCTTCAGCCTCTCGCCGCACGATTCTCTGACGAACAGCGCCAGTAACAGCAGCTCGCATGGACGCGGGATGAGTTATGGGTATCAGGCAGCAGCGTCGCAACAACAGCCACAGCAGCAACATCATCACCAGCAACATCAGCAACAGCAACAACAGCCTCCTTCGCGAGATTTTGCCTTGTTTGCAAGTCCCGCCCTCGGAAATGGCATCAATGGAGGTCACGACTCGCTGTTGTACGGCGGCGACAAGTATCAATCGCTGGATCATCAGTACCAGCAATCATCTTTGCAACAGCTTGTTCCCAGCAATGCGAGCTCGAGTCACAATTCAAGCTCCTTGTTTGATCGTTCTCCCGTATCGCCGCCAGTGATGCAAAGTCCCAAGCAGCAGCCCCACCAAACGCAGTCGCAGCTGGTCTCCTCGCAGTACCAACAGCAACAGCAGCAGCAGCAGCACCAACTGCAGCAAGAGCATCAGCAATACCAACAGTATGTTCCGCCGGCATCGGAAGCGACGGATGGGTTTGGCTACCAAACACCCGCGTCTGCCAATCGAGCATTTGATCTCAACTCGTTCCATCCGCAGCCAGCTCAGCAGCAGCAGCAGCAGCAGCAGCAGCAGCATCAACCTCAGCAGCAATCTTACTCGCCTCAAGTTCAGCTATCGCAGCCAACGTCGTACATTTCCGAACTCTCCGCCCTGCAACAGCAACAGCCGCAACAACACCAGAGCCAATACGCGGCTTTCGGTTATCAGCCCTCCAATGCCCAGCAGGTTCCACAACAGACACAAGTGTACTCGACGTTGCAACACTCAACGCAAGGAGCGTATGTGCCGCAACAAGGTTTGCATACGCAGAGCTATTCCTCCGAACCTCAGCAGCATTCGACTCTTGCTTCTCCCCAATCCTCCTGGTCGAGTCAATCTTTGCAGATGCAACAGCCGGTCTATGTTCCGCAGCAGCAGCAGCAGCAGCAGCAAGCCTGGTCGAGTCTGCCACAGAGCCAGTATTCTGCTTCAAGTTATCAGAACTCGCACGCTGGGGTGAATGCTGAGCTGTCGTATGGTTTGCCGCAGCAACAGCAGCAACAACAACAAGAGCCTTTGCAGCAACATCAATCAAATCCTCCGCAGCAGTCGTTTGAACAGCCAATCTACTCGCAGCAGCAGACCCAGCAGCAGCAGCAGTATCAGCCCTATCAGCAACAGGTCCAATCGTCCTACCAGAGCCACGCGCCTCAAGCGAGCCAGTCGTTGTTTTCGGCACAACAGCAACCGACGTCATACGACGCCCAGCAGTCGTATGGTGGTGCGCCGCAGCAGCAGCAGTCGTACATGTCCGAGTTGCCCTACCAGCCCCAGCAGCTGCTTGTTCCACCTCAAGCGTCTCTCAGCCAAGTCGACCAACTGCTGCTGCTCTAATATCGCGCCGAGTTGTCTCAAATCCGTGTGATTGTTTCGTGTAAATCCACTGTGTTTCCGAATTTTCCAATTCTTTACTTGTATTTCTTTTTTTCGTTCTCGTTCATTCTGTTATTTTATTTTCTTCTTTTCTGAGATTCAATTTTCTTCATTACTTCATTCTTTTTTTTTTTTTTTTCTCCACTGTTTCTACACTTTTTTCTATTTCCGTGTTTTCGAGCGTGAAACTCAATTAAAAACAACAAACAAAAAACAGCAAACAATACGATAAATAAAGCAACTTTCCTCACACTTTTCACCACAAAAAACCAAACCAAAATGTCGCGTCCGCTTGTGATGAGCGGCAGCAGCAGCAGCAGCAGCGCGAATGCAACATCATCATCATCACTGTCATCATCACTGTCATCATCATCATCATCATCATCCGGTGCGAGTGGGAATGCGAGTGGCGGTGGCTCCAATCCGGCCATCTGGCGAACCCAACTCCGATCCACAACATCATCACCCCCATCAACCGCAGCGACCACCACGACCACGACCAGTGCTCAGTCGCAGCGACCAGTGCCGCCTGCTGGGAAGCCCACCTCATTGTCATCATCCCCCTCAGCAGCAGCAGCAGCTTCGTCGTCCCGTGTCAGCGCTTCGCCGTTCGCCTGGTCGGCCTCGTCTCCGTCCCTGCTTCCCTCTGCATCCTCATCCTCGTCCTCAGCTCGGCCTCAGCAGCAGCAGACCTCCTCTGTCGCCTTCTCGGCAGCGCCTGCACGACCGTCCCCTCCTCCGTCGACCGCCGCGGTGCGCCCAAAGCCGTCTCCATCCGTGCTCACCTCGTTCCCCAAGCCCTCTCCCGCTGCGTCGTCCTCCTCCTCCTCTTCGCCGGTCTCTGGCCTACCACCCACGAACTCGAGCTCAAGTTCAAACCCTAGTTCAAGCGCAACCCCAAGCGCAAACCCAAGCGCAAGACCTCCCAGACCGGCGTCGGTGGTTCGCAGCGCCTCGTCGCCAAATGCGGCTGCGCGTCCGCCTGCACGGCCAATCCCTGCGACCACTGCTGGCCAGTCGTCGTCGTCGTCGTCGTCGCCGCTGTCCTCGTCGCCTTCATCTTCATCACTAGTGCCTGATCAAGCTCCGTCTGCGCTGTCATCGGCGATATCGTCCATGGGATCGCGCATGAATGGCGGATTTACGCGCGGCGGATCGCTCAAGGTGAACGGCGAGGCCAGCACCAGACGCCCACCGCCCGCGCGCCGTGCGCCAAGCGATCTGTCATCGTCTCGCTCGAGCGATGAAGCTGCGGCAGAGCCACTCACCACCCAGACGGTCGGGACAACGACGTTTGTGTCGCGCAGGTCGCGGCAATCTGTCACCCCGTCGGGCGTTTCCGTCGCCGTCACTGGGTACGACAAGCGCAGTGACGCGTACACCAACTCCAAGTTCATTGTAAGATGCCCTTTGATGAGTCATTGCTGTGATTGTATTTGGACAAAGAGCCAAGGGGGTGTGAGAATTGAAGCTCCGCTGCTTTTCAGCCCTGGTATCTGAGTCGAACCGTCGACTCTTGCACACTGGCGCCACTCACCTCACCTCACACACATCCTTCCACTCTGTTGCCTTTTTTTCTTTTGTTGCCTTCAGGTCTTTGTCGTCGAGGTCACCGCGGTCAGCGGCATCACCGAAACCATCTACCGCCGCTTCCCTCAGTTCCGAGAGATGCACCGCAAGCTCAGCAAGCTGTTTGCCGGGCGTGACGAGCTGGATACGTCTGCCATTCCCATCCCTGCCCTCCCGAACGTCAAGGAGAACATTTTCACGGATTACAACGCCGCCTGTCAGGAGCTGGACGACATGATGCAGGTACGCACGCGTCCGTTATTCGTCATTGTAGAGGATTTTCTTGGCCTTGCGCGCGTGTTTTTCTGACTCTGTGGGGATGGTGGTGGTTTGCAGGCCATCATGGCGTTGCCCGACGTGGTCATCCAATGCGAGCTGCTTCGCACATTCTTGACGGCCACTGCCAAGGACGTGGCGGCCAAGCAAGCTGCGGATGGGTTGTCTTCCCAAGACGAGTGAGTTGGAAGGCGGAGGAGCGTAGATTGTGAAAGTTTCGCTGGAAGCAATTGTTTTTGTTTATTTTTCGCTTGAGCTTCGTTCTGACGCTCTTTCTCTCTCCCTCCCCCCGCTCTCCCCTCTTCCTGATCAAACAGAACCGACACAACCGCTGTGATCTCTGCCGAGGTCATTGATTTCAGGAAGGTCTTTGATCCGGACAAATTTTATGTGAGTGTTATGTCACGGAAAATTGCTGACTCAGCAAGTTTTTTTTCCCCTTGGCGATTGTTGTTTCGTCGCCCCCCCCCCGTCGTTCGCCATCATGATATCATGATGATCTGCCCTGCTTTCCCTTCTGCGAAAAAAACATCATCGAGTGGTGATTCGCGGAGAGGGGTGCGGTAGTTGAGCAAAACGCCCAAGAGAGGTTTTCGCAAGCGAGCCACTCGAACTGCTTCCAAGTCAATCGCAATTGAGCCTAAAGCAATTTCCTCATTCGGATGGATTGGTGGGATCACAACATGAACCCCTGACGCCACTGAAATGGCAGTTCGAAATACGACACTCGCTTGCTCTCCTTTTTTTTTTTTTTTTTTCGTTTTTTTTTTCTTTTTTTTTTCTTCTCAACCTTGTTTCTTCCTAGTGAATTTACTCTCACCTTGCGTTTTACTGACCTTAATTGTCATTGTCAGGTGTACTTGATCGAGGCGAAGCGCAGGGACGGCACGTTGGTTTACGTGCTGCGACGCTACAGCGAATTTTTCGATCTCAACGAGCGGATTTGCGAGGCATTCCCGGGCGATAAAACCACCTTGACCAATGCGTTGCCGGAGAAGATTCTACTTGGGCGAAGTAAGTGGTTGAAGCGAGTGTTTGACAAGCTTGTCATTTTGAAGCGCGCCTGGTTCTGATCGCTCTGTCCGGACTTTAGGCCAAAAGAACGACGTCGCTGCGAAGCGTGTCAAGAAACTCGACAAGTACATCCAGGTAGGCGATTTTTTTGCACTGTTTGTTGAAAACGATTTGCCAAAGCTGACTTTTTTGTTTTGTGGCTGGCGTTTTCATAGGCTGTCATGAGCATCCCGCAGGTCCGGGACTCGGCCGTTGTTCGAACATTCCTCACTCCGTCCTACAAGGACGCCCTGTACATTCAGCAAATCGAAAAATTGATGGCCACCGGCGGTACCGTGCCGAACGGATTTAGTCTTTGAGTTCAACATTGAGCGTTTTTTTTTTTTTGTTTCTATCATGGAAATCCACCATGACAGTGCTTGTAGTTTGAAAATACACTGGCCATCGATAGTACTGTCTATTGAACATATTTGTATTGACAATCCCTTGGCTCAGTACAACAAAATGAGACACAAAGTTCACACACAAACTACTTTTCGGCACGAGACTCGCGGATGGACATGCCTGCAGAAGTGTAGATGCTGTCAATCAACCGCATATTCAGCACCGCATCGTGTGCATCGGTGAGGATGGCCGCGCGGTTGTTGTTCAGGGTGGCGTCCGCAAACGCCTCGAGCATCAGACCGTAGGTCGATCGTGCCTTGGTAAAGCTCTCGCTGGTCTTCTTGCCGCTGGCCGTCTTGAGGGTGACATTGTTGTACACCACGTGCGGGGCGAGCCAGTTGGTCGCCGTGATTTGCGCTTGCCCGTTCGCGCCACGAATGTCAATCGAGATGCGAGGGATGAGCGACCACATCGATGTCTCGATCAAGGCCGTGACGGAGCTTCCGCTGGTTGTTTGCAGCTCGGCGCGCATGGACTGGTCGACACGCCCGTCTTTGCGCAAAGGGGTGGCCGTGGCGGACACAATATCGAGCTCTTCTCCGATGAGGTAGCTGAGGGGAGCCAAGAAAGAAGAAAAAGGAAAAGCAAACCGAAAAAAACACCAGAACAACAACACGAGGCTTTAGAAAAGCTGCAGAGGCAGAGAAGCGAGCAAACGCAATTTCGGCTTTTTTTTTTTTTTTTTTTTTTTACCGGACGCAGTTGGCCGTGTAGCAGCCCGTGTCCATCATTGAGCCTCCGCCGAGGTCGTACTGCCAGCGAATGTCGTTGGAGGAAAAGACAGCAAAGGCAAACTTGACGTGCACGTGACGCAGCGGAGACTCCATCGCGTTTGTCAGGATGAGCTCGCGCACGCGTTGAATGAGCGGGTGGTAGCGGTAGTGGAACGCCTCCATCAGGACCTTGCCGGATTTCTCTGCAGCGACGGCCATGGTTTCTGCGTGCGTGAACAACGTGAGGAGTTGAGCGATAAGTGGCAACATTTTTGCTTCAACTTCAACAGCCAAACCTGCTTCCTGGGCATTGTTGGAGATTGGCTTTTCGCACAGGACGTGCTTTCCAGCCTGAAGCGCCTTGATCGTCCATTCGCAGTGGTGGCTATTTGGCAAGCCAATGTAGATTGCATCAATGTCCTAAAAGGCGGAAATCAGACCAACAAAACAAAACAAAAACAAAAAGTCGAGGCTTTTGCTCCATTCGTTCGCTCGTCCAGCATCCAAACTACATGTGATATTGCTTACCGCATCATGAATGAGCTGGTCGTATGTGTCAAACACGCGCGGAATGCCGTGCTTCTTTGCGAACGAGCGTGCACGAGCGACATCGCGCGCAGCAATCGCCGTCACCTCGACCGTCGGTACCTGTGCCAGATGGGGGGGGGGGGGTTTCATGGTTTTGAGGTGGTAAGTTTGAGGTGTTTGGCTGGTCTGCTATGGTTGTCTTGTATCGGAGCACAACGCAACGTATACTAAAAACTCAGAGTTTTTTGTGAGATTGACACTGCCTCACCCTAACCCCTTTCCATTTCCCATACACCACCACCCCGCATCTATTACTCGAGGTTGAGCAACGCCGCATTCTGCCAGGACGGTGTGGCTTGCACAAACCTCGGTCTTGGCAGGGTTGATGACGGCCATTGGCGCAATCCACGACGCGCCGAGCACTCCAAGGCGCAGACGACGGCCTCCTGCTGCGTTGCTGCTGCTGTTGCTGCTGCTGCTGCTGTTGCTGCTGCTATGCGATGGTGCAGTAGCGTCACTTGCACTGCTGGTTGCAGCAGACGTCGATGCCATTGTTCACTCAATTGCACTACTCAAAAAAAAAAACTCAGACAGCAAACGAAAAGAGAAAGAGTGAAAAAGCACTTTCCGTCAATGCATTATTTTATTATCATCGACCAACTGTTCATGTTCCGGGTGTTGGTGGTCGTCTGCTCCTTGCCAATCGCCCCAAATGCAACTCTAATGCATATTCACTGTTAACCCTCCCTTCCTTCCATCCTCTCCCTTCCCCTATTTCGTTGACCTTTTTCTCATTTTGTGACTCTGACGTCTCTATCTCTTTTTGTGTTTTCCATTACACGCGCTCACTCACTCTTTTGAACTCGCTCACTCATTCAACTCCAATTGAATTGTCACCATCACGAATACGCAACACTAAGCAAACAAGCAAACATGTCTGCGCATGTCAATCTGCTCGAGAACAGAGTCAGCCTGGGCGAGCTGGATCGCACTCGTAAGAAAGCCAGAAGCAAGCAGAGGAGTAGCAGGGGGGGCAGTAGTAGAAGGGAGAGCAGACGGAGGTTTAAAAGGGAAGGCCTCAGTAGTGCTCAGTGCTCAACCCCCGTCCCCGACCAACCCAAACTCCAAATGACGGATGCGCTTTGGCATTCGAGCCATTGAGCAAAAAAGCACCTTCGTTGGGGACAAGGGAGAGGTGACCAGATGGGGCTGCTGGGGTAGTGCTGTCGGCCATGTTCCCGCACTCACTCACTCGCTGCTGCACTCCATGCAAGTCCCACCGCACGCGCACTCACAGCGTCACTTTGTCATGCTGGCTGGATTTGCAGAGTCCCTCACTCCCTCTCCCTCATTCACCACGGGGGTTGGATTGGCTGAAGCACTCCGAACTTGAAAGAAAGAAAAAAAAAAAAAAAAAAAGACCGCGCAATTTCTCAGACATCGAGTGCATCAATATTGTTCACACTAACTCATTGAATTTTGACCGTTTTTGATTGCAATTTGCGACAGTGGCATCGGACTCGCTCGAGCGAAGGGCGTCAGACTCGGAGCTCATGAAGCGACAGTCATTCCTGTCGCTGGTCGACGATCTGCACAAGCAAGAGAAGGCTCAATCGGAGCTGAATGGCGAGCATACCGCCTCACGAGGTGTCGCAGAGCCTCAGGCAGGCCACCACTTTCCACCAGTTCCAGCTCATCAGCAAAAACTACTAGACCAACAGCAACCGCAACAATCACTACAACAGCCGTGGCAGCCAGCCTTGGACTACACTCCCACGGTTGTCCAGTATGCTCCCGCCGTCTTCAGGGCCCAGCCGCCAGCACCAATCCCGATACATGGGCAACCGCCTCAGTTTATCATGCAAGTGCTTCCCTCGACTCCGCTGACAACTGCTCCTCCGGCTTCAGCCACACGAGGCAGCACTCGATCCCAGCAACAGCAGCAGCAGCAGCAGCAGCAAGCATCAGCAGCAGCTGCTGCAACATCGCAATGGCACGCGCAAGACGATGACCACAATGTACGTTCGTGAGAGTCTTGCATTGGGTTTACAACATTTGCCAGATTTCCAACTGCTTCTTCTTCTTCTTCTTCTTTTTCTTGTCGTGTGCTCTTTTGGTCTTGTCGTCACCTCTAGGACACGTCGTCGGACGCGGAATCTCAGCATGGATTCTCCACCACTCGACCGGCGGACAAAAAGCAGCGCCGCCTGCAAAAAAACCGCGAGGCTGCCAAGGAGTGCCGAAGAAAGAAGAAGGAGTACATTTCGACGCTCGAAGACCGCGTCAAGGTTCTTGAGCAGCAGAACAGCGCGCTGACGGAGGAAGTCAAGCGACTGCAAGCGGCTCTTGCACAACGGTCCTGAGCGCAATGACGACACCGAGAGCTGTGTGTGTGTGTGTGTGTGTGTGTATGTTGTGAGCCATCTGTTTGTTTGGTTGAGCATGTTAAGGTGGGCTGTCTTGGGTGGCTGATGGCGGTCGATTGAAGCGGCTGTGAATTGTGTCGTTTTGTTTGAAGTGTGTATTTTTCTTCGTTTTTTTTACCTTCCCCGCATCCAAGTCTACTTTTTCATTGAGTTTCAGTTGCTTCGTTTTTCTTGTCCAGTCTTCTTCTTTCTTTGTCTCTCTTCATCAATGTCGACGGCGGACGGCTTCTGCCATACGCTCATCACTTGGGCGCCGATTGGCAAGATTGGCCTGCTGTCGTTTGTCTTTGCCATCATCCAGTTTGTCACGGTAAACCAACAAAAGCGAGGCAACAAAAGCGACGAGCTACATTGCAACAAGGGAGTAACTGGACTGGACTGGAGAGAGAGACGAGAGCCGAGAGACGAGAGAGAGGTAGAAGGGGGGCGGTTTCAAAGTTCACACACAGTGAAGGGGAAGCGAAGGGACTGTCCGGGGGTCCGCCAGCCTCAGCGCAATGAAAGCGAGCGCCAGACAGAGACAGAGTGAGAGCGAGAGAGAGTGAGAGAGAGTCACCAGGGGGAGCGGAAACAGCCACTCTTTGCATATGGGATTGACAATGCAATGCAAAACCAGCTTTTTTCCATTGAATTCAAAAGCAAAACCGCTCTCTCGCTTTGCAGTCGAGGAGGGGAGGGGAGGGGAGTCTGCTTCCCCCATTAAGGGCTGGCGTGTGATCGATGGAGTGGAATGCTTCTTCCCTCCCTTTGGACATCAGAGGACGAATGAAAGCCAGTCAGACAGCAGAGAGACACTGAAAACAAAGAAATGCAATGCAAAACTCAATGAAAAGTGTCGTGGCGCAAAAAAAAAAAAAAAAAAAAAAAAAAAAAAAAAAAAAAAAAAAAAGACGCTCAGACCGAGGCCATGTTTGGCAATACAATGTTCACAATGGTTGATCGCAAAAAGCTCGCCTTGAACAGAACCAGCCAACGAACGAGACCTGGGGAAACTGAAAAAAAATCTCAGACATTCATTTTACTCACCCCGTTTCAATTGCCCTTGCCTCCTCTTACTCCTACAGATCTTGGTAATAGTATTCTGGCTGCACCAGCAGTCCCGACTAGCACTCAAGGGAGACAGCGTGGCGGCTGCACGCCTCATTCTCCCGTTTTACATGGCGACCTTGTACGCATTCGCATTCGCAGACCTCTTCCAGGGCTCCATCAGCATAGGGCTGTCCATCGAAATCGACGGACCGAACGCCGTCCCAGCCAGCATCCTGTATGGCGCCGGATGGGGCTTTTACCACATTGTGCTCGACGGCATTGCCTTCTTTCTCATGCAGCAGGGTGGCGGCACACGCGCCGTCATCCGCGCATGCATTGCCGCGGTCATTTGGGGCGGTGTCATCACCACAACGGTTCACACCTTTGCGTACTATCTCGGAGAGACCCCGCTGTCGCTCGGCTTGCAGCTCGGCTGGGAGTTTGTCACGATCGTCTTTTACCTCGTGATGGCGCTGGCTCCGCTCTCGCACGTCTTCCGGCGCCCGGCGCTCTTTGTTTACTCTGTGTTTTGGATTTGCGAGCGCTCCATGTACGTCATTGCCATCCTGCTCGAGTACTTTGAGATTGACGCAGGCGACTGTCTGTCCATGTTTGTGCTGTGGGTCCTCTTTGGCTGCGTCAAGCCCTTGGTTGTGTATCGCACCCTTCTGCACGACTCCGAGTACTGGCAGGGTCTGTACCAGCCTGCCCCTGTCGAAGATGCAGACATCCGGCGCGCATCCGCTGCTCCTTCCAACGGACCCTCCATGACCCAGTTCCCGCGCGACTCGATCACGTCGTACGACCCAGACGCTGCCTCCGTCTCGATCGACGAGGACCGCGTCTCGCACTACTCTGGCTACCAGCCATACTCGTCGACGTGGCACGACGACACGCAGTCATTGGGCGGCGGTGGTGAACACAACAACAAACGCGCCAGCGGCACCCACAACAATAGCAGCGTGACTGGCTCGCAGCCCGATCGGAATCGCGCCAGTATTACACAGCCACTGCTGGGCACCTCGCTAAGCTCCCACTCTGCGCGCGAGCTTGCGGCGCGCGTGGACGAGCTCCACAAGGGCGTCAACATTATCAACTATGCCTTCTTGTCGATGGACGCCAACCACTTTATCGGCATGGGAGGCTTGTCCAAGGTCTTCCGGGGCGAGCTGCACGGCAGGCCGGTTGCCATCAAGATTGTGTTTTGCGTCGACCTGACGCCAGCCATCATTAGCAACTTTTGTCGCGAGAGCGCCCTGCTGAGCGCGCTCAACCACCCGAATATCGTCAAGGTTGAAGGCGTGTGCATTGTGCCGCCGTCCCTCTGTCTCGTCATGGAGCTCTGCGACTGCTCCTTGTTTGATCGTCTGCGCGATTCCGCCCGGCCTCTGGACTGGTTTACCCGGCTAAGAATCGCCACCGACTGCGCCAAAGGCATTGCGTTTTTGCACGAGCAGCGCATTTTGCACATGGACCTCAAGTCGAGCAACTTTTTGATTGGCGTGGACGGCCTTGCCAAAGTGTCTGATTTCGAGCTTTCACAGCGCGTTCCAGATCGGTCTCATTCCGGCAAATCCGGTCGCCGAGCAACATTCAAGTCAAATAGTCCATCACTACTGCAGCAGCAGCAACAGCAGCAGCAGCAGGAAACACACACCGACCCTGCGTCCGATGCTGCTGCCGCCGCCTCAAGCTCTGCATCTGCATCTGCTTCTTCTTCTTCTTCTTCGAACGCATTCTCTTTGTATGTGGACAATGTTCAAGTCCCGGAAACGGTCAATTGGTCTGCTCCAGAAGTGATATCAAGCGGCATGTTCACAGACAGGTCGGACGTGTACTCGCTGGGCATGGTCTTGTTTGAGATTGTCACTGGCCAAGTGCCCTATGACGACCCACTGTACCGACGCCCGACCGCAAACTCTGGGCCTTCATCGCTCACAAACTCTGGCATCTTTGGAAGCTTGCCCGGGTCGCGCGTGGAATCGCTGAACGATCGCACTCCGTTGCTCCAGGATGTTACAACGCACGCGTCAGCGTCGTCACAGCCAAAGTGGTTTGATCGGTTGCCACGGAACAACCAGTACCTCGCCTTGCTCATCTGCGAACAAAAGTTGCGGCCGTCCATTCCCAGCGACTGCCCGCCTCGATTCACCGCCCTGATGCAAGCGTGTTGGCAGCACGACGCCGAACGTCGGCCAACAGCGTTCGAAGTTGCCGCAGAGCTCCAAGCAATGCTTGAGGAATCAGCTGCGCAAGAACCCAATCTTGTTCCCGTCTAAAAACACGTTTGTTTTGCGATTGTTTATTTTGCTTGTTATTTTTCGGAAAAGTTTATTGATTAACAGATTAGAAATGATTACATCCCCAAAGCGGAAACCTGTATTAATTCATAACAAGCATGAAGAAGAAAGAAAGAAAATTGATGTACATTTTTTTTGTGTGTTGTTGTTGATGTGGCTTAAAAGAACGAAAGCAGGCTGCTGCGACTGGGCGTGGTGGAGGAAGGCCGCGATGCGGGCTGTGCGACAGCTGGGTCGTGCCGCGAAAGAATCGCGCGAGAAATAAGCATGGCATCGTGGAGCGCAACTTTGTGCTTGGTGGCAGAGGCAGCGGCAGCCTCGTCGCGTGACATGGCACCGGAGGATCGTCGACTGCGTAATGCGCCGTTTGCGGGTGCCCCGGCCATGACGGCCAGATCTGGCAGCGAGGCCGTGGAGGTGCTCCTTCGATGGGAGGTCGTTGCGCTAGCACGGCCCGCGCTGCTGGACGACGCAGCGATTGGCCCGGCTTCATGGGCGAACGAGAGCCGGCGTGTCGTGCTGTACGACAATCCACCAACCATGGTCACTTCAGCGGCGGCCGGCGCAGTGTCCACGTGCCAGTCTGCGACACTTCTTGGAACGCGCGATGCACTGTTGGACAGAGACGGTGGCTGTGGAGTGGAAGCACTGGACGAGGTCGACGAGCGAGACACGAAGGATGCCGGCACTTGCCGCAGAGGAGTGAAAGCCGACGTGTTGCTGTACGCTTGCTGGTGTTGGAGTTGCTGCTCGGCCGACACGTGAAGATGCCGTGGGGTTGGTCGAACAGGCTGAGGCGGAGGAGGAGGAGGGGCGGCTGCAGAAGTCTTGGACGAGTGCGACGAGGCTCGGGAGCGAGGCTGCGAGGCTGCGGGCTGGGGTTGACGAGGCTGCGAGACGGGGAGGAGGAGCTGCTGTCGGTGTCCAAGCAATTGCTCCTGGTTGGCAAGCTGCTGTTGGTGTTGAAGCTGCTGGAGTTGCAAGAGCCGCTGTTGTTGTTGCTGCACTTGCTGCTGCAGGACGAGCAGCGCGGCGTACTCGGATTCCACAATGCTGGGCGCCCTGGTTTCGTGCGTGAGAGGGCTGCTGTGGAAGTCCAGATCCGTCAAGGGATCCGAGCTGGCAGACCGCGGCAGTGCCGCAGCGGCGGAGCTCTTGGGCATGTGAAGCGGAGATCCCGGTAGCGAGGCGCTTGTTGGTGGCGGCAGTCCACTCACCGCCGAGGCAATAACGTCGCCAATGGTATCGCTCACGGATGTGCGGTGCGCTGGGCTGTACAACAGGGCCGACGCAGCAGCATGCGCCGCCGCGCTGGGATCGGTACTGCTTGGCTTGGGCGGCGTAGCGGGAGCTCGTGGCGGCACACCCAGCATCGGCGGACTCGCGTCCGGTGCAATGGCTCCGTGTGGCTGCTGCGCTGGCGGCGCGGCAACGTCGTGCTCGTCAAACTCGGAGCCGAGGAATGGCGACGATCCGAGCGACGAGCCCCGCGACGAAGTAAAGCGATGGGCAACACCCGTGTCCGCACTGCTCGTTGAATAGGGATACATGGTCGCCGCCGAGTTGCTCAGCGTGGCCAAATGAGCAGTGATGGTATTGCGCGACGGATTGAGCAACTCGGCAACCTCGTTTTCGGGATCTTCGGTGCCCGACATGGTACTTAGCACAGACTGGAGCGAGAAGGATGTTGCTCTACTCCTTGGTGGAGATGACGAAGGTGTGACGAACGGTGTCGTATCCGGGTGCCATTCGGTCGGGTCTTGTTTCTGGCGCGCAAAAAAAAAAACCAAACAAAGCAAAGCGAAAAACAAACAAGTTAGGTCTTCCTTCTCCGCAGTGCACACACACACACACACACACACACACACACACACACACACACACACACACACACACACACACACACACACACAACATACAACACCCCCCCCCTCCTCTTGAATTACCTTTGTTGTATCGTTCACCTCCTTGCCGAGGGAAATAAGATGGACCATCCGGGGCAGATCGTGGTTGACGAGGATTCGCAGCTGCTCTTCAATCATGTTTTGCAGCTGCCGCTTGACGTTGGCCTGGTCGTCGAATGTCGTGTTGACCTTGACGCTTTTGAGGGGATCGCTCTTGAACGAGAGCGAGACGCCCGTCTTGAGGCCGACGTCCAGCACGCAGACGCCGTTCAATCGAAACGCGCTGATGCGGACCTCCATGGGGACCACCAGCCGCTTGTTTGCAGCCAGAATGCCGTGTCTTGTGATTGCCGACCTCGGCTTGGTCGGGTGGATTGGGTTTGCTTGAGCCTTCGTGTGCAGTACAATGTGTGCGTCGCCGGCGTAGGCCAGCTCAAAGATGCCTCGGAAGTGATCCGCGCCAATCTCGCAGATTTCGAGAATAGAGAGCTCTGGGGGCTATTTCAAGCACAAGTGTCGTGAGTGCATGGGTGATGTTCGATGTCGTACCATTGTGGTGCAGCAAGCAGTGCAGTCGAGCAGCACTCCACTTGCAGCCCCTTCCTCCACTTCCAACCAACTTTTTCCGCACTTTCCAATGGGAGCAAGCGGACGCTTTCACGTTGGCTTACAGTGGTGCCGAGGTGCAGCTCGTGGACAATAATGTCGTCGGCAATGGCTGGATGACGATCGCCCTTGTTCAGTGCAGCAGTCATCTCGCGCCGTGCTTCGGCTAGCAGCGTCGGGTCAAACGGTCCCCAGTTGAACCGGAAGGCCATCGTTGGATAGAGGCAGGGCAGGAGAGTCAGGGTCCTAGGGAGAATGGGGGAGGGATTTGGGGATTTGGGGGGTTAGGGTTAGGATGAGAGCTCAGTCTGAGAATCAGCGACTGAATAGTGGATAGTGAAAAAGTGAATAGGGAAACAGAATGGTGACTGAATCATTTTTACATTGGATCATGGATCACTGCATTGACATCGCATCACCTACGAAACATCAAGTCAATCAGGCTGACGGGACTGGTCGTCGCTTTTCGACAATTTCAGTGCCAGGCTTGCAGGACGGCAAAGCGCGCCAAAGTGCATCGAATCGAACATCAGAGATATCTTGTGAATCCATCAAGGACAGCATGGCTATGTGAGTCGAAAGGAGCGTCAAGTTTTGGAAGAAGTGCAGCAGTTTTGCCAGTGATCAACTTGGGGGATGGCACTTCTTTGTGGCTCGTTGAGCTTCTGCTGAGCTGTGCAAGTCTGAATACTCCTCTGATGCGATTGAAACCAAAGTCCTTGAGGAGAGGGGAGGGGGAGCGCGGGGGTGTGGCGCTTTTGGAAGTTGCATCCGCCACGAGTGTGTTTTGCCATCCAATCTTGCCCCTCCGAGCAGCCTCTCACACAACGCACAAGCAGAAGAATACAATGGAGAGCAGTACGTCCAACATGGCGCTCGAACCAAAGCTCCAACACAAGCACACAAGGCTCGAGAAATACAACAAACAACAGGAAGCACGGAGAAAAGCGGAGGATTGCGCGAGCCTCGACCACTTTCCCTCGACTGTCCGCTTTGCTCCAGTCTGCCGATCTCCAGTGCCTGTCGAGGCCTCGTAGACCGCAAAGACGAGGCCTTTTAGTACGCTGCATGTCACCTGCAATTTTATGGGGTTTTACGGGACGCAGGATGAGGTTTTACAAGATTTACAGTTCAGCGGAAGTTTTGTTCCATTGGGATTGCGTGAGCCTCGACCACTTGTACTCTGCCGGCTCCTCCGCTCGTTGTTCCCGCAAACCCCGCTTCAAAAGCCAGCAGTGCCTCGATTAGGAAGAGGCTCACTCTCGCAATTTTTGAACTAGTTTCATCGAACATTTTGGTTGTGTTTCGGAGGCATTCAGAAAAACGAGTAAGGCAAAGGACGAACAATGTTGGATGTTTGATGTTGGATGTTGGATCGAAGGGTTCAGGTCGATTATCTGAGAATAAGGAAATGGGGCAAAAGGCAGTATCATCCTGACTTTGCGCTGCCGTTTTCACACCAGACTCTCGATTTCACATCAACAAGCAAGCAAGCAATCAAGAAACAAAAATGTCTGCAACACAGAAACAGCAACATCACGTCGTGATTGTCGGCATGCAGTTTGCCGGATCGGCAGTGCTCAAGGCGCTCATCAAAAACCCACAGGTGCGCATCACCATTGTCGATTCAAAGGACTACTTTGACCTCAATCTGGCAACCCCGCGCGTGCTGGTGCAGCCTGCCATTGCAGAGGCAACGCTGCTCCCGCACGCAACCTGGATTGCCAACCTTGCTCCACAATTCGCCGGTCGCGTCTCGTTTGTGCACGCGCGAATGACCAGAGTGGCATCGACGGCCATCACCGTGCAGCTCGTTGCCACCCAGGCGCTGCAGGACATTGCCTTTGACTTCCTTGTGTTGGCGACCGGATTGGGTGCCGACTACACCAACTCCTTGTTCAAGGCGACTCGCCTCGACGAGACGAGCGCCAAGCGTGTCGCCGCCTTGCAGTCACACAACGCGCGCCTGCTGCCCGCCAAGAAGATTCTCGTTGTGGGAGGAGGCGCGGTTGGCGTTGAAGTTGCCGCGGAAATTGCCACAGACTACCCAGACAAGACCGTCACGCTGGTGCACAGCGGATCCGAGCTGGTAAAGCTCGACCCGAAGAGCAGCAAAGCAGACACGCACGCACGCAAGTTCCTGACCTCGCACAATGTGCAACTGGTGCTTTCAGACCGCATCGACCGCGATGCTGCCAACCAGGCGGCTGCCCTTGCCAGCCACGAAACCCCGCAGACGCTGAAAACCGAGAAGGGAGCTGAGATTACCGCAGACCTCGTCATTGTTGCCCTTCCGCCCAAGGCAGCCGGCGTGTCTGGCGCGCTGTCTGAAAGCTTCCCCGGAGCCATCGACGAGCAAGGCTTGCTGAAGGTCGACCAGTACCTGCGCGTTGCCTCTGCTGGCAACAACAACATTTTTGCCGCAGGCGATGTGACGAACGCCGACGACAAGTTTGCCCATCGCGCCACTGCAGCTGGTGCAGTGGTGGCAGCCAACATTCTCGCCACAATCAAGAAGCCTGCGCAACCGTCGCTCAAAACATACAGCCGGCTCGCTTCGCCAGTCTTTGCCATCAGCATGGGTCGGACCTACGGCTTTGGCCGCCTGCCTCTGCTCGGATACTCGCATGGCTGGCTTGTCACGAGCGTCAAGAGCAAGCAAATGTTTGTGAATGCTGTGCCCTCGACGTTCAAGATTTGAGCGTGCGTTGGTGAAGAGACTATTGATTTGATTTGCGATTAAAAGCCGATATTGCCCTGCATCTATGCCCTCATACTGTACTAGTACCTCCAGCAGCAGCAGCAGCAGTGTCAGTGTCTCGTGCAATGGTGCAATGGAGAACATCCCTCCCCAGTGTTCAGTGAGAAAGAGGGCGCTCTGGTGATCAATCCGTTTGTGAATGTTGGCTCAGTTCTCAGTCTTCTTTGCTTTTCTTCTTTCTTAGTTCTTTTTTTTTCTTATTTCTTTATTTGTTTCTTCTGAGTTTTGTTGTTTGCCAAAATGTTCAAAGGGCTCAAGAACAAGGTTGCTCAGCAACAGCAACAGCAACAGCAGCAACAGCAGCAGCAACAGCCAGCCACCAGCACCCCTACGGATCCACTGACGAACGCTGCTCATCCCACCACCACTCATACTCCGAGCAATGGTGGTGATGGCCTCGATGGGTCGCAATCGGACGACTCGGCGCCGAATCGCAGATCTTCCATTCCCGCCACCAACGCAGCCGATCCACTCAATGCGACTACCACCACAACTTCTTCATCGACGGATGTTGCGACGGACGTGCTTGTCGACCTGTCAACGCCGCCCGCAACGCCAGCCAAAGCGAAGCACCAGCAGCATCAGCACCAGCAGCAGCAATCGGGCGACGTGGCTGTGATTGCGCCGCCAGCGACCCCGCACACGGCCCAGCGAAGCCCAGCGACAACAACAACAACAACACCAGCAGCAGCAGCAGCAGCAGCAGCAGACTCCAGCGTTGGGACGGCGGAGGGCGAGGACGGCAAGCAGACCACCGCCGCCCTCGCTGCTTCGGCCAACCCGGAGAGCATGTCGCGCGCAGAGCTCGTGCAGGCGTACCAGCTCAAGGCAGAGAAGCTCAAGGCGTACGAAGGCAAGCTCAAGACGCTGTGGGCGACATGCAAGGAGCTCAAGGCCGAGAAGGAAGCGCTCACCGCCAAGGTCACCGAGCGCTCCTCGGCCGACGAAGCCAGCAAGATTGCACTGGAAAAGCTCGAAAAGCAACTCGAAGCGCAGCAGGACGCTGCAGCACGCAGGGTGCGCGAGCTCAACGAGGAGAAGCGCCTCGACGCGCTGGCAAAGCAGTCCCTTGCGACAAACTTCCAGAGCGAACTCGCTGCCCGTGAGGCCGAGCTCAACTCTGCATTGGAGGCCGCCGCTTCAGCGACAATCGCAGCGTCTGCTCGTGAAGCAGAGCTCGCTCAGAAGGCGGCGCAAGTCGCTCGTCTCGACCAGCAGCTGGCCGACGCGACCAAGGTGCAGCAGGAGATTGGCGCCAAGCTCGAGTCCCGTGAATTGGATCTCGCGCAGTTGAAGAGCACAGAGCAAGCGCGCGAGCAGCAGGCGGTCTTGCTGCAGCAGCAACTTGCAGCCAAGGAGCAGCAAGTAGCGTCGCTCACGGGCATCCGAGAGACCAACGAGGGCGAACTCGCCCATCTCCATGCTCAGCTCGAGCAGATTCGTGAGCAAAACGCAGCAGCAACCGCAAAGCAGGGCGCGCGGATCCAAGAATTGGAAGCGATTGCAGCTAGCGCGAGCCAGACTGCTTCTCCGCAAGTCTCGGAAGAGCAGATCACGGCAGCGCTTCAAGCAACCCACCAGACGCAAATTGAGCAGCTCGAGCGAGACTGGCGAGCAAAGCACCAAGAGCTGCAAGCGATGCTGGACAAGTCAACCGAGGACTACGCAACTTTGACCCGTCAACTGGACGAGGAGCGCAAGGCGGCCGCGCAAGACAAGCACGAGGTTGAGAGTGCTCTGGCCACCATCGCTCAGCTTCGCGCAGATTTGGAACAGCAAGCCTCGCATGCTCAAACCCAGTTGGCGGAGGTGACCCATCAGCTCGAGGAGGAGCGCAAGGCGGCCGCGCAAGACAAGCACGATGGTGAGAGTGCTCTGACGACCATCGCTCAGCTTCGCGCAGATTTGGAACAGCAGGCCTCGCTTGCCCAGACCCAGCTGGCGGAGGTGCGCCAAGCAACGGAACAAACAATGGCTGAGCAGCATTCAGCTTCTCTGACGCAACTGCGCGCTGAGCTTGCGCAGGAGTTGGCTACTTCTCAGGCCAAGCTTCACGAGCATCTGGAATCATCAAAGGCCTCGGCAGACCAAGCAGAGACCCGCGCGTCACAACTGCAGGCCTCGCTGGAAGAAGCACAACAGGGCAAACAGCAAGCCTTGGACTCGTTGGCGAGCGTGCAAAGCCAACTTGCCCAGGAGACGCAAGCTGCCCAACAAGCGCAAGCCAAGCTTGTCGAGCTGACGAACGCACACAACTCTCTGCTTGCCGATATCGCTCAATCCTCCGATGCGAATGGAGCTGCGACCGCGCAATTGCAGCAGCAGCTAGCCGAGGCCCGAACTCAGCTCGAGTCGCTCGCACAGGAGTGCGCAGCAGCCAAGGCCGCAGCCTCAGATACTCAACGTGAACTGGAACTGGCAGGCAACGCTCGCGCTGCCTCCGCCGACGAGCTGGCATCGGCTTTGTTGGCACGGGATCAGCTGGAAGCCAAAGCGGGCGGTTTGGCCACCGACCTGGCCACCCTCCAACAGCAGCTTGCATCCGAAGTCACAGAGCGTGAACGTTTGGCATCGGGCGCTGCATCCGATAGCGACAATCTGCGGTCTGAACTGTCGGAGAAGTCGGCGACGTTGGCTCAGCTATCAGCTCAGCTTGAGCAAGCAACAACAGAGTGCAATGCGCTGCGAGATGCCGAGAGCGCCGAGCGCGATGCAAAGCTGGCCGCTCAAGCCGACGTTCAGCGCGTTTCGCAACAACTGGACGAAACCCGGCAGCAACTCGATGTCCACCGCGCCGAGCACGACGCTCTCACCACACAACACCAAGCGTCGACGGCCGATCACGCTACCGAAAGGCAAACCCTCTCGCAAACAATCGCATCGCTGCAGCAGCAACTCGACACAGCGTCTGCCAACGCGGCTACCCATGAGACTGCGCTGACCCAGCTGCGCGAAGAAGATGCCGAACGAAAGACCAAGTTTGCCAATTTGAAACGGAATGCCGAGGAGTTGAAGCGACGGTATGACGCCCAAAAGGCGCAAATCGATCAACTGCAGGCGCAAGTCTCCGACGGCGAGGCAGCACGGCAGAAAGACGCCGACGACTCGCGCACTCGTCTCCAAGAAGCCGAGCAGCGTTTGGTCGGAGCGTCTGCCGATGCCGAGGCCCTACGCGCTGACCTGCTGGCATCGCAAGAGCGTGCGGATGCGCTCGTTCGTCAAATTGAGCAGTCCGGTGACGCGGTTGCGCAAGCCGCGGCCAGCGAGCGAGAGCAGATGGAGCAAAAGGTCGGCGAACTTCGCCAGCAAGTGGCCGAAGTGACACGTCAGTTGAACGAGAGCGTCACCCGCGAGCGCCAACTGTCTGAAACGACTGCCGCTGCTGCCACCCGTGCATCTGAGCAACACGATGCGACAGTCCAGCGCCTGAATGCCGACATTGAAGGGCTTCAGCGCGAGCACGCGGCTGCAGTCAGCCATCACGCTGAAGAACTGCAACAGCTTGCAGACCTCCACCGACAGGCCCTCGAGAACGCTCAAGTTGGTCGCGAGAAGGACGTGGTGGAACAAGTCCAGGCCCTCCGAGTAGAGCTTGCGCAGCAGCATGCCACAGAGCTCGAATCCGTGCTCGCCAGCCACACCGCGCTGGTCGCCGAGCTGAAGGCAAACTCGCAATCCAACACAGCCACCCACGAGCAAGCTTTGGACGAAATGCGTGCAGCACACATTCAAGAATTGAGCGCGCTGGCCGCCGAGCGCGCAGCCGAGCAGGCATCCGCTGAAGCGTCGTTGGCCACTCTGCAGCAAGGTGCCGTGGCGTCAAGCCAGAAAATTCAAGAACTCGAGCAGCAGCAGGCCGCAGACGCGACCCAAGTGGCTCAATTGACCGCAGAGCTGCAGCGCGCACGCGAAGAACTGTTGCAGAGCCAGTCGCAGATCGCCCAGGAGGCTGGTGGCGTGTCCCAGCTTCGAGTAGATAACGAGAGTCTGGCGCTGCGATTGGCTGAAGCAGAGCAAGGTGCTGCTCAGTTGAAGTCAGAGACGCTTGATTTGCACGACTCGCTGCGGACTGCGAACGAACAGCTCCTTGAGGCAAGGGCGTTGGTGGAAACGATGACGACAGAGCGCAACGAGCTCAACGAGCGACACCAGCACGCTATCGCCGACCAGCAGACCGCCATGACTGCCGAGCGAGACGAGGCCGTCAACCGCCTGCTTGCCGAGGTGCAGGGCGCGAAAGCAGAGCAGGAAGCAGCGACTACCCGCCTGCAAGAGTGTCAAGCACAGTTGGCTACTGCTGCTGCAGAGTCGGCAGCGCTCTCGCAGCAGGTTCTTGAACTCCAGGCCCAGGCGGAAACCTCGTCTGCGGATTTGGCCCGCGCCTCCAGCGAGCAATCGTCTGTGGTGCAACAGCTGACAGCAGAACGCGACGCTACCCTTCTCGAGCTCACTGCTGGTCGCACGCAGTTGGATGCAGCCCGACAAGAACTGGAATCGCTGCGCTCTGAGCGCGACAAACTTGCCTCGGAGCTCAAGGACAGCAATGACGCGCTCCAGGATGCAACCCGGCTGGCGTCCTCCAGCGCGAGCGAGAAGGAAAGTGAGCTCGCAGTCGTCACGGACAAGTTCAAGCGTGCCATCGCCAAGCTCAAGGCTAACAAGGAAGAGATGGAAACTAGCGCCAAGGAACTTGAGAGCCGCACCGCAGACCTCGCGTCTGCCCGTCTTTTGCTCGGCGAAGCGCAAGCTGACGTCCGCACCCAGCAAGAGCTCGCTCAAGCCAAGCACGCCGAGCTGGAGGACTTGAAGGCCACCTCGCTTTCGACCATTGAGCGATTGCAAGAGAGCCTTGCTGCCGCCACAGCATCGATGGACGAGCGCAGCACTGCAGCTGCGACCGAGCTCTCGGACAAGACCACTCGCCTCAACGCCACCCTCGCTCAAATTGAGCGTCTCCACGCTGAACGCTCGGCATCGTCGGATCAAATTGCCCAGCTCCAAGCGCAATCTGCCGCCGATCAGCAGTTGAGCCGATCGGCCAACCAAGAGCTCGAGAAGCGCAACGCCGAGTTGGTAAGGCGTCATTGCATTGTTGAGAGCTGCTGGAGTTGATTTTGTGTTGTTCGTTTGCTAGATTTTCACTCATCCTCTTTTTTTTTTTTTTTTTTGTTTGTTTGTTGTTTGTTTGTTTGTTTGTTTGTTTGTTTTTTGTTTGTTTGTTTTTGTTTGTTTTTGCTCTGTGTTGCTGCGCAAACTACAGACCGAAGCGCACGAACAACTCGCAACAAGTGCCGCCAAGGTGGCCGAGCTCAGCGAGCAACTGCAGGTGGCCAAGCGAACGCTGTCCACACTGGAGGATCGCGCCCGAGGCACGGAACAGTCGGCGACCGCCGTGGAGGCGCGTGCAGAGGAGCTCGAGACGCTCCTGTCCATGAAAGACAGCGAGTTGCGCGATTTGGAGGGTCGTAGTGTGGAGCGTGAGCTTCGCGCCAATGCTCTGCAAGAGGCACTCGCTGCTGCGACGGCTCGTCAGCGAGAACTCGAGACGGCGCGTGAAGCACTCGAGGAGTCCACTGCCGTTCAGTCGGGCACCCTCGCTGCCAAGGAAGCGCTCGTCCTGACACTGAACGATCGCATCAACGAAAACGAGGCTGCTCTCGAGGCCAAAGCCGCCGAGATTGTCACGCTGTCGTCCAAGTTGAGCATGCTGGAAGACAACGTCGTTGCCCTGCGTCGCGAGCGCGAGTTGGAAGTCGAGCGTCTCAAGCGCGAAGGCGACGAACAAAAGAATGCCGACGATGCGCGCCAAACTGCCCAAGTGACGGAGCTTCGCGAAACCATTGCCGCCTTGACAACCAGCAAGACGGAGCTCGAGGACAAGCTGCAAGACCAAACGGTTGACGCTCAGAGGCAAGCCAAGCTTCAAGCTCAGCACATTGCCGATCTCAAGCGAATGCTCCAGAAGGGTTTGGGGGTAAGCCAATCTTTGCAGGATTTGCAGGTCTTTCTGTTGCTCCAAAGATTTGACTTGTTTTTTTCCTGTTTTGTTGAATTCCGCTCTGCTTTGTGGTTTTTTGTGCGATAGAAATCCGGCTCCGTGCCTCCACCTTCCGGCCAAGCAGCTCAGTCTGACGACTCGCCAGTGCTGTCGAATGGCAGCTCTCCAGGTGTGTCGGTTGTCAACCTCACAGGATTGGCGACGAACGAGCCTTCAAGCCCCCAGCCTGCAGCGGCAGCACCCAGCTTGCCAAGCATGCCATCCATCCCTGGCTTCCAGCTCAGCCAAGAGGAGCTCGAGTACCTCAAATACGTTGTCATCAAGGCTCTGTCGACATCCTCGCCGAACGAGTCCACCTACCTCGTCAACGCGCTTGCAACGATTCTCAAGTTCACCCCGAAGCAGTTGGACACTGTCAATGAGTCGTTAAAGTCCAAGGTGAGTGTAGTAGGCAGAGAGAGGGGTCGGTTGCAAGTTGCATGGAGGGCAAGCTCGTTTCACTCACTGTTCGTGCTTTTGCTCTTTTCGTTTCTTTCTGGGCAGCAATCCTGGTTTGGAGGATGGATCAAGGTCAATCAGAACACGCTTGGAAATTAATCATTTTATTCATTTTATGTTTGAAAATATACATGTTGGAAACTAGAACAAAACAAAACTAGTAGTAGAGCGTCATCTCTTGTCGCCGCCCTAAAATTGCTGAGACGCTCGAACGGGCCGTTGGGAGGCGAACGCCAGAGCTGGGGCTTTGCGGCGACGAATCAATCCGGTGGTCAAGTGAGACAGGTCGCTGTCGGACTGGCTGTCGCTCTCCAATTCCGCAACTTGTGCAGTTCGCTTGGTCCCTCGAGAAAGTGAGGTGTCTGAGAATCGGGACGAGTCGCTCCAGTCCGACCTGTCTCCCCATCGCTGGTGATGATCGCTGGTCGGAGGATTGGTGCTCATGTCGTCTTCCGTCTCATCAGTTTCTGCGTGCTCCACGTGAGACACAAGCCCGGCTGCCTGCATGCCGCTGACAGTCCAGCCGACAGGATGATAGGACCGTTCATCCACAAGTCCGCCTGCGTTCACACAGTCCGAAACCCAGGCCGACGAAACCACACGAGGACGCCGCCTCAAGTTGCCCGTCAGTTTGGAGATGGCGGGCAAACGGGAGTGGTCTTCGTCGCTCAGAACGATGTGCGTGACTGAGGAATCAATGTAATCCACCACCACGGCTCCATGTCGCACCAGACGCAACGCGACCAGATCCAGCGCACAGAAGGGGATGGCGTCAGCGCGAACGCCCAGGATTGTCGTTGTCGGTGTTGCTGTCGTTGCAGCTGCAGCGTGCCCGCTCTGCTTTTTGCTGGAGCTGGCTGCCGACCGACTCCGCGTGGCCTTGTTGGACCCGTCGGCAGACTCGACAGATGATCCAAGGGACGACGCATTTGAGGAATGGTGGTGGCTTGACTGAAGATGGCTAAACCGGTCGAGATACATGGTCAAGCCGCGGAAAAGCCCTTGGATTTCGTCGGGAAAGCACTCGTCCTCGATCTCAGCAATGGTCTGGTTCAATTCCTGCGCATCAGTGCGCCCCGGAACGACGCCTTTGGGCGGATCGGGAGTCGCCATCGATGCAAAGACGGTTCTCAGAGTAGCCTCGTCCGTGTCCTCGAAATAACTGTCCCCAAACGCGTCGAAAAACTTGGCAACCTCCACACGCGTGAGCTCGGTGGCAAAGATGAGCATTGTCGGTCGCTTGGGCACGACCCGCTTTTCCTTGACACACTCGTCAATCCACGAGGGTCGCACGATATCGCAAACCCCTGCTGCTTTAATGTTCTTGACGCGCACCGCTTGCTCCTGGTGGGCGATTGCAACCACATGGGCGACTTGCGAACGCGGAGGGTTTTGGATGAGTTCGCCACCATGGCGTGCAATGAGCTTTTCGAGCTCGTTCTTGTCTCGATCCGCCGAGCCGTTGACCACGTAGAAGGTCAGCCCCTGGAACAGCTCGGAATCAATCTTGACGCCAGAAAGGTCGGCGCCACGGAAGGACGCCAGCACGGTGCGAGTTTTGGAGGTGCCCGCCGCCACGCCCGCCCCGCCCGCCTTTTGCTTGCGGCCGCCCTTCTCGCCATCTCCCGACAGAAAGTGGGTCGTCGCCAACCGACCTTGGCCAACACGGTAGGCATGATCCAGCTCGGTGGTTGTCATGCAATCAGACCACTCCTTGTCCGTGCGGAAGCACTCGAGTCGCGGGAATCGAAGCGTAAACCCGCACTTGTACCTGAACAAGCAAGTGCAGAAATTACAAAACAGAAAAAAGGCATTGTTGGAAATGAACGGGCCATCAAACATCATCCAACAAAAAACATTGCAACGCACAACTTTTGTTGTTGTTGTTTTTTTTTGTCTCACTTTTCGGTGGGAGTAATTTCAGCCGCACGGATTTGGACAATGCGCGAATGGCGAGGCTCAATCCAGACGTCGGGACGCTCCTTGAAGCCCGTGGCAAGAAGAATCTGGGAGGGCGGATTTTGGGTGTCGAACGGATGCCAGTGGGGCTCGAGTTGCTCGCCAAACTCTTTCAGTTGCGACATGCTGTAGCCGGTACCAACTTTGCAAAACGAGTGAAACACTGTTGGCGGCTCTTGTGGATTGGCAGGTGGGACGGCGACGGCGCACATAAAGTGGGAAACCATGCCTCCGCGCCGCTTTCCGATGCCGTAGTAACCGCCGACAATGAGCACATCGAGCTCGGCAAAGGAGTCGCCGTACTCGGGTTTGATCTTGTACCAACCGCCATCGCGCTTGTCGGGTGCGTAGGTGCTTTTCATGTTCTTCACCATGACACCCTCTTCACGATTGTCGATGGCCTCGTTCAAAAAGTCGATAATCTCCTGGGAAGTGGTGCCCGTCCGCTGGTCGGCAAACATGATTCGACCGGTGATGGGCGTAAAGACCTTCCGGAGTGTTCGCAGGCGCTCAATCAACGGCATGTTGCAGAGCGAGGTGCCGTTCAAGAAGACAATGTCAAAGACGACATAGCACGGTCGCTGCTCATCCGTGCCAGCAAAGGACTTGACGTCGGCGCTGCTCTTTGGCACAAAGCAATCAAGCTTGGTGTCATACAAGATCATTTCGCCGTCCAAAATAACGTCGGTGACTCCCGGCTTGAAGGCGTTGTGCACGTACTGCGTGATGGTGCCGCAATCAGGTGAGAATCCATACTTGTCCGAGTAATTGATGGATTTGCGCGACCAGTATTGGTACTTGTCGCCCTGCTTGTGCATCATGACGCGATCGCCATCGAACTTGATTTCCATAAAGAATGTGCCCAGCTTGTCAGCGATCTGCGTCGGGAGCGCAAAAAAATGATGTGACGGTGAGTGACAATGTTTATGCTTTGATCGACATGGCAAAAAGCAAAAAAAGAAAAAAAAAGTCGTCGCTCTACCTTGCTGATGTTCTCGCGCATCGCCAACATTGGGCGGAAGGGATGGAACAGAGACACATCGTTCGACACGAGTCGTTTTGTGGGATCACGCAGCTGCCAACACACGCGTCGCAGATTCGAGCAGACGTTGAACAAGTCGACAGCGTCTTGATGGAAGGTTTTGAGCACGGTTTGGGCTGACATGCCGCACTTGACGTCCTTTCCGATGATTCGAATCAGCCACTGTGAAGAGCATTGCCAATGCGTGTTGTTAGTTATCGACACCAATCGTTCGAGCGAGCGAGCAAACAAACAACACCACACCTTTTGCTCGCGCGCAGTCGAGCGGAACAGCATGGATCGCAGGGTGTCTTTCACGCCCTGATTTGCATAAATCCAACAACCGAGTGTGTGTGAGAGAGAATCTATTCACTGCTGTCAACGGAAACGAGCAGAAGACATACCGGACGATTGTTTGACATGTACTCGGTCGCCAGCTGGTCGAGCAGCGTGTTGACGTCGGTGACGGTCAGAGGATTGCTGGGGCGATCAGCAAGTCGCCGCTGAAGGACAAAGAACGCGACCATGGCGAAATCGCCGGCCGACTGGCGGTTGTGTTGTGGCTTTGTGTAATTTTTCAGCTTGTTGTAGTCCTCGGAGCCGCGCACAATGCCAAGAATGTCTGAGTAGTACTTGGCTAGCATGGCGTCTTTGATGCCATACATGCCTCTCTCGCGGTCAAACGACGGCAGCAGCAACCGGACGATCGGGAAGACGGTTGTGTTTGGGTTGCTTTTGCTGTGTGTGATTGTTTCAGCAACTCGGTTAGTTTGCTCTGCTGAGATTTCTTAGCACAACACTGCATTGCTTTTTTTCTTTTTTTACCCATTCTCGCGCCATCGTTGGAGGAAGCTTCCAAGCACATTCTGCTTGACGGAACGCTTTGTGTCTGACGAAATCTGATCACCATTTTGTAACAACAAAAAGTTTAGTATTTTGATCAGAACAGCTCAGAACGTAATTGTTTCGGGTGTTTTGCTCAAAAGTTGCACGCAATTGTCATCCTGCTGAGAAACGCCTGTTTTGGGGGTTACCTGCTCGAGCAGCGTTGCGACGGCAGCGAATGGGACGCTGTCGCCGCAGTTGCCCTCTGGCGGAATGTCCGAGTTGTCCATGCGGCGGTGGTCTGCGAGGTCGCCCGTGGCTGGGTTGAGCACGCCTCCGTCGCTGCGATCGCTCGCTGGATGATGCTTGTCGTCGTCGTCGTCGTCGTCTTTGTCATCGTCATTCTGAGCGTCATCGTCTGCAGCGTCGGCCTTCTTGGCATGGAAGTGCAGCCCGGAAGCAGAAGCCTTGTTGGACGCTCGATTGCCGAGCAGCAGACGCGGGTCAGCAGCACCAGCAGCAGCAGCACCAGCAGCAGCAGCATCGGAGCTTGGCGGCTCGATTTTGACGCCAACCAGCCGACGCTCTCCCAGACTGCCGCTCATCAGCAATCACACACTCACACTAAGAATGACTGAGACAAGAAATATGCAGCAAGTCAAGTAGAATAAAAATGCTGACACACGAGCTTTGGACTTTTACGAACTGGAAGCAGCACGCAAAACCAAACAAAACCGTCAAGATCGCAAGCAGCTCGCATTCACGACCAAAACCCAGGCGCGGAGCACCTTCTCGTTGGCAGCTCGCATGACATAAATGCGGCGCGCAGTCACAATGGAAAACTCGAGCGCAGTGTTGGCATTCCCGCCAGCAGGAACAGCCGCCGCAGATCCGTTCGTGTAAACACGCAGAATCTCGGATAGCGCAATCAACCCTTTGGGGATTCGCTCCTGTTGAGGTCGTGGAAAGGCAAAAGGGTTGGCACCGCAGAGATGGAAACAAAATAGGCAAAGCACAAAAGTCAGCACATCAACCCTTGCTGGGCCTTTTCGAACAACATAACAACATGCAAAGAAAGTCGCTTGCCTTCTCATCTTCAAAGTAGCTCAAGCACCGCCGGCTCGTGTCAAGGACAAACCACCGGCGTTTCCAATTCTTTCGCACGCCACCAACCTTGAAAAGAAACCCTTTCGCCATGGACTCTGTCACAGTCATGCCGGTCGGTACATCTAGTGGAATAAAGACACGGTAAGAACCAATCAATCACATTCGGGTTTTCTTCCTGTTCCACACTTACTCGTGTTGGCTGACACAAACGATGCAGCAAGATTGACAGTCGCTGAAACGGCCCGCATGCCCGGTCCAGAGTCAGGCTCTCCGGGAGGAGTGAATGACTTGTCCGCAGTCGGGGCTTCCGAAAGACCAACGCAAGCCAGCGGACCAGCGCCGCTATTGTAGGTCCTTCGGACAGAGGCTGACCATGTTGGATTCGTGAATCCCATGGCGGCTTGGAGTTTGGCAAACTCGGCGCTGGACATTTCCTTGCGTCCTTGTTGTGGCGTTGGCGCGACGACTGCGGTCATGACTGCCGCGCTCGCGTGGGGCAACATGCCAACCACCGTGCATGCTGACTGAGCGTGGCGCAGATCCGTGCCCCATCGTACAAACAGATTGGTCCACAATTGAAGAGCCGAGATGCCGGCATCGGGCTCGAGGAACATGGTTGCGGACACAGTTTTCGCAAATCGGCCATTGAAGAAGCGGGACTCGCCGCTTGCAACGAGCACGTTCAAATAGGCCCACACGGAGATGGTTTCGTCCTCAACGGACGATTTGGCCCGGTCTCGCTCCATCGCAAACAGGAACGAGCCGAATCGAGACGAGTAAGCAGCGTCTGCAAGGAAAATCAGCAGCGCCTCGTTAAACTCAAACGCGGTAGGGAACTGAACCAGAAGCTGCCACACGGCATCCAAGAAGAGCAAGAACACTGGTGAGTCTTCGTGTGTTCGAGGCTCGAGACCCATGAGCAGCGTTCGATGCGGAAATCGGTGTCCATGCACGATAAACTCCTTCTGGATGAGCTTTTGGAAGCCGTGCAACGTTCGGAATGCGGGTTCTTGCAGCAGCTGCACAAGGGCGCAAACCTGTGGAAGGGGGTTTTGGGGGAAAACGTGAGTTTGTGATGAATTCTTGTAGTGTCTCACCGAGCTTTCCGCGGACTTACCACCAAAGTCTTGTCCCAGCCACGTTCATAGGCGACAAGAACGTGTGGAGCCATTGGCTCGGATTGGAGCTGGGCGATCTTGGATGCGACACTCAAGCTGTGGCTGACAAACTCGAGCCAACGCGACTCTTCAAGCAGACTTTGGAACTTTGCCTCGCTCCTGTCAAAGCACAAGTGAATACCACAGGCCATAAAAAATTGATGAGGGGGGTTGTTGTGCATGTGTTGCACAAAACCAACATTCAAACAACACCCGACTCCAAACGTACACGACAGAATACAGCATAGCTTGGAGCTTAATGTAGCTTGATCGTAGCGCCTTCGGGTCGGATAGATAGGCTTCGGAAAGCTCGAACTGGCAGTGTGGGTAATAATACACTGGGAGAGGACGAGTCAGCATGCGCAAAGGGATGTCAGATCACAGGACAGCGACCGACAACAACCAAACGCCCAAAATCAAAACACGCTCATCAACTTACACTCTCCCTGGACCGCGGTCATGCCGCCCTGGGCAGCGCTATAGCTGCTCTGGACGGTCGCGCTGACAGTGGCGGTCGGCAAATCTGAAAACACGACCAATTTGGCATCGCCTGTGCATGGGGACGTCAAGCAAATCGCCTGCAGGTACTTTTCGTCCGGCTCAGACCGCTGGCTAGGGGTGCCACGTCGATGCTTGGGCGATGCAGCTCGGAGGAGGGTGCTGCCGGAAGTGGGATGGGTCCAGGCAACGATTGGGAAGCGTCCTTCCTTGTGAAAGGCAGCCACTTGACCGATTTGTGCATCGGTACAGGCGAGTGGAACACCGTGGAAGGCTGGATAGGAGACGCAGTTTGCAAACGCTGGCGAGTGGACAATGCGCCAGGCATTGTCACTTCGGTGGAGCGAGAGCGCAATTTCCGTCCCAATATCCACAAAGTTCGGGCCCGACGGGGCGAAAAAGACGGACACGAGTTGCTGAGCGTGCGAAAGCGTCACCGGGCTCGACTCGGTCTGTGAAAGCGCGCGCATCAACGCCTGGGCCAGCCCGGCACGGTAAGCATACGCGAAACACTTGCGCGGAACCACTGGCCGTGACACGCGCACCAGATTGGTGATGAGTTGGGTGAAATCGCCGACGGCAGTGCTCGTGGCGCTGACGCAGATGCGCAACACGCCAAAGTTTCGACAAGCAATCTGCACACCCTCCGACACCCAGAGATCGTGAGATTTGACGTGCGAGGCCGGCTTCCGGTTGACATCGCCAATGGAGGTCACAGGCATTGCTATGTAGAAGGGCTCCAGGCTGAGATTGGCAACGCTCGTGCTGCCATTGCTCGCGCTACTGCTGATGCTGAGGCCGGAAAAGCTAGAGTCGATCGAGCCAACGTCGCTGTCGAGCCCGTCGTTCACGCCAATGTCGTCCGGTCCATCGTCAAAGGCAAAAGACGACCGCGAGGTTGCATCTGGCTCAGGCTCACCGCGCAAGGTCTTGAGCCGCGAAAGCAAGGCTTGTTGGTCTGCATCATTGTCAGAGCGAGAGTCCTCTTCTGGCTGCTCGGCCTGCTGCATAGGGATGGAGGTTCTCGCTGCTGGAAAGGCTGCTGCGGACGAGGAAGCGGTAGGAGTAGGACGGGGAGACAGCCGGGGCGGCACAGTGGCGGCGGCGTTTGGCGACCGCGGAGGTGTTGAAGGCAGCACTCGCGGCGGCACGCCTTGAAGTCCTGGAGCGCGGGTTGAGACCACAGGCAAGGACGTCGGCGCGGCAGGTCGAAGCGGCCGAGGCGGAGGCGATGGGCGAGCAACAACGGCAGCAGCAGGGGGCGAGGCTCGAATCGCATTTGGAGATGCACTTCGAGTGACACCAGGCGGCGGTTGGTTGACGGGTGAGGTGGATTGCTGTCGAGCAACCGGGCCGGGCGACACGACTGATGCGCCGCCGTTGATCGCTTTCGGCATTCTCCCAACGGACGAGGATGGCAAATCGTCGTCGGCGGAATCTTCTTCGAACGGACTTGTAGCGCTGTAATACTCGTACTCGAACCGTCGATTGGGGTTGCTCTGCCAAACAGGTACATCAGTCGAGTGGTAAGTTTAGCATGCAGTACAGTACATGACGTGTGGGGTTGGGGGCTTTTGATCAGCCGGGCGCTTCCCAAATCGGCAACACTTTGAGCATGTCCAACACCCAACAAGGAAAAGGGGTCGGAAGGGGGTCCCCAAGCATGAACTCGATGTGTCAAATTCACTCACAGAGACAGTGCGACCGTGGAAGATGAGCCGGTGGTCGGTCAGCGTGAGGGTGCCTTTGGCAACGAGCGCGAGGGCGATGGGGACGACGCAGTAGACCTGTCGGAGGGTCATGACGAGCTGCTCGCCGGGCAACAGCGGCGGCTGCTCGGCACCAGGGATGCCAGCAGCACTGCCATTGTTGCTCGCCAGGGGAGTTGAAGCAGGGTCGAAGAAGGCCGGGAAGAGCGTCGTGAGCGCGGCGGCTGCGGCACTGGCTGGCAATCCCGTTGCATCGTGTCCGCCTGCGACCACCGCGGGCAGCCTGGAGGCGAGTGGGAGTGGTGGTGATGATAGAAGGGATGATGACGTTGATAATGATGATGAGGAAGGCTTGGAGTGAGGCGGGCGCAGATCAAGCAAATCCGCCAGAATTCCAAGCGGATTCGCAGCAGCAGAACCACCACCAGCAGCAGCAGCAGTCGTGGCGGGGCGCCGTGAGCCAGGATGGGGCTGCGGTCGTCCCGCGCTCATCTGAGGGGGTGGTGGAGGAGAGAAGCGGAGATTGAGATGAGGAGGTGCGGGTTTGGCTTGGGTGGAAATTTGGGTGGAACGTTGTCGACGTGTCTCAGACTGATAAGGGAAAAAATAACAAACGAGAACGAGCGACGATGACGAGGAACAGAAATAAAACGACTGACTGACTGACGATCAATGGAAGGTGAGTTGTTATTTTGCTTGCTTGTAAAATTGACTTGGATCGCCATCCCAACCTCAAACTCAAGTGCCACAGCTCATTGGACAGTTCAAACAAGACAAGAAAATGAAAATCAACGTTTACTAGAACAGAAATTGTTCAAAAACAATGGATGGGGGAGAAACATAAAGTAATGCATGTGTGTTTTTTATTCTGTGATTTTTGTACTACTGAGTTGCGCGCGCTTAAATCTTGTTGAAGGCAGCAACGTCGACGGACTGGACGTGGTCCTCGAACTCGGTGATCTTCTCCTCAAGAATGTCAGTGCCGACCTTGTCGTCCTCGACGACGCAGTTGATCTGGAGCTTCTTGATGCCGTAGCCGATGGGGATGAGCTTGGCCTGGCCCCAAACAAGGCCGTCCATCTCGATGGTGCGGACGAGGCGCTCAATCTCAACCATGTCGGTCTCGTCGTCCCAGGGCTTGATGTCGAGCAGAATGCTGGACTTGGCAATCAGGACGGGCTTGTTGCCCTTCTTGGCCTGGTACTCGGCAACGCGAGCCTCCTTGATCTTCTTGGTCTCCTCGTCTTCCTCCTCCTCGTCGCCGAACAGGTCAATGTCGTCCTCGTCGGCGGGGGCAGCAGCAGCAGCAGCAGCAGCCTTCGCGGGGGCAGCAGCGCTCACAACAACAAGAGCGGCAGCCTTGGCCTTGTCGCCGGGCAGAGTGCTGGCGTCGTACGAGGCAATGTGCTTGTACCAGCGAGCAGCGTGCTCGAACTTGGCGTCGGGGGCGGCGGCGACGGCGGCGAAGACGGCAGCATCGGCCTGCGAGGCGGCAAAGCTGAGAGCAAGAGAAGAGCAAGTCAGTGAGTGCTGATGCAAGAGGGTGATGGTGCTGCATCACTGCCATTTTGTGAACGATGAATGTGAACGATGAAGTGGTGATGATGAAGAAGTGGTGATGATGAAGAAGATGATGATGAATGGGAGAGCTCAGTGATGCAATGGAAACGCACGAGGGAATCGTTCAGAATCGCATTGGAAGAAAAGGAGAAAGAAAAAAAAGGAAAAAAAAAAAAAAAGGGCCGCTTTTCTTTCTGTCTCTTTCTGTCTGCGCTCTCCGCTCTCAATCAATCGCACCCGCTCCAGCACGGATGACGCGCAGAACAGCCCAGTCAGTCAGTCAGTCAGACAGTCAGACAGTCAGCCAGTTCGCGTGGGGCATTGAACCGATCCACTTCAACTGGAAATCCAAAACCAAAAATTAAAAAAAAAAAACAAAAAAAAAAAAGCACGGTTTTTCTTTTTGCTTCTTCTTCTTCTTTGGCTGCTGATGTTTTGCTGGGGGTTGCTCTGCTGGCGTGCAACTGGCAGCTGAACGAAAAAAAAGGCAGTCAAAACCACGCCGCTGGTCCAGTGACGAGCCAGAGCGACAGCGAAACAAGAAGAAGAAGGAGAAAAAAAAGAAAAGGAAATAATAAAAAAAAAAAGTCCCTCCACGTGGAAATAAAATATAAAAAAAAAAAGATCTCTGTTTTCTATGGGTTTTGCATTAGGCGATTTGCTTTGTTGATGCTGCCTGGAGAGGAACAGGGACAGGGACAGGGACAGGGAAGCGGGTTGTAATGCGAAGGGGGAGTGTGCTTACCCTTCGATGTAGCTCTTGTCGGCGAGGAAGGTGTTGAGGGCGGTGAGACCGGTGGCCTTGTCAAGATCAGTGAAAACCATTCTGCTAAAAAAAATTATGAAAAAATCTGCGTTAACGTCAAAATGGACTGAATTGAAAATCTCAATTGATGAAATTGAATGAAATTGAATGAAATTGACATTGAATCAAGAAAGGATGAACACTTGCAATGGATTGGAGATTCGCGACTTGGAAGAAGGTGGCAAGGTCGAGGGATTGAGCTGAATGGCCAGAGTAGAGTGGAAATTTCGCCGTCAAAAAAAAAGGAAGAGACGATCTTGACCGGGAACCTGAACCTGGAATCAATGCGACAGCACACAGAATCGATGAGAAAGCGCCGTTTACCGAGAATACAGTGACGAATGAGGGGAAAGACCGATTTAGAGATGAGCCCAGTTCGTCAGACACTGTACGTAAAAAGGATTTTTGCAGTCTACCCTTCCAAGCTTCCCGAAGAGGACCGTCAATAGGAACAATACACGCAGATATAAAAACACAATAGTTATTTTTAGGGCCTGATACAAAAAGACAACACACACACACACACACACAAACCAGCATCATGCAAGAAAAACAAATGCAACACAGCCTCATTGGTGCAACGCCCAACTGTCCAATGGCTTAACGCTTCAGCGCAGAGTAGAAGCGCATGCCGACAAAGACCAACGCAGAGAAGAATGCATAGAAGCAAAGGAGAATGCCCCAATCGCGCCACTTGGAGGTGGCATCGAGGTTGAAGATGGCGAAAATGTCCTCGCCCTTGGTGAGCGGGCAGTACAGCTTGTACTGCGAAGGGTCGTAGGGACTGGTGACGTTCACGTACGACTTTTCATCGCAGTGGAACTCGAGCCCAGAAAACTCGTTGACAGTGAACGCGCTGATGCAGTACGAAAAGTAGTCAATGTAGTAGAACCAACGCCAGTACCAGCCCATGCTTTCCTTGGGAATGAGGAAGCCAGCAAAGATCTGTCAAAGAGGACGAAAAAAGGGGGGGAGGGAAATCGGAAGACTTGGTGAGCAACGTTTCCAGCCAAAAACAACAGCAGCAACAGCAAAATCCACACCACCACCACCACCACCACCACCCCATGTCTTACAAAGAAAAAGGTCGTCAGGGTCGGAGCAAGAGCATTGGCCACAGCGGGATTGGGAGACACGACAGCAATGAACTGGGCAAAGGCCAGCGAGCAGAGATAGGCCGTGAAGAAGACCAGGTAGAAGAAAAAGAAGCGGCCGGCATCGGGATTGAGACCGGAAATCCAGTACATGGGCACGACATAGAAGGTCACGTAAATGACGTGGTAGGGAATTTCTGTCAGGACAATCGAAATGGCAATCGCAGTGACACGGTAGCTGCCTGCCATCTTTTCTCGGTAAAACACCGTCCGCATGTCCATAATGTCACCAATGGCACTGTGGGTGGCGTAGGCAACAAACACAATGCCAAAGAACATGATGGCGACGCGGTTGGTCGCGCCAGCCTGGTCCAGCTGCTGCTGCCACAGGAAGGAGCCGAGAATCAGACCAACGACGAGGTAAATCATAAAGCGAACCTTGACGAGCAAGGGGTTGCGCCAGAACATTTGGAAGGTACGGGGGAAAACCTCGCGCAGCTGCGTTCCCAGCGAGGTGGCGAATCGAGCGCGCTCAAAGTGCGGCGGCTTCACGTCCGGCGGCGTCACGCCCTTTGCCAGAGTATCAATGACTTGCTTGCATTCTGCCGAGGCGTCCCAGAGAGCAGCGCCATCCTTGTCAGGAGCGGTGCAGACAGTATCCATCATCCAGTCGGCCGGGTTCTGTAGAGTCCAGCAAGGTCAGAAATCAGCAACGTTGCAATCACAAACACCTTCTTGCGTCAATCACAAAATCCACAACAACTATTGCTGTTGCTGCGGCGGCGGCTGCTACTACTACTCCTACTACTACTACTCACGCGATCGTTCTTGAAAGTAAGACCAAAGTGCTCCTTGACATAACCAAGCAGCAGGGAAAGGTTTTGACCGACAGAGCCAAAGAACACTTGGCGGCCGCCGGGACGAAGAAGCAGGAGGTGGTCAAACATGAGGAAGAGCTCGGCCGAGGGTTGGTGGATGGTGCAAATGACGGAGCGACCGCTGCGGGCAATCTCAGCAATCTTGTTCATGACGAGCGCGGCACCGTACGCGTCCAGACCCGAGGTGGGCTCATCCAAGAACAAGAGCGGCGGATCGGTGACCAGCTCGACGGCAATGGTCAGACGCTTGCGTTGCTCGGCAGACAAACCACCTTCGGCCGGAGTGCCGACCATGTCCTCGGCAATGTCTTCCATGTCGAGCTCGGCAATGACATTGTCCACCATGCGCCACTTTTCCTCGGCCGACATCTCCTCGGGCAAGCGGCACATGGCCGAGAACGCAATCGCCTCGCGCACGGTCGAGCGCGCAAAGTGAATATCCTGCTGTTCGCAGTAGCCAGAAATACGCTTGAAAAACTCGTTGCGCGGGGCACCATTGACCAGGATTTCGCCAGTCACGGTACCGCCCGTCTTGCGATCGGCCAGAACGTCGAGCAGAGTTGTCTTGCCAGCGCCAGAAGGGCCCATGAGCGCAACCATTGTTCCGGGCTTGACATAACCGTTAATGTCCTTCAGCAGCTGCTTCTGGACCTTCTTCTTGTTGGAATCAACCACCTCGACCGAATAGCTGAGGTTTTTGAACTCGAGATACGCCTTGGCTGTCTCGCTGGAAACGGTTGTTTTCTTCACATTGTTGAGCATCTTGGCGGCAAGAATCTTGCGACGGTTGGCACGGTCTTCGGTCGTTTCGACGTGCGGGTTGTGCGTGGCGTCGAACGTGACGTACTTTTGCAGAACGAACGTGACCAGCAGGAAGAAGAGGTAGAAGACGTACATGATGACCATGTCCCAGGCAATCCAGTCGTTGCCCATCTGGACAGAGTAGGTGGCCAAGTACTGCAAAGACATAGCATAGGAGAAGGAAAGGAGAAGAGAGAAGATGTGAGCGATGAAAGGGGGAGGGCAAACAAGCTTTGACCACATGTTGAACAAGTTATTTGGGGAGACATGACAACGCGTACCTGATCACCCATCGTGAAGGGGCAAGTCTGGGTGCCATTGAAGCCGTAAGGGAACGGGGCAGTAAAGTTGGGGGCAAAAGGCGGGGGCACGAGCTGATCCGGGTCGCATGTCAGCGGATTGCCCTCAAACTCGTTGATGGCAAGGCCTTCGTAGCTGTAGTGCAAGGGGGAGATCCAGTACATCCACTTCCAGCCTTCAGGGAACCTGGGCAAATGCGAGAGCAAACAAAGCCGTCAAAGGATGAAACTGAAGCGAGCATGATCGTGGCAACATTTGCAGAAAGCTGCACCAATACTTACGAGCCATACGGCACAAGGTAGCCATTGAACAGCAAAAAGATGGCAATGACGGCAGGAATGACAGCGTTGGCAATCGAAAAGCTCCTGAGCATACGTGAAAACAAACCGAAAAAAAAAAAAAAAAAAGTCAGAGTCGCACCACAGGTTTGAGGCACTACTGCCAAAAACAAAGGGTACGTACGGAGCGATGGTGGTCATGGCGCGGCAGAACGAGTTGGACCACAGGGCGACAGCAAGATTCATAAAGACCCAGTAGAAAAAGTAGCCAGCACCGCTGCGAAGACCAACGGTAAAGTAGAGAATGATGGAAAATAGGAGAACTTCGAGAATGGTGAAGGGAATGTCGGCAAGATTGACGGCGGCAAAGTACGAGAATGGCTGGAAGTACTTGGCAGAGCGCTGCGAGTTGTAGACACTGCGCTCGTCCAGGTACAGCGGAATCATGGCAGCAGCACCAAAAGCAAAAAAGGCCACGCTGTTGATAATGACACCGAGCTTGTTGCGGGCGCCAACTTGGTCCGATCCCAGCTGGACGAACAAGGTACCGACAATGAAGCCGGTCATGATACTGCGCGAAATTCGCACCTGCAACCCGGCAGGGTCGCGCAAGTTGATCTGTCGGGAGATAGGAGAGAAAAGAAAATGATCAAGGTGAGCATGAGCGAAAGAGGCGGAGCAAACCGACCGATCAATACCCGAGCACAACAACAAAAACAATACCTTGATGGCGCGGTCCAAGTTCAGTTTAAACTGAGTCCACACGGAATTCGAGTACTTGGGAACGACATTCGGGTTGGCCGGAGGAGGCGCGTTGCGAGGAGCCACGCCCTTCCACAGCTTGCGGCCAAGCTCGGCGTAAATGTCAGACTTGCGGAACTGCTCGTGGAAGTGCTCGGTCGACAGCTCTGCCGAGACGGACGGCGCGACAAACTTTTCGGGGTGATCGGCGACTTGGGCTGTTTTGGGAGTCAACAGAGAAAGGTAAGAAAACGCAAGAACGTTCGATGAAGCGTCATTCTTTCTGAGGGCAACCCAAACAAAACAAAAGCAAAAAAAAAAAAAAAGAATGACGCACCGAGGAATTCGGCAGGGTTCAGGCCGGCGGGGCACGAGATGCCAATCGACTCGAAATACGGGAGGGCGTCGTCCTTGGGACCAAAGTAGACAATCTGGCCGTTGCTAATCAACAGGACCTTGTTGAACAGATCGTAGAGCTCCTTGGACGGCTGGAGCAGAGCGACCATGCACGGGAAGCCGACGTCCGCAATGCCGCGGACGTGATTCATGACGTTGAAGGCGGCGGCGGAATCCAGACCCGTCGTCGGCTCGTCTGTTGCGTGCATCGAACAAAAACAAAACGGCAGGGTAAGCACAATGGCTCGCAAGGAAGCCACGCACCAAAAAAAAAAAAAAAAGAAAAACAGGCGCGGATGGAAGAATACTGACCAAACAGCATCAAGTTGGGAGTCTTGAGAAGCTCGACACCAATCGTGACGCGCTTCTTTTCACCACCCGAGACACCGCGAATCAGGTTGTTGCCCAGCATCGTGTCCGCGGCGTGCGCCAGACCGAGGAGCTTGAGCACGACATCGACCTGTAGCGTGACAACCAAGACTTTAGGAAGGGGCCAAAAAGCAGCAGGGTCTGATAATTCCGTCTGCAAACTTACGTGGTCGTTCTTGTCTTCAGACGGCATGGATTCGGGGAGCTGCAGCTCGGCAGCGAAACGCAGGGTCTCCTTCACGGTCAGGGTGGCTGTGTTGGTCACAAGAGTGTGAGCGTTAAAGTCAGAGTCATCCAAACGCACAAAACCAACCGCACGAATACAGTCGTGTGCTCACGTACGAATGTGAATGTCCTGCTGAGGAACCAGACCAATAACGCGGTTAAAGTTGTCGGGCACCTTCTGGCCGTTGACTTGGATGATGCCGCGAACAGCGTTGCTCAGTCGGTTGGAGAGGGCTTTGAGCAGGGAGGTCTTGCCAGACGACGGGCCGCCGAGCACGATGCACATGTCACCAGGCTAGCAAGATGATCAAAGTCGAAAGATGAGCAATGTGGGTGAACAATTGCGGGAAAAGCTCGAGCAGCAATCGGGCAAAAGCGGGAGTTTGTTACCTCCAGGTAGCCTGAAACGCCATCGAGGACGGCGTACTCGGTCGTCTCGGGGCGCGGGTTGATGCCAACCATCTGCTTGAAGTCCGACCACACGTTGTGAACATGGCGCTCCTTGTTGACCGTGGCACGGAACGAAATGTCGCTATTGGTGATTGCGATTTTGAAAATAACAAAATCAAAAGGTTGAGCGAATTTTTTAAAAAAAATCACGAATCGCCAATGAGATCATCATCGAATGTCAGTGCATTTTATGAGCGTGCTTTATGAGTGTGGTCTCATCTCAGAGCAAGTGTAAAACGGGGGAGGGGGTGTGACGCAACCATCCAGATTCAGAGCAGCACACGTGGACGGTGAAGAACAACTCAATTCCGTTTCGATCGCCTCAGTGAGTTTGCTCCCCCTGCTTTACTCTTCACTCTTTCCCCCCTTTCCCTCCTCTTTGTATCACAATATTGCGATGATTTGATGCGTTGATTCTCGCACTCCAACAGCCAAGACAGAACAACGAAAAAAAGACCCAACGGAAGCACGGGGAATTTTTCGCTTTTTTTTGGTTTTTTGGGGGAAACGAAACGGTGCGGAAGTTTAGCAAACGGAGGAATAAGGTGCTAAAACAGCACAGTTGTTCGATTGCCCATCCACCCACCCACCAACCCACCCAATCAGTGAGAGAACGGAGAGAGAGAGAGAGAGAGAGAGAGAGAGAGAGAGAGAGAGAGAGAGAGAACGGAGAAGAGAAGAAGAAAGACTAAAGAGAACGAACCGGAACTCGAGGAAACCGCCGAGCGGACGGCCAGGGAACCACTTGTCGACAAACTCGACATAGTAGTGGCGCATGTCAAAGTCCTCGTGATGCGGATCGCGGACGACATCCAGCGAGGTCATGGACGCAGGCGGGTAGTATGCACGGCGAAAGTCGCGCGCATAGAGCACGCGCTGGGGGTCGGTGTGCGACGTGCGCGACGGGTCCATGCGCTCCTGCTGCACGGCGAGCAATCCTGCAGAGCTCTGCGCGCGCGACGCCAGGCGCGACGCCTCACGCGACTCTCCGTCCGTGCTGTCTGCCGAACCACGCGCGCCAAAGTGCGTCTCTGGCAGCTCGAACGTAATCTGAGGTTCACTCATGGCAAAGAAAACGGAACGAATCGAAAAAAAAAAAAGAAAAAAAAAAAAGAAAAAAAGGAAGACTGGCAAAAACGTGCAACGGAAACCGCGGCGCTTTTGAAACCGCGCCGCGCCAACACTCGATTGGAACGAAGGCGCGATGACGAGATCACGGCAGGATGGCGCACAGTGCAACATTGTGCTCAAACGACAATGCAGGTGCAAAAGCGGAAGACTGGATTGGCAAAGTGGACGAAGGAGCGCAACTGTGGCGATCGCCCGCTGCAAATCGCTGCAAAAGCAACCGTTTCGCCGAAAAGGGCCCCAGCCAGGAAGCTCGAACTGGAGCCACCCTCTCTTGCCCCTCGGTCGAGTGTGTGTCGCGATCGATGCATTGTAGAGTACGCACTCGGCTCGCCGTCTCTGGAACGCGGTACGCCAAAAAAAAGCGATCGCCACAGTTCGACGTGCTTGCTGCTTTTGGAAAACGCGCCGTATTGAGTTGTTAAAGCGGCGTTTTGCTGCTATTGTTGCTGGGCCCTCAGCTGCAGATGCAGATAGATGGAGGGAATGGGGGAGAAACCAGAAAAAAAAGTTGCCTAAGCGCGGCGAATTTACTACATGGTGCAACTTTTGAGGTGGGTGACGGGGTGACAGAAAAGGGGGAGGAAATCTGAAATCCAACGCTCGCTGGCTCTCCCCCCAAATCCAGATGCCCTCTTGGCGAGTCGAGTACATCTACGACATGAGATGGGACACGGCTCGAGTGATTGAAAAGGTCGAATGTACACGGGGAATGGCGCATGCAGTACATTCAAAGTCAGTTGCAAGTCGCAGACAAGAAATCGTGCGCAATCTGAGACTTTGCGATCCCAACGCACCGGCTGGACGAACGCGACTCGAGTCCTCGCAAATATCACCCCTACTTGTTTGATTTGCTCAATCAAGTCATCCAGCAAGTGCTGGGGTCAAACAAGCCCTTTGGCGGAATTCAGCTGATTCTTTGCGGCGACTTTCTCCAGCTCCTGCAGCGCACTACCTAAACCACGTCACAAACCAGCGTCGCAAGTTTGCCTTCGAGGCAGCCTGTTGGCAAAAGGCCGTCCCAGTCACGCTCGAGTTGCGCCAGATTCATCGTCAAAACGACTTGGGGTTTATTGAGCTTTTGCGCAAGCTACGCCGCGGTGACTGCTGCCAGGAGGTTGCGGACACCCTTTTGGCCACTGGATCCCAGCAAATCGAGCAGCACGGTGCCCTCGCGACACGGCTATGCACGCACACTGACATGGTTGTCTCGATCAATCAACAGCGTCTGGCGCAGCTTTCGGGAGAGCGCATGACTTTTTACGCGCGCGATACACCGGACGGCGACTCGCGCGTCACATCGATGCTCGACCTGAGCGTGCAGGCCCCGCGGACACTCGAGCTGTGCGTTGGGGCGCAAGTCATCCTGCTACGGAACCTGGACGTGGCTCAAGGACTCGTTAACGGTGCGCGTGGAGTGGTCGTGGGCTTTGCCCGGCCAGCGCCAAACGGAGGCATGGCGGCCGCGAATGGCCGGCCCCAAGCTGCCAATGCCCCAGCGTACACGGAGCTTCGACAGCAGGAGCTGGCCAACAACGAGCGCTATCCCCTGGTTCGCTTTGTTCGCACTGGCACGGAACGCGTCGTTTCGCCAGCGGCATTTGCGCTGCCCAGCGATGCTACTGGAGCTAGTCAACGCCTGCAGGTGCCGTTGGCGCTCGGCTGGGCCATCTCGATTCACCGTTCGCAAGGGCTGACGTTGGATTGCGCGGAAGTGTCCCTTTCGCGGGCGTTCGAATCTGGGCAGGCGTATGTCGCTCTCTCGCGTGTCTCCGCCCTGACCTCGTTGCGCGTTCTCGATTTCCAGACCGAGTCGATTCGCGCTGCCCCAGAGGCCATCGCCTTCCACGACAGTGTTTCCATCGTGTGTCTGGTGAAGTGAGAGGGTGAGGGAGTTTGATTGGCGGCCTCCTGTCCGATCTTGCTTTGACAATTACAATTCTGTAACCCTTGTACCATGCTGGTTGTACTATACAGTACTACAGTGCCTGATCCGAGAACGCGGTGCCCATCGGTCGTTCATTCGTTCAAACTGCTGTCAAATTTACTGGAATGTCTTGTTGATTCTGTTCATATTCCAGGATGCCGGCCTATTGGAGGTTGGCAATATCCGATTTTACTTTTCGGAATATTAACCCAAGCAACCATCATTCAATTCACTCTGTTTTTCTGGTTCTGCTTTCCAAATTATTCAGGTTGACAGCTTTGATTGTTGATTTTCGCTTGTTTGCTCTGCTGCTTTCCATCCATTTTGCTTCTGGTCTTCGTGCGACGCCATGTCTATCCACACACTCACACTCACACGTCTCATCGAACAAGCCAACAAGTCATCGCACGGGTGTCTTGTTGTTGGTTGGTGTCAGAGTCAAAGTCTTTGTTGTGGATTTGGCTGTTTGTGAGCACATCACTTCTCGTTTCGCTCGGTCCACGCTGTCGCCGAGGCTCAAGCACCACCTTCGCCGCTGGATCAGCTTGGGTTGATGTTGTCGATGGGCGTAGTGAGTGGGTGGGCGGTGAGAGCGCTGGGGGTTGTCTGGGATCGACCACTCGGCTGTAGAAGCGGTTCAGAACGAGAACCACCGCTTCACGAATGAGGCGCAAAGCAGCTCTGTCGTGTTGTGGAGTCTCGTTCCAAGGGCAGTGAACGAGGCGTAACAAGTCACACCAAGACGGCCGGAACTGAAGGGGAGGGGAGTGGGAGTGGGCTCAACATTGGCAACAGCAAAAAGCGTGCTCGTGCTGACTGTTGTTCTGATCATACTATTGCAGATGGCTTCAGCATGGACACCGCGGCAGCGTGAGCTGTTTGAAAAGGCCAAGTCCTCCAGTCGGGTCATGTATGTATCGTCCAAGACCGAGGCGTAGTCGTTGCTGTGCGCTGACTTGTTTGGCGACATCAAGACTCGCACGCTCAGATATCACACATGACGATGCTTTGGTCATTGCCGAGGGTCTCAAGGCGAATGGCAATTTGCAATATCTCGAGTAAGGCAGGAACAAGGAAGGGAGTCGTTCGAGATGAGTTTTGACCTGAATTGTATCCAATAGGTTGTCTGACAACCAGATTGGCGACGCAGGAGCACAAGCGATCGGATCTGCGCTTCGGAACAAGTCGACCTTGATTGCACTCAGGTACTTGTCTGGTGGTGTCACAGAGGCTATTGGGCGCGCTACACTAACTTGTTCGAGTTGATGCAGCTTGAACGAGAACAAGATTAGTGACATTGGAGCTTTTGCCGTCGCTGAAGGCTTGCAGGCGTCGACTGCGCTGACTGAGCTCGGGTATTGTCGTCGCATGTTGACCTCCTGTCGCATCTTCGTCTGTGCTCACGAATGGTTTGGTACTAATGTCTATCTGACTTAGGATGTTCATCAATCAAATCGGCGACGCTGGAGCTCAGGCGATCGGATCTGCGCTTCGAAACAAGGCCAACCTGTCTATTCTTCAGTACGTTATGGTGGTGTCACAGGGACTGCTGGGCGTGCAGCACTAACTTTACCGATCTGATATAGTTTGAGCAACAACAAGATTGGTGACATTGGCGCTTTTGCCATCGCTGAAGGCCTGCAGGCGTCGACTGCGCTGACTCAGCTCGGGTATTGTAGTCGCACGTTTGAGCTTTTGTCGCATCTTCGTCTGTGCTCACGAATGGTTTGGTACTAATGTCTATCTGACTTAGGATGTTCACCAATCAAATCGGCGACGGTGGAGCTCAGGCGATCGGATCTGCGCTTCGAAACAAGGCCAGCCTGTCTAGTCTTTAGTACGTTCTGGTGGTGTAACAGAGGCTGTTGGGGGCGCGACACTCACTTGGCCGAGTTGATGCAGCTTGGATGTGAACAGGATTAGTGACATTGGAGCTTGTGCCGTCGCCGAAGGCCTGCAGACATCGACAGCGCTGACTCAGCTCGGGTATTGTGGTCCCGTGTTGACCCCTGTCACATTTCAAGTTTGCTCAACAGTGGGTTCCTTCTGATGTTTATCTGGCATAGAATGCACACCAATCAAATCGGTGATGCAGGAGCGCAGGCGATCGGAGCTGCGCTTCGAAACAAGGCCAACCTGTCGAAACTGAAGTATGTTCTGTTGTGGTACAGGGGTGTGGGTGTGCGGGTCTTCCAACAACTTGATGCAGCAACATGAGCCATCGAACACTGAACGTCGTTGACAATTTATTGTTCGTGTTCGCTTGCAACAGTTTGTCGGACAACCAGATCTCTGCAAGCGCCGTTCAGCTTATATCCAAAAGCGTTCCCGCAAAATGCGAGTTCTCGTGAGTGTCCTTGTCTTGTGGGAGTTTGTTGCTGTGACTGTCTTTCTGACTTGATTCAATTCCAGGGCCGGAAATCAGCGCACTCGCCCTCAGAATGCAACCAGTCCTCCTGCCATTCCACCGAAACCTGCCCACTTAGACCATACTCCCAACTCGCCTCTCGCTGCGTCTGATGCGACGTCGCAGCAAGTCCTGTCGCAAGCAACGACGCAGTTTTCAGAGTCCAAGCGCATCGGTGGCGGTGGATTTGGCAGCGTCTACTCTGGTGTGTGGAGCGGTCAGCGAGTTGCGGTCAAACGCTTGGCAGCGGATTCAACTCAAGGCATCTCTCAGTTCGAGGCCGAGCTCGAAGCCCTCTCGCGTTTCCGTCACCCGAATATCGTCACCATCATGTGCTATGCCCAGGAAGGCAACGAGCGCTGCTTGGTGTACGAGCTGATGCCAAACGGTTCTGTTCGCGATCGTCTCGATCGCAAGGGTGGCACGCCTGCATTGAGTTGGCAGCAGCGCCGAACCATTGCGACCGATATTGCAAACGCCATGCACTTTGTGCAGACTGCCATTCCGCGTCAGCCGCTGTTCCACCTGGATCTCAAGACGGACAATGTACTTTTGGCCGCTGACTTTCATGCCAAGGTCGCCGACTTTGGTCTGACGCGCTCTGCCCCAGCTCAAGTGGATGCACACAGCTACATTCGCACGCAGACTGTTCAAGGAACATTACAGTACATCTGCCCACAGTATCGCGACGAAGGCAAGGTCTCCATCAAGACAGACGTGTACTCGTACGGCATGATTCTGCTTGAGCTCGTTACTGGACAGCCGCCCAGCATTGACTTGATGGGTACTGTTCGACGCGAGCTGAAAAGGAGCCGTAAAATCGATGCGGTGCTTGACAAGGCGATTGACTGGAGCCCTCAGGACAAAGAATCGGCTCAAGCCATGGCGGCGGATCTTGCGCCTGATTGTCTCGAAACTGCACGAATTGACCGACCCTCGTTCGGCGAAATTTTGAGGCGATTGTCTGGGGAAGAAGCTGCAGGAGCAAACGAGGAAGAGACTATCGAGGGCAGCGATCGCGAGTGCTTGGTCTGTTACAACGCCCCGACGAATGCCAAGCTGATGCCTTGTCACCACGCATGTGTCTGCGTTGCGTGTGCTCAATGGATGATCGAGCGTCGAGACAAGTGCATGATTTGCCGAGTCCTTCCGACCTCGTTTCAGCAGGGCACGTACACCAAGACGTTTGTTCAGTGAGCTGCGCTGTTGTTTGATGTTTGATGTTTATTGAAAGTATGTTGTGTTGCATGTCAAATCACGTCCGGTTTCTGTAAATCTTACGCCATTGCCGTTCTCTATAAAATTCATGTAGCTGACCCCATTTGAGTAGCTTCCCAAAGCGTAGTGACTGGCAGAGCCTCCTGAGCCGACTTCGATTTGGCTGGCATATTTTTCCGAAAAGCCACAAACGAAAAGGGCGCCTGAGTCCATCCGAAGACGGCTTCCGCGCCATGCTCTCCCCCCAACAAGCCAATGGCAACTAGTGTTTCAAAAGAAGCAATGTAAAAATGACCGACACAGTCGAGGGGGTGATCCGACGAAATTGCTGGAGTGAGGCTCCCAAAAAATGGCCTGTAATGCGGCCGAACTAAGGCACCTTCACTCTAGATCTCGCAGCAAGGAAAAATACAACCTGTTCTTTCGAAACTAATTTGTCTGTTTTCATGCAGGTGGATGGCGGACTTGCCACAACACATTCGGGAACAATCGCGAGATGCACCCGACAAAAAGCCAGTGAAAGCGCACACATTCGGACGACTGGCTGTCGCTCGCTTGAAGCTGAACGATCCAACCCTCGCGCATTTGTTTCAAAATAGGCGCATGTCGGATTGTCGCAAGCTCGGTGGTCGAATCGACGAAAGTCGGCTTCACAACACCATTGTATGGAACGACGCTTTGCTCAGCTTCCCGTCTTCGAAACATGACGCAGTGAAGACGTATCGTGGTTTGGCATATTTCCAGCCCCATCTCGAGTTTGTCATGGACTGTTTGTTGCTGACCGCGTTCTCAACTGGAGCTTCTTAATTCTTGCGAAAGAGGAAGCAGTCTTATTTTTTTTACTTTTTGGTTCCCGCTCTCAATCGCTTTGCCCCCAAATCCGTTCTTCTTTCCCGCCCCCCCCCTCCTCTCGGCCCACCGGTGACTGCTATGGATAGTGCCACGCAGATGGATGTGCCTCGGCCGCTCCAGGACTTGGCGGCCACTGACGGCGCCCGTGAAGTCAAGCGCCATACTAAAAAAGTCATTGGCTTTACCGATCTCGGTACGCCCCGCCTGCTGCTGCTCCACTTCCCCCTTCGTCCGCTGCTCCACTTTGTCTCTCTCCCTCTCCCTCTCTCTTCACACACTCTCGCTCCTTCTTCTTGCTCTTGGTGCTGAATGTTGGCGGCGAACTGAACGCGAGAAGAGAAGCGAGCAAAAAAAAAACCTCAAAAAAAAAAACAAAAAACCTCAAAATTACAAAATTAAAACTTCAAAAAGCTTTTATTGATTATTATTGTTACTGATTTTTGGCTTATTTGGGATTGAAAATCCTGCTTTTTTTTTTTTTTTTTTTTTTTTTTTTTTTTTGGTTTCCTATCTCTTTTTTCAAAGAGCTCTGACAATGCTGACATTGGCGGCACTTTTGGCTGCGTTCGCTTCGAGTTGCACCACCGGGGGAGGGGGGTTTGCGGTGGGCCTCCAGCAACAGTGTGACGGCGGCCAACGCAGCGCAGCGAGAAAATGCTTCGAGTCGGCGAATCGACTCTGCTTTTCTCATCAAAAGTGCGACTGGTGTTGCCGTGAGCGTGTAGCACGCTCGTTCCTGCAGCGGCTGTCTGTGAATCAACGCAAACGGAGTCGGGGGATGGGGTTGGGTGGGGCGGGGTGGCTGGTGAACGCCCAGTCCGTCTTGCACAGCTGCTCTACGTACACTCACTGGCTCACTCCTCTCATTCGCTTACTCACTTCTCCCTGGGGCGATCGATCGCGTCTGGCACATCAACTCAACTAGTGACTGATTTCGTCGAGAAGCGGCTGGCGATCGAGCAAACCGCGCTCGCAGCGCTCCAGCAGCTCAACGCTGCAACCAAGCGAGCCACAGACCAGTATGTGGCGCAAGCAAAGCTGGAAAAGTCTGCTCCTTCGCTCCTCGGCATGTGGACGAAACTGCACGACTTCTCGGTGGGAGAGCACACAATCCGCTCGGCGAAGGCAGCAGAGCTCTCGTCCACCTGCCAGAAGATCAGGGCGTACTCTTCGCAGCAAAGGGCAGTGACCAAGAAGCTCTTTGGCGATCGCAAGGCCATGGATAGCGAGATGAGTAAGCTGCGGACTCGGAGGAGGGTTGGCTTGTGGTGGATGTTTTTCAGAACGCAAGATGTTTAGAGTTGTACGTCTGTCTCGCTCAACATCAACCCTCAAAACTCTCAACAGTGAAAGAGCAAGAAGCACTTGCTGTCAGTTTCAAGGCCTATTCGTCCGCCTGTGCAGCCCGGGAGAAGAATCAAAAGGTACAGATTCCCCATCTTTGTTGCTTTTTGTTTTTTGTTTGTTTTTTTGTTTTTGGGAACCGGAACTGGAGGGATTTGCTCATTGGACATGGGACGTTGGACATTGGACCTTTGTGCTCTGCTTTGTACCTACTGCAGACAAGCCCAGCCTTCATGCAGAACGCCCACAACGAGTACTATTTGCTGCGTGCTTCGACTGCTGTGAGCCAGGCCTGGCACTACAGCGCCTATATTCCCGACACCATGAACAGTTTTCATGGTGAGGCTTGAGTGGCTCTCCTTCCTCCGATGAGAAACTGTTTGGGTTGAAAACCCGCTCTCTGGTGGCGCTAACTTGGCTGGCTGCGAACAGACTTGCACAGCCGCTTGGGTATTCGCATTCAAAGTCAGTTCCAAGGTGTTTGCGAGATTCTGCAAGAAGGCTGCCGTGAGGTGTTGGATTTGTAAGTGCGATTGATTCCACGGCGGAGGGGTTTGCAACCCCCCATTTTGACATCCTCCATCACCGTGTCCCCTGTGCCACCCTTTGACAGGGTTGCCCCGCTGGCGCATGAAGTGAACGCCGTTGACGGATCAGCGGACGTGAGCTGCTTTGGCAAGAGTATTGAGCACCAAAGGCAATGGCGGCAGATTCCTCCAGAACCGCCAGTCACCGTTGTCTCGCCAGAGCTGTCTGCTGAGCTGTGTGTGAACGATGCTACCATGCCAGCTCTTAAGCTGCTTATTACCAATCTAACCACAGAACGGCTCGCCGTGGTCTCGCGAGCAGAGCTGCTGGCAGGCCAAGTCCAGGGAGCTGTGGCGAACTGGAAGACCTACATTGCCACCCCCAGCTTTGGCGATCCCGATGTGCTTTTCATCGAGCTGATCAGTCTGCAAAAATCGCTCCGTGAGGCCACGCTCCGCACCAAAGCGATCGATGTCCAGCTGAGTCTTCTTTCGAACGCAACAAGCGCGCTGAGCGACAAGCCCCTCTCCGGTCGGGTTCACAGCTGGGTCCCTGTGCGTACAGGCACCTGCGGTATGAAAAACGCTACTGCTGTTAAAAGTAGAATGCTTGCGTGTCAAAATTCGTAAAACCTGACTGACAATTGACTGCTTTTGTCCTTGGATCTTGCCGCGTCTGCAGGCTATTGTGGCGGCGGTTTTGTCAGCTTTAGCAAGGTGGGTCGCGATGAATCGACTTTCACCCCCCCCCTACCTCCCCCATATACCCTTTGTTGGAGCTTGGAATCCTCTCGGACTCACAATTCTCATCGTTTGCTTGGCAGGAGAAAAAATGCGCGATTTGCCACTTGTGCGTCCATGAAAAGTGCGCTTCGATGCTATCGGTGGTTTGCGCTGTCGCCAGCAAGGTGAGTTGTGCTTGCATGTGTGCGGACTCGCGGTGGTGACAGCTCTGATGCCCCTCACCTTTGATTTCGTTGACAACAGAATCATGGACTGACCGAGCCCCCAGTCACTCCAACATCCCCGAGTCCAACCCCTACTCCCCGAACTCGTTCTGCAGCGCCAACTCCTGAAAGTATGTTGTCCAACAAACGAGAGAATGCTTCCTGTAGCTTGTTTTTTTTTTCTGTTCTAACTTTGTCTCGTTGCAGCTTTTTCGCAATCCGTGCAGACGGCCATTGTCAACCACACGTTTGAGGCCCAAGAACCGGACCAGTTGTCAATCTACGCCGGCGAGACGATTCAAGTACTCGACACATCCGACCCCTTGAACTGGTGGATTGTAAGTAGCTTTGTTGTCGCTCAGCTGGGGCGGGGGGGGAGGTGTTGTTTCATTCTTTGCTCTTTCCTAGACATCCACGTCCTCATTTGGATTTGGTGGCTTTCTTTTTTTTCAATTCCCTTGCATTGACTTGAATTCTGTTGTCAACTGTCCACGCCACACCAGGGTCAATCCTCGCGAGGCCGCGGCGTCTTCCCGGCCAAGTACGTCACTTTGAACATGCAGCGAACAATGTCCGTTTCGCGTGCACCACGCCCGATGGCTCCAGAGCCTTCTTCGTCTGGACGCCCAGCCGAGGAGGAAGCGCCTCCACCCGTCGCACCTCGGACGACCAGCACTATGCGCAACGTCAATCGAATCTCTGTCGTGCCGCCCGGAGCAGTACCCCTTGTATTGCCAACGGGCATGACTCGCGGCCCCGAGCCAACCAAGCCGTCCACTGCACCGAAGCCGGCAGAGTCTGCCACGTTGCGCGCAAAGCGGCCGGATAATTTGCCGCCCGTGAGCCATCGCCTCTCCCAGTTGGGCGTGCCCTCTCCTTCCCCTGTGGCCGTGAGCCCGACAGCAAACAGCAAGGTCAGTACGCCACCCAGCAGTGCATCATTTCAGCCTCAAAGGGGTCGCTCGCCCCTCCCAACGCCAGTCGACGACGACGACGACGACGAAGACGACAAGGTGGGACTGTACGAGGAAGCTGACGTTGAGACGACTGCAAAGGTTTTGTACGACTATCAAAGCAATACGGAAGGCGATCTCAACGTCCGAGCAGGCGAACTGGTCGTGGTCATTGGCCATCTCGACAAAGGCTGGACCGAATGCCGTCAGGGTCGCAAGGTTGGCGTTGTCCCCACCAGCTATTTGCAAATCTGCTAAAAAAAGTGATGCGTGGAAAAAAACAAAAAAAAAAAAAGCAGGCTGCAGATGAAATTGTGTTGAACATTAGATGCGTATGTTGTTTGCTGATTGTGCGGGGCGTGAAATCGTCCATCAAACCGCCCATTCGAATGAATTGAAAGTTCCTTAAAGTGCATAGGGTATACATTTGTACCTTCAACCTTTGTGAAAAACCGACAAAGCAGCCTCAGCGAGTCGGTCGAGGATGTGCGATTTGAATGGCTTTATGTCGGCTATATCTAAACGATAATTTTTGAGGACATTCTGCTACGATAACGAAAAATGAACAAACCCAAACAGACCAATTGGAACAAATCATGAAGCCAGTTCAACGGAAGAAGTGTCTTGAGCATCAGGTACCACTGCATCGTCGGACTGCATCGATTCGTTCGGCTCGTGGGCGTCTGGTTGCTCGCAAGCGTCGGAAGGGTGAGCCCCGGATGGATCGGGCACCTCTGGAAGGGAATCTGAGGCTTGCCGCTCGAGCTCCTCCTCTACCTGATGCGAGAACGAGACGGCAGTGTCGTTGTCTTGATTAAGATACCAGTTCGGGAAGAGCTCGTTGCGCAGTGCATACAGTTCGCCGTGAATTTCGAGAATTTCGCGCTTGGTGCGCCGTGGGGCATTGGATTTGCGATTGTACTTTTGCGGGGTGTGGGTCGAGCCGACGGCAACCTCTTCAAAGAAAACAACACGCCGTCTTGGTGATCCCGGCTGGAAGGGTTGAGCGCGCGAGTCGGTTGGCCAGACGGGGCCGGACGACGATGGGGCACTAGAAGGTGAGGAGGGCACTGACGATGCAGCAGCGACAACCGGTGGCGGTGTTGATGAGCCGCCAGGGAAGGTCTGCGTCCAGTTTGGGGCGACCGTAGTAGTAGCAGTAGTAGTTGTAGCAGTCGTAGTTGTAGGAGGGTGGGCGGGCGTTGAAGAAGCAGCTGGTGCAATGCGAGCAAAAGTGAGGCCTCCAGACGAGTCTGCACCATCGTGCTGGAGCACCAGACTCTCGGCACTCGAATCCATCGAGGGTGGAACCGAAGTCGGCGCGGACGACGGTGCAAGTGGCGCTGTGGAAGAGCGCTCAAAGGTGCTGGAGAGCGCCCCTTGCGATGCGCTTGACGGGATGCTTGTAGCGTGCGCTGGTGCTGCTCCTGGTCCTGCTGCAGCTGCTGTGACGGACGTGGTGGAAGTCGCAGAGCCCGAAGCAGAGAGTGCAGCAGCGCGAGCAGCAGCTTCGGCCTGGCGTTTCCGCCGCAGCGTGTCGCCCTTGACAAGCGACGACTTGACTGGCCGCACAAACAAGTGCCTTGGGATGTGCGCTCCGTCCATGTCGAGGCGCTTCCTGTCCTCTGGCGTGAGCGGCGCGTACAAGTGCTGGTTGCGCTCCAAGTCGCCGTCCGACAGGGATCTGGGCATGCCCGACTCGCTGGCGCGCTTGAACAAGGACGACAGGAGCGTGTTGCGCTTGCTTCCACCCGCACGCAGCGATCCGCCCGGGCTGGTCATTGAGGAGGAAGAGGCAGAGGCAGCAAGCGCCGAGCTCGAGTGCGTCAGTGGGTCGTGGCCATCGACGGCGGCATCACCGTGCGCAGTGGTCGCCGTAGTAGTAGTCACAGTGGTAGTCGCAGTGGTAGCAGTAGCAGTATTAGTCACACTAGCACTGGCATGAGCACTGGTGGCTGCAGCGTGGGCGGCTGGGGTTGTGAGGCCATTGTTCCCATTGTTGCTACTACTGCTGTTAGCATGAGTATGAGCATCCATGGCGTCGCTCGCTGCCACTCCATTGCCATTGGTCTGAGCGACGACTGCAACTGGCATTGCTGATGATGATGATGATGCTGATGATGATGACATGGACGACAGCGACCGGCGCATCTTGGAGCCGACAGAGTTGAACCACGACCCGCGCTTCTCAAGCCGCGGCTGCTGCTGCTGTTGCTGATGCTCAGAGTCCGATGCCGCCGCCGCCGCCGCTTCAGACATTGTTGTTGCGAGGTTGGCTTTTGTTTGTTCTTTGTTTGAGGAAGCGTCGTCGAGTGTTGAATGACAGAACTGTTTGTTCGCTGGTTTTGAGTTGCGTTTTAGAAAAAAATCGAACTCCTTAAAAATAAAAAATAAAATAAGAATAAAAAAAAAAAAAAGAATGGGAAAAAAGAAAAAAGAAAAAGAAAAAAACCATTGGGACGACCATTGCATTGCATTACAAAAGCCAAAAGCCAAAAGTTGAAAACTGCGTCTGTTTTGTCATTCTGAGGCTGTGGGTGCGGCTTTTGAGGATTTCGTCTTTTTGTTCTTACTTTGTGGTTTGGAAAATTCGCAAGTGCGGTTTTGTTTGGCGGTTTGGCACGCGTCCTACCTGTGCTGTGCTGTGCTGTGACAGAGTTTGAAATGACTCACCCCGGGTTTGATGGTTGAATGCCAGAGTCACAAGTTGGCACTGCAGCACAAGCGCAAAGGGGAATGGTTTGGATTGATTCTGAGCAAATCGGATTGTTCCTTCTGATCTCTGTTCATGCGCTCCCGTGCTTTCAACAATAACTGTACAACCACAGCTCCAATGACATTGTAGTCCACCGAATAATCGTCGAGTGAAGTGCGTTGCCTCACTCTTCATTTCTTTGAAAGAATCAAATGGCAGACTACGAAGACGGCGGCTTTGAAGGCGACGACGGCCGCGACGATGCCGGCGAGATGGACAACGACTACGGCCGCGACGACGAGCTCGACAACGAGGTTGGGCTCTCTTTGATCACCATTGCGACGCGTGCAAAGAGAGTCGAGAACGAAGGGAGGGAGAGACACGGAGAAGTGTGGCTTTCGATGAGCCGCCGTCGTCCAGCACCGAGCACATTGGAGTGGGGTGGGGGGGGTCCCTGATCGCAGGCTAGCTATTTGCTGGGCATCATCTGATTGAAGCGCGCATGGACTGGACGTTCGGGTGAGAGCAGCGGAGCGAAGAGAGCGAGTGGAACAGAGCGTATTCAGACAAACTCCACATGTACCTGACGCTGCCTATGCCGATCGCTGGGCAGTTGCCAAACCCAGCCCAACCTGGACGACAACGTTGTGCACTCACGCTATAACTATTTGCTTGCGTCCGTGGACAGATGCTGGAAGACGCGGCCACGTTCGAGATTGTCGACCAAGATGGTCTTGACGCTGTGAGTTTCGTCACTGGATGGACGAAGAATACTGATCGACCACATACATGCTCACGCTCGATGAAATGCTTGGTTGCTTGGTGTGTGTCTCTTGCAGGGCGATGGCGTTGCGTCTGGCGAGACAAAGAAGCGTGTTACTAGCCCGTGAGTTTTCTGCTGAATCAATCTCGAGTGCCACTCGCTCTCCATGAGTCCACACACTTCGAATAGAGTGTGATGACAGTAGAGAATGGCTGTGTTCCGAGCATGACTCGTGCTCGGTCGGAGCATGGGACGATTCTTTGTTTTGCTCATTCTGCTCATTCTGCTTTATCTTCGCATCCTTCCTCGTTCGTGATCTCAGGTTTATGACAAAGTACGAACGTGCACGCGTTCTCGGTACCCGAGCACTACAAATTAGCATGAACGCTCCCATCATGGTTCAGCGCGATGTAAGCACTTCAGAAAATGCTAAACAGAGAGCTCGACAGCTCAACCGTACTCATCTTCTTCTTCCTCTTCCTCCACTGCTGTCCGTTTGCTCGTTGGCAGGGCGAGACGGATCCTCTACAGATTGCCATGAAAGAGCTTCGTGAGAAGAAAATCCCAATCATTATCCGACGATTCTTGCCTGACGGCTCGTACGAGGACTGGGGTGTTGATCAGCTTGAAATCCCGTAAACCCCGAGCAGCATGACTTTGTAGTTCTATTTCGCCGTGTGTTGAAGTGGCAATGGCTGCTTTTCCATGTGTGACAACAGCAACTTCAATCATTGAAACGATCATAAAAATCAGTCCCATTTTTTTTTTTCCTTTTTTTTTTTTTTTTTTTTAATCTTTTTTTTTTTTTTAATGGCTTCCACTAGCACGAGCAGCAGTTCATCCGAATTGACGCCTGAAGAGTCGACGGTACGGCTTTCCCCGCTTCCCGCTTCCCTGCTGTGCTGTTGCCGTCGTTGCGTTTGTTGTTCCAGTCGACTGGTGTTTGAACACCGATCGAAACAACCCGAGAAAGAAGAGGAAGGCAAAGAAAGAAGAACAGCGACCAAAACCAAAGATCCCAGGCTTTTTTATTATTTTATTATTTTTTTTATTATTTTCCTTTGAGTTTTCCATTGCTTTTTTTTTTTTTTTTTTTTTTTCCTTCTGGTGTTCCTTCGTTCGTTCGTTCTGCTGAGCCATCCACTGTGCGATGTGCTCGTCTTCCATTCAACTGCCAGGCATTCGTCACTTTGTATCTCGAGTTCATTCTTCATCTCTCTCTCTCTCTGTCTCTCTTTCGCTTTCCCGCCTTGTTCCAATCGTTCGCCTTTGGACTGACTCGATCAGCAGCGTGATCATCCCCCCCCCCAATGGAACTCCACTCTGCTGCAGTTGCATGCAACTAACATTCACGCATTGTAGCAATCCAATGTAAATGTGTTCGTTCCTCCGACGTAACGGTCACATTTGAACCCGAAAAAAGCAATCGTGTTTCAAATCTCAAACAAAAACCAACCAAAAAGCCTCCGAAAATCTCAGAAAGTGTCATTCAAACTCAAACCTAACCCCACCCGTTTTTTCTCACTTTGTGGGCTGAATTGTAACATTTTGCTGCAGGCCGTCGAGTCCTTTCGCCAGAAGCTCGAGCGCACTCCGGGCGTCCCTGCCAGCGCCCTGCCAACGCCTCAGATTGCGCTGCGCTTTCTGAATGCGCGCAAGCTCAAGGTCGATCGCGCCGTCGAGCTGTACACTCACTTCCTCAAGTTGAATGCTCGCCTGCATTTCACCACCCTCCGCGCGACCGACGTTGCTGGAGAGCTGTACAGCGGCATCCTGGCTGTTCCCGCCAATGCGGTCGATCGCGAGGGCGCACAGCTCGCATACATCCAGCTGCGCCTGTACCGCTATGGCCACGCTGATGCCACGCTCTTGATGGCGCTGTACACACTCTGGAACACGGTGGGCGATCGCCGTGCCGTCTCGCTGGTCGTCAACATGAACGGCGTCCAGTACAAGAACTACGACCGCCTCGGCTACCTGCAAGTGCTTCGCACTCTTCAAAACCACTTCCCTGCCCGAATGAGCAAGATTCTTGTTGTCAACCAGCCTGTACGTCCCCCTTTTTGCTTGGGGGGGGGGGTTTGTTTGTTTGTTTATTTGGTTTTTTTTGTTTGTTTTCGTTCTGTCTCACACTTGTTTGTTCCTCCCCGTGACACCAACGCAGTTCTGGCTGTCGTTCATGATGAAGTTCTATGCTCCATTCATGAAGCGAAAGCTGGCCAAGAAGCTGCGATTTGTCTCGACAGAAGAGCTGACCACGTTCATCGATCCAGCCTTCATTCTGCCAGAGCTTGGCGGCAAACTGCAGTACGATAGCGACACGTTTGCCCGTTCTCTCGCCGAGAAGGAACACAAGTCGGCCAACACGTCGCCCACATCTAGCCCCACGCGAACGACAGGTCCCACTCACCTGCAAGTCACTGACTCTGCTGCAGAACTTGCCGGCGCAGCTGAGGTTGCTGCCGATGCTGCCGCTGCCATTGCGGCCCAAAAGGCGCATGACAACCTCAAGGCGCAGCATGCCAAGGAAGCTGCCGACCGCAAGGCGGAAGCAGCTGCCAAGGCCCAGGCCGAAGCCGAATCTGCTGCCAAAGCTCAAGCTGAGGCTGAAGCTGCCGCCAAGGCCCAAGCTGCCGCCAAGGCCCAGGCTGAAGCTGAAGCCGCTGCCAAGGCTCAAGCTGAGGCAGAGGCCGCTGCCAAGGCTCAGGCTGAAGCTGAAGCTGCTGCCAAGGCTCAGGCTGAGGCTGAGGCTGCTGCCAAGGCTCAGGCTGAGGCTGAAGCTGCTGCCAAGGCTCAGGCCGAAGCAGAAGCCGCTGCCAAAGCTCAGGCTGAAGCTGAAGCTGCCGCCAAGGCCCAGGCTGAAGCTGAGGCCGCTGCCAAGGCCCAAGCTGAGGCTGAAGCTGCCGCCAAGGCCCAGGCTGAAGCTGAAGCTGCTGCCAAGGCTCAGGCTGAAGCAGAGGCCGCTGCCAAGGCTCAGGCTGAGGCTGAAGCTGCTGCCAAGGCTCAAGCTGAGGCAGAGGCCGCTGCCAAGGCTCAGGCTGAGGCTGAAGCTGCTGCCAAGGCTCAAGCTGAAGCTGAGGCCGCTGCCAAGGCCCAAGCTGAGGCTGAAGCTGCTGCCAAGGCTCAAGCTGAGGCAGAGGCCGCTGCCAAGGCTCAGGCTGAGGCTGAAGCTGCTGCCAAGGCTCAAGCTGAGGCTGAAGCCGCTGCCAAGGCTCAAGCGGAAGCTGAAGCCGCTGCCAAGGCTCAGGCTGAAGCAGAGGCTGCTGCCAAGGCTCAGGCTGAGGCTGAAGCCGCCGCCAAGGCCCAGGCTGAAGCAGAGGCCGCTGCCAAGGCTCAAGCTGAGGCTGAGGCTGCTGCCAAGGCTCAGGCTGAAGCTGAAGCTGCCGCCAAGGCTCAGGCTGAAGCAGAGGCTGCTGCCAAGGCTCAGGCTGAGGCTGAAGCCGCCGCCAAGGCCCAGGCTGAAGCAGAGGCCGCTGCCAAGGCTCAGACTGAAGCTGAGGCCGCTGCCAAGGCTCAAGCTGAGGCTGAGGCCGCCGCCAAGGCCCAGGCCGAAGCAGAGGCCGCCAAGGCTCAGGCCGAAGCAGAAGCCGCTGCCAAGGCCCAGGCTGAAGCAGAGGCCGCTGCCAAGGCCCAAGCTGAGGCTGAAGCCGCTGCCAAGGCTCAAGCGGAAGCTGAAGCCGCTGCCAAGGCTCAGGCTGAAGCAGAGGCCGCTGCCAAGGCTCAAGCTGAGGCTGAAGCCGCTGCCAAGGCTCAGGCCGAAGCTGAGGCTGCTGCCAAGGCTCAGGCCGAAGCAGAAGCCGCTGCCAAGGCCCAGGCTGAGGCTGAGGCCGCTGCCAAGGCTCAGACTGAAGCTGAGGCCGCTGCCAAGGCTCAGACTGAAGCTGAGGCCGCTGCCAAGGCTCAGGCTGAGGCTGAGGCCGCTGCCAAGGCTCAGGCCGAAGCTGCCGCCAAGACTGAAGCTGAACCGACTCCAGTCGGCTCCGAAACCAAGGCCGTCTCCTTTGACTCGATGGCCAGCGTCACCACGTTGGCACCCACCAAGCGCATCGGCCGTGGAACTCTTCCTCGCCGCGCTCGCCCGCCGTCGCGCATGTTCCTGCAAACTAGCCTGCGTGGCAAGCCTGCGGAGGCCGACGACTATGCCGACGATGATGACGACGAATCCGAGGCGTCTTCGTCCAAGCCCGAGGAACCTGAGGTGTCTGCCGAAGAAGCCTCGCCCGCTCCCAAGAAGAAGCTCCCAGCAGGCGCCATCCCCATGTTCGGCATGCCGCCAGGCGGCAGCCCTGTCCTCAAGAAGACTGAAGCCGCTTCGGACGAATCGGAATCCGCATCTGCAGACTCTTCCCCGGCTCCTGCTCCCAAGAAGAAGATTCCTGGAGGCGTCCCAATGGGCTTTGGGGGATTTGATCCCTCTGCCGTCAAGCTCAAAAAGGGCAACAAGTAAACTCGAGGTAGTATTCGCTCCACGTTGAATACGCCTTCTGCAAGTTTGCAAACTCTTGTTTCATTTCGTGTATGAATTCATACGTTTCCTGTGCTTCTTTCTTGATGCTTCGTTTTGTCGGAATGCATGTGTGCATTGACTTTTGCTGCCTGGTTGTTTTTTCTGTTTTGTTTTGTTTTTGTGGATTTTTTTTTCAAACATCTATCGACCAAATGTGATTGTTATCCCATCCCAACATCAAACATCAAACGATGTGTATTCCTCCAAATTGAAAATCAATCAAAACCAAAGACGCCTTATGCCCATTCGGCAATCAACGCCATGATTCCCCAACCAAACACCAGGCACAAGATCTTAATCCAGAGCGCCTTCTTGCGGGTCAACCAGGGTTGCGGCGAGTCGTGCTGAATGCTTTTTCGCGGGGGCGGGGGCGGAACGCCTGCATTGCTTTGAAGCTCGGACGGGATGAGTTCAATCAGGGAAATGTAGAGGAAGCTACCAGCGGCGACTGCGGTCAAAATGCCCTCGATCAGGTCGCGCACAGGCCCTTGAGCGGACTGGGCGGCGCCCATGCCAACGGCAATGCCGACTGGGGTGACGAGCGAGTATCCGATCAAAATGCACAACGAGCGCGTGCGGTTCATTTTGGCAAAGTAGACACTCACGCCCAACGAGAAGGCCTCGATGGCCTTGTGTGCAACGACGGCGACAATGAGCGAAAGCAGACCAGACTCGGTTGTTTCCGCGCCCATGCCCAGGCCCTCAAACAGCTGCAAACGAACAGCAATGCCCAACGTCAGTTTTTCAGAAATTGAAAGGCTGGGATTTGCAGTCAAGCAATCAAAATCCAACATACCGAGTGCACCGACAAAGCAATGGTGAACAGATAGGCACGAATTTCCTGTCAGTCGGGCAGCTCAGAGTGAGGTGACAGAACGACCAACATGGCGTCACCAACATAAACAAAAGCAACAAAAATCAAAAACAGAAAAGCGCAAATACAAACCAGAGGCGACATGTGCTTCTTGGCAAGCTTCGAGTCTTGCTTGTTTCGCAAAAGCGGTGTCTGGTCGGGAGATCTGGGGTCGGCAACACTGCCGTACGACGTTCGCTGTGCATCACCGGAACTGGCAGCGCCGAGAAGCGGCTGGCTGGGCACTTGCACAGCTGCGTGCGCGGCGCCGTTCGCTGGAACTGATGTGCTGTCAGAGCTGGCGAGCTGCGACGAGCTGAGACGTTGCGTCATGTTCGGAGTGCTGCAATCGGGGTTTGGATCGCACGTCACGCTGCAGCTGATGGTCGACTCTTCGAGCAAGTTGACTGCTTGGCTCGTGCTGCTGATGGAGTGTCGCCGCACCCGACCGACCTTCCTAATGACGGTTGAGACAATGCTGCCGTTCGCCGTCGCGCGGGTCAGGATGGGGTCGTACGGAAGCTGGTATTGGGAGGATTCGGCAGGTTGTTGGTGAGTTCAGAAAGCAAAACAATCAGGGGAAGAAGCGCAGCAGCAGAATACGAAACAAATAAAACCTACAACTTCCTCGTTCGAATGGTAAATGTTGTGGTGGTGATGGGTGTGATGGTGGTGGTTTGCTCGGCGACGGTGTCGGACAGTACCGGAGCCGCCTGCCGCGCCTTCCTCCTCGTCGTCGTCGTCGGAATCGTCGGAATCGCCGGACGAGCCTTCCTCGTGCCCGTTTTCGCCAGGTACATCTGGAGCAGAGTGGCTGTGTCCGACTTGGTTTCCGTGCTTGTCGTACCGCGACAAGGCCGTCTTGTCAATCACAATCAGAATCATGAGCGATCCGCCTGCAATCAGTCCCGCATAGGGATATGTGTTGGTCGTCACTCCCGTCGCGCTGTCGACAAAGTAGTCGTCGATCGAGTCTGTGCATGATGTGGATGTGGGTGAGTCAAAAAGCGTTTGTGACCAGCTTTGTCAATGCGTTGGTCTCTCTCGCTCTCTTTTTTTGGCAAAAGTGAAGATGGTCGTGACTGCAACCCAAGAATGGCAATCGCAATGGTGCTTTTTTTTTTCTTTTTTTTTTTTTGCGGGGTGGCACTCATTGCAGGTGGGAATCACAATCCACCCCTCCTCGTTTGTGTTTTTCTAGTACGACGGCTTTGAGTTGACGCATTTCGCTGCATCATCAAAAATGTCCTTTTGTTTTTTTCAAAGTGAGTGATAAGTGCATGTGACTCGATGGAGAGCCCTTGGAATGGATTGAAGTGAGTGAGTGGCTTTGGGGGCTTCGTGGGTGACCAAAAAGGGTTAAAAAACCACTCCGAGCCATGGATATTGAGTGGAACAGCTGATGAGCAGTCACACGAATCATGCGACTGCGCCACTGCACAGGCAGCATGCTTATTGAATGTGCCATTGTTATGACCTGCAATGGATGTGAGTGAGTGAGTGAGTGAGTGAGTGATTTTGTGTTGTTCACCTTCGGAGGTCGGTAGCATGTGCGACAGCGCAGCGCCGACAATAATGCCGCCAGCCAGAGTGTTCATTGCAGAGAGCACGAACGCCGCGCTCTTGATCGACGACCGCACCACAAACCTAACGAACAAAAAAAAGCACACACAGAGAGACACAGAGTCACAGAGTCAGAGAGTCAGTCATCATGACAAGAGAGGGGAGGGACGGTCATCATCCCATCAGTCACTCTCAGGTCACTTGTCATTGAATCCCCTTCGCTACTTCTCACTCTGCTCGCTCATCATCACTCACTGTTGGAGAACATCATTCATCCCAAAATGGACGCTCGCTCTGAAATCACAAGGCGCCCCGCTTCTCACTCTGTCTGCAAGCTACTCAGTTCGCTTGCATTCAAGCCACTTGAGCCACATCTCATCCCTCATCCGTCTTCCCTCTTCCCTCGTCCATCGAGCTAGATTCATACACAATGATCAATGCCATTGCTTTTGGTTGAACATCCCAAACCATCTCCAGCTCTCCTCAGCTTCCAATCCTCGTTCGTGATCATTTTGTGGTCGCTCCTTTTGATGCTTTACCATGGCACAGCGCAGGACACGAGCGACCCGAACAGCAGCGCAAACAGCGTCGCGAGCTTGTCAATGTCGATCGTATCCATCATTTTAGACAGATAGAACGAAAGAAGAGAGAAGAGAGAAAAGCTGAACTTCTGAGAATCTTAAAGTAAAAAAGACTGGGTTGACAATCAATCTCAACTAACTTGTCGTCTATCAATCATAAACCACTTTTTATGGTGATGCGCTTCTTGTATTGCTGCTACTCAATAGTAATACTGAATGAACACTTCAGTCTATTTTTGTTGTCTGAGCAGTTCTTGGTCAATGTATGTCTATTGCTTGTTTTCCATTGAGACGACCTTTTCCATCATTCTCACTCTCACTCTCACTCTCACTCTCACTCTCTCAATCTCAATCTCGCTTGCTCGTAGGTCTGCGACGTCCTCGCCCGCGGCGGCTGCGGCGATCGCGTCTGCAATGGAGGTCGCTTACGGCCAGCGCGTCTCGCTCCCGTCCCTGATCCAGGCAACCCCGTCGCGCCTGCCGCCGTCGGGAAGCAGTCCTGCCGGCAGTCAGCACAGTTTCAGTGCACTGGGCGGAGCGGCGAGCACACACACGCCGGCACAGCGCCAGCAGAGCTCGACGCCAATGGCCGTTTCAAGCGCTTCGCCGTTTCAGCCAGTTGCAGCTGCAGCCCAGCAGCGAGATGCGGTAAGAGGCTGGTACACTCTGCTAGTCTTGGGATGCGGTCAATCTTGATGATTGTCAGTGCTCGAGTACCCAAGAGCACTTTGGGCGCCAAAGCTCGGCTTTTGACTTGTACGCAGTGCTGTTTGTCAACTCACGCTCACGATCACGCTGCCTTCTATTGCAGAGATTGGTGGAACAGCTTGCGGAGCGTGCGGAAGTCACTCGATTGAAACTCGAGCTCATTACGGCGCAAGTGCGCGTGAACGAACTTGAGGCGGAGCGTGCAAAGAACTCGAACAAGACCGACCATCGCGTCGACACGCTGCAGCTTCGTATTCAGGTTTGTGTGCCGATCGTGAATGGTCTGGAAAAGGAGCTGCGATCGTTTTTTCTGCTTGCCATAGTGTGCGATTGGCTGACAATGTGCTTTGGATCCAGGAACTCGAACAACAACGGCGATATCAAGCAGGCGAATTCGAGGAATTGCAGGTGCGCCTCTTTCAGCTATATCTGCTTACTCTATGAGGGTCATACTTTTGCTCAATCTATCTGCTTTGTTTGATTGTGTTGTCAGCGGTTGCATGAGACAGTCGTGAACGAGCGAGACTCACTCCGCAGCTCCAAGGATGCCGAAAGCGACCAATCCCAGACCGTCATTCGCAATCTCGAAATGCAATTGATGCAAGCACAACAGGCAAGTATCCCAACAGATTCACAGCTCAGACCGAGCAGGGAATAGTTTTGCTTGACGAGCCATCGCGTCTCATCAACCCTTCGCCCTTGTTCTCCCATTTTCAGGCATCGCTACGCACAGACCCGCGGGTGCATCAACTCGAACAAGCTCAAGGTCAAATTCGTCTGCTTCAGCTCGATTGCGAGGTACAGTCGCTTAAAAAATCAGGTGCTGGTCGAAACCCCCCCCCCACCACCACCACTCTTTTCACTCACTCCGAATCACACCAGGCTTTGAAGTCCGAGCTCGAGGGCAATCGAACCAAAATGGAGCAATCTGAGTGGCTGCTTCAAGAGTTCCGGACCAAAGACGAGCGAATCCGAGAAGTGAGTCCCACGACGAGCGATTTGTTGTGGGGAAGAATTGACCACAGCCATCTCATCCTCCAAAACTCTTCATAATTGGAACTTGCTAGCTTGAAACCCAACTCGCACAGGTGCGCGCAGAGGCTAGTCATGCATCAGACACGCAGACAGTCACGGTCAATTTGAAGGAGCAGCTGGAACGCATGACTCGACTCACGTCCGAGTGTTCGCGTTTGACTCGAGAGAACCGCGAGCTTAGTGTTCGTCAGGAAAACGCGGAGGCTCTCAAAGAGCAAGTTATTGATTTGCAGACCCGTTTAACACGGCAGCTTGAGCATGACGAGCAATCCCAAGCCACAATAGCACGTCAAGAAGACGAGCTTGCCATTCTTCGATCGCAAGTCGACAAGCTTGACACCTTGCTTCAGGCCAACTCTTCGACCATGCCCTCGAGTGTGTTGCCGACTGCTCGGGGCGAGGTAAAAAGCAGCGCGAAAGCCTCGTCACGAAAGGACGATGGTTTGTTGGTTATATTTTGTTTGTCTCACATATGTCTTTGTTTTTCACGCTGGGGGTTGGCTTGTCACATGTCTTGTTCAGACTGCGCGCGCCATTGCGGCACTGGAAAGCTCGCTCTCGACGTTGACCGTGAAGCACGCCATTGCCGTTGAGCAGCTCGGCGGTGCAACAGTTGCCCTCAAATCCTGCGAAAACGCCTTTACTTTGCTTCAAGAGGACTATCGCCGCTTGGAGGCGCGTGCTGTCGAGGCTGAGAGCAAGCTCCGCGAAGGCGCTGCATCCGTCCTGTCTTTGCAACGGCGCCTGCAGTTCGTCAAACAGGAGCGAAACAACCTCAAAGACATGGTCGAGACATACAGCAAAGAAGGACCGATGCTGGACAAGCTGCTTGACAAACTCCTGAAGGGCGATCAGTTTGAGCGCGATACCGTTTCGACGATGCGGTATTCACAGCAACAGCGCATCGAGCAGCTTGAGGCGCAGTTTTCCGAGGCTGTAGCACACATGTTCCGCCTTGAGGAGGAGTATGCTGGCGAGGTATGTCGCAATGCGCATAGAGTGAATGCTGCGGACGTTTTTGTAGCGAGCACGTCTGACTAAAAACGCGGTTTTTGTGTGCATTAGATCAACCGACTGAATCTCGCTTGCGAATCCCAGAAGAACCGCATTCTGAGTGTCGACCGAGACAACCACCGACTGTCCTTTGATTTGGAATTGTTAGCCAAGGAAGCTGCCACTCTGCGCGAGCGTACTGGCCAGCTTGCTGTTCAGCCGTACCGCACCCTGACCCAGCCTGCCTCCGATGCCTCTGCCGCTACCTCTACCGACAGTATCATGATTGTTGATTAATCAACGAGTGTGTTGTTTCAATATTTCCGTGGTGGTGAATGCAGAGTTCAGCTATTTCGTGTGATTTCGTGTGATTTCGTGTGATTTCGTGTGATTTCTCTCTCCATAGCAGTCCATTCATTCATTCATTCTTTGTCTTTTTCCATTTCATTCAACACGAGTACTGCCACCATGGATCAGTACATTCGGATGGCGGGCAGCGAGCTCGCTCGGCGCAATGGACTCGGCTTTGGCCAGCTGCTCTCGCTCGCCGGATCGCACCTGTCGCCGTCCAACGCCCGCTTCCGCGGCCAGCTGCTTGACCTCTCTCAGGTCTGTGTTTCCGTTCCAAGCCAAAACAGGGGGGGGGAAGGACGAGAGTGGTTGAGAGATGGCAGACCTCAAGTCCATTGCAATGCGTTTGGCTGCCAGTGCTCACTTCCCAGTCCCATGCTTTTGCCTCTTCTCCTTGATAATCTTGATATGATTTTACACTTGGATTGGCTCGGATCAGCGGCCTGGCGCGTTGCAGGCCTTCTGGGACCAGAACGGGCTCCGCTCTGCCGGCTCGGCCGTTGAGGACAAGTACCAGGACGCCGTGCTGTGGCACCTCCACGCTGCCGGCGCGCTGCTCAAGTACGAGCAAGCAGGAACAGGGTCAGGGTCTCAATCGGCGTTGCTGCAGGAGGCGTACGCGGCGCAGGCAAACCTCGTCAAGAGCGTCCTGCTTGCGCTCAATCGCGACGAGTCCAACTGGATGGTCGAGACAGTCAAGGCCATCACGGTCGATCTGCGTTCAACTGCAATTCGCGCGGACGACGATCTCATTGCCCAGCGGCGGAAACCCGTCAACCGCGACGAGGCCGGTCGCACGCTCATGGAAGCATTCAAAGCATGCAGCGATCGCAACCCGCTCGAGACCACAAAGCGTCTGGGATGCCTCCATGTCGCAAACCAGCTGCTCAAGCTGTACTTTAACGTGAGTGAAGTGTTGCATGTGGACGCTCGGGCAGAGCGACGCAATGAGATCGTTCATGGTCGAACTCTTTGTCGTTGGTGCTTTTGTCGCTCTCTGCGCTTGTTTGCTTCTTGCATGGTGGATGGAATTCATGTGTTAGGCTCACGTTGCTATTGTTGTTATTTCCTTGGGGCTGGCCTTGTCGGTCGTTGGCAAATGCGCGTGACAGCTCAACAACTTTCAGCAAAGCATCAATCTCATCAAAAACGTCAAGGCAGGAGGCAATGTGCTTTCGCTGGATCACTTCCCAGTATCGCACGTCGTCACATTCCGCTTCTTCCATGGCCGCGTTCTGCTGCTGGAAGGCAATTATCTCGAAGCTGAAAAGGAGCTTGGCCTTGCGCTCGACCGATGCCACCGAAATTGCATTTCGCATCGCCGTATGTGGCAGCGCTTGCTGTAGTTGCCTGACGACTGGATGTCGGGAGTTGGATGCGTACTGACGTTGTTTCGTGATGTTGTGTGGGGGGGGGGTTTTTTTGTTTGTTTGTTTGTTTGTTTGTTTGTTTTTTGCTTTCCGCTCTTCAGGTCTGATTTTGCTGTATCTTATTCCAGTGAGACTCTTGCTCGGTCGCATTCCTCAGGCTGCGCTCCTGTCCAAGTATCGCTTGGCGCAATTTGTCGACATTGTTACGGCTGTTCGGTGCGTTGGGTCTTACAACTCGCTCTTTTGCTTGATTTTAGTTTGCTGGAGCTCACAATGTTTGTTGATCACACCCCTTAACTTGTTTCAGGCAAGGCAACATTCGGTTGCTCAACTCTGCCTTGGCGACACACCAAGCCTTCTTTATTAAGCGAGGCATCTATCTTGTGTTGGAAAAATTGCAGCTCTTGTGTATGCGCACGCTGTTCAAGAAGGTGTAAGTTGCTGCATAGCCAATGGACGTCGACTTGCAACTCGCGTCGAGTTCCTCACTTGTTGCGCCTTCTTGGTCTCAGGCATGCTATTCTTAATGATGCTAAGCTGCCCGTCAGCGCGTTCGTCACGGCGCTAAATTGGATGGGCATTGATGCCGATATGGACGAGGCAGAGTGTCTGCTGGCGACATTGATTAGCGAAGTAAGGCATGGATGAGTGTTTTGTTGTGCGGCAAACGGACTTTCTCTCACTTTTGAGGTTTTTGCCTTTCGTCCTTTTTTTTTTATATTGCATGACATTTCTCTCGGCTTCCGTCTCGAGCAGAAACGCATCAAAGGCTACATTGCGCATCAGCGTAACATTCTCGTGCTTTCGAAAAATCAGCCATTCCCGCCTTTGACGTTGTAACTGACAACCGAACGAATGAACATCCGAGGGACTACCATTAAATTGTGTGTGTTCATTTGAGCAAATTAACGCAAAATAGAGCAAAATAGAGCAAAGAGAACAAGAAAAAATATCCAAAACATCCGCAAACACTGACCAAAAAAAAACTGCAAAAACACCAAACACAAAACAATTCACTACTGCGGCTGCTCGCGCGTCGGAGGTTGCACGCCAAGGTTCAGGTACAGAGTCTGGGCAAGCTCTTGGTTTTGTCGCGCCAGGCGGCGATAGTCGTTGTACAAGCCGACCAGATCGGCGATGGTGAGCGCATCGAACTTGGTCACGAGGAACTTTTTGTTGGGCGGGCCTTTGCAATCTGCCGAAAGGAACATGTCAATGTCCACAGAGGGTGCGTTTTGGAGACCATCAGCGGGGCCTGCTGATGCAAAGGATGATGACGCGCCCGCCTGCGAGCTCGGTCTGGACGACGACGCCGACGCCGCGGTCGTTGAAGCTGCTGCTGCAGCAGGTCGCTTTTGTTGCTGCATGGCGGTCATGGCGGGCGCGGAGGCGGACGGCTGCAGCTGGGATTGTAGCGGAAGAACGCTCGTGCTCGAGGAAAGAGTGTTGGTAGAAGGAGCGGGAGCTGCGGCTGCTGGTGCTGGTGTGGGTGCAGCGCGGGGCTTTGGGGGCAGCGACTTTGGCTCAAGATGCGCCGTCTTGGCCATTTCGGCATCAAAGACGGCCGGATCGATTGAAAGCTGCGCAGACGTCACCTGCTGAATAAACGCAACCGCGCTCACGAGGTTGGTAAAGTAGTACATGGGCTCCGAGGTGAGTTTGTCGGGATGGCGGAATCGCTGAATGTACTGGAGATCAGAGTGCAGTTTGACCGGGTTGGCCCTCAACACGACATAGATGAGAATGGGAAGGAACTCGTCGGCGCCAGCAGCAGCGCCCTCGGCGTTCTGCAGGACGTTGTAAATGGTCTTGCAGCAGTTGAGGATGCAAATGAGCTTGTCGCGCGGGGCCTTGTACGAGTTCATGCGTTGCAATTCAGCCATCATGGGCCCAAGGTTGGCATCTGTTATCCGGCCCGGCTTGATGTCCAAGTGCGCCGGCGTGAGAAAGCTCAGTCGGCGAATGCGAATGTCCAGGCACTCGTCCAAGTAGACGTCGGACGACGTCGGGTTGCTGAACGCCGCTGCGTACAGCTTGTGCATGAGGTACTTTTCAAGGCCCTCTGTTGCGGAAGAAGAAGGATCATCACCGGAAGCAACGAAGGAACCAAAAACAAAAAAGTAAAATAAGTTATCGACCAAACAAGCTCGAAACTCTTGCATACAACATCAATCGACACGGTAAAGCAACAACAACACAACCGCCCCCTCCCCCTTTTTCCCCTTAATTTCCCTTTATTACCAATGGCATTGTCGAGCGCTTCGGGACTGGCACCCTTCCAGAGCGGGTGAACGACGAGCTTGCGAGCGGTATTCTGCATGAACAGCTGGACCATCTCGGTCTGCTCGTCGGCATTGTACGGGCGCTCAAGGAAGCTCGTGATGAACACTTTGATCGACTTGACGAGCTCGTACGACGACGGCTGCTTCATCTTCTCCAAAAAGTCCGGGAAGTTGAAGGACGAGCCGGTGAATGGCGAGTAGGCGTCGCTGTTCCCTGCGTCTGCCGCGACCGCCGCGACCGGAGTGGCAGCTCCACTCACAGACACCCCTGCAGGTGCAGCGGCAGCTGCTGCGCTCGGGGCGGGCGATGCCAGCGCGGTCGGAGCGGCAATCGGGTTGCTCGTGAGCTTGGCGGATGTGGTTCCTGAGCCCGCCGTCGCAGCAGGGGCCGCAGCCGCAGCAGCAGGGGCAGAAGCATTGCTTGAAGTGGCAGCAGCAGTCGCCTGGGCGATGGGATCGAAGAGGTCTGCGACGGTCGCTGCTTTGGCTGGACCGCTCTGCATCAGCAACGCAAACCTAAACCCAAAGTCAAGTCAAAGCAAGCAAAGGCGTGAGCTGGGACAAGAAATTCAAATCCTATGAAGAAGCAACGTTGAAAAAGTTGGAAGGAATGAAGGATGGTTGAGGGGAAGAGTGCTTTGGGAAGGGTGGGAGGGAGTTGCTGGCTTACGGATCCATAGGAGCAAAAGTGGGGAAGGAGGGCAAAAGAAAGAAGAGTGGAGCTCTTTTAGAAAGAGAGAGAGAGAGAGAGAGAGAGAGAGAGCAACAAAGAAATATACTGTAGATCTCAATAGGAACAGAGTGGAGGGGTGAAGAAACAGTATGAAGAAACAAATGGGGTGATTCTACTCACTTCACTTCAATACAGCAGCTCGCTAGCCATGGTGCGAGACAGCACTGATCGCATATTGAAGCAATGCCTTTACTTAATCTATTTTGCTCAATCGTCACTCTTTTTTTGTTTTTGATCTCGCTGCTCAGAATGGGGTAACAACAGCTGCGAATCACAGCGCATTTGTGCTTTCCCCTCACCCCCACCCCACTTCGAATTCTCCAATATCCTGTTGTTGCTTGTGGCCTGCCTTACAATGACTGATGCTGATGCTGGTGGTGGTGGTGGTGGTGCTGCTGCTGGTCGGACGCGGTCATTGTTCTCACCCTTGGTCATCAAATCCTCCAACTCTCAACCACACTCACTCAACCACCATGTTCCAGCTCAACCTCCCTTTATTCACTTTCATCAGTGCTCGGGATTGCTCGTGTGCGCCCGCGATGCGTGCGTGTGTTCGTGCTCGGTTATCCCCGACACAAATCCAATGCCCTTAAACTTTTGATCTACAGTGTCGGATATGTTATATGTTGTTGTAAAGGTTGCTGCTGAGCCGCATTGTATTGAATTGCTGGGCTGAACTTGCTTGCTAGAAACGCGCATTCAAAGTGGTACAAATCGGCGAGCAAGAAGCAACGCAACGTGTACGACCAGGCTCGTAAGGCCAGAGGTGCTTACAGGTAGGCACAGCATTACTTGAGTATACTTGGACTCGATGCAGCCATCAGACAACGACTAACCCACAAAGATCGATGAAAAATTGAACACCAGTTTGGAAAACCAGCAGATTGGCGATGCTGAGGCGCAGGCGATCGGCGAAGCACTCCAAGTGAACTTGGCGTTGACCGAGCTCAAGTAAGTGGCTCAGAAACAAACAACAAAAAAACCAGTCCTTGATGCATGGTTGTGGATCTCACTCACCAACCGAGGGGACAGGTTGAGGGTGAATCAGATTGGCGATGCGGGAGCTCGAGCCATTGCTGGAGCGCTGGGAGCGAACAGATCGCTGATCCTTCTCGAGTAAGCAGCAGCAGCAACAGCGCTCCTTTTGCAAACATCATTCCTGCGTGTGCTCATTGTTTGAATGACAGTTTGTTTAGGAATCAGATTGGCAGTGCTGGCGCGCAGGCGATCGGAGAAGCACTCAAAACGAACAACACTTTGACCAAGTTCTAGTAAGCATGGCGATTCTGCTCGACGCCAATGTCGCGCTCGCTCTCTCTCTCTCTCTCTCTCTCTCTCTCTCTCTCTCTCTCTCTCTCTCTCTCTCTCTCTCTCTCTCTCTCTCTCTCTCTCTCTCTCTCTCTCTCTCTCTCTCTCTCTCTCTCTCTCTCTCTCTCTCTCTCTCTCTCTCTCTCTCTCTCTCTCTCTCTCTCTCTCTCTCTCTCTCTCTCTCTCTCTCTCTCTCTCTGCCACAATTGCTCACCACTCGAGGGACAGTCTGAGCGACAACCGGTTGGGTGACGCTGGAGCTCGTGAGATTAGTGAAGCTCTGAAAGTAAACACCAAGCTGGCCGGAATCTAGTAAGTGTGTTTGGAGCTGTGTGTGATTGAGTTCTGTTGCCGTTCTCTCGCGCTTATTTTCGCTCACACGGACTGCTTCACCACTCCATTGACAGTCTCAATGAAAATCGTATTGGCGATGCCGGAGTGCAAGCGATTGGCGAAGCGCTTCGAGTGAACAAGACGCTGACCAAGCTCGTGTGAGTAGCAGCTCTGTTGTTCAATCTTGCAAAGTGGGACAATTTGGGGCGGATCACGCTGCTGACGATACCCGCCGCCAATAGTCTGTCTCACAACCAAATTGGCGATGCTGGAGCGCGGGCGATTGGTGATGTCCTTCAAGTAAACCGGACGTTGACCAGTCTTGTGTGAGTTTTGCTTTGCGACGTGGCCTGCTGCTGGCTACGTGCGCGAAAATTGGCAGTTTTGCTGGCCACGTTGCTCATTCAGTCGAGCATCAGCTTGTGGACAAACCAGATTGGCCCTGCTGGAGCGCAGGCAATTGGCAGAACGCTTGCAACGAACACGACACTGACCCAGCTCCAGTGAGGGTTTTTGCTCTTTTTTTTTTTTTTTTTTGTGATCGAGAACTCGGAGATTTCCGTTGTTCTGTCGTGTTTCTCACCAGCCTCGTGACAGTCTGTCCAAGAATCAGCTTGGCGATGCAGGAGCGCAAGCGCTTGGTGAAGCAATGAAAGTGAACCGGACGCTGACCCAACTCGAGTGAGTTGTGTTTGTGTTTTCGTGACTCGGTGTGCAGAGGCTCGCAACGTTGCTCACCACTCTGGTCTCAGTCTGCACACGAATCAGATTGGCGATACTGGGGCGCAAACAATTGCTGACGCACTCAAAGTGAACAGCACATTGGTCGAGATCTTGTGAGTTGATTGCCAATTTTTTTTTTGTTTGCTGTTGAAGAATTGTGCGATTGAGGAAGGAAACTTGGACAGTCACGTTTTCTCACAACGCAAATGACAGTTTGGACACCAATCATATTGGTGATGCTGGCGCTTGTGCAATTGGCGAAGCGCTCAACGTGAATCGAACGCTGGCCGAGCTCAGGTTTGTGATTTGTTTTCCCGATACGCTCTGGGTTGGAACGATGTTGAGAAAATGGCTGACTATTTTTTTTTTTCAGTTTGAAAGAAAATCAGGTTGGCGATGCAGGAGCGCGGGCAATTGGTGACGCACTCCAGGTGAACAAGACTTTGACCAAACTCAAGTGAGCTTTCTGTTGTTGTTGTTGTTGTTGTTGTTGTTGTTGTTGTTGTTGTTGTTGTTGTTGTTGTTGTTGTTGTTGTTGTAGTTGTTGTTGTTGTTGTTGTTGTTGTTGTTGTTGTTGTTGTTGTTGTTGTTGTTGTTGTTGTTGTTGTTGTTGTTGTTGTTGTTGTTGTTGTTGTTGTTGTTGTTGTTGTTGTTGTTTTCAATGGTGATGCATGTGATCAAACTGACCATCCGCAACCCAAAAGTCTGCAACGGAATTTCATTTCCAGTCATGGCCTTTCCGCGTTGAAGCAGACAAAGAAGTCAACCTGTCAGCTCGAGTATGCGTTTCTCGCACTTTGAACGCAGGTCCTATGCATCGACCAAAAGACACTCATTTGAATTTCACCCAAACAGACTGGCCGACCAACGCACTGCTGCCGATCGTATCGGAGGTGGCCCTGACAGAGTCTACGAAGCTGTTCAAATGCCAAGCAAAGGCAAGCAAGCAAGTGCAACAACAACAACAACAACAGCAGCAACACAAAAACAACCAGAGTACGCGGCTCCGAACGCGTACGAGGAGATGGGAGAGCCTCCCGGCCAAGTTATTTATGACTATGCATGCGTCAATGTGGCCGGGCGGGACTCGCGTTATTTACGCGAGCAGCTGACAATTCTTCGCAACCTCGGCAGCGGCAACTTTGGCGACGTGTCGCTGGGGCAGGTGCCAACCAGCGCGTTGCCTCCGCGTGCCCGCGAGCTCTTCGCTGCCAGTTCCCCACAGTCGATTCTCGTTGCGGTCAAGTCTCTCCATGCAAAGGCTGACGACAAGGCTCGCCGTGACTTTGAAAGCGAGGCAAAGATGATGGCCCGATTTGTTCATCCAAACGTGGTGCAGCTGTTAGCCGCGTTGACCGAATCGGAACCCCATCTTGTGCTGCTCGAGTATGTCATGTATGGCGATTTGCGCTCCCTGCTGAAAAGCTCCAAGGAAAAGTCCGCCATGTGGTCCAGCAATGAGCAGGTTTATGTGATGCGTCAGATTGCCCTTGGCATGCAGTATCTTGGTACCCTGCAGTTTGTGCATCGCGATCTTGCCGCCCGCAACTGTCTAGTTGGGTCTGGAATGGTGGTCAAGGTTGCCGACTTTGGCCTCTCTCGCGAGCTCACCGACGAGTCGGATTATTATCGCATGCAAACCCGTGGCAAGCTTCCCGTCAAGGTAACAGGAGGGAGGGAGGGGGGTTGTCTTGCGCGCAGATTGCCTTGGGTTTGGAGACAAGGTGTTGGAGGAGTTGCTGGTGTTCACGTTGTGATGCGATGCTTTTTTTTGTTTGTTTTGCAGTGGATGGCTCCCGAATCCATCAGCTTCCGCCGCTTCACTGTTCAGTCCGACGTGTGGGCGTTTGGCGTAACTGCCTGTAAGTTTGATTTGGAGGGTAGGTGTAAGAGCATGGGCAGATGTTTCTGACTTGCAACCCTCTCGCTGATTCGGTTTAGGGGAGTGTGCAAGTTACGGTGATAATCCGTACGGCAGCTTGGCTGGAGGGCAACTGTTTGAATACCTTCAAGCTGGCAATCGACTTCCGATTCCTGATGATTGTAGTCCAAAGGTTTACAATATCATGCGAGCGTGCTGGGATGCCGACCCCGACCGGCGTCCGTCCTTTGCAGACCTTGCCGTCCAGCTACAGACCCTCCAGGACAACTCGGTGGTTCGGGACATTGGGTTGATGCTGGTGAATTAGAACTCAGAGATGCCGTGGCTTTGTTGCATGCAATACGTTGTCCAGCAGACTGACAATACAAGCAGAAGCAGAATCGGGGCAAAGTGCTCAGATTTGGACACGCAGTTTTGCTCACACGACATTGGAAATCCAAAGTTGCTGTCATTGGCGATTTTGAACGTATCCAACACACACACGTACGCACGCAAACACGACTTCCATAGATCTACACTCATGCTGACATCACACAGACAGCTGAACAGATCTCTGGTTTTTGGGTGCGGTTTTTTGTTTTTCCTCCTCCAGTCCAAGCGAGCTGAAGTCTCGCACTTTTTTTGCGATTTCTGCACCTGTATAGGCATGGTTGGAAAAGGCTGCACACATCCACGCGGAGGGGAGCGGGTACAAAAAACACAAAACCCCAAAATGCCCACTTCCAAACTGGCAAGCGACGGCATCCGCACCCCGCCCAATCCTCCTCGGCGAATTTCTGAAATGAGCATCATGATCACGCGTGCTGTGAATGTCGCCACTCGTCAAGTCTTTGTCTCAGATGCCAGCACCCTCGGCCGAGTGGCTTTCAACCAAAAAGTACGAAATTTCGCACTTCCGCCTCGGTTTGCTGCGGTGGGCATGCTCTATGCGAGTGTATGATGTGTTTGTATGTGTTTGTGTGTGGTTGCGCGCACACGTGTAAGCTTGGTTTCAACCACATTATTTGTTTGATGATGATGATTGTTTTGTTTGTTGTTGTTTTGGGTTTTTTTTTTCCCCAAACCGCAGTATTCTCGCACTTGCGCCGTCTCGCACTTTGCTCCGCTCTTTCCGCCCCTATTTAAACCCTCGCACAAGTGCCAAATGCAAAGCCCAGTCTTCTTCTTCCCATCCCGGAATCTTCCACCGCGCCGTTCCCTTCTTTTGCCCTGAGGTTTCATCCACACACCAAAACTCGGAAATCTGAACTGTCCGGCCTCTTCCCTCTTCTGCAATTCTTTGTACAAAAATGTCAGGCACACACACGCCATCCGCGGCAACTCCAGCAGTTTCGGGATGTCCCGTCATGCACCACGGCATGTCCAGAGGCAACATGGCCGTCTGTCCGGTGACTGGGATGAGCGCCCCGCCCACGCCCAACCGGAGCCGATCGGGCTCCATCTCGTCCGTCTCGTCGAGCACATCCCAGAGCTCAGCGCTCTCTGCACATTCTGCACTATCCTCGCGGTCGACCACAAGCTCCATGTCGGGCATTTCGGATCTCGGACCCATGCTGTCATCGCAAATGCTGGACTTGTTGCGGCACGAAACGCGCGACGCCATCCAGTCAAGCTGGGCTCTTGCGATTCAAAAGCACGACGATCACGACGTGACGCCCGTGGCCACCTTTGTTAACATTCTCTTTGCCAAGCTGTTCGAGGTGTGTCCCGAGACGCGGCTCGTTTTTGGTCACGACATGGTCCGCCAAGGCAAATCGCTCAGCTCGATTCTCACCGGCATGCTCGAGTTTGTCGTGCATCCCAAAAAGCTGCAAAGCCAGGTAAAGGACGAGTGAAAGAAGTGTTGTTGTTAATGATGATGATGATGATGATGATGATGATGATGATGATGATGCTAATGCTGCTGCTGCTGGTTTGCTCAACCGTGCACTTGATTTTTGACAGGTGAAACGACTGGCACACATGCATGTGGGACTTGGCGTAACGCCAGACATGTTTGAAGCGTTTGGATTCTCGCTTCTGTACACAATCAGAGTTCGAATCGGCAGCGCATGGAACCAGCAAATCGAGCGAGTCTGGGTGGACACGTACGGCGGTGTGAGCAACATTTTGAGTCAGCACATGAGCCACATCACCCTCGACGCCAACGACATTCCATCCTGGATGGTCAGCCGGTACCTTGAGCACCACGCTGTCATGATGGCGACGTGGAAGGAAGCTACGGATGCCGACAGCGGAGAGCGCGTGCTGAACGGATTTTTCACCAGGTTGCAAGTCAACGACCCACAAGCATCGCACATTTACGAAACAGCCGACGCACGCATGCGCAAGGTGATTATCTGGTCTGCCGTTACCAAGATCCTCGACTGTCTCGAAAACCCACGCTCGTTGCGCAAAGAGCTCAAGCCACTCGCGCAATCGCACGCACACATGGGTGTTACGCCACAGATGATTGATGCGTTTGGTACTTCACTCTGTGCTGTCTTGAAGGAAGTCCTCCAAGAAAAGTATACGACCGAGGTGGACGTCGTGTGGCGTCGGTGCTTCCGCCTCTTTGCTGCGCAGTTTAGCCTCTCTCTGGAGCGGTACTCGAAGAGTAAGAACAAGAACGGCAAACAGGCCTGTGTTATTTCTTAACACGTTGGCCAGCAGTTGTTGTCATGTTAATAAATGGTTTTGAAAGATGGACTTTTTGTGTGTATTCAAAACGTGCTTCCATTCTTTTCAACGACTGTACTGTACTGTGGTCGAACAACAGTCGAAATCTCGACGGCGTACGTGCGAACAGCACAAAAACCAACAACGCACGTTTGTTATTTTGCGATCGTCGCATAGTCGACAGTCCCATCCTGCGTCGAAGGTACAACAGCGATCGCCGCGTAAGCGGTTGGTGAGGACGCAGGCGGCACACCAACGGACGAGGGGCTGGGCAGCGAAGGATTGGCGTACTCGACACCGCTGGTCGTGGCTTTTGTTGCACTGGGTGCAGACACAGATGCTTCGGCATACACCAGTTCGGGCAAACCCGCAGGAGCCTGGGGCTTTGAACCAACTTGCGCGTACAAGGCGTGGTCGCCGCCGCCTCCGTTCGCGAGCAAAGCATTGTAGGTAAGATTGACCACGCCGACGTGACCCACGGACTGGCGAGACCGATCGGTGCCAGATGTTGCCTTGCGTCCTTTACGACGGCGAAGAGCCACCAACAGCACAGCCAACAAGAGCAACGCCCCCACGCCACCAATCACGCCGCCAATAATAGGCCCAGCTGATGCATCACTTGACTTGTTTGGAGCGTTGGATGCAGCAGATGCGGCTGATGTCTGCCATGCAGATGAAGCGCTGGCAGCTGATGCAGTCGCCTGTGAGGCGATTGCAGCTGAGGATGCAGTAGCGATGGACGCAACGGAAGCCGAGAGGGCCGAGGTAGCGGAAACATCAGAAGCGACAGATGCGGACACTTGTGATGCAATTGAAGCTGAAGATGCAGTAGCGAGTGAAGCAACGGATGCCGAGAGCGCCGAGGTCGCAGAAACAAGAGACGCTATCGAGGCAGATTGCGTTGACGCCACTGAGGCGACGGAGGCGATGGAAGCGAGCGGAACGCAGGATCCACTCATGATGCCATAACCTTCATAGCACTGCGTGCACACAGTAGATGAAGCGCAGGTCGAACAATTGATCTTGCAACACGCACTGGACCCAGCGGCATAGCAGGTGGCACAGACTGTATCACACTCTACATCGCAAATGTCAGTGAACGATCACGTGGGGATTGCATACCAGTCGCGTTGAACTCTTACTGTGTGGTTCCGATGCACTGCCGTAGGTGCTGGGCGGAGCGACAGAGTTTCCACCAAAGGTAAAGTTGTTGGGGGCCAGATATGGGTAAGAGAACGACAACGCCAAGCCATTTGGCAAGCCCTTGAACAGACCAGGCGGTAAAGTCGTGATAGGATTATCGTTCAAAGTCCTACGTGTATCTTGAGGTGAGAAGGGATTCAAGAACGTGCAGCGAGAGTTCCTGCTTACAAACTGGTCAAACCAGTGAGGCTTGTAAATGCGGTTGCGGAAAAGCCAGTGATCTGGTTGCTGTGTAGTTGTCTGCAGATAGAGTCGCCAACGAGTGAGCCGTTTGCGTTAGATTCGTCATGGCTTTTCTTGCTTACAAGGTAGTCAGCGAAATCAGACCTGTGAATGCATTTGCAGATATGCTGGTGATCTGGTTGTTGGACAAATATCTACAGACAGAGTCGCCAGCGAGTGAGCCGATTGAGTGTGATTCTTCTTGACTTTGCTTTGCTTACAAGAAATTCAGCGAAATCAGACCTGTGAATGCATTTGCAGACATGTTGGTGATCTGGTTGTTGGACAAATGTCTACAGACAGACAGACAGTCGCCAACGAGTGAGTCGTTTGTGTTGGATTCGTCATGGCTGCGCTTGCTTACAAGTAATACAGCGCAGTCAGGCTTGTGAATGCGCTTGCCGAAATGCTGGTGATCTGGTTGTTGGACAAATCTCTGCAGACAAAGTCGCAAACGAGTGAGCAGTGTGGTTGTGATGATTCTTCCTGTCTTTGCTTGGTACTTACAGTTCACCTAGCGCAGCCAGGCCAGTGAATTCAGTGGAATCAATGCGAGAGATTTGGTTGCTGGATAGATCCCTGCAGATAGAGTCGCAAACGGGTCAGTCGTCTATGTTTGATTTTTCATGACCTTTGTTTGCTTACAATTCCAACAGCGCAGTCAAGCTTGCAAAAGCAGTGGCGGGAATGCTAGTGATCTGGTTGCCATATAGCACCCTTCGAACAGCAGTGTCGCAAATGAGTAAGATGGATGTGCCGGATTCTTCCTGTCTGTGCGTGGTGCTTACAGTTCAGTCAGCGCGGTTAAGCCTGTGAATGCGTTTGCGGAAATGCTGGTGATTTGATTCTCCTCCAAATGCCTATCGACCATATGCCAGTCAGGATGAATGCTTCAATTCAAAAGGTCAATGACAACCGCTTACAAGCTCGTTGTGGCGGCTGGGAAATCGGTTGGAATGGCCGACAGAGATGAGCCACGGCAATCGACACTCGTTAAACTGCAAGCGCACACGCCGCCAGTGCCACATGCATTGGCTGCTTGTGCGAACTGGGCGTGATAAATCACGCAAAGCAGCAAAAGCAGCAGCCCAACAGCGACACCTTTGGTTGCCATCTTTGAGGATCTGCGTCAGAGAGACATTTACAGTACAAAGTCAGCTTGCATCGCTTTCACCCCTGGCTCGCGTGCAATGTCACTATGCTGGAAAGCACGTTGTGTCTGTCTGGGTGGTTTGACATTGAGCATTGTCCCCAAGCTGGAGCGAATGGCAGATCATTCCCACGACGGGTTACACGAGCTCAGCAATTTCGTCTGCCCTGCCTTCTCTCTCCTCTTTTCCCCCCCCCCCCGCACACGCTCTCCATGATCAGTCCCATGCTGTCTCTGTTGATAAAGTGCGCTTCCAATAGAGCGGCGGAAAGAGACGACCGCATCAGAACTGCAAAAGTTGTGTTTTTTTTTTGTTTTTGTTGTTTCGGTGTTTTTGGCTTGCTTGTTTTGGTTCAATAGCGAACATTTCAATACCAGCCGCAGAGCCCCGCTGCACCCCCCCCCCCGGCTCCCTGACCTTTCTTTTGCTTTGAATTGATTGTCTTGTGGCAACAGATATTCTCAGAGAGCGAGAGACATCGAAAAAGAGTGCAGGACCGCAAAAAGAATGTGCTGGTGAGTCAATCACACGCAGACTCACCAGACACCTCCCACTTCGACTCGGTGACCCGCTCGTTGGCCGACTTTCGCAACGCGGCAGAGATCGCTTCAATCAAAACCGAGAACATTGAGAAAAAGAGGGGATTGTTGGTTGGGGCTTGGGGATGATTGACTGAGGAAGCGAGAAGGGGGGATTGTAACAAAAACAGGTCGACAAACAACAAACAAAAACAGAAACAGAGTGATCTGGATCAGCGGTCGATCGATCAGCAAATGTGTTTGTGATTTGGTCATCCTGACGAGTCATCTGTTTGACTAGAACAGACAATCATGCGAAAGCAGACAAAACAGGCAAAAATCAGAGTCAAACAAAACCGGGAATCGTGGCGAAAGATCGAGCCTGATCCTGCTCCATCCCCGTTGTGGTGTTTTTGAGCTTCTAAACCAAACTTTCAAGTTAAAGCTTTTTCACTGTCCCATACGAGAGTGGGGTATTGTAGTTGCATGATTGAGCTTCTGTCGCATCTCTAGCTCTCTGAAACTCACAAACCTCTCTCGTTCATCCATTCAAAGCTCAACTTTTGCAGCGCGTTCATTTCTTCTTGAAAGCATGTCTCGCTCACCCATATCGAAAACAAAATGGAGAGCACAACTTGAACGATTCGGGGTTTTGTTCCGGGAAACCGTTGTCACTCGCTGGTTTTCGTCCTCCAACGACAGCTACAAACGTGCCTTCGAGTCGATCGACTAGCTCATGTGATGTGCATAGCAAGGGCAATATCCAGACAGAGTATGGCAGCTCCAGCGAGACCGAAACCAGTCGAAACAAATGAAAATTTTCATTGCCGATTGACTAACCGTCCACCGCACGCGACTGTAATTATTTCAAGAAGGCATCACTCTGCCAAACATAGCAAACATGCGCCAAAATTCAATCACCAATATATTGATTAAGCGCAAAACGCGTATTACATTTCATACATTCATTTCCGAAAGAACGAAGCTCGAGCATTACACGGGTCGCAGCATACGTCCGCGCGACTCGACGGCCATTTTGAAAATACCTGCAACAGCTGAATCCAGTCTCTGATTGCCACAAAAATTACATGAATGGCTGAGAAATCACTTTTTCCATTGTTTATCGAGAGACCGGCGCACCGCACGCGATTCGAACTGGTCTCTAGAGGCGGCTGAATACAGTACCTTGACAGCACTTTTGGAAGATTAAAGTTTTTTTTGAAGCGGCCCACAATTGCCGCCAAAGTTCCAAATTCCAATTCTAGACTTGTAACCATGTAGATTGCAGCACTATTTTCTACTGAGAATTGATACAAATACACTAGATCTCATTCATTCAGGCTGGATTTTGGGAGTTTCAAGTTGCTCAGTCTTTTTGTTTTGTAAGTTTCGCCCAATATTTCCCTCTTGCCCTCTCCCTCTCCCCCTTCCTTTTGATGCCACAGCCAAGTCAGAGGCGCTCGTCACAAAAAACGGCATGCGAAGTGTTCTGTCCATGCGCTTGTTTGCAAGTTGCTGGCTCCACGCGATTCGTTTTTGCTCGTCTTTCCATACAAGCTTCTCGTTACGTCTGTCGATGCAGAGCAAACCCCAATCAGCGCACCTTTTGGCCTCTTGGGCTGCCGACTCCGCCGCGCTACACGTCCCCCAGCAACCTATGCTCTGGCAACTGATGCTGCACGTTTTGTGCCGCATACCTCACAGTTGCTCGAGTCGCTGGGCGGATGCGGATGCGAGTCGCGCCCTATGAGACCTCCCCGCGCTGCCGACCTTTTTCGCGCATTTGGCTGTGAGAGTGGGCAGCGGTTGTCTAAAACCCCAGCTGCAGCCCTAGTCAGCCGGCGCACACCCCTCCTCTTCCATTGTCCCTTACTTGCCCTTCCTTCCTTCCTTCCTTCCTTTGCTTCTATGTCTGAATGGTTTTCGGTTGCGATCTTTTTTTTTTTTTTTTTTTTTTTTTGCGATCTTTCGTTTTTTTTTTCACCTCCCAATGCCGCTCCATTGGTTGCTTCTCGTTCGCCAAGTGTCTGTCTGCTTGCTTTTGTTTCTTACACTCTGGATCTGATATCTGCGAATGCTAGGGGCAGCCGGCAGAGTCACTTCAAGGCACCAATCGACCTAAAGAGCAAGCGAGCAAGCATGGTCAAGTCAAAAGCAAGGTGAGAGACTTCACGACGACCGCACGTCCAACGCCAGAGAGTAGAGCCACTCTCCCTTTGAAAGCATTGAGCGATAGTGCTCTTTGTTAGGAGAGGGCTGGGGGGGGGGGAAGAGGGCTGATTGCGCCAGGCAACTCTGCGACCATGCTTTGCCATGTGCTTGCTCTCGACTGTCTCTTGGCTTCAGCTGCACATCTTGTCTTTGAGAGAACGGGTCGAGGGAGGTGGGGGTGAATGCATGCAATGGATGCAGATCAAGAGCAGCTCATGTGGTACACCAGGATCCACTTCACTTTGTGATCAACTGCTCACATTTCCTCAATTGATGTTCATTTGGACACTTCATAGATGCGTTGTTGTTCGTCTGGTTAGCTTGGCCAACACTGGCTTTTTCTACGTCGCCAAGCGACCACGCGGCTCTCCAAAGCTCTCATTGATCAAATACGATCCTGTTGGTGAGTGCACATGCTAGAGTTTGTTGGATTCTTTTCTGGTGCACTCCGCACTGCACATCTGTTGAAAACTTACTTGTTCTCGCTTGGCTCCACAGTGCGTCAACACGTAATATTCAATGAGAAGAAGGTCTCCAAGTAGCCATTTCAAAAAGGACCTTCCGTCATGTAGAGTTGTTGTCGCTGTTGTTTATTGCTTTTCTCCCCCCTTTGTATCATATCCATACGTTTTCCAACACGATCGTTTTCCACGTTCTCTGGCCAATCGGTTGAAGCTAAAGATTGGCTTGCACTATGGTCCATGTTGTTCATTTGTTGTGTCAAATGCGATGAAAACGAGCGACTTGAGCAAATCTTTTGACTGTCACAATCGTCTGAGACTTGACTGAGAGCCCATAAGCCGTCAAAAACCATTCGTCGGTTGGAGCTACACCAAGGGGAGAGCACATTGGGTCACAGCCACGACAGAACCGAGATTCTTGGTTCGCCTTGTTTGTGCAATGGAATCCGCTTTTTTTGGACGTGCTCAGTTCTCTTTTTTTTTTTTTTTTGCTTATATGGATACACTTGAAATCCCAGCAGTTTCGCGTGGCCGAACTGGTGAGGACGACTGCTTGTCGCGTTCATTGGATTTCTGAGTGCATGAGAATCGAAAAACAAAAGAAAGAACAAAACAAAGCCTGGTTCCTCCTCCTTTTGGCTTGCGGTCGTTGGTCGTTGATTGAGGGGTGTTTGATTGGTTTGGAGTGCCGATCCAAGCAGCGAGTGCTTGTTATTGATCGAATCGCGCGAATGCGACCAACTCGAAGGCACAGAATGGCTGCGATCGGATTAGTGAAGCAGGAAGAAGAAGGTGGAAATTGACTCAAAGGATGCCAAAAAAAAAAAAAAAAAAAGATAAAAAAAAATTACAAGCGATTCGATCAAAAAAGTGAAGGGAAGACAGAAGGAGAGGAGAAGAAGAAGAAGAAGGAAGAAGAAGAAGGAGAAGAAGGAGAACAACTCAAATGCGAGGAGAGCAGGTGTGAGTGATAGCAAGCGGGACGAGCTGGAAGAATCAACCAAAAAAAAAAAAAAAAAAAAAAAAAAAGGAAAAAAAAAAAGATGGGAACGAAAGAGTGGGGAAGCCGACGGGGGAATGAGACAGAAGAAAGGGGAGGAGGAGGAGGAGGGGAGGGGAGCGACGAGTGGGGCAGCTGAACAACAGATGTGCGATGGACAAGCAACCCCAGAGCGAGCGAGAGAGCGAGAGAGTGAGAGTGAGAGAATGGGAGAATGAGAGTGATGAATGGCGCTGGTTCTCTCTCCCTATCTCTCTCTGCATGGGAATGCGCGACTCCTCAACCTCGTTCGAACTTGCTCTCAACCACGCTCGTCACTCTACTTCACTCTTTGGGGAGGGGGAAGAGATGGCACAGTCTGAGGCGGCTGGTCGTCTCAAGCTGCTAAAGTGTGTCATTCCACGTCCCTCTCTCTACTTCTATTCCATCAACTACTGCGTGCACTGCACATCACAGACACACGAACGTACTCACAGTCAATGCAGAGCCAAATCCTCAACCTCGCCAAACCGCACAATCAGGGGGTCGAATTCTTCACTCAAAAAACGTCTCATTCTCTTGCCAGGCACGATTCGTGGGACAATCAAGGGCAAGCCGGCCCCGTCGCTGTCCAAGGCGCTGCCGCCACAGCAGGACCAGATGAACAAGCTCCAGGTCAAGACGCAGCAGGACATCGAACTGCTCGATGAAGTGCGCAACTACATGAAGCTGCGCGCTGGTGTCGAGGCAGAGTATGCCGCCAATCTCCAAAAGATCACGCAACAAGCCCTTGCCAAGCGCAAGTGGACCACTCCAAAGCTCCCAAAGACCGACGTCGAGTACCGGTAGGTTTGCCGAGATTTCTTTGTTGGTTTTTGTTTTGTTTTTTTGTTTTTGTTGGCTTGGAAGCAGCCTCGAGGCACAGCTCAATCGTCGCATGTCTTTCTTTGCCAGAACCGTCCTCGCTGCGTGGAAGTCACTGCTGGATGATAGCCTCGAGATGGCAAAGGCTCGCGCTGGCATCTCGGAAAAGATTGGCATTATGATTGTCGATCCAATCCGTCCCCAACACAAGCAAAAGCAGGCCGTGACCAAAAAGGTGCGATTTTTTTTTTTGACTTTGTGACTTGCATGACAGAGCGCCCCTCCAACTAATACAATGCTGCTGCACCCTGTTTTGCTTCTCAGGGTCTTGAGCACGGTGTCGAGTTGAGCGAAGAGATTGCCGTGACGTTTGAAAAGGTTGACAAGGTAACGAAGCCGAACTGTTTTTTCTTTTTTATTTTTTTTTTTGGAGTCCGCGCTCGTTCGTTTTTTGCTAACAGCCCGTTTTCAACACTTGCACTCTCAGGCCAAGAAGGCGTACCAGGATTTGGAGCGTGTGGCTGCAGTTGCTCGCGAAAAGTTTAACGAAATTGATGCTCGCTCCAAGAAGAAGTTGCGTATTTTCGAGTCCAAGGCGGACGTGGAAAAGAAGCTCGAGAGGGTAAAGACGCCCGTTCACCACAAGCACGTTTCCTCCCATGTGCAACGCCCATCTCATCTTGTTGCCCCTTCCCAAAAACCCCATTCATTGCAGGCCGAAAAGAAGAAGGATCTTTGCGAGCGCCGCGCTCAGACTGCTCGACACGACTACATGCTTGGCTTGGCCATGGCCAATGGCCACCACGCCCAATACTATCGCCGAGATCTGCCTGCATTGATGGCCGTAAGCAACCCGACCAATCCGAGTGCCATGTTCATTCTGTGGCCTTGACTGTTCTCACCATTCCATGCCTCGAGTAGATGCTGGACGGCGACTTTTACTCGCAACTGCAAAACTATTTCACGGCATACGGCACCATCATGCAAGAGGCGATTGCCGAAGAGCACGAAAACGCGCAGGACATCAAGAAGGAAGCAGCGCTTGTTGACCGAGAGTTTGAATGCAAGGTCTTTGTTCTCGAGCATCCTCAGGAATTCACCGAGCCTCCTCCGTTGGAGTTTAAGCCTCTCGAATCGGATCGGGTACGCTTTGTGTTTCTCTCTTGCCGCACATGTTGTTGAGGACGTTGTTGGCTGACGTTTTGTGCCTTTTTTTCTTTGTTATTTTTGGCTCTGCTGGCAGTTTACCACCATGATTCTGGACGCCAACTCGCGCCCCGTGCTCCACAAGGAGATGCAAAAGATGGTCAATCACATTGCCAAGGCGCAGAAGGTTATCGAGCAAAAGTCCAAGGAGATGGCCAGCGTGCAGTCCATGATTGATGTTTACGTCAAGCAGCCACAGTTCGGCACGCCGGAAGCGCAGGCCGATGCCGAGCTGCAGATGGAAAAGTTCAAAGACACCATCCGTCAGATGCAGCTCCAGCAACTGAAGGCACAAGCTCGATTGGATGTGATGGTCGCTGCAGGCTGTGAGTTGTTGTCCCCGATTTTGGTTCCCTTTTTTTGATTCTCGTTGTTCGTTTTGTTGTTGGTCTGGATTGATGCTGATCACGTGGCGCACTTTTTTTAATTGGCCTTGCGATCCATCTAGTCCGTCTGGAGGATTTCAAGGCTTCTGTCGAAGACGAACCGGACAGCGGCGCAAAAGGCTCGCTCAAGACGTCGTCGCGTCGCTCCTCCTTTGCCTCCATGACCTCGGCTGTTCCGACCCCGCGCGGACAGCGATGCCGTGCCATTTACGACTACAAGGCTCAGGCATCTGACGAGTTGAACCTCGAGGAGGACGAGGTCTTGAAGATTACAGAGCCCGATCAAGATGGCTGGATGAAGGTAATTGTTTGAAAAGACTCAAAGTGCAGTGTTTGACTTCTGTGATGTGGTCGAGGATGCAGCCGTCTTTTTTGCGTTGGACTGATCTCCTCCATGATCTTCTCCGCTCCTCTTTGTCTCCCCCGTGTGCGTAGGGCGAAAACTCCAAGGGCATGGTCGGCATCTTCCCGACTTCCTACGTCGAAATTATTTCTGCCGACGACGTCGAACCATCCGAATTCGACGACGAGTTTGATGACGATGACAACGCGTCCCTGCCATCGCTGTCTTCGGTTTCCAGCGCGCCGCCCGCTAAAGCCCCGAGCTCGGTTGCGTCCGCTGCCGCCAATCACTACCACTCCCAGCCTGCAGCAGCAGCAGCAGCAGCAGTACCTGCCTTTGCTGCTGTCTTCCATCCCCCAGCAACCACCGCTGCCAATCAATACTCTCAACAAAGCGCAGCACGGACGCAGCAACAGCCTACTCAAGCTGCGGCCGCCAAGCCCGGTCGTCCGCCGCCGCCAAAAACCACCTATGTCGACACTGGTGAGTTGTGTGCCCTTTTTTGTCGGAGCTTTCATCGCGGGTTGTGGTGCTGAGCATGCCTGCATTGTTGTCATGTTTTTTTGTTCGCTGGCTCACCGCTCCCCGCCACCTTGCTGTTTCATCTCTTGAATGACTCAGTCCGAGCGTTGTACGACAACGAGGGCGAGGACAGCGATGATCTCTCCTTCGTGGAAGGCGACATTATCAATGTCATTTCCAAATCAGACGACGACTTTTGGGTGGGCGAGCTCAACGGCAGACGCGGTACCTTCCCGTCCATGCTCGTCGAGTCGTGCAATGAGGATTCGTCCGTTTAAAGCTCGGCGCGCAACTATTCGTCAGCTGGTGTGACTTTTTGCTCCTGCATTCTCGCGCAGACGTCTATTTTTGTTTGTTTGGATTTTTTTTTTTTGTCGTTGTTTTCGTGCTATTCTTTGGAAACGTTCACTCATTCTCTCAATCGCTTATACTTTTTGTTTCCCCTGTTTTTGGTGTGCTATTGCCTTGTTCTATTATAGTTGACCAACTCGTTGGTGTTGCTTTTAATGCGATAATTCTAGCTCTTAACGTGCAGAAGAAAGAAAAAAAAGTGGAGTTTGAAAGGCCCAAGACTAAACACTCGAGCCGTTCGCTTACTTGCCCTTGTTGAACAGGTAAAGATTGTCCCAAGCAATCTTGGGAGAAATGGCGCAAGCACAAATGAAGCCGCCCATCATGGCACCGACAACGCCGTTGATGAAGGCGTCTTGGCCGCTCAAGTACAGGCCCGAGATGGGTGTCTTGGGAGTGAGCCACGAAGCTGCTCCGCGTGTATCAAAGCGGCCAGTGCGGAAGTCAAGGCCGTACGACTCGCCACGAGTGGCGCCAAGGTAGTGGTTGTTGGTCACTGGCGTGGCAAAGTCAACATACTGGACGTGCTCCTTGGCCTGCGGGAAGAAGTGGTAGAAGGCGTCCATCATGCGATCGCCCAGCTCCTGCAAGAGTGGAAGTTGTATTGGGAGTGAGCGACCCGAGGGAGAGTGGGATTTTGCAAACAACACAGCCACAGCTTTTACAAGCACCCGAACTCACCTGCTTCAAGTTCTGATACTCGTCACCGCGATGCTTGACGCGCTCGCTCTGATACGCCTCAAACCACTCAAAGGGAGCCGGAGTCACCACGAGCGCAACGGCCTTCGAGGGGAAGCGAACATTCCAGGTTGGGTCCTGACAAAGGAATGACAATGGAATGAATGGCAGCACGTCAGAAAACAACAGCCGGCCAAAAGCATCAACAAGGCAAAAGAAAAGCAGAACAAATCGCAAAAAAAAAACCCCCAAAAAGGGAGCAGCTTCCGTTGTTGTACCTTGGCGGAGGGGAAGGAGATAAACACGCCAGCGAAGGGGTTTTTGGGGTTTTTGATAAACTCAGAGTAGGCGGCGTCGTGATCGAGCTGAGGCGAGACCCAGTAGTTGGCCGCAGTAAACCCGAGTTCTTGAGGCGAAGCATCCAGACCGATAAAGGCATAAACATGGCCAGTGGAGGTGGCCACTCGCTTGCCACTCTGCAGCTCACCCAACTGTTTGGAAATCACGGCGCGGTGTTCGACAGGAATGAGCTTGGTGTACGTGTTCATGGCGCCAGCAGCGGAGATGATGAGCGGCGCAAAAAGCTCTTGACCTTTGGCCATCCGCACGCCGACAGCGCGGGTGCCGGAGGCGTCCAGCAGAATCGACTCGACCGGTGCGCGGACGAGCACCTTGCTACCGCGCTTCTCGAGTGCGGCAACGATCGTCTTGGCCAACTCGCTGCTGCCTCCTACGGGGTAGAAGGCGCCGCGGAAGTAGTGAGCAGCAACCACGGCGTGGATGGCAAAGGGGCTCTCGCTGGGCGGCGTGCCGTAGTCTCCCCAGATGTAGGTGAGCAGATGGCGGATTTCGACGTTCCTGGGAAAGATTTCGGCGAGCACGGACGCGGTGGTGCGCTGCGAGTAAATGTCGTCGCGTGACGCAAACCCCGCTTTCGGGAAGATGAGCGTGAGCAGCATCAGCGCCCACTCTGGCAGCAACTTGGTCAGGACAAACGGGCCAATCTCGTTGGTGGCACCGCGGACGGCGCGGAAGTACTTGTCGATGGCGGCTTCATCGTTGGGGTAGCGCTTGACGAGTGCCGCCCGGAGGTTTTGGCGGTCGGCCACAAAGTCGAATCGCTCTTCGAACTGGAATGGCTTGCTTCCATTGGACTGGTCGGAGGTGGGAGTCGAGGTGGCAGTCGAAGTTCCCGTCGTGGGAATCGTGTCAGCAGCAACCTTGTTGTTCTGCTTGGTGGCAAACGCATCCTTGGACAGGATAAACCTGTCGTAGACATTTCCCATGGTGGCCCACTGGAGCTTGCCGTCCGAGATGGTGTCAAACATTTGCCTTGTGGTGGATCTGCGCGGTCCGTCCGCCATTTCGCCAATGTAGTGCAGGCCCGTGTCAAACTCAAATCCCTTGTCTTCGTAGACGTGCGTGCATCCGCCAGCGACGTCGTGCTGTTCAAGCACCAGCACCCGTTTGCCGGCCCGTGCAAGGTAGCTCGCGGTGGTCAGTCCGCCCATCCCGCTCCCAATGCAAATCGCGTCAAATTGCTGCGAATCGGACGACTTGGCAAACTCGGCGAATGGCTGGCGGATGAGCGCCTCGTCCTTGGCGCGGGCGTCCGGGTCTGTGTAAAGCGCCTCGGCAGCGGCAGAAGCAGAAGCAGAAGCAGAGGCGGAATTGAAGGCGGAGGCGGAGTCGGAGGTCGGACGCGGCGGGCGGGATCGGAGTTGCCGCATGAACAGCACTGCGCCAACAGCAGCGACAGCCACCGCGGCAGCAAACAAGCCGAGAATCAGGGTGATCAGCATCATTGTGCTGCAGAAAGAGACAGAGGGAAGAGAGACAGAGAGGGAAGAGAGAGAGAGAGAGAGAGTCGGATTTGCGTTGGAATCGATACTGCTCCAATTCCAACCCAACAGAGAGTGAAGAAAAATGACTGAACGCACGTCAACCAGACTCGGCTTTTGTTTACTGTGATGGGTTGATTGACAAAAAAAAATGCGGGTCAAAATTGTGCACGTCTTCAAGGGGAATGGAAGGAAGGGAGCGAACAGGGCGATTCAGAAAGGGGGGGAAAGCACAGCGAAATTCTTGAGCTTTTTTGAACGAGATGAGACGAGACGAGACGAGACGAGACGAGACGAGATGTGTTGCAGTTGTTTTTGAAGACAGTGCCGACTGAGGTGTTGGGATCATTTTGGACAATCGGAGGCCAGTCTCTTTTGACATTCATACTAATGGTACCCCACAGCTCTCAAGTGCTCACCCACCCCCTCTTCTTCCGCGTTTCCGCTTCAATCAATCAATCAATCAATCAGCATCTTCATCCAACGTTGATGCAATCCGACAACACTCAGCCACACACTCAGCCACACACACTCACGCTGACAGAACACACTGAATGCTCGGATTTCTGGAAGCTTTTTTGTTTCTTTTCGTCCCCAGACGCTGGTCCACTCACCTCACTCACCTCGCTCAGCCAACTTCAAAAAGCCCAGTCAAAACATTCAACCTCAAGGCGACGGAACGCAGCAAACGCAGTCGCACAGCAGTCGCACAGTTCGCACACTGCTCTCTGCAAGCAAAAGGAAGAAGATGAAGCGAGCGAGTTTCGCGATCTCAACACTCTGCTCTGGTCTTCCCCCCTTTTTCAATGACTCTTGACTCTTGACTCGACTCTTGACTCGACTCTTGACTTTGAAGAAGACGTCACTGCATTTGCAGCAGCGCTGGTCACGGTGGCGGAGGAAGCGGGAGGGGGGGGGAGAGAAGGAAGGAGCGAGCGAGCCAGAGTTGAACCAAGGGTCAGGTCAGGAGCGAAAGGGGGGGACGCAGCTCACAGAGGCTGAACAGAGAGTGCATTATTGCACTTTGCTTGTGTCGTCTGCAGTGGTGGGTGGGGTGTGGGGGGGGGGGCGCAGCGAGCGAGCGGAGGAGGCAAGTGGAATCGCATCAGTATCAACCCTTTGTGAAGGGACTCGTCCACACATCATGCCTTGGACGATGCGTTGTGCATTGGATCAAAGGAACTGGGTCTGATAAACCACGTAGACAACGGCAGAAGAGACGGCCGCGGCGCGAGTGGAATAGCAAGGCTTCAAACTCAGCCTCTCAGTTTCTCACGCTCTCTCTTGCTCAACCAACCGCTGCATGGCACTGCGCCGCTTGCACTCATTTGGCCCAAACGTGATATTCGGAACTGACTTTTGATTCTTTTCAATCGATAATGTTCGCTCGTTGTCGCAGGCTTCCCAACTCCCGCCGTTGCGACCAACAATCACCGCCGCGTCCCGCACGGCTGCAAACACACAATTCAGCCATGCCACATACGGCATCCACGACACAATGCGCCATGGCTTGCACCAGGCACGAGACGACCTCGCCCCGTTGCACCCAGTCGCATTCATCCAGGACACATTCGACGCCCACCAAGACCATCTGCGGCTCTCGATGCTCGGCCTCACGCAAGGCCAGCAGGCAGTCATGCGCCTCAACATGGAGCGCAACATTCTTTCCCGCGTCTGGCGAGGCCCCGGTCTGCCATCCTCCAACATTGGCCTCGAGACGATTACTGGTCGCGACGACCGCATTGCCTGGGAGGATGTTCTCAACGGTATGTGTTGCGCAGTAGCAGTGGTGCTGGTTCGAAGGCGTGCACTCGGGTTTGTTGGGCGGAGAAGGGTTGGAGTTGTCTGTTTGCTGACCTGTTTCGCCCAATCTTGTTGTTTTGATTCGCAACTCTCAGACCCTAACATGTCCGAAGTGTCGCCTGCTCTGCACGAGACGGCTGAAGCTCGCTTGCGACTTTGAAAAACAAAAGCACGGCTATTTCTCGTCGGAATGTGTGTGTTTTGGTGTTTCTTGTAACTAGTTGAAGGAGGTCTGTTTTTTTTTTTTTTTTGTTTCCAAAGACTTTCCCCCCCCCCCAACTTCGTTTGCTTTGTTTAAATGCTGCTTCCCAGTTGTGTTTGCGTTTCGTGTTGTGCCCTCGTGCTTCAGCAACGAAACACACCTTTCCCCACTCATTTCGATTTGTACAAACAATGAAAAACAACAACAAAACGTTCACCTCATCACACCACACACAAGACGGCCAGTTTGCTGAACTCAAATGCATTACTATCGCTTTTGTTTGTTTTTTTCCCCATTCAACCTTGAACGTTGACGCACTCTTGCTTTTTTTGTTGGATTCGACCGACCATGATGGAGGAAGAGTACGATCTGCTCCCGCCACCACTCTCGCCCACCAACAGCGAGATGGATCCGTGGGCCGCCGCCGCCGCCAGCAGCCGCCGTGGTGGTGGTGCTGCAGCGTCCTCCCAGCGCGATCTGTTCCACCAAGACCATCGCCACACAGCAAACATGGTCCAAGTGCCCGGGATTACCGTCGACGCCGACGTGCTTCGCGCGCTCAATCCCGACACATCGTCGTCCAGTGCGCAGCCGCGTCAGCAGTTTCCGCAGTCCCAGCCACACTCGCGCTTTGCATCGTCGTCGACATTGCAGTCGCATCAGCATCATCAGCGATCGACCTTCCTACCCTCGGCGACTGCGGCGAGTGCGTCGGCATCCGCTTCAGCCGGCGCACCTGCGCTCCAGCGCGGCCCGTCGTCCTCGTCGGGCTCGTCCAAGTTCGTCTCGAGCACGCCATTCTTCATTGCTCCACCGCCTCGTGCTTCAAAGAGCGCCAAGGCGCCCATGCGACGAACCATCGCGTCCACGACGGCCGACGTCGACGCCAGCACAAATGGCGGGAAAACCGAATCCGCCTCCTCGTCCGACGCCATGCTCGACCCCACCGCCGCCGACGCAGCTGGTGCCGAAGCCGATGCGCAGGGTGACGGCAAGACCAACAAGGACGCAACGCCCGCGCTCCTGCAGTCCCAACGGGTAAGTTGTAGATGGAGAGGGATGTGGAGGGCAGAGATTGGGGAAAAGGTGGGGAATAAGTTTTTCCCGCCAAAATTTTTGGACCTTTGTGCCCGACGCTTGAACCCCTTTCCCTTCCCTCACCCGGATCCGACTTTGCTCTATTACTTTTGCACACTACATTTTCAATATCACTACGTAGAACAAGCGACCAAAGATGGACGCCGAGCGGCTGATTGAGCACGGCAACGGCCTCGCCAAGCTGCTCGAGGACTCGCCGCGACTGCCCTTCCGCCGCGTGAAGGGCTCGGAGGCGTCGGATCTCAAAATCCTCATTGCGTACTATCAGCAGTGGACACACAACTTGTACAATTCCATGTCGTTCGGCGACATGCTTGAGCGGCTCGAGTCGCTGGGCAAAAAGGGTGCCGTTCGCAACTATGTCGACACGCTGCGAAACTTTAGCTACTCTGGGCTGCGCAAGTTTGGCAATGCCGCTGCGTCGCGCGCGGCTGCAGAGGAGGTAGACGAAAACGCGCCGATGGGCTCGCGCGAAACAGACTCCATTACCGCTCGCCGCAAGTTTATCGCCCGTCGAGTGTTGGATGAAGATTCCGACGACGGCGGTGGCGAGGAGCTCTGGTCTCTCAACAAGCCTGCTGCGAACGGACCGGACGACGAAGTGGCACTGCGCACTTTGGACGAAATGGAGGAGCAGATTGAGCGCGAGAGGCAGCGTGCGCGCAAAGCCGCACGCCGCTCAACTCGGCGCCGCCGCCACGAAGACGGCAGCGACAGCGACAACGACAACAATGGCGGTGGTGGTGGTGGTGGTAGTGGCAGTGATAACAACGACAACAGCAACAGCAGCGATAACGATGCCGCCATGCACGACTTGTCACATTACGACAGTATGCTCGCTCAGGCGGAGCAGCGCCTCCGCAAACAACAAGCCGAGTCTCGTCGCCGGCCCAAGCGCGGGGGTACGCCAACCAAGTCAAGCGCCCCCACAGATGCAACTGTTGATGGAGAAGCCGTCACGGCATCAGCTGACGTTGCAGCTCCTGTCGAGCAGGTCGAGCAAACTGCTGCCGAAAGCGTTTCTGAAACCCCAGCCGGTGAAGCGACCTCGTCGACTGCTGCAGCCGAAGAGCATGACGCATCCACCGCACCAACACCAGCACGGTACACGCGCGCACCGCGGGCTGCTTCCACTTTCAACCTCAACCTACAGGAAGAGGTGCGCGACATGGAGCAAGCGGAGCAAGCAGAGCAAGATCGACGACTCGAGGAAGGCGAGAATTTGGTGGATGTTGGGCTGTTGCTTCACGGCGAGGCCGAGATCGCGTCAAGCTCAACCGCTACCGCCATGGAATCTTAGACTACATCTCTTGGTTTGGTTTGAGCGTTTGAGGGTCGCTCGCCCACTGTTGTTAATGGATATGTGACTGTAATAAATAGCTTTGAATAGATACAAAAAAATACATAATGACAGCTGAAAAAATATATAGCAAGCGCTACACTTGCGCGCCACGATACGTGCAGCCCATCAAGTCGAGAAACTGTTGCGGAACACCTGCAGAGCACGCGACGCCGTGCTCGGTCGCCCAACGCTCAAACTCGTCGAGGCCAACAGGCTGTTGTGGAAATGAGGGAACACACTTTTGACGATGAGCCACAATTCGACATTCAAACAGACATCACACACATTGAATCGAGTACCTGAAACAAAAGCAGCTTTTGGTACATGACGCTGTCTTGCTCAACCAGAGCACGTAGCAACTGAAATTGTTCGGTTTTGTCGAAGGCACGGGTGGATAGGCGATTGGGTTTGAGCGCGGGATTGACACTTGTGGTCGTGGACGATGCCTGTGCTTCGCTGATGGAGCCTTCCGGCAAAGCGGCAGGTGCTTCAGTGGCATGGGCAGCGTTGCGCCGTTTGGAAGACACGGCACGGGTTTTGGTGGCTGCACGAGAAGCCGCGAGAGCCACCGAGGAGGGATCTGGCTGAGACATGGCCATGCGATCATCGTCGTCACAGTCGTTGGTGGTCGTGGCAACATCCTTCGCACGATGGGTGGCCGCAGCTGAGACACTGGCATTGGCTACAGAAGAGACGCCAAAGCGATGATCCCGCAATCGGTGGAAGATTTCGGTGAGCTGCTCGACAAGCACGTTGCGGTTGCGAGTCTTGGGAATTCTCATGCCCATGGTCTGATAGTGAACCTTCAAGTGCGGCGTGTTCATGATGGCAAAGTTGGGTGTTGGAGGGAGGCCTTCTGGAGCACCAGCCGACGAGACGGACTGCTCCTGGCTTGGCGCACGTTCCACGACAGGCGTTGCAGCCGCAGCAATAGCAGCAGCAGGACTGCCTGATTCCGCAGGTCTGGCTGACTCGACAGGCCTTGCTGGTCGGACTGGCGAGACAAAGGAGGACGATGCGATTTGGACATTGGATTGCACCTTGGCAAGTTCTTGATCGCGCCAGTTTTGCAACTCAAGAGCCTGTGTCATCACGAAACAGCAAGTCAATGCATTCAGAGTGGCTCAAAGGAAAGACGTATCAAACTACAACACAAGACATGGCGATAGTTACTTTGGTTTCGAATTCCGCTTGCGCGTCACGGAGTCGTGCAATGAGCTCTTGCTGAAGCTTGTCCATCTGAGCAGCAAACGATGCTGCGATCTGTTTGGCTGGGTGGTCATTGTCGGCCGCGATGGAGGGTGGCGTGGAGCGATCGCGAGGCAGTGTCAATGAGACCGCGCGAGCAAAACGCGCCATGGGGAAGCCAGTGGGTGCTGCTAGTAACGGCGAAGGTGGCAGGTGACGCGATCGGGGTTCAAACTCATCAGAGACACAATCGTGAGACTGGGAGCGCGCCGGCGACCTCAACATGGAGCGTAGGGAAGGCAGTCGGGTCGAGTCGCTACAAGGGCTGGCAGGACGCGACGAGTGGTGGTGTTCAAGGTCGGAACTCGGAGAGTGCGGTACATAATTGTCAGAATCACGGTGAGGGTTGGTGTCGGTTCGAGTCAAAGAATTGTCGGGCGATGGTACAAAGTGGACAAGTCCCACATCATCGTCATGCGGGTCCACGAAACGCGTCTCTAGCAAAGTTGGATCTGACTGCTCTGCACGTTCGCTTCGATGAGGCACATAGTGAATCAGGCCCACATCCGGGAGATCATCAAGGTCGGGGTCGTCGACCATAGCGGAAGGAGTCGGCTCGTTGTCGTCATCAAGAACATTGTCATTGTGCCGAGTACGCCCGATGTTGCTCTCATTCAAAACAGCGCAGGATGAAGGGTTGGAAGACGGAACATCGACAACTTCGGTGGTGCTCTGCTCGGCCTCGAGAACAACGTCCACAGAGTCTGATTGCGAATCACTGTCAGTTTGCTCCGCTGCGCCTTCAGGAGCCGGAGCACTATGAAACAGGCCTGCGTTGGACAAAGGCAAGGCACTGCTCGAGGCTTCAGACTGCTGAGAATCGTCGTCCTGGTCAGCCTCAGCATGCAAATCATGCAACACACCAAGGAGGTGGCCCTGGCTGAGAGTCAACGACGACGGGTAATGAATGCGGCTGTGCGATGGTGACGACGGGGTTGAGACGATTCGCTGATCTTCTTGCAATGCTGCATCGAGGTCATCGTCAGCAGCAGCAGAATCAGTGGGGTCCGAAAAGGTTACACGCGGACGACTAGCGCGCTCATCCTCCTCGTCAAGTTCAGCTTGACGCAGTCGTTTGATTTCAGGCGAAGTGAGCGTCTCTGAGCGGACCTCGACTGCCGTTTGAGGGAGCTCGGTCGTAGTCGGCCCAGAGTTGCTGCGAGAAGGCAAAGCCGTCCGAGCCGTCCGAGCCGTCGGCATTGCTGGCGAAGAAGCGGTGGTGATGACGCTTGGAAGGAGAAAAGCACGCTCGGGCATGGCAGGCGAACCAGTCGTCAACTGCCACAACGACGCGGGATTCCCACAGGCATCATCGACAGAATCAGAGTAGAATCGTTTGGCACGGATGAGAGGAGAGTTACAGTCGAAGCCCGACATTTCCGCAGTGGCGCTGTACAAGGCTCCCGTGTCTTGCCCGTCGTTCAAAGGTCTGGACGCCTCCGTCCGGCGTGCCAGCCGACTCCGTTGCAATTTGGGTGTCCGAGCTGGATCGGTAGCGCCGGAAGACGAAGCAGCAGCAGCAGCAGCAGCAGCAGCAGCAGCAGCAGCAGCAGCAGCAGCAGCAGCAGCAGCAGCAGCAGCAGCAGCAGCAGCAGAAGAAGAAGAAGAAGAAGAGGTTGCAGCATCATCTGTTGTAGACCGACTGTCACCGTGGGTGATGGCGCCAACTGCCGCCGCCACACCTGCCTCTTTACCAAACATGATCTCGGTAGCGCGCAACTCCATTCGTTTCCGAAATGCGACTTCATCGCGAAGAAGAAATGCTGGGACATCGGCGTGATCGAGACCGACTTTGCTGCGCCGTGCTTTTCCGCGCCCGCCGCGCTTGGACTCTGTGCTCCCATTCTCACCCTGGAGGATGCGCATGGCAGACTCAATCTCCTCCCTGCTCTTGGCGCCCATGGCAAGCACAGCAAACGCGTTTTCCTTCTCGCGCTCGTGCTTTTCGTGGACAGCAGAGGATTTCGAGAGTGCCATTCCGAGCTGCAAGTCTGGATCGATTCGTGAGCGTTGTCTTCGGGCTGTTCCAGATGCAGTGGCAGTACTGGAGGCTCCTGCTGCAGCTACTCCGAGTGTGGCAAGAGCGGCAGAATCGCGTCGAGGCGGAGTAGCTAGCCTGAGTGCGCGCGCAACTGCGGCCGCGATTGTCTGCGGCGACGTTGGCACCGCACTTGACCTTGCATCAGCATTGTCAGCTTCTGACGCGGCGTCGATGAGAGGCGCTTGGTGGGCTCGTGTCGTGTCGTTGCTTGCCAAGTCGAGGCAAGTATTCACATGAGCATGCCGCGCTCGCTCGGACACTGTCCGCCGCCATTTGAGTCCGCACATTGGACACTGCAGTCCATCACTCGTTGGGGCGCTCGCAGCGGCTCGATTGTCCAGCGGAGCGTCATCACCAATTGAAACGCTGCAACTCGATTCAGCCGCGCTGCCGTCGTCGGAATGGTCGGTCTCGTGCTCTGGGCTGGCAGCACTCATCATCGCAGCACCATCTGTACCATCAGCACCATCAGGTTCGGTGCCTTCATGCAGAGTGCCACTTGGGTTGGTCGGCTGGCTCGGGCGCGCGTCGTCGTTCCTGCGAACCAGCGACAACCCGCGCCGCCCGTTGCCCTTGCTGAGGCTCGCCGCGGTGCCGTCTGCCGAAGCAGCATGAGCAGCAGCAGTAGACAGGCCTGCGCGCTTGAGCCGCGGTACCAGGCGCCGGGGCGTGCCCGGGCTGGCCTCTGGATCGAATGGATCCGCCATACAAGAATCACAACGAAGAAGAAGCAGAAGAAGAAAAAAAAAAAAGCGCGAAATTCGAATTGGTTTCAAAAGAATAAAACAAAGAGTGCGCAGCAAAAGCATTTGGAAAAATGGAGCACAGCAATGCAGAAGGCATGATGAAGGGAGCCGGAAATCAGTACACAGTCACGGCCAAGCCATTCTGCCTCACATTATCTGATGGAGACTTGACCAGGACGCAGGCACCCTTTTTCGTTTTGTGGCTTTTCGTAATGCTATGCCAGCCAAATCGAAGTCGACTCAGGAGGCTCTGCCAGTCACTACGCTTTGGCAAGCTACTCAAATGGGGTCAGCTACATGAATTTTATAGAGAACGGGGCAATGGCATCAGCACGTGATTAGACATGCAACACAACATACCATCAAACATCAAACATCAAACAACAGCGCAGCTCACTGAACAAAAGTCTTGGTGTAAGTGCCCTGTTGGAACGAAGTCGGAAGGACTCGACAGATCATGCACTTGTCTCGACGTTGGATCATCATTTGAGCACACGCAACGCAGACACATGCGTGGTGACAAGGCATCAGCTTGGCATTCGTCGGGGCGTTGTAACAGACCAAGCACTCGCGATCGCTGCCCTCGATAGTCTCTTCCTCGTTTGCTCCTGCAACTTCTTCGCCAGACAATCGCCTCAAAATCTCGCCGAACGACGGTCGATCCACTCGCGTGGGTTCGAGACAATCAGACGCAAGATCCGCCGCCGTGGCTTGAGCCGATTCTTTGTCTTGAGGGCTCCAGTCAATCGCCTTGTCAAGCACCGCATCGATTTTACGGCTCTTTTTCAGCTCGCGTCGAACAGTACCCATCAAGTCGATGCTGGGCTGATGTCCAGTAACGAGCTCAAGCAAAATCATGCCGTACGAGTACACATCTGTCTTGATGGAAACCTTGCCTTCGTCACGATACTGAGGGCAAATGTACTGAAGGGTGCCTTGAACCGTTTGCGTACGAATGTAGCTGTGGTCATCGACTTGAGCTGGGGCAGAGCGCGTCAGACCAAAGTCGGCGACCTTGGCATGAAAGTCAGCGGCCAAAAGTACATTGTCCGTCTTGAGATCCAGGTGGAACAGCGGCTGACGCGGAATGGCAGTCTGCACAAAGTGCATGGCGTTTGCAATATCGGTCGCAATGGTTCGGCGCTGCTGCCAACTCAATGCAGGCGTGCCACCCTTGCGATCAAGACGATCACGAACAGATCCGTTTGGCATCAGCTCGTACACCAAGCAGCGCTCGTTGCCTTCCTGGGCATAGCACATGATGGTGACGATGTTCGGGTGACGGAAACGCGAGAGGGCTTCGAGCTCTGACTCGAACTGAGCCACGCCTTGAGTTGAATCCGCTGCCAACCGTTTGACAGCAACTCGCTGACCGCTCCACACACCAGAGTAGACGCTGCCAAATCCACCGCCACCGATGCGCTTGGACTCTGAAAACTGCGTTGTGGCTTGCGACAGAACTTGCAACGACACTCGCGGAATGGTGGAGAGGATGGGTGCCGCGGTTGTGGTTTGCTGAGCTAGCTCCAGCTGAGCAATACGCGCCTGGAGTTCACGAACTTGCTGCGACGTCGCATCAGACGCAGCGAGAGGCGAGTTGGGAGTATGGTCTAAGTGGGCAGGTTTCGGTGGAATGGCAGGAGGACTGGTTGCATTTTGAGGGCGAGTGCGCTGATTTCCGGCCCTGGAATTGAATCAAGTCAGAAAGACAGTAAAAGTCACAAACACCCACAAGACAAGGACACTCACGAGAACTCGCATTTTGCGGGAACGCTTTTGGATAAAAGCTGAACGGCGCTTGAGGAAATCTGGTTGTCCCACAAGCTATTGAGCAAACACGAAAAATAAAATTGTCAACGACGGTCAGTGTTCGATGGCTCCTGGTGCTGCATCACGTTGTTGGAAAACCCGCACACCCTTCACCCTCTGTACCACAACAGAACATACTTCAGTTTCGACAGGTTGGCCTTGTTTCGAAGCGCAGCTCCGATCGCCTGTGCTCCAGCATCACCGATTTGATTGGTTGACATCCTATGTCAGATAAACATCAGTAGCGACCATTATTGAGCAAAGACCGAGATGCGACAAATGCTTGAGCGTGCGACTTTAATACCCGAGCTCAGTCAGCGCAGATGCCGCCTGCACGCCTTCAGCGATGGCACAAGCTCCAATGTCACCAATCTTGTTCTCGCTCAAGCTGCATCAATTCGATCAAGTTAGTGCTGCACGCCCAACAGCCTCTGTTACACCACCAGAACGTACTAAAGACTAGACAGGTTGGTCTTGTTCCGAAGCGCAGCTCCGATCGCCTGTGCTCCAGCATCGCCAATTTGATTCTCAAACATCCTAAATCATACAAAATTAGAAGTAAGCCATTCTTGAACAAAGCTGAAGATGCTCAAACGAGCGACCAATACCTGAAATCAGTCAGCACAGTCAATGTCTTCAGGCCTTCAGCGATGGCACGAGCTCCAGCGTCACCGATCTTGTTTTGGCTCAAACTATGTCAGATCGCTCAAGTTAGTGTCGCGCGCCCAGTAGTCCCTGTGACACCGCCAGAACGTACTAGAGAAGAGACAGGTTGGCCTTGGTTCGAAGCGCAGCTCCGATCGCCTGGGCTCCATCATCGCCAATTTGATTTTCAAACATCCTAAATCAGACAAACATCAGAAGCAACCCATTCTTGAGAAACTGGAGATGCGGCGATCCCTCAAACGAGAGACTACAATACCTCAAGTCAGTCAGTGCAGTCGACGTCTGCAGGCCTTCAGCGATGGCACGAGCTCCAGCGTCACCGATCTTGTTTTGGCTCAAACTATGTCAGATCGCTCAAGTTAGTGTCGCGCGCCCAGTAGTCCCTGTGACACCGCCAAAACGTACTAGAGGCGAGCCAGGTTGGCCTTGTTTCGAAGCACAGATCCGATCGCCCGTGCTCCTGCGTCGCCAATTTGATTGACTGACATCCTATGTCAAATAAGGATCAGTTCCAAACCATTCGTGAGCGCAGACGAAGATGTGACAGAAGCCCAAACGTGCGACTACAATACCCGAGCTGAGTCAGCGCAGTCGACGCCTGCAAGCCTTCAGCGACGGCAAAAGCTCCAATGTCACTAATCTTGTTCTCGTTCAAGCTGCATCAACTCGAACAAGTTAGTGTAGCGCGCCCAATAGCCTCTGTGACACCACCAGACAAGTACCTGAGTGCAATCAAGGTCGACTTGTTCCGAAGCGCAGATCCGATCGCTTGTGCTCCTGCGTCGCCAATCTGGTTGTCAGACAACCTATTGGATACAATTCAGGTCAAAACTCATCTCGAACGACTCCCTTCCTTGTTCCTGCCTTACTCGAGATATTGCAAATTGCCATTCGCCTTGAGACCCTCGGCAATGACCAAAGCATCGTCATGTGTGATTCCTGAGCGTCTGAAACTATATGCCGCCAAATAAGTCAGCGCGCGGCAACGACCACGCCTCGGTCTTGGACGATACATACATGACCCGACTGGAGGACTTGGCCTTTTCAAACAGCTCACGCTGCCGCGGTGTCCATGCTGAAGCCATCTGCAATAGTATGATCAGAACAACAGTCAGCACGAGCACGCTTTTTGCTGTTGCCAATGTTGAGCCCACTCCCTCTCCCCTTCTTTCTCGTCAGTCCAGGACGTCTGAATGTGACTTGTTACGCCTCGTTCACTGCCCTTGGAACGAGACTCCACTCCACGACAGAGCTGCTTTGCGCCCCATTCGTGAAATGGTGGTTCTCGTTCTGAACCGCTTCTAAAGCCGAGTGGTCGATCCCAGCCAACCCCAACGCTCTCACCGCCCACCCACTCACTACGCCCATCGACAACATCAACACAAGCTGATCCAGCGGCGAAGGTGGTGCTTGAGCCTCGGCGACAGCGTGGACCGAGCGAAACGAGAAGCGATGTGCTCACATGCAGCCAAATCCACAATAAAGACGTCGACTCTGACACCAACACCAAGACACCCGTGCGATGACTTGTTGGCTTGTTGGATGAGATGTGCGTGTGTGTGAGTGTGTGAGTGTGTGGATTGACATGGCGTCGCACGAAGACCAGAAGCAAAATGGATGGAAAGCAAGAGCAAACAATAATCAAACAAAACAAGCGAAAATCAACAATCAAAGCAGTCAACCTGAATAATTTGGAAAAGCAGAACCAGAAAAACAGAGTGAATTGAACGATGGTTGCTTGGGAGAATATTCCGAAACGCAAAACCGAATTGCCAACTTTCAATATGCCGGCATCCAGCAATATTGACAGCATCAACAAAACACTCAATTTGACAGCAGTTTGAGCGAATGAACGACCCGATCGTCGTGGAGATGTCTGAGAGCGACCCGAAAAAAGGCGATTGGTGCTTGTTTGCCTCTCCTGCGAAATACGGCGAAACAAAAACAAAATGTTCCCGACGTTCGTCAAACAGGCGGATGTTTTTGAGCTAGCTTTGTTTTGCTTGCTGGACTGGAAGAACCGAAATGGCGTAGTTGTTTACTCACAACATTCCGACTGGCAATCGCCCAACCTGCGTGCTTCTGTCGTCGGCGACATTCCGTTCGTCTCCACTTGTCGCGCCAGTTTGCAATTACAGTACCATGTGCCGAGCGCTCGGGCGTTTTGCGCTTGTCGCAAGCCGGCGAAAGTAACACCTCGTGGGCAGAGTGCAAAGTCTCGCTGTCCTCGAGGTCGTCGTTCCTTTGTTCTGTCTCCCTGTTAGCCTTTCCCCCCCCCCCACCGCCCTCTCCTCCTCCTCCTCCCTGTCTGAATTACAGTCTGACCGTGTCTTCTCAAGCTTGCCATTGAGATGCGACATGTCATTCGCAAATTCCCCAAATGGATGCTCACCCAGCAACAGCGCAGTCTTTTGTTTATCCTTCGTCCAATCCCCCTCGCTTTTCGTTTCTTTTGACTTTGTGTGTCGTTTTGTCGGTTTCATCGTGGTGGAGTTTATCTTTTGGTTACTTGGTGTCGTTGTGCGTGCTAAAGTTTAAATTGTATGGTAGCGCGAGTCACAATTTCGCTCCATTCTCTCGGCGCTCGCCCCTCCGCGCGCTCATTTGCAACCCATCATCCGATGACGAAGAGCTCAGTCAAAGCGAGTCTGCCGGCGTTGCGTGTTTGTTGCCTCGGTCTCCGTAGAAAAAGTAGTAGGAGAGTGAGAAAAGCGGCACTGCTTGTGTTATCCCCAACCCCCTTTTGTTTTTCGCTTGACCCCCCTTGGTAACTCGGCAACACGTTCCTTCTCCTTTCCCGAAATTCGTCTCCCTTCGTTGCTTCGTGTCCAAGTGAACGCGCTACTGTCGTCCTGCTCAGTGGCAGTCCCCTCTCCTCCCGCTTTTTCTCACCAAATGCAAAGTTTTCGCTTCCATTTAGCACGCGTTTTTTTCTTTCTTTTTTTCAATTTATGGATGGTTGCCTTAGTCGCTCGCTTTCGCGAAATAACCATTCCTACTCTGTGTCAATGCTCGTGATGCGCTTCTTATTCCCTGCTTTTTTATTTTTACACCGAGGTGCCAAGCACCCGTTTCGCTCGGATCGTTGCGGGAGAACACAGCTCGAAATCTGTGGGTCGGCGCACGAGCACATCGTTGGCTCGGGCTGAATTCACAAGGAACTGCTATAAAGGGCAAAATTCACGACATTCACACAAACAAAGAAAAAGAAAAAAAAAACGGGAAGAGGGACTTTGAAATTACTCTCCGACGACGCTCTTAGCAACGGGACAACCTAAACCTCGATTCGAATTGTCTCCACTCAACTGCAGCCCCACCGCACGCAGCACTGAATCCAACATTCTCATTGTGACCGTCATAATAATTGCTCAATCTTCTTCTTTTTTTGATTCTTGTCGTTTGCTATTTTCCTTTTTCGATCGACAGATACTGATCTTGCTGGAACGGTGCGCGGTCTATCGGGCATACTCTAAAAAAAAGAGCCATTGTTGGTGTCAAAAATCAGGCCTCCCCCCACGCACTGACATTCCTACCCCACTCGCGCACGACCTGACCTGACTCCGCGCGCTCGCTGTCTCCCTTTCGTCGGTAAGTCCATTGCACTCTGTGCCCTAGTAAGCCCCTGCGGCAGGGAGCAGGAGCGGGGGCGGGGTACTCGTGCGTCAGCTTGCCCGTTTTTTTTTGATCGTATTCTGATGACTTTGACAACTTGATTCTCCCGATTCTCTGTTGTGATCAGACTCACAACCCCTTTCGCCTTCTCAAGCGCTTCTGCCGACTGGCCAACATCACGCTGCATCTTTGCGCAGAGACTGACTGCAGAAAGAGATGCATCCGCAGCTGGCACTGGCGCTCAACCAGGCGGGTGAGCTTGGCAAGCAGATTCAGCACGTCGATTGGGTCTCGGTCGTCGGCGTCGCACTTGATGACTGGCCCGACCCTCTCGCCTTGAACGTGGCGCTGCTGCTGTCGACGCCATTGCCAATGTTGCTTTATCTGGGTCCGCGGCGCGTCGTGCTCTTCAACGAGGCAGCGTGCCCGGTGCTCGAGCTCCGAGAGAACATCCAAGGCCTTCCCATGCGCCAGGTTTGGGAGCCCTCCACCGAGTACGAGCGCCTCACCATGCTCGGCAAGCAGGTGCTCAAGGACGGAGGCACCTTCTTTTGCAACGACGTGCTCATCCCGCGGCTGCATCGGGGCACGCGGCCGATCGAAGCCTACTTTCGGTTTTCGTGTTCCGCGGTCACGATTCCTGTGAGCTCGCTCGACGACATTGCGCAAAACCCGCTCGTCATTTCGCCGCTCTCGTCACCCGAATTTATTCTTGCTGCCGAAAATGTCGGCACTGGCAAGAAGTTTGATCGCGACAAATGGATGGAGCAGGTCGGAGGCGTCATTGCAGCACCCCAATCGCCCCCGCACAGTCCCAATCCGTTGTTGCAGCCACGGCCGCTGGTCCAGCCGCAATTCATTCAACCTACGGAAACAGCTGCCGCAGTCGATGGCACTGCCTCATCCTCCTCATCCTGCTCATCCTCGGACGGATCGATGGGATCGGCAACTGCAACGAGTGCCAACAAATCATCCAACATTGTCATGGAAGAGCGCGGAGTCGGCTATGTAGAGGTCGTCCGTGCTGCCAATCGGCGACCCCTGCTTGGCTCGCCCAAGTCATCAGGCAAGGACAGCGCGACCAAGCCAGATCCTGTGCAGGAAATGTACGAGGAAGCTTGTTGGAATGTGCCCCACCATGCAGGCCTTGTGGGCTTTATGATGTGCTTTGCCGACACGACGCGTGAGATTGTCGGCGAGCGGCGTCTGACAACCCTGACTGGCCTTTCAAGTGCCCTGGTGACTGCGGCGACCCCTCAAAGTGTGCTTCAAATTGCTCTCGATCATTTGCAGCGCGACACGGCCCTCCGCGACGTTCACTTTTGCACCGCCTACGCCGTGCAACAGGAGCCTCCGTCAGTGGCAGTGCACTCGGACGTGCGGGCGCCCGGAGTTGTTGTTGCCAAGCGCGTCTCAGACCGTGCTCCGCCCGAAGACCCACACACTGCTCCGCTGCACCTGCCTGCTTGGATTCGTTTCCGTCACGACCATCAGCGAGACGACGCAGTCACACCAACGCCGGACACAGAGTTGAGCAAGGCCATCGAAGCGGCCTTTCTCACCGGCGAGCGTCAGATCAGCATTCTGCCACACGCCTCGGGCATTGATCGCATTTTGCTCATCCTTCCATTGGTGAGCAAGCCAGCCCTGTTGCCCATTGTTCAGCAAATGCAGATGGACGAGACACGAAATCGAATGGCCTCCGGGTCTTCAGCACTCAACTCGGTGAGCGAGGATGGCGTGTCCAACCCCAGCTCACCCGAGCGCAAAGCAAGCGACCCGGATGCCGCCACCTGCTGGCAGAAAAGTGCCAGGTTGTCCCAGCCAGACTTTTCCGCAGTCAACGTCGACACCCGCGCCACCCATGTAGCAAGCTTGCTGTTGAGCATGTTTGTGGTGCTCACTCGCACTCAGGATGTGCGCATTGACAGAGTACAGATACTTTGTCTCTGTCGCTTGTGCTGAGCACGCGCTATGCGTTGCGGCCAGCGTGTCGGAAGACAAGGAGCGTCTTGAAAAGCTCGTAGCCGTCAACCAACTCAAGGCAGACTTTCTGTGCAACGTGTCTCACGAGCTGCAGACTCCCCTGCAGCTCATCTTGGGCCCCTTGACGGATGTTTTGGCAGAAGACGATGCGGCAGTTGCAGCTCCTCCTAGCGTTGCTGCATCCTCTTCCAGCGTTGCTGCAACCGGCCCGGTCTTGACACCCAAGGTGCGCGGTGTCCTCGATTCCGTCCACCGCAATGCCAAACGCCTGCACCGGCTCGTGGCCACCTTGCTCGATTTCTCGCGAATGAAGCTGGGCCACCAGTCCAAGCCGCTGGAACTCGACATTGCTGCGCTCACGCAGAGCCTTGCCTCGCGATTCGAAAGCACCGCTCAAAAGCTTTCGGTCGGGCTGGCGGTTGACACTCCCCCGACGCCTCTCATGGTCACCATTGACGCAAGCTACTGGGAGAAGGTGCTGCTCAATCTCTTGAGCAACGCGTTCAAGTTCACTTCCACGGGCAAGGTCACAATCGGTGTTCGTCCAAACAAGGCAAACGACGGTGTTGTTGCAACTGTTCGCGACACTGGCATTGGCATTCCGTCAGAGTACCTTCCGCAAATCTTTGAGCGCTTCTTTTCTTTTCGCGACGCGCGTGCCAGGAGCACAGAGGGTTCGGGCATTGGTCTGGCGCTCGTCAAAGAGTTGCTCTTTGCCATGGGAGGCACAATCTCTGTCGAGAGCGCTGTCGGCTTTGGCACCTGCTTCACCGTCGAGCTCCCTCAGCATCCACCCACAGCCCCGTCGGTGTCACGGCCAGCCGAAGCGCCCAACACACAGTCCGACTCTGAGCAAGATGGTTTGCAGCAAATGTCATCAAGCACGGATTCTTTGCTGCTGTTTCCGCCAGACTTGGACAGCAGCTTTGACGCTGCGGCAGCCACCGACGCTCGGGCTGACAAACAACGCGAGAATCCCACCACGACCTCCTCTGCAACGGAAATGCCAAAATCCTTGTTCTCGGCCGCGGTGGTCGCGGATACAAAGTTGCATGCTCCCAAACATCAGCGTGCCGACCATTCGCTCAGCTCCAAGTTTGACGAGCGCAAGGCAAGCTCCAAGTTTCTGTCAGACCACTCGCCGCACGACGAGCCCTTTCAGCAGTCCGAGTCTCCAGCATCGACCTCGTCGCAGCTGGTGGCCGATTCGGACTCTGGTGGTACTGGCATCGCACCGTCAGAATCCACCAGCTCGACCGGTTCGATCAGCTCAGGTCGTCCTCGCGTGTTGGTTGTGGATGAGAATGCAGACATGCGGCTCTACCTGCAGCGGCTTCTCGAACCTGCCTTTGAGGTCAAGTTGGAATCGACCCACGATGGCGCGCTCAACTGCAGCAGCATGTGCGCTCCAGATTTGATCATTGCCGACGCCAAACTGATGAGCCCCGGAGGGCGGAGCATCATACGTGAGTTGCGCAGCAAACGAACGCACCACATCCCCATCCTGCTCCTTTCGCCGCTCGTAAACGAAGACGCTGCCACTGCGACGCTCGAGGCCGGCGCGGACGACTTTTTGAGCAAGCCCTTTAGCAGCCGTGAGCTGTTGGCCCGCGTCGCCATTCATGCGCGCCTCAGTCGCTTGCGGCAAGTGACTGCTCAGCTGACCAAGAGGCGCGCGCGCCGCGACCGCGCGTTGCTGGACATTTCGCGGACTGTCTCGGCCGCGTTTCAAAATCACCACGAGGCACTGAGCTTTGCCGCTCGAAAGATCCGAGAGATTGTCGGCTGTGATCGTGTGCTACTTGGGTCGTTCACCGAAAACCTGAATCAGCGGCGTACGGGTTCGCGCGGCTTGGCGTCGCTCGAGCCGTCCTCCACCTACGTGGACTCTGATGGCTCTTCTGTCAGTACCATTGGTTCGTCGTTTTCGAGTTCCATTGCCGTTGCTCCAATCGAATCCGGCAGCGGATCGGACTTTCACTTGCGCCGGCATCGGTCGGTCGAGCCATCGCGTGAAGGGCTTGTCGGCCACGCGTCAGCTCCAGCCACGATACCTGTCGCACCCGACGACAGCCTCACGATTCCCGAACGAAACTTGAAGCGCCATTCGTCGCCGTCTCTCCCGAGAATCTTTTTGCAACCCAACAAGACCAAACGCCTGGGTCACTTGACGCATCCAACCATTCAGCATTTGCAGCAGGAGACGGCCCGCTTGACATCCGATCCTGGGCTCTTGACATCATCGTCATCGTCAGCAACGACCGCAACCGTCACGCCCTTCCACACTGCCGAGACGAGAACGATGAAAATTGTGGCCGAATGCATGGCCGAAGGCCCAGTGCGCTTGTCTGCCGTGCCTCTTTTGGACCGTAGCATCAACATCAACCACCTTCGCCTGCACGATGAATTCTTGCACACCGTATCGGTCAACTGTGAGGAAGACGAGGCCATTGCCCGGTTTGCCGACACGTTCGGCCTGGGTTCATCCACCCTCAGTCGAGACGCCAGGTTTATTCTGTGCGACGAGTCGCCATCTTCTGCTGGTGCTGAGAACACCCGCGAGGAATCAGACCGTTCTTCGTCGTCTACACCGTCCCTCAACGCTGCGCTTGCCGAGCTCGGAGCAGCCAGCACCGACTCGGTCAACGAGCAGGGCTCGTCCTCCTCGTTCTCATCCTTCTCGCCAGAGCTGCAGTCTGGCTGCAGCATGACCTTCCCTATCGTTGTGCGCGGACAACCGTGGGGTCTGCTCGCGTGTCTGTGCTTCCATCCGCGAAGCGGCGTCACTTGTCCAGGTGGCTGCGGCTGGGCACTCGACGACGTTGACTTTGCTCGCCAAGTGGCCACTCAGGTGGGTATTGCCATTGCCAAGGCACAAGACGAGGAAGAGCGTATCTCACGTGCCGAAGCCGTACGTACCGCCGAGGCGTCGAGCCGCGCCAAGAGTGTCTTTCTTGCAAGCGTTTCGCACGAGATTCGCACACCAGCGACGAGCATTGTCGGTCTGGCCGAGCTTCTCTTGTTGTCTGAGCTCAATTCCGAACAACGCGAGATTCTCTCCACCTTGCACCGCGCCAGCGAAGTGCTGTCTGTCATCATTGAGGACATTCTGGACATTTCGCGGATTGAGGCCGGCAAGCTGACACTGAGCAATTCTTGGACGAACGCCTACGATCTGGTCGACAATGTGCTCAAGTTCTTTAGCGAAAAGGCACAAAGCAAGAACATTACCCTGATTGCTGATTCGTCGCCCTACCTCCCGCCAGCCGTCATGTGCGACCCTGACCGTCTTCGGCAAGTGCTGCTCAACATTGTGGGCAATGCCATCAAGTTCACCGAGACGGGCGAAGTTGTGGTCAAGGTTTGGCTTGTTGCCGACAAGCAGGCTGTCGAGCGGGATGACGAATCGTCCAACGCCGGGCCTCCTCCTGGGCCGACGAGCGACGGCACTTCGCCGCGAGCGCCTCGCAAGTCCAGCTTTCGCCTCCTTGGTCACAATGACAGTGAAATCTCTCGAAGCCAGGCCCAGCAGCACAAGCTCTTCTTCAAGGTGGCCGACACTGGCATCGGCATGGAAAAGAGTGCCATCCAGCGAATCTTTGATGCCTTTTCGCAACTCGACACGTCCGTCAGCCGCAGGCACGACGGCCTTGGTCTCGGGCTGGCCATCTCCAAGCAGCTGGTCGAGTTGGCCGGGGGAGCGCTGTCGGTCTCCTCGCAGCTTGGCATTGGCTCGACATTTACCTTCACCTGGCCCGTGCAGCAGATTGACTACAATCCGGCACCCATCTCGCCAGACAAAGCCAAGCCGCGGCAAGGCTCTCTCATCACCGTTTCATCGAACAGCTTGACCCATCCCGGCGAGTTTACCACCCTCACGACCCCTACTGCTGAGGACCTGACCACAACCGAGCTGCCCTCGACTCTTCCGTCGGCGTCATCGTCATCCGCGTCATTGCCACCGGTAGACGACAGCCGCCTTGCACCCCGTGACTCTGAGAGCGGGGTGCAGTCCGGGTCGTCGTCCGATGATGATACCCTCAAGCGGCTGCATCTGGTGTCTGATGCCGACATGCTTGCGCCAGATCCAATCTCCGTTCGAATTGTGCTCTTGCACCCCCATGCCAAGGCACGCCGAGCGTTGGCGCGGAATTTGGGCATGCTGCGCGGCGTGAATGTAGTGTCTTGCTCGACGATTGCGGAGGCTGTTCTGGCCCTCGACCAGGCGTCTTGTTTGGACGATGCGGCGATCGTGGCCATCCTGCACTCAGAGTTGATGACTCCGACAAGCACGGCGGGTCGAGTTCTCAGCGCAGCCGCGAGTATTCTTGCCCCAGCCATCGATGGCCAAGTCCCCGCTCTTCCTCCTGCCTCCCCGTCGCAAGATCAAATCCGGCTCCAAGAAGCAGTGTCCGACCCCAACTTGGTGCAAGCTGTTCTCGTGTTGACCGTGTTTGGCAACTCGCAGATGCTCGGCCGGGCCTCTGCGCTGCGCCGCGACGCGCAGGTCGTGCTGGAGCCTGTGCATTGGCCCACCCTGCGCCAACACATTTCCAAGGCCTTCGAGCGTCGCGAAAACCGAACCTCGCCTTCTCCAGCAGCGTCTGTCAACACCTCTACCATGTCGTTGACTGCAGTGCGCTCGACAAATTCCCCTGCGCCCGACGTACCGATGCAGTTCTTGCCGCTTCGTCTGCGCCAAGACCTCCTGTCGTCGTCGTCCTCCCCGACAGTCTCCACCACAGCCTTGAAGAAGGTGGAGGCAGATCTGGACGCAGTGGCACCGTTGCCAACACGCATTGTGGGCCCTGTTTCACCACTGCACCTTGACAACTCGGCGCGCACTTCCGCATCGGCCAACCATGACCTCTCTGCAACAACCCGGATGCTGCAAAGAAGGACCTCGTCCGAGCACCATCTCGGCGATGTTGGTGAACTTGAGGTGGAGTTGACTCCACCCCACGGCGGATCCTCCAGAACGTCCTTGCCATCAGTGGTAACAACGCCACTTCCTTCCCATTTCGAGCACTCGCCGCTTCAAACAAAGTCAAGTCCGGCTGATGGCACGAGTGCACCAGCTGAGGAGGATGGAGTTGGCTTCCGCCCATACGTTCTGCTGGTGGAAGACAACGTGACGAATCAACGCGTCTTCCAAAAGCAGCTTGAAAAGCTGGGATGCTCCGTCGTGATTGCCAGTAACGGCTTGCAAGCGCTGATTGTGCTCAAACAGGGCCCCGTGGTCCCCGGCACCAGTGCGACCGATACTGTGGTCACCGCTGACCAAACCGGTGCAGCCCGTCGCCCATTCGACATGATCTTCATGGATTGCAACATGCCTGTGCTTGACGGGTTTTCCGCCACCAAAATCATCCGCGAAGTCTTCAATCCGCCCACAAGCGAAATTCCCATCATTGCGCTCACGGCCAATGCCATGCTGACCGATCGTGCCGAGTGCCTTGCTGCTGGCATGACAGACTTTCTGGCCAAGCCCACTCGGCTTTCCGATTTCAAGCACACCATTGAACGACACTGTCCTCTGCCGCCCTCCGCATCCGGACTGGACAAGTCGTCCATTCGGCTCCCCACACCAGGAACTCAGACTGAGCCCCAGCGTGCGCGCAACTAAGACTGGTTCAGTGTTTTTGTTTTGTGCTTTCGCTAGCACGTTGTATCATTTTTGCATCTTTTGTCTTCCTTTCGTTTCAAGTTGGAAGCGTTTTGCTTTACTTCTTTGGCGTTGTCAATATTAGATCAGTTTTGCATTTGCTGTGTTGTCTCTTCAGTTCCACGCTGCTGTTCTGATTCGAGTGCATCTGCTCAAAGTAGTTGAAAAAAACAAAAGCACAAAATTATCGAGTGTATGACCATAATACAAAGACATAGAAACGCAAAATAGCAACACTGGATACCCTTCAACAGGTACGCAAACAAAGTAAACAAAACAAGAGAAACAGGAACAGCTGGGACATTTGCAAGTCAAACTCAGGAAGAAAAATATCTCAAATGTAAACGAAAAAAAAAGACAAAAAAAAACCCCAAAAGAAGCCAAAAACATTGAAACACCAATCCACCTCATCTCGCTTATTCGGAGGCAGGGAACTTGGTGGGATCAAGAGTGGAGATATCAGACCAGTCGTGACGGTAGAGGCCTTGCTTCAATCGCTTCTGATCGAGGAAGTGGCCAACAAAGCCGATCGTGCGACCAAGCACAAACAGGCCGTTAAGCGTACCAATCGAGAGGTACTCGCGTGCCTCCTCGTTGGTGAAGGCACCAGAGTGGCGGAAGAGATCGACCATGCAGACCGCAATGCAACCATCCACGTTCAGAATCAGGTTGGGCTTCTTGGCGGTGGTGAGCTTCTCGACCTCAAGCGCAAAGTTGAGGAGGGGCGTGGTGGGGAAGGTCTTCTTGCAGAAATCGCGAATAATGGTGACGCGCATGTCGGGGTTGGTGACGGACTTGACCTTGTGGCCGACACCCATGATGAGCTTGTTCTCGGAACGGAGCTTGGCAACAAACTGCGCGGGGGTCAGACCGGCGTCGTAGGCTTCCGAGAACTGCTGGGCCGCCTCATCCAGAGCACCGCCAAAGCGGTCACCAATGGTGAGCAGACCAGAGCAGAGGGACGACACCAAGTCCTTGCCTGCGCGAGCGGTGACGATCGTGTTGTGGGCGCCAGAGACGGCAGGGCCGTGATCCGCAGTGACCATCAGGCACATTTCGATAAACTTGCAAGCATAGTCGGGCAGCAGACGCTTAAACCACAGCAGAGAGAGCACACCGGCAACGCCAATGTCGTCCTGGAAGGCCTTGGAGATGGGCATGCCGGCGTACAGCAGCTCCTCGCCGCGCTCATCCGAGATGGTCGAGACAAAGTTGGCGGGCTTGCGGATCAGGCCGAGCTCCTTTGCCCAGGCGAAATCGATCGGCACCGAGGGCACCGGCGGCTCGGGCTTGGGCACAATGATGCCAGCCTGCTTGAGCTGATCGTAGGTGGCACGGATGGCCGTGTCGAGCGAGTCGAACGACGAGGGGACAATGGCGCCAGCGTCGCGAAGAGCCTTGTTCTTGGCAACGGCAGTCTCGTTGTCCGCGTTGGCGCATGCACCGGCGTGGCCGAATTGGACCTCGGAGGTAAACATGGAGGCGCAGGTGCCAATGCACCAGGCGACGAGGGGCTTGGTGAGCTTGCCGCTCTTGATGGCGTCGCAAATGTCGTACTCTTCCGTGCCACCAACCTCACCGAGCAGGACGAGCATCTTGACTTCGGGGTCGGCCTGGTAGCGGAAGAGGTGATCAATGAAGGTCGTACCGGGGTAGCGGTCACCGCCGATGGCGACACCCTCGTAGACACCGTTGGTGGTGCGCGAGATAATGTTGTTGAGCTCGTTGGACATGCCGCCAGAGCGCGACACGTAGGCGACCGAACCGGCGCGGTAGAGCTTGGAGGTCATGATGTTGTCCAGCATGCCACCAGTGTTGCCAATTCGGAAGCAGCCGGGCTTGATGCCGCCGACGGTGGCAGGGCCAATGACCGTGACACCAACCTCGCGGCCCTTGAAGATGAGATCGCGAGTGCGGTTTTCGGGGATGCCCTCGGCAATGATGGCGATCGTGCGGATTTGCTTGTGGAACTGGAGGGCCTCGAGGGTGGTCGCGTAGGCCGAGCGGAAGGAGGCAAAGTTGATGACAACGTCGGCGTCGGCGTGCGCCTTGATGGCGTCCGACAGACGCTGGTAGCAGGGCACGAGAATCTCCTTGGAGCCCCAGTAGTACTTTTGGGTGTGATCGCCAGAGAACGGGTAGACCATGGCGGCGACCGACGGGCGCTCGCGGCGGCAGACGTGGTCGAAATCGAGCATGCCTTGGACGGCGCGGGGCTGCATGCCAAAGATGATGCTGCGCGTCGACGTCGAGAAGAGGGGCTTGAAGGTGGGGTCGATGGCGGGCAGGTCGTCGTGCTTGTGCAGGACGGGGCGGCCGCTGCCAGTGAAGGTGGCACGGTGGGTCTTGCCGTCAGCAAACAGCGTCTCGGTGACCGAGGGCTGGATGGCCTTCTGCTTGCTGGCCTCGGCAGCCTCGGGCGACTCAAACAGACCGAGCGCCATGCCGACAATGGCAGTCATGTGGGTCTCCGGGCCGTAGACGTGGATCGGGACGCCAAGGGTCTCGCCGAGGTCGCGCATGATGCGGAGACCCTCTTGGTAGTTGGGGCCACCACGGCGAACATAGATGCTGATGCCGTGCTCGACAATGAGCTTTTGGAATTCCTTGAGGGCGCGGACAATGCCCTTGAAGGTGTCGGCAACGTTGGTAAAGTTGGCAATGCCACCGCCAATGATGAGCACCTTGCCGCGCTCGTCGCGCTCGTCGGTCATGCACTTGAGGATGGTCTTGGCGTACTCGTAGGTCTGCGACTCGCTGGGGGCGCCAGAGTACTCGCCATAGTTGGCCAGCTCGGCAGCACCGCCAAGGTCGCAAATGGTGTCGCTGTAGACGACCGAGGCACCACCGCCAGCAACCATCGTCCAGATGCGACCCTTGCGGTTGAGGATGGTGAGCTTGAGCGACGAGCCCGACTTTTGGTCGAGTTCGGCAATGTAGCGCTCCTCAGCCGACGCCTCGCGACCGAACGGCGGGGGGAACTCAATCTTCTCGGCCCAGTAGGGCTTGCACTCAAACTCGGCCGTCTGGTCGAGCTTGGCCGCAAGATCGAGCACGTGCACCTGGGTGCCGACCACGACCAAGGGGTTGATCTCGAGGTAGGTGAAGAAGAGAGCAACGTAGAGCTTGTACAGGGAGTGGATAAAGTTGGCAAGGAACTCTTGACGGGCAGCGGGCACCTTCTGCAAGAGCTGCTCGCGGATGAGCTGCGGGGTGACGGACTGCGCACCAATTTCCTTGACGTTGACCATCAGGCGGACGGCCTTGGCATCCACGTCGCCAATGTCGACGCCGCCCTCATGGTGGAAGAGGATTTCGTCGCCGTCGCGCTCGGACAGAATGCAAATGTAGTACTCGTCCGAGGCTTCGTGGGGCACGAACGGCTCAATGATGAACGTGTCCAAGGTGCCTTCGACGGCGCCAATCTGTTTTCAATAGAGTGTGTGTGTGTGTGTGAGTCACAGCGAATCTCCAACTATAACTTGACATTCGAATTTGAGGCGGAGGCGGGGGGGGGGATTGTCCGGGATTGTTGGGTGGCTGGCTCATCATGCTGCTGGTTTTCTTTTTTTTTTTTTTTTGGTTTTTTGTTGGGGGTTAGTCACGCCAGCCAAGTCGTGACCGAGTGATGACCCGCGGCTCTGCCACTCGCGTTCCATTCGCGTGCGTGTAGTTGCAGCATTGTTGTGTTGTGTTGGTCGAACGCTCCGAGGTTTCCAATAAAAAACAAATAAAAAAAAAGCACGTTACTTGGAAAGCACGTTCTTTCACAGTTTGACTACTGAACAAAAGTCGTTTTTTTTTTTTTGAAAGGATCTTCAAAGGTGCACCAGAAACACCTCCCCTCAGGCAACCAACCTCGCGAGGCTGATCCAAATGATTGAGGGAAGACGCAGAGAGACTCATCGCAAACAACCACCAAGCTACGAAGGCAGCTGAAAAGGGTGAGCAAGAGAGAGAGGGAGAGCGAGGGAGGGCGTGAAACAACAAAAAGAAAAAACGTTCCTTTTTTTTTTTTTTTTTTTTTGTTACCTCCGATGACGTTTGCAAATTTGGAACTGTGGACTTTCACGACCAGTGCGATTCCATTGCAAACTCAACCCACCAGTAAAGAAGCGGAACAACAACGACGACGACTGGTTCAGTGGGGGAGAGGGAGAGGGAGAAAAGGCAAAAGAAGGAGAAGGGCGGAAAAAACGCCACAGTCGCAGTTGACTGCAGTGAAAAAAAAAAAGAATCGAAACGCCACCCCCAGCACCAGCCAAGCAACAAAGAGCAAGAGGAAGACAGTTGCACCGAGGGATTCGGAAACGGTGGGGAGGCGGGGAGGGAGAGAGAGAGAAAGCAGGAGCGAGCAGGGCTGTCCCATCAAACACCACACTTCGCACAGTTCCATTCCTTCACACTTGCACCACCTACGTTGAAGCTCTTGTTGCGACGCTCGGTAATCCACTGGACGGCGCCGGCGAGGTCCGTGTTGACCTTGATGAGGCCGAGCTTGCCACGGCGCTTGATGAGCTGGTCTGGCTTGACGACGAGCGGCGTCGTCAGCAGCCAAGGGTGCGCCTCGCCCAGCGTTGCGAGATCGGTCGTCCTACAAAACAAACAGAGGCAAGTCAGTCAGTCAGTCAGTCTGTGAGCTGCTGCTTCTTTCTTGATCGCCTTGTTCGTTCCTTTCCCTCCCCACTTTCGCACTGCACTGCAACACTTCGCATCGTTGCGTTTTGACTCGTTCTGATTCGTTCAAGAATCGTGTTTCAAATCCCAACAACATCTCATAAAAAAAATCATGAAAAATCGTACGATTCGAAAACGCGTGAGTTTATTTTTTTATTTTATTTTTTTATTTTATTTTTTTATTATTTTTTTCGTTGAGATCGCGTTCGTTCAATGCGTTTGTTCGAATGCGTTTTCGTCGCTCATCTTGTTGCGTTTCCATTCATTGTGTTCTCATCACTCAAACTTGCTTCCGTTTTCGTTTTTTGTTTCTTCCTTTCCGACATTCAAACTACGCCTTTTTTTTTTTTTTTTTTTTTTGAACGGATGAAACATCCAAAAATCGCGTGTTTTCTTACTGCCTCTGCCTCGACACGTCCTCACGTCCTCAAGTCCTCTTCCTTCTTCTTCTTCTTCTACTTCTATCCACATCACTCTGTGATGGATCAGAGACGCAGAGTGTGGAGGTCAAAGCTTGAGCATCGCATGCTTACTTGGTGATCGAGACGACGCGGTTTTGCAGGTAGACTTGGCTCGCACCATCGGCAGCGGCGCTCGTGGTGAAGGCAGGCAGGAAGTTGGACAGCAGCTGCTTGCCCGCGGCTTCACGGATGGCTTTGGCAGACATTTGTGTTTTGAGTTAGAGTGGGGTTGGGTGGTTGAGAATCAAACGAAGCAGGGGAGAAGGGCGGTTTTGCGTGGTTGCGACACGACACAAACTGAAGGAGCGATTTGGGAAAAAACAAAAACAGAAAAAAAAACGAATGAGCTCAAATTTGCAACGCCAAATTCGGAATTACAACCATTTGAGAATGGAGCAAAAAGGAAAATCACTGCAATTGGGTATTAAAACTATGTGCAATTGAAAGCGAGCGAGCACAGCAGATCGAACGAAAGAAAGAAACGAAAAAAGAAGAGGAATTAGAAAAAATCATTGCAATGGGAAGACACAGCCGGTGAGTAGCACTAAAACGATGCTGTTGATCCATTTTTGTAGTTGGAAGCGAGCGAGCACAGCAGAAGCACGCCGTCGAACGAAAGAAACGAAAATCGAAGGCGGAAACTCGACAACAACGACGATCGGGTTTTGCCGCGCCGCTCTTGTTGAACGCTCGTGACAAGTTAGAGTGCGCTTTTGAGCTTCTGAGAAATTCTCAATGGATTGTAATGTTTCCATGAGGTGGTGGAGGTCGAGACGCTCGCACAATGCAAAGTTCATGTTGCCGTTGGAATAAATCCGCTAAGAGATTGGAATTGGACCAAGGTACCGGACGTGAACAGCTCAATGAGGTGTTGCTACACGCTCAATTCAAGTCAGCCCACTGTACACCTCGATTTGCCTCTTGTCGGAATCGCGTTGCAATTGCTCGCGATCAATCTGTCGCTTCCACATGCACAGCTCCTCCATAGCTTGCGACTTTTTTTTTTTGTGCCCGACGGTGCTGCCTGTTTATTTTCTGTCTTGGCGATATTTGCCTTCTCCAAATTTGTGCCATTCACTCGTTTCAGTCTTCAAAATTTGCAGCGTCTGAGTTTTGACACGACATCCAACCAACTGGTTTTTCCCCCCCTCAATCATCCTTCTTTTCGCTTCCTTTGCACACCTTCAAAACAAGAACAACACACACAAACATGTCAGCGACTGGCGCGAGTGGAAGTGGCGGGGATGGGAGCAAGCCGCTGCCGCGCTGGCTGGCCGGGTTTAGCGTTGCGTCGTTTGTCGGCGGGATGGCCTTCTCGCGGCTGACGATGCGCGTTGCAGCGGGCGTCGCTGTGGGCACGCTCATCGGAATGGTCATTGAGCAGGAGTACGGCATGCCCGACGTCAAGGCCATGCACAACAAGATTGCCAAGGACGCCCGAATCTTCCTCCAGCCAGCCATCGACCACATTGACGACCTCGTCCGCACAAACTCAGACCGCGTCGAAGAAGCGCGCCGCCCTGATCGCCGAGACCGATAGCCAAAAAACGAAAAAAAATGTGAATGGAGGCACTTTGTTGTATTGGTTGCGGACTTGGCCTCAATAAAACAGCCAAAAGTTAAAGCTTGTACAGCCAAAATGCTGTGTACCCCCTCGTCATTTTGTGACAGTGTATCTTACTGGACTCGAGTACAAGTCGCAAAGGAGCAAAGTTAGGCGCAGGCTGGATGGATGCTTGATTTGGAGATGGAGAATGGTCATTGGAACAGATTGAAAGTGATGTTTTGAGTATGTAACAGTAGAATAAATGCGAGTGTCCTGCCTTGTGTGCCTTGTGAGGGAAGAGAACCACAAGCGGGCAATTCACCGCGCGAAAGGACGGCACGCGCTTTAGAAAAAGAGGCGGAAGGGATAGCCTCGCTGCTTTTGCCGGAAGATGGAGAATGCCACGCTCAGGAAGAAGACAAACACTGCCAAGAACGTATATACAGCCGATCGCCGCAGAATAGGAGTCGATGCAAACGGAGCGCTGATGTTGAGAAGCAGGAAGCTGCCAGCAATGGTAGCATCTGTTGTTCAAAAAACACACACACCCAAAAACAAAGAAAAAGCCCAGAAACAACGTCAGGCACAGAATCGTGCAGAGGAGGCAAGCACAGGGATGGGCGCGAAAACAAAGCCGTACATAATGCCATCACAATATGGCTTTCAACGCCAAATTGGGACTGCGAGCTGGGATGGAAGAACATGGGTGGGCCATTCGGATTGCCGGCAATGTACGGCGGGCCGCGGATTTGATTCCACATTTGCCCAGAAGTGAACAAGAAGCAAACAGTCTAGCCGAACAAATAGTAAAAAAGCAAATAAAAAAACAAACAAAAAAACAGACGACCAACGAAAGGTCAGTTGGAAAGGAAGGAAGGACGGCGCGACAAACAGAGGTTGGGGCGTGACACTTACAACGGCAGCAAAGGCCCAGTACGTTGGGTTGCGGTAGAACTGCACGGCAGCAGGGAGAAGCTTGTACAAGACCGCAGCGCCCACAACAAGGCCGAGTGTGAGGAGCACGTAAAACATGTAGTCGACCGGGCGCTTGATCTGGAAGGAGATGCCCGTTCGCTCTGCTACAAAGCGCAGGACGTTCTCTGCTTCAAGACCAAGTCTATTGCAGAAAACCAAAAGGGGGGAAGGGACGACAAGTGAGATCAAAAACAACAAAACGAGAGCAAACAAAATAACAAACGAAAACGAAAACTGAGAGGTGCCAATCATGATTGCAGAACATTATTCTTCACGTGAGAGTCGACAGACTCCAGTCCGAAGTGAATCGTGTGTGAATGTTTTGGTTTCTAATCATCGGCGAAACGGGAGAAAGAAAAAAAGAAAAAGAAAAAAAAAAAAAAACGAGCGACAAAGAGTACGGTGCCGCGCATCGCTCAAAAACCACCTGCGGTCGTTCCAGTGCTCAGACTACATAGTGCCTGTAGTAGTAGGTAGCACGTCTGCTTTGCAGATCGAACAACGCACGGTCCAAACAAGACCCCAACTAAGAAATCCGTCGACAACGAAACTCACTGCTGCATCCTGTACGTGTCGGACGGCTTTGGTCCACCGATGGCCGGGAAGTGCATGATGGTCGGGATGCTTTGCGTCTTGAGCTTTTCAAAGACCTCGCTTGCAGATTCAAACTCGGCGACGGCAAAGTAGAGCTGGCCAGATTGGTACTCGGGCGATTGCAGCCACGACGACGCGAGGACTTCAAACTCGGCGTGCCCAAAGCTGTCGAAAGCAGAGCACACACACGCAATAGATGCAAGATTACATTTCCGACATTGGGTTGAGCAAAGTGAGTGAGTTGAGTGACAGCTCGAGATTGAGCGATCTCGCAGAACGGAGCGCTTCAGCAGCCAAGCCAAGCCAAGCCAAGCCAAGCCAGTCGTACCTGCACGGCTTGCAGTTCTGGCGCGGGTTGAGCGATGTGAGCATGAGGATGACCGAGTAGTTGCGCGGGGCTGTGCGCATGAGACTGGTGTACTTTGCAATGTCGAGCTTGATCAGGCCGCTGGACGAGCGCGCCTGGAGCTTGTCCAGATGCGCAACGCGGTCGGCCACTCCATTGCTGCTGCTGCTGCTGTCTGCGCTGCGGACGCCCATCGGCAGCGAGATCGCAGCCACCAGCGCGGCCAGCAGCACGGCGACTGCCACAACACCACGGCTCATTTGGATTGGGAGCTGGGTTTCTAAGACTGAGCGAGCGAGCTGCTGAGCAAAGAAGAGTCAATGTCGAGCATAAACCAAAAATAGAATAGATCTACAATACAGCACATGGAATGGAGGCTCAGTCCAAAAAGCTTCATGTCGCTGAAGCGGTCGCTGGAGCAATGCGAAGAACAACAAGAAGCAGAAGCAGAGGAGGAGGACGAGTTTGTGACGGTTCCAATGTGGCCGGACGACTCTGCAGATGAGGCTGCGAATCGCACGGCAACGACAGCGACGACCGCGAGCGAGGCAGAGGCAGAGGCAGAGGCAAGGCGGGAAGCAGCGCGCAAACGGATTCGCTTGGCGCTGAGCGAGATGGACAATGGCGACGAGGCTGGCGAGCCACCAGCCATGCAAGAGCAAGCGAGGCAATTCGAATCGAACGCCACACATTCTGAGGGTGAAGCGGACAGACCTGCTGCTGCTGCTGGTGCTGCTGGTGCTGCTGGTGCTGCTGCTGCGTCTGGCGTGCAACTTGGAAAACAACAACCACAACAAGCTGTCAAGACGCAGACAAACGCCGCAAAGAACGCCGAGATGCAAGCGCGCGCGGCGATCGAGCAGCTCGCAACGGACGACCAGAAAATGCTCGTGGCCATGTACAGCGCGATCGACGCAGCGTGCTCACTGCTCAAGCCGCGTGGAATCATCTGCACTCTGAGCCGAGTTGAGTACCATGTCTTGTTTTGGGAAGGGGGGCGTGGTGTGTGTATGTGGAGGGTGTGGTTTTGTGTGGGCGAAATTGCTGAGAGAAGAAAAAAAACACTCAGGGAGGGGGGGGGGGAAATAAACTAGTAACTTTGTGCCATTTTTACCAACCACATCTTTGTCCTTTCAAACAGATTTCCAGCACCGTCCAAGCAATGAGTGGTGTCACTCCGACCTGGAACGTGATTCAGCGCATTGCGAATATTGCGCCAAGCCATGTCATGCTGCAGCACGTTCAAATGCCGAGTGAAACGCACTCAAAGCAGGATGCTGCCATCCGCCGCTACTTGACGCTGGAGCACTATGGTTCTGCCGCCGCCGCTCGCCCGAGCGCGCTCTATCAGTCGCGATTCGCACAGCCCGATCTCTACGCTCCTCCAAATGCCGACCAACAGACCCGAAATGTGCCGTTCAGCAGCAGCAGCAGCAGCGCTGTGCCCGCGCTCGCCTTTGTCCGTGCAGACCCCGCAATCCGGCACGTGCTTGCGCCTGATGAGGACCCGTCGACGCATCTCGAGATTGTCTTTTCACATTTGCGGTCGTTTGGTAGCAGCACTGCCATGTCTGCGGCCCAATCGACGGCTCTACTCCGAAGAAAGACGCGCTTTGTGCGTTTGCTTCTCGCAGCGGCGGCGGCGTCACCCAACTCTGAAAACCAGTCAACGGACGTTGGCGCTTTCCCGGCTGTCGACCCAGACCCGCCTCAACCGTCCCAAGCAACCCCAGCCGACCTTCTGGCGTTGCCGGTTACATCGCTTGCCGATTCGCTTCCCGATTCGCTTCCTACTACGCCGTTCGTGGCAAATGAAACCGAATCATCGACACCAACAGCACACAAAACTGACGGCGGACCCTTGCATTCGGCCCATGAATTTATTCAGCAAATTCAGGCCCAGCCATTCTATGAAGGACAAATTGTGCATATTCAGGACATTCCGGCCAGGCCGGCCCAAGTGAAGCCCTTGACAGTAAGCCGCTGGTTTTTTTTTTTGTTTTTTTCTTGTTTTGTTTTGCGCATCATCTTCATCCCATCTCGCCATCTTTGCCAACGCTCTTGTTGGTGCTATTATGCATTGACAGATCAACCTGCACCCTGCCATGCGCGCTGCTCTTGTTGAGCGTGGGTTTGACTCGTTGTACTCTCATCAAGTCGAAGCACTGGAGGCGCTATGGAAAGGCCAGCATGCCATTGTTTCGACTTCAACCAGCAGCGGCAAATCGCTCATTTATAATGCCACTGCGATCAATGCAGCCTTGATGAACCGACAAGCTTTGGCGCTCTACCTTTTCCCCACAAAGGCTCTGGCTCAAGACCAACTTCGGGCGCTGAATGCACTGCTGGCGCTGTCTTCTCTCGTGCCCTATCAGCTGTTTGCGGCCACACTGGACGGTGACACCCCCAAAAGCGAGCGAGCCAACGTGCGCGAGAGCGCGTCGGTCGTGTTGACAAACCCGGACATGCTTCACGTCAGCATTTTGCCCCAGCACAAAAATTGGCCGCGTCTCTTTTCGCAGCTTCGCCTTGTCGTTGTCGATGAGGCACACGTCTACTCGGGGGCGTTTGGCTCTCATGTTTCATGCGTGCTTCGGCGATTGCGGAGGCTCTGCGAACTCTACGGCGCCGCGCCTCAGTTTATCTGCTGCTCGGCCACGATTTCCAACCCTCGCAACCTCATGTCGCAGCTGATTGGCGTTCCAGAACCGGAGATTGCGGTGATTTCCCGCGACGGCTCTCCATCGGGGCACAAAAAGTTTGTGTTTTGGGACCCGAACGCAAAGCTGTGGCGGGCCATCACAGCAGCAAAGCAAGCTGCTGCGCAAGCTGCCAAGGCGCGGAACGACGCAACACGTCACTCGGTTTTTGTTGAAGAAGGAGGCGCACCAGCAGCAACTGCCGAAGCCAAACACCAAGAATCATCCTCGTTCGCGTCCATGTTCGGAGGTTCGGAAGCTCTGCGTTCCTCGACAGTCGATCTGACGCAGTTTTTCGATGCAGATTTGCTTCACCAGATGGCCAGCTTGAGCTCTGACAGTGTGTCGTCCGTAGAAGAAAGTGGTCTGGACAGCAGCCGGACTCTTTCCGATCCCGATCTCGCACTCATCTCCGATGCACTGTCGCCTGGGCCGTCCGTCGCCTCGACCGCTGAAGCAACGACTCTGCTACACAAGCCTGCTGCCATGGTGCCCGCTATCGCGGCCAGTGGCCCAGATTCCGGCAGCTTCAATCCAGTCACCGTGCTGTCTGGTAGCCGACCCGGCTTCACCACTGCGTCGTCTCTCGTCTCCACGGCTTCCTCGCACCCGCATCCCAACGAAGGCGTTTCGATTATTTTGCGCGCGTTGAGTGATCCTCATCGTCGCCAGCACCTGCTAAAGTCACCGTTGGTCGCCTGTGCGCAGATTCTCCGACTCGCAGTCAAGCTGGGCCTCCGGACGATCGCATTTGCACGAATCCGCAAGGTCTGCGAGCTCATGCTCAGGTATACTCACCGCTTTCTCGTCGAAGAAGGGCTGGCATCGCTTGTGCCAAAGGTCACCTCGTACCGTAGCGGCTACTCGATTCCGGATCGCCGCCGAATTGAACGCGGGCTCTTCCACGGGCATCTCACGGCCATCACGGCGACAAACGCCCTCGAGCTGGGCGTGGATGTCGGAACACTGGATGCGACGCTGCATCTCGGCTTTCCCAGCTCACTCTCGTCGCTGTGGCAGCAGGCCGGTCGCAGTGGCCGGAACGAACGACCAAGCGTTTCCATCTTCGTGGCCTACCCCTCCCCGATCGATCAGCACTTTTGCCGCCACCCTCTCGAAATTTTCACTCGAGAAATGGAAGCTTCATGCATTGATCCCGGAAACGAGAGCGTGCTTTGGGGTCATTTGTTGTGCGCCGCAGCCGAGCATCCCCTGACCGACGCAGACAGCCAATGGTTTGGCCCCACTTTTGACAGCGTAGTTGCCGTCATGTTGGCCGGTCGACGACCCGGTGGTGTCCCCATGGATGGCGGAGCCGTGCTGGCTCGCCGAAACGGTCTGTACGTGCAAACCTTTCGAATTGAGGTTCCTTCGGCGGCCGTCAGCATCCGCAGTATCGACACAATTCGCTACAAGGTCGTGAACGAACTCACTGGCGAATGCCTGGACGAGATTGACGAGTCGCGGGCGTTCTTTGAAATCTATGACGGCGCCATCTACTTGCATCAAGGGAACGAGTACTTGGTGCGCAAGCTCGATTTAACCGAACGCATCGCCTTTGTAAAGCCCTGCATCGCTGGATACTACACAAAGCAGCGTGATCGAAAGGACGTGCAAACTTTGCGGGTGATTAAGAGCGGCAGCGCAACCAGGCAAGTTCTCTCAACCATTTCGCAGCCCGAGGAGCAACAACCTGGGACCTTAGAGTGGGCATTTACTGAGCACCATGTCGACCATGACCACCCAACCCTGCATCCTGTGAGAAATCGAGAGTCATTAAGTGCCCACCAGCAACCGGGCATTCCTGGCAGCCCAAATGCAGAAACCCCTCCTCCTAGCTTGACCCCCTACCCAACTCCCGCACATCGTGATGATGACCATCTGCCGTCAAGCCCCAGTAGACGGCGATTCATGTCTCGAGAAGCTCTGGCGCGCCCCCACGGACGACTGCAACGTCCAGAATTTGTGCCCAGCGGTTTCCAGACGACTCTGCAGCAAGATGTCCCTCCAAGCTCGTCCGAAGCAGTCCCGCATGAGGTCATTCCGGCCGGCACAATAAGCTGCAACTACGCAAAGGCCAATGTCTGCTTGAGCGTGTTTGGATTTAAGAAAATTTGGCAAAAGAATTCGGCAGTGTTTGATCGGCTGCCGCTTGATCTGCCTCCAGTGGAATTCGAGACATACGCCAGCTGGATTGACCTATCACAATCCGTCAAGCGCCACGTTGAAGCCTGTGGGTTTGAGTTTCGAGCCGGAGCCCACGGTGCAGCTCACGCCGTTCTCAACATGGTGCCGCTGTTTTTATCGTGCGACCCAAACGACCTCGGAACGGAGTGCATCAGCATTAGCGAGACCCGCCTGCGACCTCCGCGCATTCTGCTGTACGATACTAGACCTGGCGGTGTTGGGCTTGCTCTCAAAGCGTACCATCTCTTGCCGGCTATGCTCGAAGCAGCATATCAGCTTGTGCGCGAGTGCGTGTGCGACAACGGCTGCCCGTCCTGCATCCACGCCGTCACCTGCAGTGAGCATAATTCAGTGAGTGACAAATCCGCGGCTCTCGAGATCATGCGGTGTGTTCTTGCGGGTGGTGATCCCTCGGCAAAAGTCGTAGCGGCCAATCCTTCTTCGTCGCAAGTGACTCACCGCGCACACGACCGTCCCTGACTCTCGGAAGTTGGCTGTGTTCTCTCGCTGAACACCTCCGTTGCCAACTTCTGGATTGAGGTCAACAACATTCACGCTGCCGTGTCGCCGGCCTCCCGACCCTCCGCCGCGATGCCAACTCGAAAGCTGCGGTTGCCAGCCTCATGAAGGAAGCCAAAGCTGCTCCCAACAATGCCGGAGCGACCAATTTCCAGTCCCTTGTTGACTATTCAAACGGGTGCTCGTTGTAGATCTAATGCATGTCCCGCAAGTTTGCCGAACAACTTTTCCCTTCAGATCCGCACCAAAATTACCAACTCGCCTATTTAATTTTGTTCTTCAAAGTTTTAGGTGCAGCAGGGGAAGGAGATGACTGGGAGGCCGCTTTGGAGTCTTTTTCTCTGGACTCGATTGAATAGCAGCCCACTTTCTTGCTTCTTGTTAACACCCGAAAACGGGAGGAGTGAAGGAATTTGACAGCCAATTTCATGACATGACCTTGAACAAACACCGCTCCTTGCCCAGAAACAAAACAAAACAAAACAATTAAAAAATATGGCCAAACCCACCATCGCCACTCTTTGTTTTTGGTCGAGGTTCAGAGACAACAGGCTCACAATGCGCAAACAAGAGCGCAAACAGCGGCAGCTACGTCTGCCAGCCTCATCACGCTCAGGGGATCTGCCGATCGAGTCAGGCGAGAGCGTGTTCAAAGCAGCTGAGCGTGCGAGCTTTCAGACAACAAACGAAGGCAGACAGACTGGCACAGAAAGACGGACAAAAAGCAGGGCTTTCAACAGCGAAGAGGTGCATAAGCACAGCAGGACCAAACACCCAAGATCGCCGAGTTTTGAGCGAACAGATCACCATGGATTTCCTTCTTTGTCGCTTGGTTCAGTCTTTCTATTTTTTCCTCTTTTTTATTTTTTCCTCTTTTTATTTTTTTTATTTTTCCTCTTTTTTTCTTTTCTTTTTTCTTGTTTGGTGGTTAGTTTGCACTTCCATCTCCGCCATCCATCACCCACCCGTTCATCTCGCACAAGCTACTTGTCGTGAATGCCTACGTCTGTCTGTCTCTGTGTGTGCCTGCGCCCGAAGTGCACGAATAGGACCAAAGCAACAGTACAACAAAACGAGCTTTTGCATTACACAAAAAAATAACAAAACAAAAACAGAACACAACCACAACAGCTGATCGCGACCAGTCGCAGTTGGTCGCCTGTCCCTCCCATCCCCATCCCCATCCCCATCGTCATCCCCATCCCAATCTCCGTGTTTGGGAGTGCCAGGGTGCGCAACGAAACGGTTTGTGGTTGTGGGCAGGTCTCCTTGTGTTTGTTGTGTGGGGAGCGGCAGTTTGATCTGCTGGTCGCTCCGCTCGTATTGTCTGTCGGGACATTCTCTGTTCCCGAAACCCACCACCACCACCACCACCACCACCACCACCACCACCACCACCACCTACTACCACCTACTACCATTAAACAGCATCCTCGAGTTGTGAGCGGGAAAGGACGGTGTGTCAAGCGGGAGACAGCGAAGGACGCAACTCCAAAACCAGTCCCCAACACCACACCCGAGTGTTTTGTTTTTGGCTAGCCTTCCTTTCCGCTCATGTCCCATACAATGCTATGGAGTGGCGCTGCTGTTGAACATCAGAGCGACAACATTGTCGTGCGCTTGAAATTCTCACCGATTCACACGCGTGATTTGCGTTGTGTGCAATTTTTGGTTTTTTGGTAGATTCGTTGTTCAGTTTTCACCGTCATGCGCCGCTCGTTCCAAAATACGCGATTGGTCTGGCTACTGGGAGCACTTGTTCTGGTCTGTTTGTCGAGTGCTTCCGTCCAGGCCAACTCGTGCGATGACGAGTGCCCAGTCCCGTGCGAATGCCCAGTCCCGTGCGATCTCGATTGCACAGAGTGCGTGTGCACATGGTCGCCCCCAGCCGCCGACTCGTGCCAAAATGGGGACTGCACTTGTGATTCGGACGGTGTGGTAGAATGCGCCGTTTTGACAGAAACCATGAAGCTACCGCAAGACACGCAGTCTCTGTAATTGGAAAACAAACCATCCGTTGCTCGTTGGTTCATCCCAAACAAACCTGCGCTCACTCCCATCCTTCAACCAGCGAACTGCTCTCGCTTTCTGCATCGAACTTTCAGTTCATTGATTTTTCTGGGCTGACCCAGCTGAACTTTCTGTACGTGCACCAATCTCAACAAGTTGGACGGACAGCTTTCTAACTCAACGTTGTTCAGGAAGCTGCCATTCGCCATGCAAAAAACCCAAGTTTCTGCGAGCATGTTTTCCGGTCTCACATCTCTCACAAGACTGTAAGTACAGCAAGCTTGTTGCGCGCGCGGTGGCGTTTGGTGAAGCTGAGCAAAGTTGTTACTCTTTGAATGTGCAGCCTCTTAAGTTCTAGCACTTTCAACTTGAACGTTTTCAAGCTAATGAACATAACAACACTGTAAGTCCATCGCCTCGATCGTGGCTTTTGTTCTGGCTTGCACTTGATATGACAATCTTGCAGCAGTAGGTGCTGCTTTCGCAATACTGATTTTGTTTTGTTCGCTATGGTACCAGAGATGTTTTTGATCACGTCGGGACTTCTGGGGCTTTTTTTGGCATGAATTCAGTGCAGACATTGTACGAGAGCCTGATAGTTGTGCATTGGGTTGCTGAAAACAACTGTATTGACATTTGTGCCTTGCCTAGATCATTGGTCATGCCGACGTCACTTTCAGCCAATTCTCTGTCGGGGCTCCCTGCACTTCGAACCCTGTGAGTCACCGAGTGGCTGACAAAAGCTGCAGCTTGGAACTTGCATCTCATCGTGAACACGAAACAGTCAGCTTCAGCTTGATACTAATAGTGTGCCTGCATGGCTGAGTACTATCATCAGTCCGGTTTCGAACGCTTTGACCTCCTTGTACGTGAACTGAAGTTCTCTGCACGGAAGCAACTTTGAATCATTCATTTTGCTGACAACTCGTGATTGCAGAAGCGTTTACTCAAACACCAACTTTTTCGCCTCGTTGACTGTCTCAGCTCCCAACCTACAATCACTGTACGTTCCGCGTGTTTCGGTTGGAACTGGTCTTGCGACTCACATTACGTCTACTTTACGGCAATTTGAATGAATTTTTTCACGCTGCTGATAGAACCATCAGTGGCTCCGACATCACTTCAATCTCGTCGAATCAGTTTGCGCCGACTCCCGGCCATCTCCAGTCCTTGCAAACTCTGTAGGTTTTTGTTCGAATCGAGCCGCGTGAACAGCATCGCCTTTATTGACTGGACCGTTTTGTCTGCCTTGTGCACATTATTAGCTCGATTCTCAACCAGCCGATCAGAAGTCTTCCTAGCAGCACATTTTCAAACCTACCCGTTCTGACATCTCTGTACGGCTACTTGGGGGGGGGGTGATCAAAACGTGTCTCATTGGATGAACTTGCTCTGACCATGCCTCTCGCATCAGGTTCGTGAAAGACAGCGCCATTACTCAAATCTCCTCGACTGCGTTCCAAGGTCTGTCGCAATTGACGACGCTGTAAGTTGACCGTGAAGCAGTACCATGCGATTTTCTTTCATGAACTCATCGGACACGCGCATCTGAGCAGCGATTTGACCAACAATCGGCTCACAAGCATTCCTGCGACGGTCTTTGATAATACTCCGTCCTTGATCGTACTGTACGTTGGCTTGCCTTGTGATTCCACCAGCTTTCCTGGCAGTGAATATTGAATTTCTGAATGTGTTGTTCAGGAGACTCTCCCCGTCCCGGATTACGCAGTATCCCCAAAATCTCTTCCAAGGGCTCCAAGCTGCTCCCATCTTGTACGTTCGTTCTCTGTGGTGTTGGGCACCATCGCCTCCTGCCCGCTCATTTCTTTGCTCTCCAACTCCCTCATCGGCTCCTTCCACAGATATCTGGGCGGCCCAGCCTCTACTCTTCCCCCTGGCTTGTTCCAGAACGCCGCATGGACATCCGCTGCGACGGTGTATTTTTCTCCCAACAACTTTACGTTTGGTAGCAATATTCGTGCGCCTCCTAGCACATATGGTTCGGCCGCGTCTCCACAAGGTAAAGGGCCAACGGGATCCGAGTGCGGAGCGTAGTATGGCCAAGACTTGGTTTTCACATCGCTGACCATCGTTGTCTTGGAATACTAGCTTGTCACCCAGCTTGTGCAACGTGCTATGCTGCTTCCGCAGCTGCCTGCTGCCCTTCAGACTGTCTCTATTGTACTTCAAGCAGCACGTGCTCGCAGTGCTACGATGGCTATGTGCTGACTGGGAACACTTGCGGCTCCATCGAATTCGTCTCATCGGCTGCTTCTGTGGCTTCCCTGGTCTCGATCGCCTCCATCCCGTCGGCTGCATCGGTACAGTCCGTCGAGTCCGCTCAATCCGTGGCTTCTGTCGATTCAGCATCTTCTGTCTCGGTCCAACTCGTTGAAGCCACTTCAGCCGAGTCAGCCAGGTCTGTGTCTGCGTCTTCCGCAATGTCGGTAGAATCGGCAATCTCGGCTTCCATTGCGGCAGCTGCAGCTGCAAACAAGAACAGTGACGACAGCTCAACGTTGCCTATCATTGTTGGTGCTGTGGCTGGTTGCGTCCTTCTTCTTGCCCTGATCGCTCTCGCAGTCACCTTGTACAGGCGGCGCTCGCAATCCCAGCTGGCCACGTCCTCTAGTATGCGCCGCACCTCGCAAGTGTTCATGAGCGATTCATTCTCCTTCCGGCCCGATGAGACGTTTACCAAGAGCTACATGCAATCGGAGGCGCTGTACGAATCGGTCGATGTGTACGCCAGCACGACCGAGAATCCCATGTACTCGGAGGTGTTGGGGCTGGCTGAACCAGTGGCGAACGAAATTCCCCCTGCCTCTGGCACTGATTACGTGGCACCCTCCCCTTAGAGATCTTCTGAGCTCGTATGAGAGATCTTCTGAGCTAACCAAAAAAAAAAAAAACCAAAGCCCCTGTCCTGTTTGTTAAGCCATCGGGCTTTGACCACCTCCAGCTGAGCGGATAGGATGGGGTTTCTGAGTTCTACATCGAGTTCTAAAGTGTTGGAAATTATTTTCCCCCCCCAGAGTTAAATATTCGTGTTTGAAAATTGGAGCCAAACAAAAACATGGCGTTGTGAACTAGTTGTCAAGTGTTTGACATTGCGTTGCAGAGGTTTTTGATCGTGTTGCGAGTTATTAAAAGTGTTTCAGAGTTATTAAAAGTGTTTCAGAGTTATTAAAAGTGTTTCAGAGTTTGCGAAACTGCGCAAGAGTGCTTCGAGTGGCATTGATGAACATGTACCGCCAAATGCATCCAATGGGCGTCAGAAACTTGCTGGTCCGGTGGGGTACAATAATCGAGTTTATCATCTCTTTCAAAAAAAAACGAGTGCAGTAGAAAACAAGAACACGACCAAATTCAGGAACAATGCTGCTCGGTATCAAAACGGAAAGGCGCCGCTACTTGCGGGAAGACTTGGTCGGGACAGGAGATGGCGCGTCGACATCCTCGTCCTCAAGACGCGGTTTCTATGACATTTAACGGCACAACAAAATCAGCTTTCAAGACTGCACACGCAACAGCCAACGGACAGACAGGCAGAAAAGTACAACACTCCACGCACCTTATTGGACGTTTCCCGAGACGGCTTTTTGCGCTTGCTCGAGTCGGACGGAGCGGCGGCCTCCTTTTCTTGCTGTTGGTCGAGCATCTCCTTCTCGATCAATTGGATCAGTGACGTGCATCGGCGTTGAAGTTCCTGTTCGCGACAGAGCAAAACAAGCCAAAAGAAAAGAAAAAGTCAGAACAATCGCCAAAACTCATCAAAAACTGCGTGTTGAGCACGAAACGTACCACAGCCGTTCGAGACTTCAAGTACCAATCGAATCGGAATTGTGGGGCGGCACGAATGGCACGGCGAATGTCATCGTACGCCGTCTCGTTGCCATAGCCAACCTTGTACAGCATGCAGATCTGAAGAAAGACAAGGAAAGAGGTGAGCAGGAGCCAAACTTCAATCTTCCAACTCCCTTGCTCTCTTTCTTCTTCGTCTTCTTCTTCTTCTTTCTTCTTCGTCTTCCAACTTTACCAAAAATCGATCCTCCTCTTCCGTAAAGCAGCGACCACGGCCAGAGGTAGAGTAGACGACGCGCAGTTGCTGGAAAGGAGAGCGATAGAGCTGCATCTTGGCACCGAGAATTTGCTGGATTTCCTCGCGACGGCGAATCTTGGACTCACCCAGCTCAATACGTTCCAAGTACTTGTCCGAGTCTGCGACCTCGCGATAGCGGTCCCAAAACACCTTGGCGTACTCGTCCACTTCAGCAACGGACTTGCTCTCAACCTCGGAGGCAATCAGCGCAGTCGCCCAGCGGCCGTACTTTTCGCACCCACGCAAAAAGGCGCGGAAGTCGGCGCGGTTCCAGTTGCTAAAGCCTTGCTCGAGCAGCTGGTCGCGCTCGACAGTCTCCTCCTCGGACAGCGGCTCGCTCTGGTCAATCTTTTCGCACTCTTGCTCGTGCTCGGCCACCAGGTCGACGCCGCTGCTGGCCGCAATCTCCTCGGGCGTGGGTGCCGTTGGCTTCCAGCCGAGCTGCTTGCGGTAGGCATAAATCTCCTGCTGCAAGAGCTCAAAGAGACGCGAAGGGAAGAACTGAAAGTCGGAAATGTTGGGCGTCTTGGCAGGGCGCGGCGGCTTGGCCTTCGAGGAACCAGCACCCGCGTCCTTTTCGGTCGCGTTCGACGTGACGCGAAGGGCCTCTCGGAAGTAGGCGTCCACCGAGTAGGTCTGCTTGCGCTCGCGCTTCGGTGGCTCAATCCAGTTCTTGATGCTGTTGGCCTGTCGCTTGCGGCGGTAGTCTTCACCATCAAAGTTGTACAAGGAGCGCTCATCAGCATCGAGCGAGAAGGACTTGAGGCGATCTTCGCCGAGCTCCTTGAGCTTCTCGTTAAACTCGGCGGTCTTCACCTCGCCCTTGGTGAGAATTGCGTCAATGTCGTCATCGGTAATCATGGCGTCTTCCGTCTTGAACACGCGGTCGGCACCAAAGCGAATCATGGAAAGCATGTCGTCCTTGTTGAGCGCCTTTTGCTGCTCGACCAAGCGACCCTGCTGGATGACCATGGCATCCAGTCGCAGCTTCATCTCGGCGCGCTCAATGATGCGCTCCTCCACCGTGTTTTCGGTGACAAAGCGGAAGATGCGAACCTGCTTCTTTTGACCAATGCGGTGGGCACGATCCTGTGCCTGGAGATCCATTTGGGGGTTCCAGTCACTGTCGTACAGAATGACCGTGTCGGCCGTGTAGAGGTTGATGCCAAGACCACCGGCACGGGTGGACAGCAAAAAGAGGAACTTGGAGCTGTTGGGGGCATTGTACTCGTCAATCATGCGAGCGCGATCCTCGTGGTCGGTCTGACCGTCGAGACGGCAGTAGGTGTGACCGCGCCACATGCAGTAGTCTTCGAGAATGTCGAGCATGCGGGTCATTTGGCTGAAAATGAGCACACGCGAACCTTGAGCCTGGAGCTTCGGGAGCAGCTTGTCGAGAACACTCATCTTGCCGCACGCGTCCAGCAAGTGCTTGTCTGTCGTGTAAGGCGGGCCCGGCTCGGTGCCGTCAAACAGATACGGATGGTTGCAGCACTTGCGCAGCTGCATCAAAATATTGGAAAGGCGAACCTTGTTGGCATTGCCAGAGTTGACCACATCGAGGTCTTTGAGCAGAATGCCCTGGTAGACCTCGCGCTGCTTTGGCGTGAGTCCAATGTAGATTTTCGTCTCCTTCTTGGGCAGCAGACTCTTCTCCACCTCGGCCTTCAGACGACGCAGCAAGAACGGCTTGAGAATGGCGTGCAGGCGGCTCACGACCTCGAGCTGGTCGGTGCTCGAAGTCAGCGAAAACCAGGCGTCGAAATCGTCCGACGAGGCGAAAATGTCGGGAAGCAGAAAGTTGAGCAACGCCCACAGTTCATGCAGGTTGTTTTGCAGCGGTGTGCCTGTCAGGAGCAGGCGGTTTTTCGTCTTAAACTCGCGCAGCACCGTTGCCAGGCGCGACGCCTCGTTCTTGATCGAGTGGGCCTCGTCCAAAACCAAGTAGTGGAAGTTGAACTTGCGCAGTGCTGCCTTCTCGCGGTAGGTGATTTCGTACGACGTCACGCAGACGTCCCAGTCTCCCGGGGCCAGTGTGGTCTGGGCAAACTCTGCACGCCACTCCTTCGGACCGTGGAAGCAGATGACACGCAGAGAAGGGCACCAACGACGAAACTCATTCATCCAATTGGTCAGCGTCGACTTGGGCACGACGAGAAGATTGTGCGACTTGATCTTTTTGATGTTTTTGATGTAGCCGAGCATCGAGATGGATTGCAGTGTTTTTCCGAGACCCTACAAATGAAACAAAAACAACAACAACAACAACAAAAAGCATGGCAGCACAGAGTCGCAATGGCGATGAGAAAGAAGAGTTGACGGGATGCTGGAAACAACGACGACGAGCAGCTTTTCTTTTCTTTTTTGTCTCTTTTTTTTTTTTCTTTTTTTCTTTGTTTGTTTTGTACTTACCATCTCATCTGCCAGAATGCCGTTGATGCCGTTCTCGTAGGCCTGAATCATCCAGTTCAAGCCGCGAATCTGGTAGTCTCGCATCTTGCCACCTTCAATGTACGGAGGCGACTCTGTGAACATGAAGGCGGAGGGTCCTTCATTGCCAGTCAGCTCTTCCTTGACCAGTTCAGCATCCTCGGCCTCTTGGTTGCGGCGACGGCGGCGTTGTGGAGACCTGAAGGATACGATACCAGCGACCAAAAAAAACAAAGGGCAGTGAGCGATCCGTCAAACACAAGCAGACGCGATGAGACCAAAAGCCAAAAAGCAAGCCTGTACTTTGGAGGGGCGGCGTCTTCCGAGACATCCATTGCTGCGGGCGCGTCGGCTGAGGTTGAGGCGGCATCAAGCTTGCTCTTCATCGCAGTCTGGTCCAGTCGGCCGTCAGCAAGAAAGTGGGCGAAAATGGCAGTCTGCTTGAGCAGAAACTGAAATCGATTCGCCTTGTCTTTGGCCTGGAAACAACAACAAAAAAACAAAGTGCAATGTTAGCGTCGTGCAACCAACGCGAGCTAGAGCAGCACACCCCCTCGGCCGTTGGACTTACAATCTGAGCGGCAAACTCTGAGTTTTCGCTGTCCTTGGCAGCCTGCTTGCCACGCTTGGTCGTCGTCGCGGTCGCAGTCGCGCCTTCATCCTCCGAGTCGTCCGACTGTGGAAAGGGTTGTTTTCATTGATCAACAAATCATCCGGGACACTTGTCAGTTTCAACGAATGAACGAATGGGGACAACGCAGCATCGATCGAGTGCTCATCGCACCAGACCCAATGCCCTCGCTCGCTCTCCCAACACCCGCATCCTCGTTTTTTCTGCATCCGTCGCACACCGCCAGAACGCCCCCCTCCCGCCCCCTCGGGCAAGCCAGCAAAAAAAAAATGCATGCAAGACAAGCCAAGCAAACGAGGGAGGAAGCAAAAAAAAAAAAAAAAAAAAAAAAAAAAAAAAAGGCGAGATCTTGCTTCGAATGCCGCGTCAATAGAGCGCCCGTATCCGCGTCAGCGAGAGTGAAACAGAACTGGAGCACAACCATGCATGCTACAGAGAGGAGCGCTTTGGGACGGACCGCAGAGCACTCGCTCTGGTGCCCAGTAGCACGCAACATGCGTCTTCCCGCGCTTTTTTTTTTTTTTTTTGGCGCTTTCAATCTCTTCCTTCTGGATGGACAGTGTTGAGGGATGGTGTACCTCTTCAAAGTCCATGACAGGTTGGGGGACGCTGCTGGAAGGCCCAGCGGGGACGGGCGATGCGCGGAAGGACGCCATCGCCGAGTTGGTTGCGCTGTCGGGACCGACTTGTTCCATTTCTCAACAAAAGCGACAGTTGTAGACTGCGCTGGACGGGACTGGATTGGGTTTCTGTTGACATCAACAGAACGACAAGAGCAAGGCAACTGTGGCGTTGTCTGCTATCAACCATGTCTAGGTCTGAGAGCGGACGGGTTGTGTGTAGATTTGGGATAGACTCCAAACACACAAGCAAGCAAGCAAGATCGCTGCCGACCCGGTGGACATTTGCAGTTACTTGTTGCAGATCCGAAGCAGAGGCAATCGAAGGTGACTTGCAGTGTTCTGAAGGCTGTTTCCGCAAAAGTAAAAGAAAAGCGAACACAGGAAAAAAACAAAAAGAAAAAGAAAAATAACTTACCGTTGCAAGGGTTGCTCAGGCGCTCTTCTTGACAAGTCAAACAAATGCACGGAGTGTTGCAGAACTGACCCTGTCCAGTTAGAATGTTGCCGACGGCTCCATCCGATGGCATGAAAATTCGTAGAAACACAGCTTTCGCTGCTGGATGTTTTGCTTTTTGTTTTTGTCCAGAGTCGGTCTCAGCTGCGCTTTAGGTCGTGCTATTGTCGCTCCATACTCGGTACCTCTCGCACAAGTTGTTTGCTGTCCTTGCCAGCACACCATTGCAGACCTGGACATGCTTTGGAGGCGCCCTTGCTTGTGCACTGCTTTGCAGAATTATCAGTCCGTACAGACTAAGCGCAGCTTGTTGTCGAGCATTGTCTTTGCGCTTGTTCTCTTCCCTGTGACCCGTGCCAGAGGTAAATCCATGCAACAAGAGTCGGCTCCATTGATTGCCTTTCGATCCTATTCATGGCAACGACCGGTTGAGCAGGTGCTGCTTGTTGCGTCGTTTCTGTTGCTGGAGCTCAGTTTGGTGCTAGATTTTGGTTTGTCTGTGTGTGTGAGTGTGTGCGTGCAGGTTGCGCGCCTCGACATCTTCCTCCTGTTAACACATCTACCAATGTACACTCTTTGACAGTGTCCTCGCCCCTCCCGAACCAACCAACCAGCCTCGAGCTGGAAAGGGTTGTTTTTGTTTTTCCCGCCTTTTTTTTTTTTTTTTTTTTGGTTATTTTTTGTTGTGTCGGTGACTTTTTGTGTCGATACTTTGCTCCCCCTCGACACCTCCCTCCAGCTGTCACATCTGCCAATAAAGTGCCTCCTTCACAATGCCCAACCAACCTCCAGCGAAAGTTTTGCTTTCCCGCCCTTTTTGTTTTGTTTGCTGTTTCCGCATTAAGAATCCAGTTCACTCGAAATTTTGTACTTTTTGGCGCGAAAACAGGGCTGAAACGCCAGCGCCACCTCTCTTCTTTTCAAACGGCGATTTCAGGTACTTGGCGGCCCGCTTGCTGCTCCCTTTGCCTCAGAGAATACTTCCAGGGGTGTCTTGAATTTTTTCTCGGGGTTTTTTCAGGATCAAGTTGGCCGTGCTTTTCTGTTTTAGCGACAAAACGCTGGTCGATTTTCGAGCAAAAACAAATTCAACTCTATCCTTCAATTTTTTTTTTTTTCAAAAGAACAAGAAAAAAAAATTGTGAAGGAACTTTTTTTTTTGTTCACTTCTTTTTTTTTTAAACTTGCCCAAACGCCCCTTCACCGTTCGCGGTCCACTCTTCACCCCCACTCTCCTGGCCTAGTGCAGTACGTTTAAAAACATTTGCTCTACACACTCGTGGTGGTCTGGTTCCAGGGCTCTCTGTATAAAAAGCGCCAGGGACGGCGAAAGAAGCGTGTTTGGCTGCGCCTGTTTTCTCGACTTTTCCTTTTTTTCAAAAAACCTAATGTACTTCCAGCAGAAAAAACGGAAGAAAAAAATTGGCGCGGAAGAAAAAAACAAAAGCTGGACGAAAACGTTTGCTGTGCGTTTTTTTTTTTTCTGGTTTTTTTTCTTGTTTTTTTGATTCTTCTTTTTTTTTTTTTTTTGAACCGCCGCTTTTGGCCGTCGCTGGTGTGTCCCGAGTGCGCCTCCCCGCGTCCGGACCGCCAGCGGCAACTGAATGGCCACATGTAGATGGTGTTGCTGCTTGTCCGGGTCAGCACAGCTCATCCTGAGGCGCAGCTGGACACAGCAAACAAAACCAGTTCTTTTTGGCTGCTTTTTTTTTTTTCCAATACAAAGCCAAAGAACCAGAAAAAAAAAAAAAAAAAAAAAACGTGGCCGTACTCGAAAACGCTCTAGTGAACTCTTTGTATACTCTCCTCTTTTCAATTCACGACCTATACCGATCCTCACTGCACCGAAACAAACTCAAGTACCACTTTGAATTTGGATCCAACAACCAACTCCCAGCGACGAGCACACTTGTTCATCCGCCCGAGTTGTTGTTGCAACCTGACTGACTTGCGTTGCTCGTTTGTGTTTGATCTTGATCTGGTTTGATCCGATCTGTAGACTGAGCGATTTTGGAGCAAATTTGCAGCGAAGCAACACACACAAATGGCTGAACCGCGCTCCCCCGACCCCGAGGATCTGCCCAACAGCAAGCGCATGCGCATGGATGACTCTGTAGATGGCGTCGATCCCGTGGACGATTTCTCATTTGCATCTGCACCGACTGGCGAATATGGTACAGTCTCCACAGTTGCAACCAAATCGAAATGTTTTGCTCTGAGAGGCCTCAGTTCAGTCGTTGTCTCACTGTGGCGTGCATTCTTCCTTGTCCAAAATCCCCGTGCAGGCGCATCCGAAGAAGTCAATAGCCTGGCACGATCGCTCAACGATGGTCTGCCTGATTTGGACGACGAGACCGACACGGGAACTGGAGGCGAGACGGCAATGAACCAGGATCCAGACACGGCCCAGGGGGCACTTGCAGCACTAGACGGAGTAGGCCACTCGGAGCTCTCCAATTTCTTGCCCAGCGATGGCAATGGGGGCGCGAGCTCGGAATCGATTTTCGACTCTGCAGCCACGACCGCGGCAAACCAAGGCGATGTGGGTGCTGTCATGTCGTCAGCCAACGCGGACAGCTTTGATCAGCACGCCGGCGCGGGCGCAAGCAGCTCGCTTGCCTCTCCATTCGTGGGCGCAGTCAGCTCGCCATCCATTAAGCCGCTCGCGGCCGATTCTAGTACCGATCTTTCCACTTCCATGCTCTCCTCGTTTGGACCCGCTGGATCTGATGCGTCTTCGGGCGTAGCAAACACCTCGGCATCTACGTTGGCCTCGGCCCAAAACGCATCCGGCTCTGCCGTCACAGACCGAAAAAAGGGCATTCAACAGCAACTGCTCCTCCTAATCCACTCGTATCGCTGCACCCAGTCCACAGACAAGTGCAAATTGCCACACTGCGCGGTCATCAAGAACGTGCTCAGCCACATGAGCACCTGCAAGAATGGGCGCGACTGCGCCACACCGCATTGCGCTTCGTCGCGTCAAATCATTGCCCACTATTCCACCTGCAAAAATCCCGACTGCGTCATCTGTCAGCCTCTCAAGCAGCCCGTTGTCCAAAACCGCATGCCACCCGTCAAGGCAGAAACACACGCGGGCGGAGCTCCGTCATTGCTCACGAACGGCCCTGGCCTCACCCATCCATTGAGCTCGATCAACCTGTCTAACACTGGCTCTGGCGCGCATGCCGCGGGCCGGGCGCCACCTCCGCTGCAGCTGCCGAACGGAGGCAACAACAATCCCGCTTCCGCGCTGACCTCTGGCAACAGCCAACTCGCCTTCCCTTCTGCCTCGAGCCTCACTCCAGCCCAAGTGGCCAGTTTGCGTATGACCAACTCGTTGAGTGTCAAGGTGCCGCCCGCCATGGCCAAGGCAGAGCACATCCAATCCCCGTCTGCAGCACAGCAACTATTGCAACAACAACTCCAGCAGCAACAGCAACACCAGCAACAACAACAACAGCAGCAGCAGCAGCAACAACAACAGCAACAGCAACAGCAAACTAGCGATCGCTCGTCCGTCGGACTACAAGCAGAACAGGCTCAGTTGCTAAGAGCCCAGCTCAACACGCTGATGCAAATCCCGCAAGCGTCTCAAATGCTCAACGACCACGGCATTCGAAAGTCGGCTGACGTGCTGGAGGCGGTGAAAAACCACACCATTGAGCGCACCATGAACACCATTGCGGCAGCGCTGGGCATCACTCTGCCAACATCTTTGCCATCCATGACACCGATTGGTGGCGCCTCAAGCAGCGACAGCTCTCATCTAAGCAGTGCCGGAAGTGTCCTTGGTAACCCTGGGTCCTCTCTTGGTGGCCCAGCGAGCATTCCGCCGCCTTCCTCGAGCGTATCTGGCTCTGGCGCAAGCGGCGCCCCCTGGGCCAACAACCCAGCAGATCCCAATCCCGACCCGCAGTGGCGTATCAAGTTCAACAACAACCATCGACTCAAACTGGTCCAGAAGCTCATTGAGGCGCTGCGATCGTGCTGCAAGCCTGACGAAAATCAAGATCGGATTCGGCAGGTCGCCGAGAAGGTGGAGAGCCGCGTCTTCCAGATGGCCCCGACGCAAGACAAGTACTACCACCTGCTGGCTGAGAAGATTTACCGGATGAAGAAGCAGCCCACCCATGTCTCGCTCAACACGATGGGAGTCGATATGAGTGCCGGTGGCGCTGCTGGCGGGATGGGTGCTGCTGGTCCGAACGCGGTCGCCACCGCAGCCGCCATGGGTGCAGTCGCTGGCGCGCGATCGGGATTGCCCCTGAATGCCTTGCAGCAGCAAGTCGCTGCTATTCTGCAGCAGCTCGCCCAGTACCAACTGCAATTCAGCCAACTCCGCGAGCAGCAGACGCTCGCCAATCAGCTGGTCAACTCGCACCGTGCCAACGGCAATCCTGTCCCGGACGACCTCATGACCGTCTACAACTCGATTCAACAGCAACTCTCGCAGCTTGTGGCGTACCAACAAACGGCCGCAGGTATGCTGCGCAGCCATGCTGCCACCGCTGCCCACATGTCGGGTGGCTCGGAAATTGCGGCGCAGGCCGAGGCGGCCGCTACAACCACGTTGAACACGATTGGCAATTTGGCTTCGGTCGTCGGAGCTGGCGGCAACCTGCCAAGCGGCAACGCGCTCGGCAACGGTGCCCAAAACTTTGCTCGCCCCCAGGGCATGGTCGTCAAGCTGAGCGCCGCACCCGTGCAGGCACAGCCCCCGGTTGACCCCGCCATCTACGCCACGTTGACTTGCATGGCGGCCAACAAGACCATCACCAGCGTGACGCAAAATGGCCCCATGTATGTCAAGACCATGCGCGAAGTGTTTTTGCCCATCTTTGAAGAGCTTTGCCGCGATGAAAATGCCGGGCCGTTCATGGTGCCCGTCGACCCTGTGGCTCTGGGAATTTTGGACTATCTCACGGTCATCAAGCGCCCGATGGACTTTAGCACCATCCGCACGCGTCTCGATCGCCCCACCGACAAGCACTTTTACCGCGACCCGCTCGGCTTTGTGGACGACATGCGCCTCGTGTTCACCAACGCCCTCACCTACAACAAGAAGAATTCGCGTGTGCACAAGATGGCCACCAAGCTGTCGGATTTGTTCGAGAACAGGGTGGAGCCTGCCTTGCGCAAGCTGGGCTATTGCTGCGCGCTCCGCCTGCTGCAGTTCTCCCCGCCAAGCCTGTACTGCTTTGGCAAGTGCGTGTCCACCATTCCCCGCGATACGCAGTACCATACGTACGAGAATCGCATCCATTATTGCGCCCGCTGCTTCAAGGAGGCGCCCGACCCAATTGTCGGCATTGATGGCGAGGAGTCGATGGCCAAGGCCCAGTTTTCAACGGCCACCAACAACAAGCTGGACGACGAGCCCTTCAACGACTGCGATGAATGTGGACGCAGGGCGCATGTCATTTGTGCGCTGCACAACAAGCACACGGACACACGATTCCTGTGCCCGCTCTGCAAGAAAAAGTCTGGCAAGAAGGAAATGCGGTTTACGTCGAAAAACCTGCCAAAGTGCGAGCTGTCCACGCATCTCGAGGCGCGCATTTCTACGCACTTGCGCTCTGTGCCCGACTGCGGCGAAGTGACCATTCGCGTCATTCTTGTGCGTGACCACCAGGTGAATTTCAAGGAGCAGATGAAGAAAAAGTCAGTCGAGGAAGGCGGCCCCACCGGCCTCCCGTACCGCCACAAGGCCATGTTTGCCTTCCAAAAGCAAGACGGCGTTGAAGTGTGCTTCTTTGGCATGCACGTCCAAGAGTACGGAAGCGACTGTCCCGAGCCCAACGCCCGCCGTGTCTACGTTTCCTACCTCGACTCGGTCTTTTGGTTCCGGCCGCAGACGCACCGCACGTTTGTCTACCACGAAATCTTGATTGGCTACCTCGAGTATTGCCGCAACTTGGGCTACCGCTACGCGCACATCTGGGCTTGCCCGCCCACGCCTGGCGACGACTACATTTTCTACTGCCATCCCGAAGACCAGAAGGTGCCCAAGCCCAAGCGTCTCCAAGAATGGTACCGTCAGATGCTCACACGCGCGCGCGACGACAAGGTCATTTTGGACTTTTGCGACATTTACTCCCAGTGCATGACCGACGACATCCTGACCGTCCGCCAACTGCCCTATTTCGAGGGAGACTACTGGCCCGGCGTGATTGAAGACTCGCTCACGGAAGCTGCCAAGGAGCGGACTGACACTGAGGAAGCTGGCGAAGAGAAGGGCAAGAAGGGCAGCAGCAAGAAGGCGGCTTTGAAAAAGTCTGGCAGCAAGGCCAAGGGCGCCGTCAAGGTGCGCGCCCTGACTCGCCAGAACTCTGACGTGTGCGAAAAGCTCTACCAGATGATGGAGAAGGCCAAGGACGGCTTTTTCGTGGCCACGCTGCGTCCTCCGACAGACCCGCTGGTCGACATCAAGGATCCCGACCCACTGGTGGCGTGCGCCCTCATGGAAGGCCGTGAGGCCTTTTTGGACTTGGCACGCGAAAACCACTACGAGTTCTCGACTCTGCGGCGCGCCAAGTATGCCAGCCTCATGTTCCTGTACCATCTGCACAATCCCGACGACTCTGCTGGCTACCACATTACGTGCGACTCGTGCCAAGTCTCGCTCAGTGTCGCCGACACACGCTACCGCTGCACAGTGTGTCCCGAGTTTGATCTGTGCCCAAAGTGCCAGACTGCCAAACCGCACGAACACCCGATGGAGCAAGTCGCGTTCGACGCCAGCGGGGACGGCGGCGCTGGTGCTGCTGTGGGTGCCATGGGCGCCTCGGGCGGCGGCGACGGAGGCAGTGACACTGCCAACCGCGCCCTTGCCATCCAGCGGTGCATCGAGTCGCTCGTTCACGCGTGCCAGTGCAGCGACACGGAGTGCAAGAACGGCTCGTGTGTCAAGATGAAGAAGGTGGTCGCACACACTCGCGTCTGCCAGGTCAAGGCACCCGTGTGCAACATTTGCAAGCAGCTTGTTGCGCTGTGCTTCTACCATGCCAAACATTGCCAGGACGATGTTTGCGTCGTTCCGTTCTGCGCTGGCATCAAGCAGCGCCTGCAGCGTCAGCAGCAGCAGACGCGTATGAAGGCCAAAAAGATTGCACAACGCCGCATGCTCTTCCAACGCATGCAGCAACGCAGTGTGCAGGAGGCCTCGGGTATCATTCCCGTCGAAACGCAGCAGCACGCTGATTCTCACCCGAGCTCGGCTCCTTCCAGCGCCTCTGTCGCGGCTGCGCCGCAACTCAACTCTATGGTGACCACGCCGATGCAGGTCGTCCCCAACAGCACGCTCCTTCGCAACAACACTTCCACGGGTGGAACGCCCTCGCCAGCCCCTGCGATGGCACAGCACGCAACCTCCAATGCTCTTGGCAACGTTGGCATGTCCCCCATGCTCACTTCGAACAACCCGATGCTTCCAAACATGCTTGCCGGCAACCTTGGGGCGACTCCCAACCTTGTCGGGTCGCCAGCGCTCGGTACTCTTGGGAATGGCGGTGGTGGTGGTGCTGCTGTTGCTGCTGCTTCTTCGAGTGTCAGCACTCTCTCCCGAAACCAAATCCAGCAAACGAGCCAGATGCTGGAACAGGCGCGGAACGAGTTCCAGAACCGTCTTCGAAACCTTCAGCTGCAGCAACAGGCCTTCGCCGAGAAGAAGGCGTCCATGACTCCGGAAGATCAGGCTCGCGCCCTCGCCGCTCTAACGGCCGAACGCGAGTCGCTGACCCTCGAGAAGAAGAACCTTCTGGATCGATCCACCATCCTCAGCGCTGCCATGCTGGTCGCAAAGCAAAGCTCTGGTCAGCAACTCAGTGCCCCAGAGCTGCAAGTCATTGAAAATGCCACCCTTCTCAAGGCGAAAATGCAACAGCAGCAGCAGCAGCAAAAGCAGCAGCAGCAACAGCAAGCCGCCAGTGCGCTGGCCAACAACCCTCTTCTTGGTCTCAACAATGTGCAAGCGCAACAAAACTTCCAGGTGCAAGCGTTGCAATTGCAAGTTCAGCAACAACAGCAACTGCAGCAGCAACAGCAAGCGAAGGCAAACCTTACGCCGGCTCAGCGCATTCAACAGACCCAGTTGAACCTCGCCCAGCTCAATGAAGCAGCGCGGCTCCACGCCAACAATCCGAACACGGTTGCCCTGATCGAAGCTCGCAAAGCCAAGCTGATCAATGATCTCCGACTCTTGACGCAAGCAGGCGCCATGAATCCCAATGCATTTGCTCCATCCACCTCGTCCGCGATGGACGTGCTTTCCGGCAATGCGAATCGCAACTTTGCCGGGCTTCTCGACAACCCGGCCGATCAGCAACAACAGCAGCACGACCAACAACTGTCGCAAATGGTCAGCGGCCTCTAAAACACTTTCAAAAACAATTCATGTTTGTTGCTGTGCTCGGTTTTCAATTGTATCTCTCCTCCCCTCACTTTTGTCGTCGATTTATTTGTGTTTTTGTGCTTCGATCATTTGTTATCAATTTTACATATTATTGTGAAACCATTCCTTTGAGTTTTTAAGTTTTTTTTCTTCTTTGTGATTGGTCAGTATGCCCGTTTTCAAACAACAAGTCATCAATGACACAACTGTGTCGTAGGATTGCCCGCTGGTTTGCTCAATGTAGCTGGCTACCCTGAAGTTGTCGCTGGCTCGTCAGTCTGTGTGCGAAACAGGAAAACAATTCCAACGCAGCCATCAACACGCATATGAGCGCAATGCCATCTAAAGTTGCCAAAAAAAAAAAAAAAAAAAAAGAGCTCATCAAAACACGGGTTCATAGCACACCTGCTGCATTCCGCCCTCGAGTGCGGTTTCGCTTGGAAGCGCTGGGCTGGACGAGACGGAAGCCGGGGAAGGATTGGCAACCCATTGCAACGCCAACTTGAGATTGTTCAAAAACTGGCCGTGTCCCATCAGCAACTCTGCTGTTTTGCGATTCGCCAGGTGGACGGTAGCAGACGTTTTGGTGTCATTGAAATTCAAACTCGTCACCGGGCCGAATGACTGGGTACAAGCAAGTGTTGGGGATTCAATTAAAAAAACAAGTGAGACACAAAGCATCATCTTGCAACGCCTTCGAGAAGAAAGCGCAAAACAATACATACCGACAAGTGCTGGGCAACTGCATCCGCATCCTGCGCATCAAATCCCGAGACCAGGACGCGGGTTGGGCGGTTGTCCAGAGAAAAGGAACCTGGTGCACGGCCTCGCCCGGCGGTCGCAGCGCCTCGGCCACGACCAGCCGCTCCGAGGCCTCGCGCAGCAGCTGGAGGGAGAGAGCTGGGCAGGGTCTGTTTTCGATCAAACAATAAGGGTGAGTACATTCAAACGTTCGTTTCATCTTCTCCTTGCTCTTTGGTGGTGGGGTTGCTTTGCTCCAGTCGCAATAGTCGACACACCACGATGAGGCAACCAACAGCAAGAATGCCTTCAAAGGCCTCACTTCTGGCTTCGCCGCTTCGGGCGTGGTCTCGAGCTCATTCGTTGCCGGTGCGGTGGTAGACGGCGCTCCAGCAGAAGCAGGCTTCGACAAGGCCGCGGTGCTGCTCTTGGTGACGGACGTGAGGGTTGCAGACACGCTGCCGAGACTCTTGAGAAGCTCGGTTTTAGCCGACGCATTTTTCAACTTGGACAGCTGCTCAAGCAGCTGCTTTTGCTTTTCGACCATGGCGGTCTGCTTCTGCAAAGCTTCGAGCTGGAGCTTTTTGAGCTCGAGTTCCGACGCGGAGCCTGCTGCAGGCGGGGCACCCGGCGCAGCGGGGGTGGGAGCTGTGCTGGTGGAGGTGTTGAAGGTTCGAGACATTGGTCGCGGTGGCCCACCGGCAAAGGCGGCACCGCCACGTGTTGCATGGTAAGCAGGTCTGGGCGCTCGGTGAGATTCACTTGAAGCATCAACTTCAGTCGCTGCGTGACTTGGCTCGTGCTGGCTTTCTGTGTGAGAGTGAGAGCTTGAGTGCACGGGATGCGGAGGTCTGGGATGCGATGAGTTTTGCTGACGGTTTGCTTGGCTCGCATAGAGTACCCGAATGAACCGGTTGCCAAAGACAGCCTCGGGATTGTTATACGCGTTGCGAGCTTCGTTGTGGGAGCCAAATTCAATGATGGCGTCCTTGCGCTGCGGCCCTTGGGCAACTTGCAGATTCACAATGCGACCAAACCGCTTGAAATATTCATTGAGATTTTCAATGGTGTTGAGCTCGGGAGGAATGGAACGGACATAGATGGAAGTGTCGCGTCCAGCTGCTGTTGTTGATGCTGCTGCTGCTGCTGCTGCTGCTGCTGCTGCTGCTGCTGTCGTTGCACCAGTGGCCCCGGAGCTGATCGTGCCGGGTGCTCCTGAGGACGCGTTGGCGGCGCCGGTCGGCAATCGGAAGACGTCTTGCGGCGGTGGCATGGCATTGGACTTGCGAAAGTTGGAGTCATTTTGTTGGTGTGTCGAAGGGCGGTGGGCTGGTGCGCTGTCTGACGACGAGTCGGTCGTTTGAATGGTTACAACTGCCGAAGAAGAATCGTCGTTAGCGAAGAGATGGGCGGGCGCATCCCCGAACGGCGGTCGACCAGGGAAGAGGGCCATCGGTGGTGGTGGACGCATGTGCGGGTGCGGAGGTGGCATCATGCCGCGCATTCCAGGAGGAGGCATGGGCATGCCGGGCGGTGGGAATGGGAAGGGTGGATACGGGAATGGAGGCGGAGGGCGACCATACATGAAGAGGTTGGGCCGCGGAGGCTGCTCACGGTGGTCTCGATCGTGACGATCGCTTTGCTCGCGATAGTGACCACGGCCGCCGTTGCTGGAACTGCTGTTGGTCACTCCAAACCGTTCGGCGCGACGTTGCCGTCGCTGTTCGTCGCCCATGTCGAGCACGGAGCTGATGGGCTGTTGTCTATGACTGTCATCAGCAAGCCGGATGCGCTTGGAATCCAACGAGCTGTCGTGGTGGTCATGATCGCCATGCGAACGTTTGCTAGAGTGATCGCGGCTGCTGCTGCTGCTGCTGCTGCTGCTGTGCTCAGGGTACCGATCGCGAGAAGAGGACGGTTCGTCCGAATGCCGACTGCGGCGATCATCATGCTCGCGCTCGTCGTGAGTCAACTCTGACCCATCTTGGTGGCCATGCACCTTAACAGGCGGGGAAGGTGAAGGGGTGGCGCCACGAAGAGGGTTGTTGTTGTTGTTAAGGGTTTGGATGTCGGACGGCGTTGAGGGCGTTGGCGTTGGCGTTGGCGTCGCCGGAGCCATATACACCTTGGATGATAGTCCTTCAAACAGCTGGTCGACAAACTGAGCCGTGGATTCCTCGAAAAAGTCGGTGAGCTGCTCGACGCAATACCGCTTGAGGTCATCGTTCGAGCGTGAGTTGTCCTGGATCAAGCCCAGCACGTATTCCGTCAGCAGTCCTGGATCCGTGCTGTACGATCTGCAAGATGGTAGCAAAGCGGCACGGATCAAAAGTGAGCACGACGGTGGAGTTTGATATTCTGAGCACAACAGTAGATCAGCATGCATCAAAAAAAGTGCAATCTGTGTGTTAAATCATAGTCCCAGAATTCAACAACAAGCTCAACGTCTCAGACTCGCAAGCACACCGAAAAAAGCAAACCAAATCAAGCAAAAACGCGCGCGCGCCAAGTTGCTGAGAAGTTCACGGATCCGTGTGCCACCCCTTTCTTCCGTCCAAAACAAGAACAAATCCCGTCCAAAGGAGCACACGAACGGAAAAACACAAAGTTGTGTTTGTTTTTCAATGATATGATGCAACGGCTGGTTCTTTCCCCGTGCTTGAAGCCCCAACGATGAAGCAAAAAAGGAGCGATCTCTGCTGGGAGCTCAGTTTGAAGCAGTTTGAAGCAGAGCAATAGTGCTTGTGGCTTGGTGAGGCGGGGGGGGGGAGGAAGGCCCCTTGGTGTGGCTGCAGGTGAGTCGCTTGTCCGATTCTTGTTCATGGGAGGAAGAGTGAAAGAGTGAGGTGGCGGGACAGCGGGGACGAAAGGCAGAGCAAGCGAGAGAACGTCTGTGGAACGATCTGCATCACAAAGCCCCATCCCCACATCCCTTCCAAGCAGAGGACTCCCCCAAAGCGACTCATCCATCGATCGGAGGACGAGCAGGGTTTGAGCGAACGAGGGTGGCCGAGAACAGAGAGAGAGAGACAGAGAGAGAGCGAGCGAGAGAGAGAGAGCGTTGTGCTTTACGAGTTCTGAAGCTGCTTGTGAAGCCATGCAGTGAAGGCAGCCGTGTCTGCAATGTGCATTGTGAATCAAGCAAACAAAAGAGTGAAATTTGATATTGGAGATTTGAGATTGAGATTGAGATTGAGATTGAGCAGCAACAGAACAGCAGAATCAGTCACAATCCACTCCCCACTCCCCAGGTTCCCCAGTTCAGTCTAAATAGTAGATAATATTCTATTAAATTCTATTGTCGCTTTGGGCTCCAAAATGGCACAGCATTACCATCAGCACGACCGTCAGCCAGCGCAGTATCGGACGCTGATCGTGCTGGACAACAGCCACGCAGCGCGATCCGACACTCTCGCTGCTCGCTTTGAGCTAGGCAAGTTTTTTTCTCCATCCAACCCAGACCCAGGAGGCCGAGGGGCAGAGGGGGCAGAGGGGCAGAGGGGCAGAGGGGCAGAATGTTCGCGTTCTCTCTCTCTCTCTCCCCCCTCTCGCTCTCATTGCCTACCTGCGTGAATACTCATCTTGTGTTGCTTGGCACTATTGATTCACCTTGCCAGGTCCAAAGGGATCGCCGCAGGCTGTGCGCAGTCCGTGGTCGTTTCAGCTCGAAGGCGCGCTCGAGTACTGCCGCATTGCGTTCGACCTCTTCCCAACCCGTGCAAAGGTACCTCCAATACAAGCATCAAACAAAAGCATATAAACGGAGACAAGACAAGTGTTTGAGATGGCACTGAGGTGTTCTTGGTCGCAATGTTCATTGCTATCGCTGCTGATCGTTGTACGTGCCGCCCTTTCTGTACCAACAGGTTTGTGTGGTCGCAGCGAACGATGTCGATGGATTGGTGCCACTGAACAATTGGCAATGGTCGGCGCAATCAACAACCGCGGTAATGACTCGTTTGCTTGGCCTTGCTGGCCCGTTTTGCCGAATCGGTCTCTGGTCGAGGTGCCTCCCAACTCACTTTCGACTCTCCCCAACCCCTATATGTTCTTTTTGATGCACCACGGTTGGCACAGATCATTCAAGGAGGTGTTGCGGCATTGGGTCGTGCCCCACCACCAGCAGCTCTGTTTACACTTGCTCAAATCATCCCGCTTGCCGTTCAGTTCATGCAAGGATCACACACGTCTGGCTTGTTGACAGATCCGCCACGACATGAACCTCGGCAACAGTCGTCGTCGTCGTCGTCCTATGCTGATGCGCCTGTCATTCACACCCGCATTCTTATCGTTACAGCAACCGCAGCAGCTTGGAATGGGTTTTTGCCGGCTCCAACTCAAACTCCAACGCTCGAAACCAATCCTTCCTCCACCGTGGTCAACGATCCTATCTTTACAGCCCGCTTGCTCGTAGATACAGCCATTGCGCAATTGGCTCCGTCGCCAGCCGCACAGGAATGGCTGGCTGGCTTGCAGTTTTACATTATTTCTTGCACTTCGGCACTCCCGCCAGTGGCAGACCCGGCCAAACTCCTTCCGGGTGGTGTGCACGGCGATTCCACGCCCTTTTTAACGTATGCCTCGAGCGACTCGGTCGGGACGCTGTGGATTGCTTGCCCCGTACTGGCTCGCATCCACTTTGGTCTGCGCACATTGCGCGTGATGGGTGCCCCGGGCTCTCGTCCCTCTGGCTCTCATGAGCCACTTCAAGATGTCAACTTTTACTATGCTGCTGAAAACCATGCTGCAGAGAGTCTGCTTGAACTTCAGTCCCGCGCACCCATTCCCAAATCCCTAACGTCGTCGTCGTCTCTGCATGCATGGTACTTTTCCATGATGTTGGTCTCTGACCTGTCAACTATTCCGACGACCCTCCTGTCAAACACGCTCGCAGCTGCAAATTCAGCAACAGGAGCTGGCTCTGAAGATTCGTCTGCCCCTTCGTCGAGTGCACCCTCCCCTGTTGCTGCTGCTGCTGCTGCTGCTGCTGCTGCGCCATCAGCGGATCAGGACAGCAAGGTGGATATGCGCCTCCATGGCTTCGGTCGGTATGGAGCGCTGACGTGTGACGCGCGGCATTTGGAAAAGAGCAAAGTTCCGCGCTTGTCTCTTCCTTGCTCGTGTGTCCATGCCATCACCCCTGTAACTCTGGGGCTGCAAGCTGTTGCGGGCACCATCAAGTACACTGCAACCGTGACCTTGCTGCTGATTGACAGCTCTACCACACACGATGGGACGTTTTCCATCCCCAGCATCACCCATCTCGTCATGAATCACAACGGCAGCCTCTTCCTTCATTGCGTCATGCCCAACGCCCTCTTGGCGGATGTGGCTGCTCGTCCTCCACCTCCTTCTGCTCTAGCAGCCGCTCGTTCATTTGATCGCATTATGCGAAACTCGCTCCTCGTTCCTGCTCGCGAGGCGATCGGTCCCGATGCGCCCTTTTCCCGGCTCTCCCAGTCCTTGTCTGCGCGCATCGACGCTGCTGAAGAAACTGCGACCACCACTGCGTTACTTGAAAGGGCGACACGCCGAGTTCCTCGTCTCGAGAATCAAACATCGTTGTACTCTGTCCTGAATGTGAGTTTTTGGTCTCCTGTAGAGTTGGATTGCCCAATGCTTGTTGGGGATGAGGCAACCGACAGTAGCTTGTTTGTGCCTTTGTTTGGTCAGAACGAACTTGGCACACTCGCACAGCCATTACTTGAAGAGCTTCTTCCAACAATCGTCAATAGTGTTCCGCTGACGCGGACCCAGGTGGACGAGCACATTCAACGATTATTTGAGTCCTTCCAATTGCAGTCGCCAGGAGTGACTGCGATTGGCTTGCCGTAAGTCGTTGTAACACGTTCAGTCGGTGTTTGCTCTTGGTTGCTCATCATTCCCTGTCACGCAGGTTGAAAACGTGCCGGTTGTTCTGGCTCGAATTGCGCGAAATGGCCTGGGCGCTGGAGAGCCCTGGAGCTCGTGCTGTAAGTAAGAGAGTGCATATGTTTTGATTGTGGGCGGTTGTGCTCATTTTATTTTTATTTTTATTTTTTTTTTTTTTTGTTGTTGTTGTTGTTGCTGTTGTTGTTGTTGTTGCGTTTCTTGCTTCTCATAAATAACAGATTGTGGAAAGCATGGATCGGCGCTTCCAGCCCGTCGTGCTGGCGGAATGGAACCGTCTCTTGCAAGAAGAACGAAACGACGAGGAATCGCAGGCTGCCAACTCCCGCGGCAAGCGACGACGAGAAGAAGACGGAACAACGACCGACAGCGCCTCCAAGCGTGCTCGCGAATCCCTTGCCGGACCCAACCAGTCCTCGTCCGATGCTGCAGAGGCTGGCTTTGCAACCCTCGACAAGTACGAGGCGATGAGTGTGCGAGAGCTACACGACATGAATACCAGCGACCACAACAATGCTCACCAACGATTCGGGGCGAGCGCCAGCCATCCGACGCTCGCACCAGCACCATTGCTCCCTGGTCCGTCGTTGCTGGCAGGCCCGCCCGTAGGCATTCCCGCATTCCAAGAGAAGAATTATTTCAGCGCGTCCTCCAGTGGAAGCGGCTCGTCATTGCTGGCAGCGGATGTACCGGCCAGCTCTGTACTTGTTCCCGGATCGAGCTCGCTGGTTGCATTGCTCCAAGCCAACCATCGCCGCGCCAATCCACAAACGTTCGCGCCCGATCGTCTGTTTCTGCAGCGGAGCTGAGTCGGGATTGGTGCGTTTGATTGTCAAACACCGTCTCAATAAATGCAATAGCTGAATTTCCATCAACTTGCACATTTCCCAACTTGTCAATCTCAGGGTTGCTTAGTCTTTTTTTTTTTCTTTACTTTTTCCATTGCGGTTGTTTGTCTGAGCGTTTTTCTCTCAGCCATTTCGCTGCATGCTCGTACTCTTGCGTCATCGCCTCGCTCTCTCGCCGCTCTCTCGCCCTCGGACGGCTGCACTTGCGTCTATTGCTCCAATTCGCACTTCTGCACTTGCTGCTGTGACTACTGCGACTGCGACTGCGACTGCATCTCGCCCTCTCACACGCGCTTCGTCCAGCTGCCTCGCGCCGTCTCCGCCTTCCCTTCCGACCAGCCGTCGCTTCGCATCCCACTCTGCATCCTGCTCTGCATTCACTGCACAGAACGCAGCGGCTCGACTCCGGAACTCATCCCTCTCGCTGCTCTCACTGACGGCGTCTGCCTCTGCTTCTGCCTCTGCTTCAGTTCACCCTGCTCGCCTCCTCCACTCCAAGCCGGCCCTCCTGCAGATGGACTTGTTGCCAGTCGCTGCTGAACTTGCTGGAACGCCCGGTGCCATTGGGACGCTGAACTGCCCGCTGTGGCATCAAGTCATTGGCTCGTCTTCGCTCCAGGAGATCCACCGCGTTGTGACCTCGCATGGCTACTCGATCCGCATTGTCGGAGGTGCTGTGCGCGACCTGCTCATGAACATTCAGCCAAAGGACGTTGATCTCGCGACGGAAGCGTTACCCGACGTGCTTCAGCACATGTTCGAAGAGGCCGGGATTCGCGTCATCCCGACGGGGCTCAAGCATGGCACCGTCACCGTCGTGTTTGAACGCCCGCCATCAGCAGCAGAGCAGCAGCAGGTGGTCGACAACGGCACGGATCCAGTAGCGGCTGCTGCTGCTACTACTGCTGCTGCAGGCAATCCTCGAAAACTTTACGATCAGTATGAAGTGACAACCCTGCGCGTCGACAAAATCACGGACGGACGCCATGCCGAGGTCGAGTTTACGTCGGATTGGAGCCTGGATGCCCAACGTCGCGATCTACGATTCAACTCGATGAGCATTGATTTCAACGGGACCGTGTACGACTACTTTGGCGGGGTACAAGACCTGCAAAACAATCACATCGCTTTTGTCGGCACGGCGGATCTCCGCATCAAGGAAGACTACCTCCGCATTTTGCGCTTCTTCCGCTTCTATGGCCGCATGTGCGACTCGCTCGGGCAAGGAAATGTGAGCGTTGAGCCTGGAACACTGGAGTGCATTGCTGAAAATGCTCCAAACTTGTCCGGCATCTCGGCCGAGCGTATTTGGCTCGAGTGTTCCAAAATTCTCCAGCAACGCAGCTGCCCTCACACACTCGAGGTAATGACGCGGTGCGGCGTTGCAAACATCATTGGGCTTGCTGATTTGCATCAGTCAGTAGCCTCCAGCGAGATTCGGCTCTTGCAACAACTCGAAATGGCCGTGAGGCATACGACAGAGTTGGCGCTCCAACTCCCGCCCACCGATGTTGCGGATCGATGGAAGGAACATGCGTACATTGAAATGATTCGTCTTTCCAACATTGTGAAAAACGAAGATTCCGCGGCCGAGCTTGCGCTCAGGTGGAAACTCTCCAACCAGCAGCGTGACTTGTTGCTCTTCCTCGTTTTCAATCGACACCTGGTGAACGAGCCGGACTCTGCTTTTGCTCGTCGGCTTGCACTCGACATGCTGGTCGATAAAGTCCACCCTGACTGGGTTGCTGCGTTGGTCTTTCCATACGTCTCACCCCAGGAAATCTACTTTGCGAACATCCCCGTCTTCCCTTTGTCTGGCGACGTGCTGGCCAAAAGCGGAGTGCCCAAAGGGAAAACGATGGGACTGGTACTTGCTAGCACGCGACAGCTTTGGAAGAATGCTGGATTCCAAGTCAGCGAGAACGAGCTTGTTCAACATGCCCTGCAAGTTTCTGGCAACCCCACCCTCGCTCTCCAGCCCGACCCGTCCATGCAAACTGTAGTGAATTTCGGCAACTTGTTACGTGCCAAGCAGAAGGGAAGCAAGCAATCAGGAGGGCATTAATTTTTGTTTGATGTTGCAAAACTGCAGCGATCGATCGTTTGAATACATCATGATTTACAGTCCATGGCCAAGCTTGACGAGTCGGAACGAGGTGACTGGCGGCAGCTTAGCTGCTCGTTATGCGCGTGTCCTGTTTTGATTGAAGAAATGGAAAAGCTTTGCGTGTAGTACAGTCGTTGACTTTGCTCTGGACTTTTTTCCTCGCGACTTGGTCATTTGTTTCAATATGGTCGATGTGTTCGTGTCATGACTTTCGTTTTTCGTGGCACCCAACAAGTCAAAAGTAATTTTGTATGTGAATCTCGATTCAGCTGTTGTTCACACACCAGGACTTTTGTGAAATGAAATGGAGACGTTTGAGTGCCAAAATGGACTGACGCTCTCCTCGATTTCAACAATAGATGATAAACACACCATCGCTCTGAGCCAAGAATGTCGAAGGGCAACTATTCCGAAGATTCCACTGTCGCATCTGCAAAAAATCAAACCAAGAGGAAATGCAACAGGGGCAAAATGCAACGTGTCTTGTATTGTTTCAAAAAAACCAAAGAAAGGGCACCTGGACAAAACACTGCAAACCCCACGCCAGATGGGGGGGGGGGCAAGAGGGCGGGCACATAAAAACAGAAAAAAATCAGTCACGTTGCTTCAAAACAACCCGACATAATTTTTGAGTGATTTAAGCCTTGGGCGGGGGAGCGGGGACGGTCTCCTCCTTCTCGCTGAAAATGAGCTCGATGTGGCAGGGGGAGCTCTGGTACGCGTTGATGCGACCGTGAGCACGGTAAGTGCGGCGGCGCATCTTGGGGGCGCGGTTGACCTGGACGTGCGAGACGTGGAGGGTCTCCTTGTCAAGGCCCTTAAGGTCGGCATTGGAGGCAGCGTTCTGGAGCAGGTTGAGGAGGTACTCAACGCTCTTGGCGGGCCAGCGACCGAGAGAGCCGGGGGTCTTGAACTGCTTGGTCTGTGCGTGACGGCCAACACCGCCAGTGTGGCGAGTGTACGGGATGATCTGCTTGTGCTCCTGGACGTTCTTCAGGTAAGCCTGAGCCTTGGGGATCGAGAGGCCCTTGAGCGCCGCAGCCGCCTCCCGTGTGTTCTTGTAGTGAACACGGAGGTGGTCACCACGGGTCTTGACCGACTTGGCAGCGTTTGCGGGATTGGTGGAGTAACGGGTCATCTACGGGGGTTTGTTTGCGAGTAGGAGGATGTTTGGAAGAGTGAGCCTACGGCGAAAAACGAGGAAAAAGAGCAATCGAGTAGAGAAAAAAAAAAGCGAGAACTTTCGTTCCAAAGAAAAGCCCGGCAGAGGACGAAGGAGAGGCAGGGAGCAGTTGGAACGACAAATCACGTTGTGTGCGCTAGGTCGGAATGGGGGGGGCGGGAGCACAGGCGAGACCGGCGCGAGGGGCCGAATCGCAAGCGGCACATGCAATCGTCGAGCATATACGGTTTCGCCCAGCGCGCCGTTTTTCGCAACAGGTACGGCTCTGCTCAGCCAACGCCGCCCGGAATCGCACGCTAGCTCCCACATACTACCCACTGCAGGCGTGTCGCGGCGACCAGAGACGCTACGGACCGGCGTACGAGCGGCTACAAGGTCGAGGACACCGACTCAAACCGAACCTGGCCTTTCCGCTCCTCCCTCTTTCGCCCCCTCTCCTGACAAACCCTCTCATTGCGCCCCACCCCATCCACGCGTGAATCGTCATCCTGGCATGCTTTTGTATCGGATAGAAGGGTTGTGGAGACGATCGGTGTCAAAGATGTCATACCCTGCGAGAAAAGAGAGAGCGAGCAAAGAGGATCGATTTGGGGCCAGTTTTAGTTGTTGGAATTGGATTTTTTTTTTTCTTTGTTTTTGTTTTGTTTTGTTTTGTTTTGTTTTCAACCGGGCAGTTCATGGCTTTCGTCTACCGTTCGTGCTTGGGGGACTCTCAGAATCATTTCGGTCGTAGGTGACAGCACTTTTATTGGAGGTTGAGAGCAGGGATGGCTCTTCATTGCAAGCTTGTCGGGTTTCTCTGTTCTGAGCCGTTGCAAAACGCTCAGACACGCAAGCCTCCCCCGTCCGCGGTTGGGAAGGTCAAAATAGCAAGATAAAGGCGCAGTATCATGGTGAGATGGATTACTTTGGATGGAACCTCAGTGCCAAGTTTTGTTTGAAAAATCGCTCTCGTACAATTGGCAACAACTGCGCTCAGAACAGCTCTTGCTTTGTTTTTTCGTTCGCCGCTTTCATTCATGAGAACGATGTGCAATCATTCGCATTGTTGCGTGACGAGGAGGAAGGCGTTGGTAGCACGCTCGCTCCCTCGACACGCTTGACACCCCGAAACGAATAAAGAACGCTTCGCAAGCCCAACCGTGTTCAGCGGGATCCCTCCAGCCGATTCCTTCACGGCTCAGACAGTGCACTATGAGCACTTTACGAAAGCATTGCTTGATCCGACGTGACTTTCCCCCGACTTTGACCCCTGGTTCCTGTCGATCTTTTTGGATTTACATGTATTCTCAATGATTCACCATTCCATTCCACCTGCCCGCAGCTTGCTCCTCGACGATCCTTTCCGAATATTATTTTTGATGCTCTGACCAAATCGAACAGTGAGCTCATTCTGCTTTGCAAAGAGAAGAGAGGCGAGCAAACCTCTGTTCGCCCTTTTGCTCTGCAACTTTTTTTTTTTTTTTCATTCAGTCTTCCAGCTCGTTCTTTTCCCCAGCCTCGCGTTTCGCTTTTTAGGTGCGAGTCTGATTTCGAGTGTGTGTGTGTGTGTGTGTGTGTGTGCTTTGCAACCATCCGTGCTCCGCTTCTCCGTTCGGCTGTCGATGCGCACGAGCCACTGCAGCGCCGCGTGGATGAACTGTGTCTCCTTGCTCTTCCCGTCTCCAGCCATCTTTCCCAGCGCGGCCCTTCTTGATTCTATTGGCGTGCTGTATCTGCCTTGTGCTCGCCCTCCTCTCTCTTTGTCTCTCTCTCTCTCTCTCTTTCTCCAACTGCTTTTGTCGCTTTTGCTGACGGAACGTTGCGCCAACGCAAGATCTCGCTCTTTTTTTTTTTTTTTCTCTTTTTTTTTCCCCTTTGGCTCTGCTTCCGTTCGCTCGCTCGCTCCCTCTCGTCAGGCTGTTCGTGAGGACCTGGCACGCTTCATGCTCAGTCGTTGCTCCTTCATCCTCCTCCGCACGTTCGCGGTCGTCGCTCTTTTGTTCCGTCCTCGTTTTCTGTTTTATTGGCTGTCTGTCCTTTTTTTTTTTTTTTTTTTTTTTTCTCTCCTTTTTTTTTTTCCATTGAAAACACATGCGTTTTGCTTTTTTTTTTTTTCCCTCATTTCTGACTTGTTGCGACATCGTTCGCAACTTTGTCTGTTGATGGTCTCCACGCGATCGTGTGTCATTGTTGGTCTTTTTTTTTTTTTTTTGTCTCTTTTTGTGTAACGCTTCGTGGCAAAGTCTTACAGTGATTCACTCAGACATGGAGATTGCACCTGACTTTGCGACTTTTTTTTTTTCGTCTTTGCTGCTTTGCTTTGTCTTGTTGCTCTCTTGCTTTGTAGGTTGCCTCGAGAAGAGTAAGCCATGTCGCAGCCTAACGCCAACGGCGGAGCTGCTCCCCCGCCCAAAGTGCTGTCCTTCGCATCGGCTGCTGCCCGAAACGTGCCCGTGCCCGTGCCGACGCAGCCTGTTGCCCAGAACGCTGCGCCCATCCAGTTTGGCACAGTGTCCGACAATGCCACATTTGACGTTGCGCGCACAAAGTCGGCGCCGCCCGGCGAGCAACAGCGCTTCCCCACCGGACCGCGGCTCCCCGCGCAAGCCGTGCATGCTCTGCCGCACGCCGTTCCCGGTCATGGTGTCGCGGGTCCTCGCCCGGTTGTCGGCAACCGACCACAGCAGCAGCAGCAGCCACAACAACAGCCGCATCAACAGCAGCCACAGCAGCCGCAACAACAGCAACACCAGCCTGTGCAAGCACAGCAGCAGCAGCAGCAGCAGCAGCAGCAGCAGCAGCACCCTGTTCCACACCACCAACTTCCACAGCACGCGCAGACGCGACCATTCGCTGCTGTCGCTGGAGCCGTGCCGCACGCACACGCACCGCAAATCCCTGTTGGTGTGGCTCCCAACCAGCCGCAACCCAACAATGTGGTTCATCACGGGTCCGCTCCGGCGCAGCATCTCTCACCCGGTCGCTCGCTTCAAGTGAATGCTCCCGCATTCCAGCCTTCTGCCAACACACCTCCGCGTTTCATTCCGCAGCCAGGACAGTTCTACCAGGCTGGACCTATGATGTTCTCCCCAGCTGGCTTTGTGCCGTCATATCCTTTTTACCCTGGGTACAACAACTATCAACTCAACCCCATGCCCGGCATGAACGCTGGGGCTGCCACCTTTGCACCCAATCCCAGTGCCCAAGAGTTCCAGCCGCAGGCTCAGGTGATTACCCCGCGCAAGAAGCACGCGCTTGCCATCATTGATCCCTCGACGATGCAGGTGGTCAACAAGGAGCATGTCGACGAAACCACGACCCCAGCAGCTGCAGCTGCTGCTGCAGCCTTGTCTACTCCTGCTTCAGCTGCTGTCCCTGCGGCTGCGTCGTCGGCTGCCGCTGCCGTCGCCGCTCCTGCGACCGCCTCAGCGCCCGCACCTGTTGCCGTCACTCCTGCTCCAGCTGCTTCGACTGCTGCTGCTACTGCCGCTGCCACCATCACCGCCAAGCCGACCGAAACCAAGTCTGCTGCTGTGGAGAAGACTCCAGTCGCGTCCGCTTCATCTGCTCCTGCGCCTGCGCCTGCGCCTGCCGCCGAGGACGACGACCAAGAGACTGACTTGCATCGTGCATTCGATGATGACGAGTCTGAGACCGAGGAACTCGACGACGAGGACGGTCTTGAGGACGAGTTTGACGACGAGTACGACGAGGACGAGTTGGACGAGAATGGCGAGCCGACCACTCCGCGCAAGCGCGGCGGTCTTGTCGGCGATATTCCCGACTCGCCCGGTCTGTTGCCCACTCCGCTCAAGATTCCAAGGACCCCGCGCGGTGCTGATGGCTTCCAGCGCCATTCTCTTGCCTTCTTGATGCAGTTCCGTGAGTTGTGCAAGGAACCTCCGGCAACCCTCAACAAGAGCGGTCTCGACGAGTGCATCAACCACGAACACATCAAGGCGCAGGAGAAACTTGTCGCCGACCAGCTTGCGCGCCGTCAACAGCAGCACGCGCGTACGTCGCAGCGTCAGCTCGCCTCGCCTGGCCTCCTCGGGGAGGGCAACCAGTCCCCGCGAGTTGTGCATCCTGGCATGCGCCAGCCGAACTTTACCGGTCGTGGCCGTGGCGGCCGTGGTCGTGACCGCAACCACCGTGGAGGTGCAGGTCTTTTGCCGTCCAACCTCGAGCGCCTCGAGCCGCTGCGTCGTTCCGAGAAGGGCTACAAGCGATACGAACCCGCGCCAGACATGCCTGAGGAGCAGGCAGAGACGGAAGGCATTCTGCGCTCCATCAAGAGTATTCTCAACAAGCTTACTCTTGAGAAGTTTGAAAAGCTTTCTGACGACATCCTCAAGCTGCAAATCAGCACGGCACAGCGTCTGGATGGCTTGATCAAGCTCATTTTCGGCAAGGCCCTCGACGAGCCCAAATTTAGTGAAATGTATGCCAAGCTGTGCAAAAAGCTCGGTGACCGCCTTGCCCCGACCACGGCGACTGAAGCAGACAGCGCCGCAAACACTGCCGCCCGCCACGGCGAGTTCCGCAAGTCCATGCTTGCTCACTGCCAGGACGAATTCGAAAAGTTTGCCAAGCTGTCCAAGCAAGCTGCAGAGGAAGCTCCCGCCGAAGACCAGACACCGAGTCAAAAGGAGGCAGACGCTGAGGCCAAGATGCTCGCCAAGCGTCGCTACCTGGGCAACATCAAGTTTATTGGTGAGCTCTTCAAGCTCGGTTTGCTGACCCGCAAAATCATGCTGTACTGCTTCAAGACGCTGCTGCACACCTCTGATGAGGAGAGCCTCGAGTGCTTGTGCAAGCTCATGACCACCGTCGGTCGCAAGTTTGAGGCTCGCGACAGCGAGTCTGAAATCGACAAGGCCAAGCAGGCCGAATTTGTTGCCGAGATGGACAAGGTGATTGGCGCGCTGAATGCCAAGATCTCGATCAAGGATGCCGTCTCGTCGCGCATCCGCTTCATGATTGAGGCTGTGATTGATTTGCGCAAGGGCAAGTGGGTTCCGCGTCACGCCGACGCCGGCCCCAAGACCTTGGCTGAAATTCACGTTGATGCCGCCAAGGACGCCGAAAAGGGCCCCGCCACAACAGCCACGCCTTCCTCGCGTGGTGGCAGTGGTCCCCGTGACCGCAACGATCGCGACAACCGTGGCGACCGTAATGACCGTAACGACCGCAATGACCGCAACGATCGTGGTGGCGGCGACCGCCGAGGCAACGATCGATCTGGTCGCAAGAATGCTCCTGGAAGCCCCGCCCCAGGAGCCGGTCCGACCGACTGGTCGTACGCTGGCGCGCGCAAGCCATCTCCGGCCCCCGCCAACAACGATGTCTCTCTCCGTCCGCAAGGATCGTCCGGCAACGCTGGCGGCGCTACCGGCTGGAGCTCTGGCAAGCCCGGCGCCGCTTCCGCTCCGGCCTTGAGCAAGCCCGGCGCTGAGCGTGTTGTTGCTCCTCGTGGCAACTCGTTCGCCCGCTTGATGTCGCAAGAATCCGACAGCCCGCAGCCCGCCGCACCTGCCGCGGCTCCCGCGAACGCTGCTGCCCATGCCGCCGCTACCGCTGGCGCGGATGCTGTTGCCGCTGCTTTGGCAGGCAAGTCTGCTTCGCCAGCCCGAACGGCGTGTGCGACGCGCGAAGAAGCCGAAACGAAAGCCAAGGAGATTCTTGACAAGTTCAAGCAAGACCCTGACGAAGAGCGCGTTGTCGAGTCCATCCGTGCAATCGACTCGCCTTCTGCTCCCATTCTGCCCATTTTCTTTGCTGCTGCTGCGACAAAGTTTATGCAGAACGACAAGGGCTTTGATCAACGCACCATTTTCAAGATTGTTTCCAAATTCTTCGAGTCGACACCTCCGACTGGCACTGCTTTGGACCTTGCTCAAGGGTGTGTTATTCTGCACTAATTGTTGTTCGAGGTGGTGGCGGGCGAAGGGGGAGGGGTTTGCGGGTATCGTTCTTCATTTTTTTCTCACCTGAATTTCGGTTTTGCTTCTTTGTTTTTGGTTGTTTTCATAATGTAGAGTCGGTCTTGTCTTGCCATCGCTGGCTGAAGAGAAGGTTGACAACCCGAAGTGCTACGAGCACCTTGGTCGCTTCCTGGGCTTCTACGTGGCTGCTGGAGTTTTGTCGCTTTCGTCCCTTGTGGACGCACTCGAGGCAGCCAAGACTTCGCCTTCCGCCGAAGTATTCGGCGAGCCTGTGGAGAACGGGTGTGGCGAGGATATGTTGATTCATACAGTTAAGGACCTTCGTGCCGACAAGGTAAAGCCACACAAAACCTGGTCGGTTTGATGTTGGTGCCTGGTTGACAACTCACGCAATTTGGTGGTGGTTTTATTTTTCCTTCCTCTTCTTTGTGGTGTTGGTTTACTTTTGTCAACCTTAAGGCCAAGGAGGCGGGTATTCTCAAGGCCGTTGAAGCGCTTCCGATCGATTCGTTCAAGGCATCGTACACCACCATGGAATCTTTCCGAGCAAAGGTTTGTTCGCTTTGACGGTGTTGCTGTTTGTTCTTGTATCTTCTTTGTGGCTCACTTCTGGGTTTGTCTCGTGTTCCGGGGTTTGTTTTTTTTTTTTGTTTGTTTGTTTGTTTGGGGGGGGGGTTCTGGCTCGCAGCTTGGATTGGATGCTTGATTCGTTTGTTTGGTTGTTTGTTTATTTTTTGAATACATTTCCCTTGCCATTTCTTTCATGTTTGGTCGTTTTGGATAGCTCAGTCTCGATTGTTTGCGCGGCCAAAGCGGGTGCATTTGTTTCTCCCTCCCGCCGCTCCCCGCCTTCTCGCTGCCCTTGCTGCACAAGAGTCAACCAATGATCTCGAGTCGCTATGGTCGCCTGCTGATTGCCGCTGTGGCGGTCACGGTGGTTCTTGCTGTGCTGTACCACTCGTGTTGTGTAGGTTCCTTCACCGCTCGCCTTGTCCCCTTCTGATCGCCATCCATGCGACTGTGTGTACAGCTCACTCACCCTACTGTCCTTGCTGGCTCGACGACTCTGGTGTGAGCGTGCGTGTGATCGTGAATGCTGATACCACCGGCTCATCCTATTCTCCTTCTCCTTTCCCCTCCTCCTCATCCTCCTCCAAACGGTCAACTCGTCCACTTCTTCCACTCTGTGCCATACACCACGATCTTTTTCTTTGCGTTCAAGAAGCATGGCTCGGTTGGTTGCGCGATGGTGAGACGGACAGAGCAGCTGACCGTGATGAGTTTGACAACCTACTTTTTATGACCATGCGCTTGGCACGCTTTGCAACAGAGATCGGAGACCAAACCCTAAACCCCACCCCCACCCCGCACACACATACGCACACACCTCCCACCGCAACTGAAGAAAAAGAAGAAGAAAACACGAAAACACTTCTCACCGTTTTCAGTGCCACTCACTCGCTCACCCCTCGCTTTTTGGTGAACTTGATTGTGCATTGTCACCAACCCTGCAGGACACAGCAGGCAACAGGTTTTCAAATGAATTCAACGAGGCCAGAAGCTCCCTTTTGAACGATAGTGAGCAATAGTAGTCAACTTTTTGCACTGAAAGAAAGTCCCGTCTACTGAACTCACATTTTGTTTGCCTGTAGACGCGTCGCAACCTGCGAAGGACGTCAAGCAAGGAGCAGTGTCTAATGTACCCATCCCACCCATCTTTGCACGCTGCAATCAGTGTGATCTCGGGCTACATCAGATCTCAAACACAACCCAACTGGTCGAGTTCCCGTTCTGCCCGTTGCTGCAGGCCAACGTCACACACCGTCTGCGGGCGGGCGGTCCTTTTGCTGGGACACCAGGGGCGACCTACTGGATGCACTTTTCTGGCGACTCGATCGTTCGAGGCGTGTTTTTGGCGGGCATTGCAGAGGCCGTTGAGCGAACAAGCATTTCTGGCAAGGTCAAGCAAGATTTGGACGCGCGACTCATGAACGGCACAACAAAGGAGCAGCTGCTGACGGTTGGCCACCGACAGCGTATTGTGTGCTGTACGGAAGCAAGCATGGGCCTTTCCGATTGCGCCGTGTCGATCGATCAGACGTACGATTGCAACGACGCGCACTTGTCCGAGCTGGCTCAAAGTACATCTGCGGACGCGCGTGCCAAAGCCAATGCTCCAGACGCGACCATCTACTGCCTGTCAGTCCAGTGGCACGAAATAGGGGAGGTGTGCACGGCTCAGTTTGCCAATCTCCCATCCGACGCGATGGTACCAAACTCAATTGTGCTGAATCACGGCTTGCATGCGGTCTACAAAGGGTTTTCTGCGACCAACCAAGCCTTTGTCGCGCATCTCGAAGCCAACAACAACCAGCTGCCGAACATGGACTTGGACCACACTACATGGAAGGCAGCTCGTCACGAGTTTCGCCAGTTGTTGCGAACAGAGGCTGTGTTGCACGAGCGGTTGATCAGCGAGCGCCACACATCCATCATTCGCGTCAACGTGCTCGCAACCCAAGCGGCCACTCTGCGCACAGATCGGCTCTACCTGCGCAACGAGTACATTGACCAGATCAACATGGACCTACTGGCCACTCTGTCCCAACTTTCGCCATCTGTCGTGCTGGTGGACGGAAACGCACTGACAAAGCCAGGACGTCTGCGCATGAACGACGGCATTCATCTGGACTACAACGCAGCGACTAGCGTCTGGCACCTGTTGTCCAGCGTCGCACTTGCAGAAAAGGCCCCGTTCTTCAGCCCCGACACTTTCCCACTTTGCGACGTCTCCCCTGTCGAGGAGTGAATCCTCTTACAACACAGAACGAGCCAGTCTGCAAGAAACGTGATCTGAGTGAGCTCAACGACCCGAATCGGGAATGACTGCCCTTGTCACTTACTCCTTGCCCCTGATCATGATCCTTCTCTTTGTGGTTTTTGAGCCTTAGAAGCTTTTCCACTCTCCAATAAACGTAATACAAAAAAAAAAAATCGGGAATGACAAGCCAAAAAAAAAAAAAATAAAAAACATACTGATGGCCAGCATTTCAGGCATACGAACGCAAGGTGCTGCCTTCCAGCATGGGAGGAAAACGTGTGCGACAAAAGAACTTGCAAAAACTCACACGATGCTTGCGAACACGCCGACAAGCACAGCCAGTCATTCAACACAAGTGGGTAGATCTCGGATTGATGGATGTAGTGGTCTGAAAACCAAAAACCAAACAAGGCAATGGTGAACAATACCTACAGTATGTATTATTCGGGTACAGAGCACCCCGTGGGCAGAGAGTTGTTTCAAGCAGCACGAAGCGCGAGTGAGGCGGAACGAAGCTAATCAGTCATCGGTCTTCCCCTCATTCTTCACTATATTCTTAGTAAACGATCCTTCCGCATTCATTTCATACGCTTCAGTTGTGATTCCAGGTTACGTTCCGGGTAACGTCGTAAGGCGGAGCCAAGCGAATCCTTCTTGTTTGTAAAACTCATCGCTGTTGCTCGTCCCTGTGCTTCTCGTTCTACGATGCACAGTCCTTGGTTTGTTTGTTTTTTGTTCTCCGACCAGTCGTGCTTTTTTCATTGTTGACTATTCAGTTTCGTCCTATTCACAGTGAGAACAAAGCACCCCCTTTTTTTTCTTTTTTCTTTTTTTTTTTTGCCTTTTTTTTTTTACGTCGTTGACTTTTTTTTTTTTTCTTTTTTTTTTTTTTGGGAGTGTGGTGCCGTTCCTACTTTGGGATCTCCCTCTTCCGACTGTGCGTGTGCTGCTGGGCATCCAAACATCCAAGTGCTCTCTGCTCTTTACCACCCCACTCGCCGCAGCACCAACGCGCTCCGTTCTCGTTCAGCAACCGACGAATGTCGCGGCACATGTTTTTTATTATTATTATTATTATATTATTTTATTTTTATTTTTTATTTTTTATTTTTTTATTTCTCACACCATCCCCCACATGACAATCGCCGACCGAAGAGTGAGGGTTGCTATCAATGCCGCGCAGACCGCCTCCTCAAACGCAGCACTCGTCCTGCGAATCCGAGCCCATGAGACCAGCCATGGATGGGCGGAAGTGGGTCGGATCAGAGCTCAGAATTGCGCGTTGTTGTGGAAGAAGACAAAAAAAATTGCCACTTTTTTGTTTTGTTCCGTACTACTATTTTCTTGGTTCCATTCGTTATCGTTCGTATCGACTTCCTCGCTTTTATTGTTTTAATTTGGATACTCTGTCATCACACCTGCTTCATTTTTTTCTCCGTTCTGTTTCCAAAACCCCCATCCTCCTTGCTTGACTCGCCTGCGCTCACCGCCCCCTCCCCCTTTTGTCCATCGCCTTTGTTTGCTTGCATCTAGGGATTCTCTCTCGCGCGCGAGGCAGTTTCACGCTCCACCAAGCAAGACACGAGACGGAGGCGAATTCGTCTCGCCTCTTCGCGCCTTTTCTCTCCCGCTGGAGGCGAGGAACCCGACCCCTGACCGTTGAATACGCTCTGGGAGCCGCTGCAGACAACCCCGATCGTCTGCTGGACTGAGTGGGTGAGTGCCGAACGAGCGTTCAGGACGTTTGTGGTTGCTCGCTTTCTTTTTTTTTCTTTTTTTTTTTTTTGGTTTTCCCTCCCTTCTGCTCGACCTCCTTCTCGCTTGTCTCACCTCCCCTCCGTGACTGTATGCTTCTGTGACTTTGCCCAGTCAATAGTGTGTATTCACTCCCTCGAGGCCACCCCCTTCCCCCGGTCGTTGTTCCTGCGTTAGTCGTTCCAATCTGCGGTTTCGAGCGTTGCCCTACTCTTTGGTAAATGGCCTTGAGAGCACCACTACATCAGCCACCAACCCTCTCGCAGCATCTTGGAATCATGTCGGATTCTGTTTCAACAACTGCCTCCACTCCGAGTGTTGCCACTCGGTCGGGTGGGCTAAAAGTCGATTCTAGCAAGAAAAACGACCTCAATCCGCCACAGCCGTCCACTGCCGGCAGTCTTGTCAAGGGCAAGAGCGCCAATGCGATGACGACGACGACGACTGCGCCCGTGCCTGCGCCATTAGTCCTGTCCGCTGATACAGACATGCCGGAAGGCTTTGACATGCTTCAGTCCACGCCGCTTGCGACCTTGAGCGCAACGACCATGGCGAGTCTCCTCCAGGAGAATGCCGACACGCCCAACTCGATGGGTCTGGGCACCTTTTTCGGAATGGACGACGCGTCGCAGCAATCGCAGCTGCAAGAGCAGCTGCAGCTGCAGCGTCAGCAGTTGATGCAGATGCGCCCCGGCAGCGGCATTGACGACTTGGATCTTCACGTGGACTTTGGCCCTGGAAACTCATTCTCTGGGCAGGCGTTCGCGGATATTCGCCGCCCTTCCTCGGTCGCGTCGTTTCAGAGCAATCCGGCATCGCTGCACCATGGATCCGTCCACGGCATCCCGCCGTCGTCCAACGACTTGTTGTACGACATGTCAAACTTGCCCTCGCACAACTATCCCGTGTTGCCGACGGAACCGTCCCAGAGTGTTTTCATCTCGAACATGCTCCGGATGATGTTGGCTCGGCCAACCACGACCAACCCACACTCGACTCAAAAGTACGACTAGTTTTGTTGTTAGCTGTTTGTTGGCCACTGATGTGTCGGTTGCTGCCTGTACTCACCACATCTCCTCGTTCCAGATACTCCTTTATCTTGGATGCACCGACATCCATTGCTCAAAAACTCGAGGAAGGAACCCTGACGTATGTGAATAAGGGGCAAGCCTACGCCGTCACATTCGAAGGCATGCGTGGACGCCGTGGGAGCGCTGGTGAGCTGCCGCACACGGTCAAGTCCATCATTCATCTTGTCTTTCACGATGAGCACGACCAAAAGAACGAGCGTGGTCTTTGGGAGTATTGGCGCTGGCAGCAACCACCCACCTTGCGCGCGATGGAAGTTGGTACGTGCGAGCGCCAGCACTTGTTTTTGGCAGACGATCTTCAGACACTGACGCGATTTTGCTCCACTGTTGTTGTTGTTTGTGTTTTGTGTTTGCTTGGGGGGGGGGGTTCTCCTTCTTTGTCTTTTTTCTTTTTGTTGTCTCCTTGTTCTGCTCGGCCCTTTATCATTCATTGTTCCTGTGCCCTCAGACCGCAAAACTTGCTCGGGCCTTACAGACATTAACGAACTCGCTTTTAACGCGTTCGAGTTCAAGTGGAATCCGCGGGAAGGTGGCAAGATTGTGGTGCGAGTGAATTGCCTCAGTACCGAGTTTTCTACACAGAAGGGCGTCAAAGGCATGCCCTTGCGCATTCAGATCGATACGTATGAAAACGTGACCGAGCCGTACGAAACATCCATGCCTGTTAGCCGTGACTATTGCCAGATCAAAGTCTTCCGCGACAAAGGATCTGAGCGCAAGAGCAAGGACGAGGCCAAGAGCGCAGAAAAAAAACTGTTGAAAATTTTGAAACAGCACGAACTCAAGTACGGTGAACGTGCTTCCGAGTACCCTGTGGACTTTCCCTTCTGTCCTCCTTTCAACGCCACCCTGCTCGTTCCGTCGTCCAAGCTGTGGCCCAAACCCGCGCTGTTGCCATCAAAGCCCCAGGCTCCAGGTGGCTCCACCGAGTCTGGCGGCACGAACACTGCGGGCGGAACGGGGTCGCTGTCGACGTCTTCCGGCGCCGGTTCGTCTGGCACTCTGACGGCTGCGCACACTGGTGCGCCGCGCACGGCGCATCCTTCGAATGCCTCGTCGTCTTCGCACGACGTTTCCAACTTTTTGCAGCCTCACAGCATGGTGTCACCCAGCTCCACGCCAACGTCAGCACCGACCTCGCCTGGCGGCAATGTCTTGAGCGGTGTTCACACTGGTTTGACTTCCAAAAAGCGATCTGCCTCCTCGGCCTCGCTCGTTGACCATGCCGCAGAGTCACACACGGTCACATCACTGCTCCCAGTTATGGATAATGGCATTGAGTTTATGGTGCCTCGTACCAAAATTGTGCGAGTTGTGTCCAAAAAGAAGGAGCCAGGTGAGTGGCTGTCGCGGTTGTTTTTTGTTGTTTTTGTTTGTTTGTTTGTTTGTTTTTTTTGTTTGTTTTTTTGGGATGCCCTTCTCACCTTGCTCGTTTTCTTCACCTTATGCTCGTCATTTAGTGTTGACACTCTACCTTCGTCAAGAAGCGGAACGGTATTTCCACTCAGTGTACCTGGACGCACTCACGGCGGACGATTTGCGCGATAAACTGGCCGATCTGCTCAAACTTCCGGCAGCAAGCGTCCGAGAAATTCTTCGGCGAACTGCTAAGGGCGTTTTGGTGCAGATGGATACGAAATGTGTCGAGCATCTGGAGAACGAGGATGACTTTATCGTCGCCGTCGAGCTCCAGACGGACGGGTGGTACCGGATTGTGCTACGCTCTGGCTCAACCTAGTTTTTTTTTCTCTCTCTCTTAGTAATCACGATAATCGTTTTTTTTTCTGTGCAATTGCCTGTTTCTTTGCCAAAATTTGATGAACAGTAGGATTGTTATTAAAAGTTTTTGTTTTCCCGGTTTATTTTCGATGGCGTCTTTCGCTGCTGTCCGAGATAGATTTCTGTTTAGTGGTTATTTGCTTCTCTGAGTGTTGTTTTTGTCCTCTGAGTCTGAGATATGGGACTTTAAGTTTTGCCCGAAAGGCCACAAAAACTTTGAAAACAGACGCCCGCAACTGTGTTTGTCGAGAGAGCACCTTTCGATCTTGTTTGAAGAGGCTCGTGATAACGGCATCCACGATCGATCCGAAACATTTTGGATTAACACAAACCAAGCTTTGATAATATTTATCAGAACTTGAAATGCATCAAGTCCCACGCACAAGCGCGAGATGCAGGTCTCGCGCAACCGTTTTTGCCAACGAGAATTGTCGCATCGCAGCTTGCTTACCAGGCGCTCGCATCTTGGAAATACAATGCATAATAATATTTGCAATGATCTGAGCATAGTTCTACGGGCTAGATATGACTGATTACAGCGGAGGGGGCGGCTCCAAGCGAGGGGTTTTGGAAGCGATCTGCCAAAATTTGTCCCACCAATCCATCCTCATCTGGTTTGACTCGGCGCCTCTCGTCTGCATACCACCATCCACACAACATGCACGACCAACCGAGTCCCACATTTTCCCCCAATCACATCTCCCCCGTTCGTGCAGCATGACAGTCCAGCTTTTCCCCGCTCGTTTCTCTCACTTTCTGAATGTCGCTTTCGCGCTTCGCGTTGACTGCGACGCGTGCTGTGCTCGGCCGCGCGATCGCACCCCATGCACGCACTCTGACAACCTCAGCCATGCAGCCCCGCGCATTGGCTGTCGTTGCGGGTGGTGTCGCCCTGCGTTCGACCACTGTTCAGTGCTCCACGCGGATGCAGCAGCAGCAGCAGCATGTGCGCTTTGCCTCATCGTCTGGCGGCCACCAGCGCCAGCAGCAACAACAGAGCCAGGAAATGTCCAGCGCTCTGCTCGGTGTCACTGCCGCCGCCATGCTCGTCTCGGGCGGTCTTCTGGTGAGTTGCAGAGCGAAGGCGGTTGCCAAGACGCGGAGATTGAGATCTTCGCTCTTCCATCCGTCTATCACACTTGAACGCAGCTTGGACTCGGTCTCGTTGACCACAGACGAGCTTGGGCGGGGGGCAGGGTTTAAGTTGAAGTGAAAACAAGTGAGCGTTGACTGACGTTCAATGGTGCTTGTGTGTGACAGGTTTACAACATGACTGTGGAGCGATCGGGCATCCTCGAGGACCTTGAGGTCGCACGTGCTGCTGACGCTGCGTCCAAGGCGGCTTCCAAGGCTGCGGAAACCACATCGACGACGACACCGACGCCTGCAACTTCCGAATCAAAGACCACGACCGACGCGACGACGACCGCCGACGAGCCTGCTGCTGCTCCAGCTGCCGAGACGGCTGTGGCCCCTGCGTCCACTCCCGCTGCTTCTTCCTCCACTACCCCGACACCTGGCTCACCCGACGATCTTGCTGTTCCGTACCTGATTATCGGCGGTGGCACGGCCGCGTTTGCTGCCATGAAGGCCATCCGCGAGCGCCAGCCGGATGCGAAAGTGTTGATCATCAGCGAAGAGGCCGACTCGCCGTACATGCGCACGCCTCTTTCGAAGGAGATGTGGTTTAGCAACGCCGATCTTGTCGACCAGCTCAAGTTTACCGACTGGAACGGCCGAGAGACTGCCCTCCACTACCGCGAACCGGCGTTCTACGTTGCTCCTGAAGTTTTGCTCGAGCAGACCAAGGGCGCCACTGCCCTCATTCTCGGCCAGCAAGTCACCCATCTCGATGTCTACCGCCGCTTTGTCCTGCTCGCCGACGGCCGCAAGATTGCCTTTGATAAGGTTTTGCTCGCTACTGGTGGCCAGCCCAAGAACCTCCCCATCTTTGCGAACGATGCTTCTTTCGCTGGCAACGTCACGCTCTTCCGCAAGGTAACCGTTCAAGAATCGTGTGACCGATGCGGGCATCGAGTCTGTGAACATTCTGGTTTTCTCATTCGTTCGTTTCGTCTCGTACATCGCAGATTGCCGATTTCAAGCATCTTCAATCGATTGTTGACAGTGGAAAGACGGTCGCCATCATTGGCGGTGGCTTCCTCGGCAGTGAGCTCGCCTGTGCCATCTCCGCGCAAGGTGAGTGGGGGTGCAGATGTTCAGATGTTTAGTTTTAGGAGCGTTTGCCTTTTTGGGCTCACCCAGTGCTTCGGCTACACTACAGGCTCGGCAACTGGCTCCCGCGTGGTTCAAATCTTCCCCGAATCTGGCAACATGGCACGTGTGTTCCCTGAATATCTTAGCAACTGGACCACCGCTCGCTTGAAAGAGCGTAAGTTGTTTGTAGCACACGGATTTTGTCCCTTTATTGGTTCGATTTTTTTGTTGTTTTGGTTTTGGTGACCTTGACGCTCACGACCATCAACTGCTCCATCCCAACAACCGCAGTCGGCGTCGAGGTCATGGACTCCAAGACTGTCACATCTGCCACGACCGCCGACGGCAAGATTACCCTTTCGTTGACGGACGCCGCTTCTCAGGCACCCGCAGGCCAGGTCACCGTCGACCACGTTGTCGTCGCTGTCGGCCTCGAGCCCAACACCGGCCTTGCCAAGCAGGCTGGCCTGGAGATTGACACTGTCCGCGGTGGAATTCTTGTGAACGCCGAGCTCGAGGCTCGCACGAATGTGTGGGCTGCTGGCGATGTCTCGTCCTTCCACGACATTGCCCTGGGCCGCCGTCGCGTCGAGCACCACGACCATGCTGTCGTCAGCGGCCGTCTGGCTGGTGAGAACATGACTGGCGCACGCAAGCCATACCAGCACCAGTCGCAGTTCTGGAGCGATCTTGGCCCCAAGATTGGCTACGAGGCCATCGGCATTGTCGATTCATCGCTGGAGACTGTGAGCATCTGGGCCAAGGCCTCCGCTGCCGACACCCCTCAGGCTGCTGGTGTCAACACCCCCGACAACGCCAGCGCCGCCGATCGCACTGCTGAGGCTTCTGCTTCCGCTGCCGCTGCCGTCGCTTCGCCCGTGCCCGCCGTCGTCCAACCGTCGACCTCCAACGAGAACGATTATGGCAAGGGTGTCGTCTTTTATCTGAGGGAGAACAAGGTTGTTGGCATCCTTCTCTGGAACATTTTCGGCCAAATCCCCACTGCCCGCCGCATCATCCGTGATGCTCGCGAAGTGACCAATCCCCAGGATCTTGCTCGTCTGTTTTCTCTGCACAGCACCAAGGATCACTGAAAGTGAGCTGTCTCTCAAGCACGAGGGTGTGTCAGCATGTCAACGAGCAACGGCCAGTTTCCAATAATGATGATTGTGTTTTTTTTTTTCCCGGTTGTATGCGAAGTTTGTGCGTGCCCTCTGTTTGTCATTTTGTTCATTTGCTGTTATTCACTAGTTCCTTCCTATTCATGCTCCCTTTGTGCACGAGTTGTCGAGTCGAGTGCGAAATCTTCCAAAATGTTCCAAAATGCTCCAATGCTTTTTCCCCAAAAAAACCCCTCAACATTGATCAATCTGAACACAGTACTCCCACCCATCGTCCCCTCTCCCACCTTTATTTATTATTTTATTATTTATTTTTGCCCTTCATCCAGACTCTGGTTTGCTAAGCCTCACTTCTCACTCCCCTTTATTTCCCCAATCATGTTCCGTGTCGCACTCACCCGCACCGTTCAGGTCCTCGCTCGCGGCGCCCGCAACAGCAGCTCCAGCTGTGAGTGTCTGGTTCCCTTCCCCTCGTTTCTCACTGCCATTTGTACTGGATGATGGTGATGCGGCCCTCGGCATTGGGGGAAATGACTGGAACTGCATTGACCTTTTTTTTTTTTTTTTTTTCATTGTTCTCACTTTTTGTTCTGTCCGCTTCACCGCTTCACCGCGCGCGCTCTCACACACACTCTCTCTGTCTTGTACAAACAGCTGGCAGCGGCAGCACTGCCGGCATCCGCGAGGGCGGCGGCGCTTTCGGCAAGCGCGAGAAGGCCATCGAAGAGCAGTACTTCAAGAAGAAGGTAAAAAAAAAAAAAAAAAAAAGCTCGCTTTCGCCTTTTGCACTCACACTCATCACACGTTCGCTGCGCTGCCTCGGGCGCCGAAACGGCCGATCCGCGATGACAAAAAACAAGGGTCGCTCATCACAATGAGAGACTCGGTTTGGATTTGGTGTGACGAGGGGACGCGTGAAAACGTCCAACCGAAGCCGCAAGAACGAGAGAGAGAGAGAAATAAAAGTCATCGATCTCTCTTTTTTTTTTTTTTTTTTCTTATTGAAAACCATTGTCAAAGGTTTTCAGATTTTGATCAATCGAACTCAGATTTTGATCCAACTCGGATTTGAATCGAATGTGTCAATGTTCATGTCACTGACTTATTTGTCCAACTTTTGATTCACACACAATAAATTACAGGACTCTGAGGAGGTCGAGTACCTCAAGACCCACAAGGAGGAGCTCAACAAGCTCAAGCAAGAGACCAAGGACAAGAAGAAGGAGTCCAAGTAAAGAAAACAAAACAAAACAAAAACTGCAGGTCGGCCTCTTCGAATGCATTGGATTGTTGATGCGATGTCTGTTGTTCCGTGTATCATTTGTTTGGCTGCAAGCTCTGTAACAAGAAACAAAAAAAAAAAAAAAAAATCAGCAAGCCCACAAAAACCCCCGTTTTCTCTTGGAATTATGCTTGTGCGCGAGTGAGGCGCAAATGCACATGCGACACACACACAGAAAGGGTGTATTACGACGCTACGCTTTGGTCAAAAAGCCATTGTGCAGCTCGGTCACAATCAATTGCATCAGGTCGTTTTGAAGCGGTGTAAAGTGAATCCAGAGGTCAGCTTGCAATAAACTTGCACCGGCAGTGTCTCCGGCACCGCATGTGAGCTGCAGGAACGGAACAGGCAGCTTCAGGTGAGCGCGCGAGAAGAAACAAGAACATACAGTGGAAGCGGATGCTAGTTACCACGAGCGACTGGAGCAGCAATCGCAATTCCTCGGGCATGTACTGGGATGCCGTCGATTCATCTGCAGCAAACTTTTCAAGCACAACGGCGTGGTCGGGCTTCGAGGCATGTGGAGATGGCTGGATTTTTAAAAACAAAGAAAAAAAAAAAGAAGAAAAGTGGCACGATGAACGTGAAATGGACGTTCACAAACCAACCGATTACACGCGCAGCCCTTGCACAGCCAAGTCAATTACCTGCAGCAAGAGTAATAGCAGTAATCGCGTGACTTCAGCACGAGAAATAACATCGAGCGCGGCGCCTGGGGCGCAGTGCGTTTCTCCGTTCGGCATTGGGATTCCTGTCAGCAAAGATGGGTGCAAAGTCAGCGAATCACATCAACGAGCAAAGAACAACGGGTTCAGAGTCTCATACCAAATCGCTCGAGGGCAAAGTTGATAATTTCGTTAAGCGTGAGAATTGCTCCGTCGTAGTCCTCTGCGCAAAGAAGGAAGAGACATGACCAAAAAAGAACACCATACAATGTGAGTCTCCTAAATACTCAACTCAGCATAGATGAATGACCAGTACTTTTCATAATCTTGCAAGCAACAGCCTCTTCGAGCGAGCTCAGAGCGGCAAGGGGGCTAAGGAGCTGGAACCTTGCTGCCTTTTCGCAGTACATTGCCGCATCATCCACGCGTTTGAAGAGCTAAGTGATTCACAGAGAGCAGGTGTTGATGAGTGTTGCCAACCAAAAACAAACACAAAAACCGAAGAAAAAGTCAAACCAACCTTCATTGCGGCCGCAAGCTCCACGAATAAAGACGCTGCAAATAGCGGCCGGTTGAGCTGGACATAGAGCTGTCATCAACAGACCAAGTGTGAGTGCATGAACACTCACAGCGCAGACTGAGAGAAAAACAACCACAAGAGACAAGCTTTACATCAATCGCCTGAAGATAACATTGCGTCGCCTCATGCAAATGCTCCTCGTAGCCTGCATAATTCAGTGTATGGTTCTCCATTTCCGCTTGCAAGAATAGTTGTGCTACAATCGTTTGTGCAGCCCAGCAGATTGAGTGCAAAGTCCACCGAAGCGAGATTGAGACGAACGTGCGAACGAGCGTGGGCTTTTACCTGCTTCCACCGTCTTCTCGGCCTCTTCTGCAGTGTTTGACATGGCTTGTTCACATCTATCAGCGACCAGATCGCGATTGTCACGCATCGTCAGCGCTCTTGTGTCAGTCAAGCTCAATCACAAAACGAGTGGAACAAGTGTCTCTCGCTCGCTCTCCTCGCGTCCGATCCGCTATCACTCACCGGGCAACAGCAAGCAGGCAGAACGCAGCGTATTGGTTGTTGCCATCGCGCTTCATGGAGGCGAAGAGCTCGTTGAAGCTCGACGCTGCCTCCGTCAGGTTTGGTTTGCGCATGAATCGCCTACACAGCACACACACACACACACACAGCAGGATCATCATTCACAGTCCCCGCAGTGTCAGATTCAAGCAAACAACATGCATTGATTTTGGAGTCGGTTTTGCACCATTGAAAAAAAGAAAAGCCGAATCAGGACCACGACTCACTTTCGCAGCTTGGCAGTAATGCCGCGGTACGATTGCCAGAACGCGTCTCCCATTTGCGTGTGATGACGAATGCGAGTGTACTGAATAACGACAATATGGACTGGGCATCCTGTTTATTTATTTTATTGAGGTCTTAGTAGATCTAAGTCCTTGTTCTAGAAAGCTCAAACTTGTTGTGCTCTTCAACACACGAAATTCTACTGTAATGCGTTTCCGTCTCTCCTGCCACGTTGCTCACCAGACTATGAAGCATGAATTGCAGAGCTCAAGTACAGTACCGAAAGAAACAAATGATACTCATCCTGACTGTTTGATGTCTGATGTTTCAGCCCTTTCAAAAGCTCGTGTCGACCGGACCTCCGCGCTCGCTTGGTCACAATAACACCTATTGTGTGTAGGCTGCATTTGGCTCGCGGAAGGCGTGCTGGCGATGTCACAGAGTCCGCAGGGGGCGCGCGTTTGCGAACAACCTCGTGGCATGATTTTTAAATCCGAATGCATTGGATTTTGGCTGGATCCGGTTTTTTTTCGTCTGTTTTTTTTTTTTTTTTTTTTTTTTTTTTTTTTTCGTATTTTCGCTTGCCTAGCGATGAGTTCGGGCGAAAGCGTCCCGCCACTTCACCCACACATTTGCATTGATGCATTGATTGACACAAAGGGGAGGGCAAAGGCGCGAGTGGAAGCTGTTATGGATTGATGTGTATCTGTATTTGGAGTGTGTTCACTCGTCGCTTTGTATCAGTGAAGTCTCTAGTTTTCCCTAACGTCATTCTCAACATCAACCCATTACTCGTATCTTCGTGGAACGATCTTTGATCATAACAGAAGCTTGCACACAAGGCCGTAGATCTACGAGGCGCCAATCCGGATTTAGAGGCATTGACGACACGATCAGTCAAGTTCTCATCCTTTTCCCTTCACAGAATGATCTGCCGCTCTATTTCGGTCACTGCGCTTGTTGCCTTTGCTGCGATTGTTGCCGCGACCGCGTCGTCGTCGTCGTCGTCGTCGTTGGTCAGCGCTGCGCGGCCGCCGTCTGGCTTGTACGGCCTGTCGCCTGCGCCTGCGCTGGTGCGTGTGGACCCGAAGACGGGTAACGTGACGAACGTCGGCCCCACCATCGCGTTCGAGCTCATCGCCCAGCAGCTCGCGACGATCGACCCCATCAACGCCATCTTCTACTTTATCGGACTGAACGTGACGTCGCAGCGCAACACGATTGTCGGGCTCGACATGAACACGGGCAGGGTTGTCGTCGAGACCCCGCTGCCCTTCATTCTGGGCACCTTTGTCGGCGTTGGCGAGGTCCTCGACTTTGACCCAGAGACGCGCAAGCTCATTGCGATGGGCCGCGAGGCGAGCCAGGGCAATGCCCACCACATCCTGACCATCGATCCGCTCACCGGTCAACGCCAGGACATTGCTCGCATTGGCGGCATTGACGTGATTGAACGCATCTCGGGCTTTGACCAGTCCGCTGGCATTGAATGGGTCTCGCTCGCAGTCAACAAGAGCGGCAGCGTCGAGGTCGACCTGTTTGCCTTCAACGTTCGCTCGGGCCAGCTTGTCCACCAAATTCCCGACAAGCTCAACGTCGACTCCATGGTGTTCGACCAGGCCACCGGCAAGATGGCCTGCCTCGCGTACGCCGGCAACTCGCGTGTCCTGGTCAACCTCAACTCGCGCGACGCCTCGTTCCAGACGGTGGGCACCGTTCCCTCGTACCTCGTCATGGACAGCTCCATCTCCGCCTTCGACTTCAAGACCCGCGTCCTGTACGCCATCTTCCAGCAGTCGGCTGGCTCCCATGCTGGAAACTTCTTCCTCGTCGGCGTCAACTCTGAGACTGCCGCCGTGGTTTCGTCGGTTGAGCTTTGCCAAGAAGACCTTTCCGACTGCCCCTTGTCTCTGGAGTACCTTCCGTAAACCGAGTACGCGCCGTCCAACAACTTGTTTTTCAGGTGGACTCCTCTGGTCGTTGACATACAAAGCAGGTTGTGATGCAGAGTCTTTTGTTGCTGCGTTTTTGGCGTTTTGGAATTGGATGTACTGTACAAACCAAACGAAAAGTTCTCGCATCGCCCTGTCAATGCTCATGAACTTTGAAGAAAGATGCATCCATTGGTGACTTGGTGGAGTCTGGCAAAGCACTCGTATGGTTGGAAATGGAGCAGAAGCGAGGCGGGTTTTGTGCAGCTGCAATGTGCTCGGATTTCTCAGCTCTCTTTCGCCTTCCTTTAGTTCGCAATGATGCAAACAACTTTACTAACACCTCCCTTTGTAACTGTAATTTCGAGTTTGGGGTTTGGACGTCCATGTCAGTCTCGTTTCTTACCTTTGCAGTAAAATGTCAATCGCTCGTTTTTGGCCTCGAATGGCAACGCCTTGCCTGCAGTCGGCGCCAACCGCGTGTATGGCTGTACACCACACATGGCTGCGAGCATTGAGCACACAGGCGGGTCGAGCACTCGCTCCCGCAGACAAGGAGGTTCGTCCCCAAGAAAACAAACGCGGGAAAATACTGGCGGGAAAACCCTCGCTCAGACATCGTCTCAGAGCACAAAAATGGAAGCCTCGGATTGCTCACATCGTACTACATTCGTTTTTTTTTTTTTTTTGCTTTGCTTTGCTGCCCACTTTGCAGGATCGCTCTGTCTTTGTTGGTCCCGTTCCACGAGGTCTGCGAGCGTGTTTGGTTTCAGACCCCTAGCCGAATGGACTTGTTGAATAACATCTCATAGTACTATTACTGTATGCTCGGGGGTGTTACAGATCGTGTCTCGGTCACTTTTGCGCGGAGTAGTGGTCCTGGAGGCCAAAATGTGAACAAAGGTGAGAGGCAATTCTGAGCAGATTGTTCTGGTTGTCAAACAGTTTCACTCATTCCCTCCTCCATTTTGCATGAACGTGACAAACCATGTCAGTTAATACAAAGGTCGAGCTCCGATTCAACCTCAGCGAAGCCAGCTGGATTCCCGAGCGTGTGAAAAATCGCCTCGTTCAGTTTGTATGTTTCGACCATTTTCAGCATGGCATGGCTGTGTCGTCGTCAGCTTTGACGTTGGAATCATATTTGCAAACCGCAACGAGTCGTACCTGTCATATGTCTGTTTGCCGGGGTTTTCTTTAACTTTATTTGTTTGTTCCTTTTTTCAGGAGGGTAGCCGCATAACAAAAGAGGGAGAATTTCACGTAACGTCAACAACCCACCGAACACAACTCAAGAACATTGAAGATGCATTCGAAAAGCTCGAAGTCATGCTGGCAAAAGCGTCCGAACTTCCAACCGAAACCTCTCCCGAGCAGCAGGCGAAAGTTCGTCGATTGTAAGTGTTTCGTTTTGAGAAAGAATGGTCTTGGTTCGATTGCTCACAATTCCTTGATTCGATACACTGGCAGAGAGCGTGCTGCCAATGAGCGTCGTATGATGGAAAAGAAGATGCACTCTTCGCGCAAGAGTAGCCGCCGTGACGACTTTTAGCGGCCATTTTGTTAATTTTTTTGTACTGTACTGTATTCAACTTTCCTGCAAACAAAAATTGAAGCACGACTTGGTTTTGTAACAATCAATGAAATTAAGGATCACGCATGTTTCACGCCATTCACTCGTCGGGACTTTGGACAAGGTTGATCAGAGCGAAGAGCAAGAACAAAACGGCGCCAATCAGCGTGACTGAAAACCCCCCCCCCCAAGAGCAGATATCCAAAGTTCAACGTGCGAATGAGTAACCGTGCCAACATAGCATTACAACACGAGCAGCTTACTCACCTGTGCGCACGGAAATACGTTTTGCAAGAAGCTGTCCGCCAAGCACGGCGAGACCAGTGCACAGAGCGTGACCCAGAGTACCACCCACTGAGACGCCGATCGGGTCCTAGAGACGTAGAAAGAGCAATAATGGGAGAACGAGTCAGTTTCCAGCAAGAAAATCCAAACAAACAAACAAACAAACCACCAAAACTCATTCCCCTACCTCGGTGGCACCAAGAATGATAGTCGTGATCTGCGAGCGGTCGCCCCACTCGGCGAGGAAGGTGAGCACAAAGGCTTGCATCATGACTGGCGGAATGAGCCCTGGGAGGCGTCGAAGCGAGCTGGCAAGGCCACCCGACTCGACGTCGGCGTTGGCGTGTTGGCGCGATTCGAGTTCCTGCTCTTTCTGCTTGAGCTCGAGCGTGACTTCCTCAAGCTCTTCCTGGCCTTCGTCGGGCGACATTTTCCAGCCATCGCGGAGCATCTTGAGTCCAAAGAAGACAAACAGCATGGTGGATGCATAGTAGGTAATGTAGCGGGGGATGATGGTTGTCGCAAAGCCCATGGCGACACTCAACACTGTCATGAGCGCCAACGCAGCGATTGCACCGATGAAGATGACCTTGCGTGGATGGGTCATGGCCATGATGGCGGCAATGAAGAATGTCTTGTCGCCAATCTCCGACACGATAATGACCGAGAGCGACGCAACAAAGGCACTCGCAAAGCCCTTCTTCTTGGTACCGGTAAACCAGCCCGAGGGTGCGTTGGGATCGTACGCATTCGGATCGTACGCATTGGCATTATTGGCATCAACCTGATCGTTCGGTGCGTTGGCGAGCTCGTTCACTGCTTGTTCGGCCTCCTGTCAACCGCACAAAAGTTGCCCAGTAAGTCTATCAGGATGCTCGTGTGGTTTCTCGTGTGTGTATATGTGTTTTTTCCCCAAAAATCCCAAAAGTCTGAGTTTTTCAATCTTGGTACAATAATCTCGTGCTTGCTCCCATCGACTGATCTCGTCTCCCATCGTCATCTTCCTCCTCTTCTACTTTCCGAGTTTGAGTTGAGTTGAGTGACTGTGCTGAGCCGAGTCGAGTCGAGTTCCGTGAGAAGAGGAAAGCGAAAGGGGGACACGCGGAACCATTGCTCTCAAACAGCTTGCTCGTGTTCGCGTCCAACCTCGGCCATCCAGCTTGTTTTCATGGGGCTTGGTTTTGCTGCTCGTCTCATTGCTCAGCGGGATGCGTGCGGTGCTTCCCCCCATCGCTTTAGGTGGACACGTCGGCAAACTGGGGCTAAATGTCGCTCTGCCCTGCATTGCCCTCTCTGTTCCCCTGCCCCCGCCCACCAACGCCCGGCTGTGTAATGCGGTGAGGTCTTTAACCGCTGCGCTGCTTTTGTTTTGATGTACCTGGGCGTCGGCGGCGATGGCGACAAATCCAAGCAGCACTGCGAGCATCACAGCGAGCAGCAGCACAGAGCGTCCGTTCGCTCCTCGTCTGCCGATCATCATCATCATCACGACTTGTACTCCAAAAAGACAAAACAACAAACAGACTGAACTTGACTTGAGTTTGAAATTGGAGTGTGTGTGTCAAAGTCGCAGTCGCAGTCGCACTGAGTTCGGAGACCAAAGCTTCTCTTTCGTTGAGCTTTCCCTTTTGATGTTCAGTCATTCATTCGTTCAGTCATTCATTCACTTGTGACTAGAATTCCGGTCTCGTCGTTCACAGTCAATCCACTCGTCAAGTATGGCAGATCGGCAGTCCACCGAGCAAGTGCTGGCCGAGCTCCGTGAAGCAAGACGCCGCCTCGCTACCATCTCGCACGCATCGCCACTGCCACCGCTGCTCCCAACAAGTCACTCTAGCGCGGGTGGTCGAGCCAGCATGGGCAGTGGTAGGATGGGTGGACTTGCATTCGGCCACGAGTACCACCAGCAGCTGTATGACGATCACCGACGCTCCGCCTCGTCCTCCTCGTCCGCCACTTCCTTCGCCGGTGCGCCGAGCCTTGCTGCTGGATGGAACACTGCGGGGTACGGATCTGCTGCCCGCGATGGCCAGGACGATCTGCGCGCGTCGCTGAACGCGAGCCTGGACGAGCACCAGCAATTGCTCGACCGGATTGACGCGCTGTCACTCCCAAGCACGCCGTCAACCCGCTATCAGAGCAGCAATACGAGTCATGCTCATGGTAGCAGTACTGGTAATGGCACGAGCTACACTTCCAGCAGCAGGAAACAAAAGGACTCGAACGTTTCGTATCCCGTCAAGCTCAGCGCTGAATATGGGTTGTTGTGGCCTGCTACGTTCGGGTACCGTCCAGAGTCGAGTTACACTGGGACTCGAGATGGTCCAACCGGAAACGCGGGGTATGCAAACCATCAGTCTACGCCTCGTTCTGAAACTCACAAGGGCAAAGGTCCACTTCGACCAGCTTCCACCGCAGCAGCTGCGGGAGCCTCACCGACAGTGCACCGGGCTTCAGCAGACTCGTTGGTTTACAAGGCTTACTCCGAGCAGCCAGCAGCACAACCAGCGAGCAGCATGCCTCGGCAAGCATCATCATCATCATCATCATCATCATCATCATCATCATCATCATCATCATCATCATCATCATCATCATCATCATCATTAACATCATCGTCGTCGTCAGGGCAGGTGCGAGTCCAGTCCAATCTTCAGTCATGGATTTCCAACGGAACCACACCCAGCAAAGCGGCCCAGTCTGCTCCATCCACGACCTCGACGCCGAAACGCGCTTCGGCTGCATCGGCACATCCTCGCACGGCTGACAGCACCCCCAATCAGAACAGCAAACCAGGGCACGATTTACCCAGCCCATTGTCTTTGCCTCCATTGGTCGCCAGCCTTTCGGACTTGCGGGGCGAGACGCAGCATTGGCTCGCATCGCTTCACGAGGATTCGGACATTCGCTTTGCACGCGAGGCTGTGCGATTGCTCGCCCTCGTTCGCGGGCACGCACTGCAGCAGCGAGTGTTAGATGGGTTGCGCGTCAATGCAGCCTTTACTGCTGGTGCCAGCGACGCTCGGGAACACCAAGCCTCAAAGACGACGGAAGCCAACGGTCATGTGCATCAAGCTGGCCGGCAGCCAGTCCACCATCAGCACCATCAGCAGCAAACGGAAGAGAGCCATGGGGACCACACTGTCTACAACGACCAGGGCGACTCCAGCGAAGAAGAAGACGAAGAAGAAGAAGAATCTGACGCTGATATGTCTGACAGCGAGACGGACGACCAGAGCGACGCCTTCGCTACCACTCAGCAGCCCAGTTCTTCGTTGCTCTTCGTATCGGATGAGCGTGCAGTCGACTCTGTTATTGCCTCGCTTCCAATCGAGCACCTTGGTGTCATGTCCGAGTCGCAAGTGGGCACCCTGCACGCCATCGCAACACAAGTTCGCCGCTTCCTGCGCGAAACAGTGCGTGCCCGACCCAACGCCGTCCTTGATTCCGTGCTGTTGGAGTACTGCGCTCGCTTGGTGCTCCAACTCGTCCAACAGAGTGAGCCTCGCCAACAACAAGTCCGGAAAACGCGGCGATCTTTGCCATCAGACGCAAGGCAGCAAGAGCATGAGCAAGAGCAAAGGCTGCAGCACCATCGAAAACGGGTTGATCATCGATTGCGGCTGGATCTTGTCAACGCTTGCTCCACGTTGGTTTCTCTTCCCCTCGAGAAGTGCGCGGACGCTATTGTGCAAGCTGCGGCCGCAAGCCTTGCCCAGCGGTTGCCATTGCGGGATCAACCTGCTTTTGAACCACAGACCTTGTCGCCTGAAGACCTTGCCACCAGGCGCACTCAGCGCGTCGTTGAAGCGCTTTTGGACGACTTGTCGTCGGGTGAGGAGCGTTCTTCCCAGTCTGAGTCGAGCGATGACGATGACGAGTACCTCGACTCGCAGAATCGTGTCATTCCCCGTGCCAAACAGCATAATAGGCAGCAGCACCGATGATTTGGCACGCGCTGCATGTCGGTTTCCTCGGTTCCAATTTCGTATTCATCCATCTCAATACAGTATCAGCAGTGCATCATGGCATTTTTTTCGTCAAACCCTGATAATTCTTTCGTCCTCTACTCTTCTTTTATTGCCGTACAGCATTCTCTCAGTCGCTCAGAGTCGCCGCCCAGCCTAAAAATGAGCAGTCCGGACGAAGAGCGTTCCGGCTTGCTGGTACGGGTTTGAGGTTTTTCCGCCTTCCCCCACCCCCGCCCTTCTACACCGTTGTGAATTTGATGTACTTCTCCTTGGGTTTTGATTTCGCATTTCGCTGGTCTCATCATGGTGGTCGTTGTTTGTTTGGTACATAGGCCGGCGGGAGCAGCCGGACGGTGAGTTCGCAGTCCTACTACAACCCGGGCGCGTACCAGAACGCCAGTGCCCCCGAGCCACAGGCCGCGTTTGCCAGCTCCAGTCACAAGCAAGCCTCGGGCGCACTGGCAGGCGGGCAGCGGTCGTCGTACGGCGGCGTGGCTGCCCCGAGCAGCCGGAAACAGCCAAATGCCGCCAACCAGCGCGGCGCTGTCGTCATCAGTCGGTCGGAGGGCGCCTCTGCGGACAGCCCGTATGGCGGACTTGGTGACATTGACGAGGCAAGTCCGCGCGATGCCGGGCGCAAGTGGAAAGGCGGGCAGTGCGTCAACGACTGGCCGTTCCTCGTCCTGTTCCTCCTCTACGTGTTTGTCATGATGGTCCTTGGCATTGTTGCCGTCTCCCAAGGCGATCCTGCAAGGTAGGAGGCTAAACGTCTGCCGTGCGAAAAGATAATGTTATGGCTCGAGTTCATTGGGGGGGGGGGGTTAAAACCGCGTTTCTCTGAACGATTGGGATTTTGGTTTTTTTTTTCGGCAGATTGTACCACGGTCGAGATTGGCAAGGCTACTTTTGTGGCATTGAAAACGAGGATGGGCCGGACATGCGCGGGAAACCCTACTTGCTGTTCTACCTGGATGGCAACAGTACGACGAGCATCCAACAAGACTCAATCCACAACGACAACGAGTGGAACTTGTACTTGCCTCAAGTTACGCTCATGAATCGCCCAGAACGAGCTGCGGCGCTCATTGGCTCGACTCCGTCATCCTCGGCGCATTCACAATCCTTCCACGACTCCTTTTTGTCGGCGAGTCGCTACATTGCCCGCGGTGTGTGCGTTGCGTCGTGTCCAAAGGTGACAGCGCCGGCCAGCTTCCCAACCGCGTCTGGTTCTCAGATTTGGTGTGTCGCCAACGTTACAGTGGTGAGCGAAGCTGATTTGCTTGCCAAGATCAGCCAAGGCCTGTGTGCATCCGGTTCCTTCCAAAGCTTTTCGGGTAAGAAGTGGAGTGGTCGAGGGGTTTGAGGCCAAGTCTCATCGTTGCTGAGTTTGTTCCTTCTTCTTCTTGTTTGACTTCCAGACGCCCATCGCTGCATTCCATCCCATCTTGGAGAGTCTTACACGGATCCTGCGTCGAACATGACCATCAATGCAACTCAAATCGCGGACATGGCGTATCAAGACATCAACGACAGCGGACTGGCTGATCGGATCATGTCGGATTTGAATCATTCTTATGGCTGGATTCTCCTGTGAGTAAAAAAAAGAGCGGAGCAGGAGGGTGATTGTTGGATTGTTCATTCCGCCGCCGCCCCCCCCCCAATCAATTTCGTTGACTTTCTTCTCGCCACCACCTCGCCACCCCTCTGCAACAGCGGCTTGCTTCTGGCAACGGCTCTTTCTCTGATCTGGCTTTTGCTACTGAGTCGCTTTGCTGGCTGCATTATTTGGAGCTCCATTGCGTTCGGCCTGACACTCTTGCTGTCTTGCTCGGCGTTCTGTTTTGCCGAGTGGCACTCGCTTGACTCCAAGCTGGACGGCAAGCCAAGCGATGCCACCGTGCACTCTGATTACACGGACCGAGACATGTTCTTGACCTACGCCATCATCTTCCTTCTGCTGACGCTGTTCGCCATCCTGATGACGTTTCTTTTGCGCCGTGGCATTTACTTTGCCACCCAGATCATCAAGTTGGCCGCCGAAGCAGTCACTCACATGCCTCAGCTCGTCATTGTCCCTTTCCTCGGGTTTGGCCTTGTTTGCATCGTATTTGCCTTCAACATTATCGTGATTGTGCACATGGGGTCGGCAGGCAGCACATCCATCCATTTCACCGGCTCGGGCATTCCGTACCTGTGGTACGACGAGAACGAGTCTCTTCAACAAGTTCGTGTGTTCCAGATCATTGGGTTTATCTGGATTTTGCAATTCATCCAAGGGGTTGCCGTCATGACAATCGCAGGGGCCGTGTCTGATTGGCTTACCTGTGAAAAGCGAAAGGTAATGCGTGCTTTGGCACCCGCAGTTCTCGTGTTTTTTTTTGTTGAGGGTGTTTCGCTGGCGTCAATGCTCACGACAATCTTTTGGTTTGCTTTGTATCTTTGCCATTGTTAGATTCCGTGCTCTCGGCCAGTCTGGAATTCCTTCATGCGCACAATGTACTTCCACCTGGGGTCGATTGCCTTTGGTTCCTTGGTCATGGTTGTTGCAGCGCTGCTTCGTCTCCTGATCTCCCGCGTCCGGCAAATGCTGCGCAAGAGCAAGAACGATTTTGCCAAGCTGCTGCTCAGCTGTTTTGATTGCTTGGTGCTGAGCATGGCGTCATTTATGGAGTTTGTCACCCGCATGGCTTATGTTCAGGTGAGTTTCATTCGCTCCCTGTCATCACTGCTTTTGTCTGACCAGGCAGGGAGGTATTGTATCGTTCACTCAAACATTTCTCGACTCACTTGCTGTTTGCTAGATGGCCATCTCGGGAGAGCCCTTCTGCCGTGCGGGTCGCAAGTCGGTTGGACTCCTCTCGCGAAATGCTTTGCCGTTTGCCGTCGTGCAGTCTGCCACCAGCCTCGTGATGACGCTTGGTTTGTGCTTTATTGCATTGACGAGCGCGCTCATCATTGCTGGGGTTTTGCGCTCGAAGGAAGACTTGGACGTTCTCGCCTTCCCGTTCATTGTACGTTTGAGCTACACGATGGAGCCGTTTTCTGTTTGTACTTTACTTGTTGTCTGACAACACCAATATGTCTCTGTGCCGGAGCAGATTATGATTTTCCAGGGCGTTCTGGTGGTCATGATGTATACGGGCGTGTTTAACGTGACCATCCAAGCGATTTTCCTGCACTATTGTACGTGGCATGCTGCCGGCTGCAGGAAGCGCGGAATGAAAGGGTGTGTGTGTGTGTGTGCGTGTGTGTGTGTGTGTGCGTTGCTAATCGACTTGGTTGTTTCAAACAGGCACGGAATCGATACGCATCCAAACCACCGGGGACACACACAGTGCCAAATCGATCGCACTTGAACGAACGCTCAACGAGGCTGCCACTTACCACAAGGGTCGTTCGGGCTACCAAGTGCAGAGCGACGAAGCGGATGGCGTGTATGTCTGATCATTCTTTTTGGGATGTATTGTAATTAAAGAACCGTAAACACGGCTGTTTTGTATTTTTTGCCACACCGACCAATGCGCGATGCATAGAGAGTGCGTTCAACGTTGAGTGTGCAGTTTTTGCACAGCGGAAACGACAAACGTTAAGCAAAACAGAAAATCTGACCGTTTCTCAGCAACATCCTCGCTCTCTTCGATGATCATCATTCGGCTCACTCTACTTGTTTTACTTTATTCACTCCTCATTGAACTTGCGGCTTTGTGATTTTTCATTTCCCGACAAACATCCGAGCGAATGGACGCCGCGACCGATGCGAAGGCGCAGCTCGCCCAGAGATTGGTAGGCGCGCTTGGTTCACTTTCCCTATCCAATCCACCAGTTTTTATCCAAACAATTCCGATACGCGGCGTTTTCTTTTTGAATCCAAACCGTTTTCGTTCTTCCTCCTCCTCCTTCACGCCCCCCTCGCCACGACTGTCCCACCTCCAATTCTGCCGCCAACCCCCCATCGCCCCTCCAATGCTCACTACTTTCAATCCATCAACCCAACTTTACAGTTTCCAATGGTGGATGTGGGGCAGTAGCGTCGCTTTTGAGCCATTGCGTTATTGAGCTCTGAGCTGACTGACAGACCATTGCTGACCTTGCGCTTTTTTTTGAACTGTGTGAAACAAACCAACCAACAACAAAATGCTCAACGCACTAGCTCGAGAAGAAGCGTCGCGGCGGTGCGAGCAGCAGCAGCTCGAGCCAGCAGGCAGCCAGTTCCAGTGCCAACGCAGCAGGAGCCAGCCACCCGCCAGCGAGCCAGGCACCACTCAAGAGCTCAGCTGCTGCTTCATCGCATGGACAGGCACATGCACAGGCACAGGCACAGGCACGGACACAGGCACAGGCACAGGCACAGGCAGGCGCACCGTCATCACCGTTGCCGAATGGACTCGCTCCTGCTGCTCCCTCAAGAAGCGCATCGACTGTTCATCCACCAGCCGCGGTGCATGCACAGACCCATGCCCACACAAGCGGCGTTGCATTGCCACCGCAGCGAGTCGCTTCGAATCTGGCTGTGGCTCCACTCGATCCGTTAGCACAGGTTTGGTGCTCGCAATTGGATTTGTTACTCGTGATGCGGGATATCACAAGCCACCCTCCTCTCTCACGCTCACATTCACAAAATCACAGATGACACAGCGATTAGCGAGTACATTGCCGGGATTGGCGCCAATTCACCAAGTGCAAGTGGATGCACTCGCAGAGCTCGAGCGCACCATTGCTTCGCAAAACGAGGTCATTCAGACGTTGATTCGCGACAAAGGCGAGCTCGCACAGCAATTGTTAACAGCCCAGCGACAGAGCGCAGAGCATGCGCGCACTGTTGGCGAAATGCGCGACTCGGCGACGGAGCAAAAGCTACGCGCCGACACTCTCGACCGCACCGTCCAAGACTTGCGAGCGCGCTGTGATCAGCAAAGCCGAGCGCAGGAAGACGGGAAGGCGAATTTGGCGCGCGCCAACGATCGTGTGCGAGAGTGCGAGCAGCAGCTGCGCGAGTCGCGCCAGTCCAACAGCGAGCTTGTGCAGCGACTCCAGCGGCAACTCACCAGCATGGAGCACCTGGAAATCAAAAACCGCGACTTGAGCAAGGCCATTGCGTTAAAGCAACTGGAATTTCAGCAAATTGTTGGCGACGGCAGCAGCAGCAATGGCTTCTCGCCTCTTTTGCAGACTTCTGCTCCCCCGCTCAGCAACGGAGCCGTTTCGGCGACGCGCCAAGCGGGCGCCGAGAAACTGGGACTGTCTGCCATTGTTACCGAAAACACGGAGCTTCACGAGCGCGTTCTCAAGCTTGAGTCGGCGCTCCGTCAAGTGCAAGAGGATCGCAACAGCTTGGCCAGCGAGCTTCAGCTGGAGACGGCGCGTGTCCAAACTCTGACCACCCAGCATGACACTACTGCTCGCGCTCGCGACAGTGACGCCAAGCGCATCTCCGACCTGGAGGCCCAGTTGCAAGATGCACAACGAAACACGGCAGCAGCTGTCGCCTCTGCGACCGCAGCAGCTGCCACCGCCGTTGCAAGTTCGGCCTCGGCTTCTGGATCTGAATCATCGACTCAACCGCCAAATTCACACGACGAGGCACTTGCTGCCGCCACATCACGGGCGTCACAGGCACGCATCGAGGAGCTCGAGCGGCTGCTAGAGGCAAAAGCTGCCGAATCGGCCGCAGAAACCCAGAGCCTGCGTCTCCAAATTGAAAAGCTGCAAGGAGCCGATGTCGCCCAACGGGAGCAAACAGACACCCAGGCTGCCGCGATGGTCGCGCTTCAGGCCAAGTACGACCAACAACTCGAGCAGCTCTCGGCGTTGCGGGTGGAAAACGAACGCTACCAGGCTTCAATGTACGATCGCGACTCTTTGCTGGGCAAGCTCCGCAGTGACGGGGAGACGATCAGCAAGGCGACGTCGCAAAACCGTGCACTCAAGGCGCAAGTCACCGAACTGGAAGATCGGTTTGTGCAGATTATGAATTCGAATGCCCAGCTAACCGAATCTGCGCACAGCGAGCAGCATCGTGCGAGTCAACTCGAAGCTCAATGTTCGCGATTGCAACAAGAGTTGGATGCTATTCAAGCAGGTGCATCCAGCGGTATTTTGTCCTCTAATGGCGACGCAGCCAACAACAACAACGACGAGGACGCTGAAGTATCGGCGGCAACAACCTTGCGAATGCAACAATTGGAGCTTGAAAACTCACGGCTAACAGACGAAAATGAGCAACTCAACCAAACCGTGTTCCAAACACAAGCCCTGCTGAAAGCACAGCAGATGGAGCACGCCCAACACCACCACCACCACCACGATGACAGTGACGCTGAACCCTCCTCTTCCTCGTCCTCGCAATCACAGCAACAACACCAGCAACAACAGTCATCCCTAGCTGACACGGACATCATCTCCCGCGTCGATCACGAGGCCGAGGTGAATGCATTGCGCTCTAGCCTGCGGTCGCACGAAACCATGCGAGAGGAGCTGCAGACCAAAATGGACAAGCTGCAGGGCCACTTTGTGCAGGTCGTGGACGAAAAGACTGCGCTGGTCGAGCGGTTGGCGCAAGAGCAGCACCTGTCGGAACGATTGGCGCTGGAAACGGACACGGTGGGCGAGTACATTCTCATGTACCAGGCAGAGCGAGCCGCGCTGAAAAAGAAGTTTGAAGAGCGCAACACCTACATTGAGCAACTGCTCGAGGAGCGTGAAATTCAAAAGCACACCCTGTCACAGCTTAAGCGCCTGCTACTCCGCTACATGGCTCTGGAAGGCATCGTTCCTCTACCCGGCGACAGCGAGGCTGTCGACCAGGCTCCCGAGTCGGTCCAGCAACAGTTCTACAACCAGCTCACCGACTCCATCCAGACATTCCAGCGTTGCCGACGGCCGCCACACGAGCGTACACCGGGTGAGAGCATCGAGGGCGCACCGCCACCATCTCCACCACCAGAGCAGGTACGAAATGGGGTGATTTGATCTGTTGCAAGTCGATTGTTGGAATTTTTTGAACCTGGCTGCGATACTCACTCTGAACATGTTTGTTTGTTTGTTTGTTTGTTTGTTGATTTTGATTTCCCCCGCGGCGTTTTGGAGCAGCCGCTCGTTCTTCTCGACGACTCGACGCGCACCATGCTCGACTCCATTGAAGGCACCGCTACATCAATAGAGTTCCTTCCCTGCAAAAAGTGCAGCGCGACCGTCCAGGTGGTTTAAACATCATTGTGTTGCGGCTCGTTTTACTCTTTGAGCAATCATCAATCAACCCACTCGTTTTGTTTCTTTGCTGTTTTATTGGTTTTTTTGTTTGTGTGTTTTTGCATCTTAATATACTATTCTCAGACTATATTTATGAACGCAGTCTTTCCCCCCAATCCTCAAAACAAATGCTGAGCCTGCGTTTCCCGCCAAAAGCACTCTCGCTGATCGCATCGCGTCCGTTGCTCGCATCCGTCGCAGTGCCTGGTCATCGCCAGTACTCGGGTTCCACTGTGACGCTCGCCCGCAAATCTGACGGCTTGCCGGCCTTCAAGCGAGGACTGACACTGGAGACTGCTCTTGTGACGAGCCCACGATGGAGCCCAAGCAAGCGCGCACCATCCGCAACCACAGCCACCACGACGCCCTTCTCAGTCTCGTCAGTTGCCGCTACCGCAGCTGCATCGAGCCTGACTGCCACGGCCACGGCCACGGCCGCGGGAGCAAAGAGCAGCAAAGCCAAGACCACCAAGACCGCAAGCGCTGCCAAGCTCGCGTCCAAGACCAAGGCCAAGCAACGGCTGCCAAGCAAGATCAGCTCGGGCCTGGAGGACGAGCTCGACGATGCAGCGGAGGCCGACGGCGAGGAGGTCGATCTGGACGCGTCCGACATCCCAGCCGACGCCAAGGAGGCTCGCTGGACGACCTTTGTGCACAATGGTCCCCTGTTCCCAGAGCCGTACACGCGATTGCCCGTGAATGTCACGTTCTTCTATGACGGGCAGCCCGTGAGGATGCTTCCTGACGTTGTCGAGGAGGCCGTCTGCCTGTTTGCTGCGAGATTGAACTCGCCGTTGATTGTCAATCCAAAGTTCCGGCTGAACTTTATTGCCGATCTTAACAAGCTGGTGGATCAGCACCGCCATGAGCTGGCAAGCCCAGTAGGTGTTGGTCTTGTTGTGGGTCCCGTGTTTGGACTTGCGATTCTTACGTGTTTTTTTTTTTTGTTTTGTTTTTTGGGAACGCGATCAGCTCCCGAAGGTGCTTGAATATGACAAGTGCGACTTCACCAAGATAGCAGCACACTTGATGCGCTTGCGCGAAAAGAAACGCAGTGCTCTGACTGCCAAGGAGGTCGGTGCATCCTTTTGCTCTTGTTGGAGAGCCAATTGTCAACTTGTCGTCCCTCATCTTCAACTCTTTTCTCAATCTCACAGAAAGCAAAGAAAGCGGAACGAGCACTCAAGCACGGCGTTGTTGTTGTGGATGGCGTTCCGCAAAAGTTCGGCCCGTACGTAATGGAGCCGCCCAGCATCTTTCTGGGACGAGGCAACTCGCCGCTTACAGGTCACATCAAGCCTCGACTTTCGCCTGCGGACGTTACGCTGAACTTGTCCGAAGGCGCACCTGTTCCGCCATCTCCCGTTCCAGGCACAAACTGGAAGGCGATTGTCTCGCGCCCGACTGCGCTCTGGAGCGCGACCTGGACGTGCAAAATCAGCGGTCTAACCAAGGCGATTGTGCCAAGCCGTTCTGCAAAGCTGATCCAAGAGGCAACTGCGGCCAAGTTTGACCAAGTTCGCAAACTAGGTGTAAGCAGTAGTACTTGGTTTTCTGTTCATTCACAAACAAAACAAAACAAATCAATCCTCACGCCACGTTGTTTTTTTGTTTTCCTCGAATAGGAGCACATCTCTGAAATTCGAGAGCAAGTTTTCAAGTGCATGCGCCTCGCCAAGGAGCCAACCGTTCAGGCACAGACTGCGTTGGGCGTTTACCTGCTCGATCAGCTTGCGCTTCGACCCGGCACGAGCAAGATCGACACCGACTCGTCCTATGGCCTTTTCACGCTGTTGCCCAAGCATGTCAAGCTGGTCGAGCCCCGCACCATCTCGTTCGACTTTCCCGGAAAGGACATGGTGCAGTACACCAACAGTGTCGAAGTTGATCCCTCAGCGTTCAAAGTGTTCAAAATGATGATGGCGGCAGCCAAAGATCCCAAGACACCCGTGTTTGACTCTTCAGTTGTGAGTGTTTGAGCGAAATGAGTCCCGTTGGTCGCTTCAATTTTGCTGATCCCTTTCTTCTCGTATCGCCAATCATAGGGCACCCGAGTTGACACGTTTGTCAAGTCATTCGACAAGAACTTTTCAGCTCGAAGCTTCCGAACATACTCGGCCTCCTCCCTGTTTGAGCGCTCGTTGCCCGATTGCCGCAAAGTGAGCGAAGTGCACAAAAAGGCGGCGTTTGATCGCGCCAATGTGGCTGTCGCTCGTCTCTGCAATCACCAGCGCATCACGACCACCAATCCCGCTGACGATCGCAAGAAGATGGCCTCGGCCATGAAGGCTGCCAAGGCGAGCTTGACCAAGATCAAGGACGAGCTGAAGGAAACGCCAAAAACAACCAAAAAGTACAGCGCTCTCGTTGAGCGGAAAAAGAAAGCGGAAGACCGCATTGTCCAGCTTGAAGTCAAGCAAGAGACCAAGGTACAGTAGCCCCGTTCATTTTTTCCCAGGCGCTCTTGTGTTCAACAGCTGTGAAAAAAAATTCCCGAGGAACTCACTTTTTCTTTCACTACTTTTTTTTTTGGTCCAATCTTTCCTTTTGATGCAGGAGGACTCCCGAGCACTCTCACTCAACACGTCAAAAGTGAACTACATTGATCCTCGCATCAGCGTGGCATGGTGCAAGCGCAACAAGCTCGACCTGAACAAGATCTTCCCGCCAACGACCCTGGATCGCTTCTCGTGGGCGTTGGACACGAAAGACGATTTTGTGTTCTCCACCGCCCCGGCCCCTCCGCGACCTGACGACAAAAAGTAGACGAATCAGCTCATCGCTCTTTTTGTTTTTGTTTGTTCAATTCTATTTTGTGTTGTTTGCTCACAAAGAGAGAGCAAGACAGATTAAAGAAACAAATTTGTTCAATTAAGACATTGATGGCTTGTTATTGTTGTGTTACACAGCGGGCGCCGTTTAACAAAACATGGCGAGATGTCGCCGAAGCACTTGCACACGAATCGGAAGGGGATCAAACAATTCACCATCAAAGCTCCATTGGATGCCAGCGCTACGGTCGGGCTGCAGCTCAAACGAATCTGTCTGAACAACGCGAATGTTTGCGGGTAGAGGGGAGGGTTGCTGCAGAGTAGACAGAGCAGTCGAGTTCGCCGAGAGGACCGAGCCAAGTTGCACCAGCTGCCAGCCAGACACAGGGCCCTGGAGAAGCATCAGTTGCACGGAGCCACCGACAGGCAGAGCGCGATTCTCGCCTGGCAAGAACAATTGCGGAACAACTTGAGGCGGGAGGTTGGGCGCTACCGCATATGGCCGCAATTGGTGACTGACGGTCAGGTGGCTGCCCTTGAGCGCCAAGAGACTCAGCACGTTGGGAACGCGGGCCGAAAGGGTCTCGTTGGTGTGAACGTCGTGGTAGGAGATTGTCATCTCGGCGCTCGGCTTCTTTTTGAGGACGGCGGCTCTCCAAAGGGCCATTTCATAGCGCAAACCCTTCAGCCAAGTCGAGCTGGTCGCATCAATCCCGTCGTACGACGGAATACCAAAGCCAATGTGGTGCAGCGCGTACACTTTCTTTTGCAACTCGGCGGCAGAGATCTCAAACACGTCCACTGGCGCCGTGTTGCCACGGGCAATCGCAAGTGCAGCCGCAGCGACAGACCGGCCAGAGTCCTCAAGGATGGTGGAGATGATTTGCTTGGCAAAGGTCGAGCTTACTTGTGCCGCAGGCGCCGTGACTTCGCGATGCACGCGGAGCGTCTGGCTGGCCGAGGCTTGGATCTGGCGTTCGAGTGCTTGAATCTCAATGACCAGTGCGCCCAGCCGTTTGTTGCGTTCGTCAACGCCGGGTGGTGCAGCGCTCGAGACGATGCGCTTCCAAGTGGGTCTGGTGTCGAGCACTTCGATTTCTCGCTGGACGAGCGTCTTTTCGCGCATCAACGCGTCCATGCGGCGCACCAGCACCGATCGGGCCTGCTCGTCACGTTGCTGGGCGAGGTAGCGGAGGACGTCTGGGTGGTCTTGTGGTTGAATCTGTCCGTCTTCCGAGGTAGGCAAACCACGAGTGTCGGATGCTTGCTCCGGATCGATTGATATTAGCCGGCCTAGTACACGGGTGCGCCACGACTCTGGCAGCAGTCGCTCAATGCCAGCAATCCAGAGCGCGGTTTGGGACGTGGCAAACCACGAGGCAAAGAAACCGTTGGCGGATCCGATTGGGATGACTCCGACGGGCACCTTGCGCGCCTCGTCCGCATCCTCACGACGCAGCAAGCCCGTGACGACCTCCTGGAGCAGTCCGTCGCCACCGACGACGACGATTCCGTCCGTCTTGGCGAGCTCAATCATGCCTGCAATCTCCTTGCCTTGGCCAACGCGCTCCGTCTCGACCACGCCGTAGTCGATGCCAGCCAGATGCAAAATCGGCGCAGCGTGCTCCTCAAACAAGCGACGCGCCTTGCGATCACCCGCCGCCGGGTTGATGATGACAGTCAGCCTGCGCGGGCTTTCCATTGCGACGGTTGGTTCTGCGCCAACATCCTAAAAATCCAACAGTGAGATGAAACAACAAGAGGGTGAGTAACACGTTTGTTGCAGTTTGTTGAGTTTTTGTGATCATCCTCAGTGCCAAAGCTCTGAGCATCATTGGCAGTTTGCATTGCCAAGACTGAAGCAACGGATCACTCCCGACCATCCCCCAACACAACAAAGCCACAACGACACCTCCCATTCACGTCCAATGCTTAGATCACTAATTGTCGTTCAGAAGCGAGGACGTACGGCGGCTGCGCGGAGGATGGCGAGGCGGTGGCGGTCGACGTGGGCCGCATGGTCCTTGTAGCCAGCGTAGAGCAGCGCGATGGCAGAGACGACTGCTGCCTTGCGCCAGTGCCGCATCACAAACGACTTTGGCACCTCAGCAGCAGGAGTAGTAGTAGTCGTAGTCGTCGTCGTCGTCGTAGTAGTGCCAGTGGTACCAGTGGTAGCAGAATTGTGCGATCCGGTGAGCGAGGCGACAGCAGCTCCAGTCGAAGTCGCTGCCACACTGGCAATCTGGCTCATCGTGGGTCCACTCGCAGCAGCACCAGAAGCAGGGTTGGGAGGCAGCGTCGGTGGCGTCGACATGAGTTCCCAGGGACAAAAAAGAAGTGAAACAAACAAACAAAAAGACTGAGACATGTCTGAGACATAACTGAGACTATCTGTGAATAATATGATTGATGTGGACCGGTGAGACGTTGATACATGATGAGGAGCAATTTCATATTGGACCCATTTGCTGTCTGGCTGGCGTTGAAGCGCTCGGATTTGACATTGGCTTCGTCTCGATCAACTTGTCAACTTGGGGCTGTGTGAATCCGCACTGCTCATCACTATTCGATGCATACGCAGTACGATCCATCCTATCATGGATCACTTGATCGCTCTTTCATATGCAGTCCTTCATTTGTCTTTGTGTGACATGTCGCTTTCGTTCGTTTCGTTCGCCGACAATGCAGACGACTTTTACGACGACGACGACGACCATAACGACATCGACAATGACAATGACAATAAAAGCAACGACAATGCCAAGCGCAATGATGGTGCATCCACAAACAAGCAAGAAGCGAGCTCAGGCGCAAGATTGACCGAGCGACACGAGGACTCTGCGGCGCGCGAGAACGAGGCCGAGCGACTCACGCGGGCACTCGCCGCGCTGCTGAGCCAGGCAGCCATCACGGCAGCTGACGACAAGCCCAGCGCGACGGTTGCCCCCGAGGACGACGGGCCGCGTCCGTGGGTCGACAGCCAGGGCAACCGCTACGTGCTGGCCAATCCAGTTGCCAAAGTAGTCCAACTGACAAGTAGCAGCACGAGGACGAGTGCTGCTCAAGCCAGTCAAGAAACTGCGCCTCACACGGCCGACGCATCTGGTTCGATGCACGAAGCTGCAGCAGCGTCGGACGCTCTGCCAGAGTCGTGGGAGGACGACGAGGCGGTTGTTGCGCGCGCGACCAAGTTCGCAGCTGCTCAGACTTCAGCACAGACACCGGCAGGTAGAGTCAGACAGCTCAAAGAAACTACCACCAAGGCTTGTCTTGTTTTTTGGGATGCTGTGGGATGGACTACAGCTGACCTTGTTTGATTTTCTTGCATTGTTGCGCAGCTCGCATTCTAAAACCACCGCGGCAGATGGAGCCGATTCAGTCATCACCTTCCCAAGAAAACAAGCAACAGGCACCACCACCACCACAGCCTCGATCAAGCGTAGAAAGCGAGCCGCTCTTGCTCATCAACTGGACCAAATTATCTGACGGCCTGCTCGTCAAGCCCGATTCCTCCGCAAGCACGTCGCGCCTCGAGAGCCAAAACAGCATCAAGGACGCCCTCGTGTCCGAGTTGTGGGAGTCGTTTGAAAACTCGTGCGAGCAACTGTTTGCCAGCAATACAGCCCAACACACCACCTCCGTTTCCTGGGTGGACGATCTCGACATTGTCCAACTGCGGCATCCGGACGATTTGATTGGCACACTTGGCTATCCGACCGCACTAGGAGCGGGTCGTGTGACCACCCGTGATGCTTGGCAGTTTGTTAACACACCAGCCAAATGGTCTGCAGGTAATGAATTGGTGGGATGCGTGTTTTTTTTTTTTTTTTTTTTTTTTTTAGCGGCGGATGTGGAGCTCACTTGCCATCACCACACATTCCACTTCCCAGCCACCGCGTTGCGCCAAGTAGTTGCACAGTGCTCCCGACCTCTTTCGTGGAAGATGATGATTTGCCTGGAAATTGACAATTTGGCCGCAACGCACGAGATCATGAGTAAGCTTTGATTGTGCAGTGTTGTTTTTTCCATGTGCTAGAGATATTCATTGCTTTTTTTCCCACTGACCAGATGCCCACGAGACGACTGCCTCGTCATTGGGAAACGAGCTACCTCCAATCGCGACCGAGGTTTCAGTTTCATATGAGTTGAAATGTGGTTGGCGTTTTCCTCTCTAACTTGCTGATTTGTGCGATTGCAGGTCGGCAATATGAAAGTTCTCGACAAAATTCTAGCTCTTGTGCTCGAGCGTTTACCCCACGGCGATAGTGGCGAAGACTTGTCGGCGCATTACGAGGCAAGTAGCTCGAAATGTTTTTAAAAACCGGGGATGGCTTGTGGGTGACTGATCTTGATCTTGCGTTCGCTCCTTCCCCATTTCCTTTGCACTCGCAGCAATGCGCTATCAAGCACAAGCTGTTACGAGAGATGTGGTTTTCAACGTTCGGCAGCTTGCCTTGACAACAACAACAACAACAACAACAAAAAAAAACAATTGAAAAGTCTCTCTCGAGTTTTGACCTTCTTAGTAGATCTCCAATTTTCAAGAAGATCATCTCCACAGACACAAACTAGATCAGCGCGACTCCAGAAGCAGCCCGAATTAGACATGCAACACAACATACTTTCAAACAATAAAGTTCACGGAACAAAAGTCTTGGTGTACGTGCCCTGTTGGAACGAAGTCGGAAGGACTCGGCAAATCATGCACTTGTCTCGACGCTGTATCATCCATTGAGCACACGCAACGCAGACACATGCGTGGTGACAAGGCATCAGCTTGGCATTCGTCGGGGCGTTGTAACAGACCAAGCACTCGCGATCGCTGCCCTCGATAATCTCTTCCTCGTTTGCTCCTGCAACTTCTTCGCCAGACAATCGCCTCAAAATCTCGCCGAACGACGGTCGATCCACTCGCGTGGGTTCGAGACAATCAGCCGCATGCTCGGCGATGGCCTGTGCCGACTCTTTAGCTTCACTGCTCCAGTCAATTGCCTTGTCAAGCACCGCATCGATTTTACGGCTCCGTTTAAGCTGGTGCCGAACAGTACCCATCAAATCGATGCTGGGCTGTTGTCCAGTAACAAGCTCAAGCAGAATCATGCCGTACGAGTACACATCCGTTTTGATGGAGACCTTGCCTTCCTGGTGGTACTGCGGGCAGATGTACTGCAGTGTGCCTTGAACCGTTTGCGTACGAATGTAGCTGTGTGCATCCACTTGAGCTGGAGCAGAGCGCGTCAGACCAAAGTCGGCGACCTTGGCATGAAAGTCGGCGGCCAAAAGTACATTGTCGGTCTTGAGATCCAGGTGGAACAGCGGCTGACGCGGAATGGCAGTCTGCACAAAGTGCATAGCGTTTGCAATATCAGTCGCAATGGTTCGGCGCTGCTGCCAACTCAATGCAGGCGTGCCACCCTTGCGATCGAGACGTTCGCGAACAGAGCCGTTTGGCATCAGCTCGTAGACCAAGCAACGCTCGTTGCCTTCCTGGGCATAGCACATGATGGTGACGATATTCGGGTGACGGAAACGCGAGAGGGCTTCGAGCTCGGCCTCAAACTGAGCCACGCCTTGAGTTGAATCCGCTGCCAACCGTTTGACAGCAACTCGCTGACCGCTCCACACACCAGAGTAGACGCTGCCAAATCCACCGCCACCGATGCGCTTGGACTCTGAAAACTGCGTTGTGGCTTGCGACAGAACTTGCAACGACACTCGCGGAATGGTGGAGAGGATGGGTGCCGCGGTTGTGGTTTGCTGAGCTAGCTCCAGCTGAGCAATACGCGCCTGGAGTTCACGAACTTGCTGCGACGTCGCATCAGACGCAGCGAGAGGCGAGTTGGGAGTATGGTCTAAGTGGGCAGGTTTCGGTGGAATGGCAGGAGGACTGATTGCATTTTGAGGGCGAGTGCGCTGATTTTCGGCCCTGGAATTGAATCAAGTCAGAAAGACCGGAAAAGTCACAAACACCCGCAAGACAAGGGCACTCACGAGAAAACGCATTTTGCGAGAACGCTTTTGGATAAAAACTGAACGGCGCTTGCAGAGATCTGGTTGTCTGTCAGACTATTGCATTGTCAACGACGTTCAGTGTTCGATGGCTCATGTTGCTGCATCAAGTTGTTGGAAGACCCGCACACCCACACCCCTGTACCACAACAGAACATACTTCAGTTTCGACAGGTTAGCCTTGTTTCGAAGCGCAGATCCGACCGCCTCTGCTCCAGCATCGCCGATTTGATTGGTGTGCATCCTATGCCATACAAACATCAGAAGCAAGCCATTCTTGAGCGAAACTTGAATGCGACAGGAGGTCAACACTTGACTACAATACCGGAGGTCAGTGAGTGCAGTCGACGTCTGCAGGCCTTCAGCGATGGCACGAGCTCCAATGTCACCAATCTTGTTGTTGCTCAAACTATGTCAGATCGGTAAAGTTAGTGTCGCGTGCTCAATAGCCCCTGTGACACCACCAGAACGTACTAAAGAATAGACAGGTTGGTCTTGTTTCGAAGCGCAGCTCCGATCGCCTGAGCTCCAGCGTCGCCGATTTGATTCTCAAACATCCTACATCATCCAAAATCAGAAGCAAGCCATTCTAGAGCAAAGCTGGAGATGCTCAAACGAGCGACCAATACCTGAAATCAGTCAGCACAGTCGACGTCTGCAGGCCTTCGGCGATGGCACGAGCTCCAATGTCACCAATCTTGTTGTTGCTCAAACTGCGTCAGATCGGTAAAGTTAGTGCTGCACGCCCAATCGCCCCTGTGACACCACCAGAACGTACTAGAGAATGGACAGGTTGGCCTTGTTTCGAAGCGCAGATCCGATCGCCTGTGCTCCAGCATCGCCAATTTGATTGGTGTGCATCCTAAATCAAACCAATATCAGAAGTAAGTCATTCTTGAGCAAAGCTGAAGAATGCGGCGATCCCTCAAACGGGCGACTACAATACCGGAGGTCAGTGAGTGCAGTCGACGTCTGCAGGCCTTCAGCGATGGCACGAGCTCCAATGTCACTAATCTTGTTATTACTCAAGCTGCATCGACTCGATCAAGTTAGTGTCGCGCGCCCAATAGCCTCTGTGACACCACCAGACAAGTACCTGAGTGCAGTCAAGGTCGACTTGTTCCGAAGCGCAGATCCGATCGCCTGTGCTCCCTCGTCACCAATTTGATTGGCGTGCATCCTATGCCATACAAACATCAGAAGCAAGCCATTCTTGAGCGAAACTTGACATGCGACAGGAGGTCAACACGGGACTACAATACACGAGCACAGTGAGTGCAGTCGACGACTGCAGGCCTTCGGCGATGGCACGAGCTCCAATGTCACTAATCCTGTTCACATCCAAGCTGCATCAACTCGGCCAAGTGAGTGTCGCGCCCCCAATCGCTCCCTGTGACACCACGAGAACGTACTAAAGAATAGACAGCTTGGTCTTGTTTCGAAGCGCAGATCCGATCGCCTGCGCTCCAGCATCGCCGATTTGATTCTCAAACATCCTAAATCATCCAAAATCAGAAGCAAGCCATTCTGGAGCAAAGCTGGAGATGCTCAAACGAGCGACCAATACCTCAAATCAGTCAATGCAGTCGACGTCTGCAGGCCTTCAGCGATGGCACGAGCTCCAGTGTCACCAATCTTGTTCCTGCTCAAACTATGTCAGATCGCTCAAGTTAGTGTAGCGCGCCCAATAGCCTCTGTGACAGCTCCAGAACGTACTAGAGAATAGACAGCTTGGCCTTGTTTCGAAGCGCAGCTCCGATCGCCTGTGCTCCTGCGTCGCCAATCTGGTTGCCATCCAAACTAATTGATACACGTCAGATATCGTCTTGAGCGACTCCCTTCCTTGCAACTGCCTTACTCGAGATACTGCAAATTGCGATTCTCCTTGAGACCCTCGGCAATAACCAAAGCATCGGCGTCAGTGATTCCTGAGCGTCTGAAACTATATGCCGCCAAATAAGTCAGCGCGCGGCAACGACCACGCCTCGGTCTTGGACGAGACTTACTCGACCACATTGGAAGACTTGGCCTTTTCAAACAGCTCACGCTGCCGCGGTGTCCATGCAGAAGCCATCTGCAATAATATGATCAGAACAACAGTCAGCACGAGCTCGCTTTTTGCTGTTGCCAATGTTGAGCCCACTCCCACTCCCCTCCCCTTCAGTTCCGGCCGTCTTGGTGTGACTTGTTACGTCTCGTTCACTGCCCTTGGAACGAGACTCCACGACACGACAGAGCGGTTTTGCGCCTCATTCGTGAAGCGGTGGTTCTCGTTCTGAACCGCTTCTACAGCCGAGTGGTCGATCCCAGACAACCCCCAGCGCTCTCACCGCCCACCCACTCACTGCGCCCATCGACAACATCAACACAAGCTGCTCCAGCGGCGAAGGTGGTGCTTGAGCCTCGGCGACAGCGTGGACCGAGCGAAACGAGAAGTGATGTGTTCACACACAGCCAAATCCACAACAAAGACTTTGACTCTGACACCAACCAACAACAAGACACCCGTGCGATGCTTTGTTGGCTTGTTGGATGAGACGTGTGAGTGTGAGTGTGAGTGTGAGTGTGTGGATAGACATGGCGTCGCACGAAGCCCAGAAGCAAAATGGATGGAAAGCAAGAGCAAACAATAATCAAACAAAACAAGCGAAAATCAACAAGCAAAGCTGTCAACCTGAATAATTTGGAAAGCAGAACCAGAAAAACAGAGTGAATCGAATGATGGTTGCTTGGGTGAATATTCCGAAAAGTAAAACCGAGCATCCTCTCGGAGGGTCCTTTTTACATGCAAGCGTTTTGAATTCACTCATCGCTAATCTCAGTCCGAATCTCAAAGTGTCATCTAGCCTCTTCTCTCTGCCAACATCATGTTGCCCATAAATGATAATGTAGATTTCCGCTTTGAGCCGGTGAAAAAGTCTGCGCTGGACCGAGCACGGGAGGGAATGGTTGGGAGCGACGCGAGCGCGCAGGGAGCGGCCAAGCCACCAACCCCCACGGTGGACCAGCAACCCACTACTAGGGCATTTATGGAATGGTATTGGTGTTTGAGTCATGGGGTTGAAGGGCGGGCGGATCGGGTCACCCAGTCAGGCTGCGTAGCAGTGAGCATCAAGGGGGCGACAGGAAAAGTTGGACTTAGAAAAATTTTCCCTCCTTTTGCGCTTTCCTCCTTTTGCGCTGTCGAGCTGTTTTTAAGCTCTTCTGCCACGTTCTATGCCGCGAAACTTCAAAGACAAGTTTATCCATGTGTCAAAATTTAAAATCGAATGGGGTCAAGGATGCTGACACCTCTCAGGCGCCGCTGCTGTGAAAACAGTGGGGAGGGCAGCACCACAATGACCCAAAGTACAACACCAAGCACACACAATCACACAAAACTTCACAAAAACTCCGGGTTTACAGATGAATCAAACATTTCAAGCCGTCTAGCACGCACACACTCCTCCAGAGTGTACCTGAAGTCATCGTCGTCCATCTCCTCAGGCTGGGCCTCAAACACGTCTGCATCGTCATCCCGACTCGTGTCGTAGCGTGAAAACCGTCGAATTGTGTCGCGCGCACGGATGGCCGCTGAGCGCCCTCCAGGCGGCCGCAGTTGAGGGGCAAAATGTTCAAACCAATCCTCTGTTGGTTGCGCTGGTTTCGTTTCCTGCGGGTCAGCCTCTGGCTCCAATCGAGGTCGTTTCCGACTGGCTGAACGTGCACCATCACTCGCATTCCCAAATGTGGGATCGGAATCAGCAAATGAAGGGGTAGTGTCGCCCCACGGATCTCGAGTACCGCGATTGCTGCGAGAAGGCGGGATGTAGTCGACAAACTGTTGGGTTTTGTACGCAGTCACCGCCGCCCTTGCGCTCTCGAATGCTTGACTGTCTTTGGCGCAAAAGGATCTTGCGACTTCTCGGATAAGTGCAGCAGGAACACGGTGCTTAGCTTTGGGCCGCCCCTTCACTCCAGACTTCTTGCGTCGTGTCCACGAACTGGTCGCCAACGACGCTGCTGCGGATGCAGTTGCGTTACCTGGAAGAACGGTTGAGGCTGACGATGTTGATGCTGCTGCTGCTGCTGCTACTGCTGCTGCTGCTCGGTTGGCTTTGGCAGCAGCAGTTCGCTTTGCCTTGGCTTGGGCAGCTCGGGTAGATTTGGCAGCCTTACGAGTTGCACCACGCGTGCGCCGGGTATCTAATGAAAGAATCCCTCGCTGACCTGTCGCATTCCGCATGCTGTTGCTGCAATTGCGTGTGAGCTGGCGAACGAGGCTGTGCAACTCATCGCCCTGAGCCATGGTCTTGAGACGCTCGAGTCCTTTCTCGAACAGCTTGGAGAGCTCGTCCACCAGGTCGTCGGGACTGGCCACCGTCTCAACAAGGCCAGAGCTGTGCTCTGGAGCATCATCGGAGTTACGCGCAGAAGGTGACGCTCCGTGATTCGGATCGAGCTCGGCGGGGAGGTCCGAGGTGCGGTCAGCAGGTCCGTCTGCATCCGGGCCCGAGGGAAGGTGATCGTCTACGGCCATGTCAGAGGTGCGAGCAGGTCCGTCTGCATCAAGCTGATCGTCTACGGCCATGTCGGTTGCGCCAGTCGGCAGGGCATCATCGGCATAAGCAGTAGTGGCTGCGGACACAGCAGATTCGCTTGCAGGATTGACGGGTGCTGAGCGGGACACGGGACACACTGGTGGCTCTTCGAAGAGAGAATGGATTTGAAGACGAAAGTTCTCGATGCCTCCAAAGTGCCGCGCGACGGCACGGATGTGGCTGCAAATGAAAGCGTGATCGTGCATGGCGCTGCAAAAGCGCCGCTCGACACCAACGACCACAACATCTGGGTACTGTTGCTTCAGCGCTTCGTGCAGCTGCTGCAAACCCTCAGTCAAGGGCATGCCACGCGTCTGATAAAATGGCTCAAGGTGAGCGTTTGCGAGTTCGCGAATTTGGAGTAGATCAAGCTCAGAAAGCGTCCGCTGAGGCAGAACAAGTCCTACACCAAAGTAGCGATGAAGCTCCAACACCTGACCGGTTTCCACGAGCTTCTCTGCGTGCATCTCTTTCTCAAGCAGTAAGGAGCGGAACTTTGGAAGGAAGGCGACATTCGGCTTGTCGAGTCGCTGGCGTTGGCGTTGCAAACAGAAGTGCTGGTTCGTGTCCCGAACAATCCTGATTGCGAGACCTGCCAAATCGTGCATGCGGTAACCTTTCAGAAACTTGTACTTGAACGTGCCGAAAAAGCTATGGGGGAGGCAAGTCGCAATGACAAGTCAACGAGGTTCCAAAGTTCGGCACGGGACAAGCGACTCACAATCATCACAAGCTTACCGCTCAATCAAATTGTTGGTGTGGCCTTGATCCAGCGCATCACGCACCAAGCCAAGGTGGAAGAGCGTCCAGGTTTTAATATCTCGTTCGTTGAGCCACTGAGACAGAAAATAACCTTGGAACTCGCCGGCGGCGTTGAGCAAGCTGTTGCTCGCGTCCTTCAGCTCTTGTGCATTCCTGGCATACCGCATTTTAGCCATACACGAGAGAAGATCTAGTCTGCCCGGGTACTGGCGCTCCACCGCTTGGCAGACGTGAAACCAGCAAGTTGCCACCTGCACACCCGGCACCGCCTGATTGATGCCGTTTCGCTCAGCGCCGCATTTGTCGATGACGATGCGCACCGGATTAAACGCTTCACCTACGGCGTGCTTGACCTCGGACAAGAACCGCGCATATTCATGCTCGCGATCTCTGTCGGAGATCATGAACGCCAGCGGCACACCAGCGCCTGATTCGTCAGCAGCAACGAGTGCTGTTGTCGCCCAGTCGTAGCGGTTGACTGAGAAGGTTGAATCCAGGAACAGGACCTTGGGACGAAGGGCGTCCCACGTTGCCCGCTGACAAGGCGTCATTAAAATCAGAATGTTCGACTCCCTCAGGGGGATTTCGAGGCAGCTCTGGCAGTCGCAGTGAACAAATTGATGATAAATGACATCGCTTTTGTCGCCGTATTGGCTTTCGCCGGGGCACTGCCCATCTTGGTAGAGCGAGTGAGGGTGAGAGCAGGCATACGACGAGGTTGACGCGAGAAATTGGTCGATGCGCTGCTGGTCGGTTCCATGTAGCTTCTCGCTGCTTGAGTTGACTATCATCATGCGAATTGCGTCTTTGGTGGGATACCAGCGACCAGAAGTGTACGGTACGTTCCAACTTGAAAGAGGGCGAGGCGGCGGGTTGAGAGTTGGCCCTTCCAACTGCGCTACAATGGACGCCTCCGAGCACCCCTTGCGCACCAGATCCATGACCCACTCTTTGATTTCAGGATGCGCGCGCTGCTTGAAAGCGAGCGAGCCGTCGGTGCAAGCCGTGTCGTGGCGACCCATCTGCTCGAGCTTGAACCCAATAAGGAGCAGCTCGCCGTGCATGTGTTGGCCAAGCTCCGTCAATCTCAGACCGAAACTGCAGGATCCGGCGCCGAGCTCCGGACGTAAGTGAAAGTTGTTGTCAACTCGCTTCTTGCTGGAGCAGGCGCGAATAAATCGTTGTTGGAGAGTTGGTGTGTCTGGCACGGTCGTAGGCGGCCTCGACGGATCGCGTCTATTGAAGCAATACCAACGGCGTGTTCGAACAGGAATGACCGTCGTACTAGGGCTCCACTGCGGAAGTTTATCTCGCTCCTCCTTGGTGAGATGGACTCCCCTGCGCTTCCGAGGCGTTCTTGAGCGGCAGTTTTCGTCGTGCCCGTCTTGGTCGTTAAGAAATTCAAGAATGTCGTCCCTATCATCTTGCACTACGCTAGTTTCGTCGTCGGCCAAGTCGGTGGACGCGGGTTGCACGGAAGACAATCTGCAGTCGCATTCAGCGATGTCGTCGTCTTCGGTGGGATTGGCGTCGTATCGCAACCGAATGTCATGATTGTTCTCCTCGAGCATCTTGAACGCGTCTCTCAACTCGTCGGGGTTGGAAAATAGCCAACGGGAATGAACTTCGGTGTAAATCTCGGGTTTGACGCGTGCTTGACTGCTGTTTGCCTGAATCCCCCCCGCCGCCGCGGGGGAAGACGATGATGATGATGATGAT